TCATTAGCTATGATGATTACGATTTTGAACAAAGTGAACCGTTTGACCTATGGAACGATGCATCGCAATATTCACCAATACCTGGCAACTTCGATCGTTCTCCGGCCTCTCCTTCTAATACAAGCTGTACGAAAATCGACGCTGCCTCCCTATTAATTACGTCTCTCAGCAACAAACTGCTGCGCAAACGAATAGCCTTCTCTTGCTCCAATTTGGTCACTAGGAGGAAGGTCTGGCGTATGATAAGGATCCACCAGCCTGTATTCACTAACCTGATTGAGTGGAAGGTCACTCTCAATAACAGAACGGTGGCGAAAGATACAGAACAAGATTTGGCTCTAGCCCCTCGCTTTTATTGGCGACTCTTTTTTCAGCCGAAGCTAAAGGAGCTACTTACTCGAAAGTACCCACAGCGGAAACTCGGATCGGATGACACCTCTGTTGTCATATCGGCCACGCGGTAGAGAAGCTTGTCCCTGAGATTTGAAGGGATGGGCATTGATTGGTCCGCGATAGAGAAACAGCTCTTGGATTGTGGAGATCTTTTTCTTGCTGGCAAGAAACTGAGACTTGTTATCTTATTCAACTATATAGAGAACTCCTAAGGTTTAACTGCCAGTCGCCATACAACTAATAAACGTGGAACTTTATCTGCGACTTAGCATATGCTTGAAGAGCGAGAACAACAGCTCCGCGCCGAGGAAGAAGTTACTGGCGAACCTCCCGCCTGGAAAACGATATACACTTTAATGCGCTGTCCTGGATCTTGTGATCTAGGCCCGCACTGCTGTCAGGATCCATATTGGAAAAAGCACTATAAGCTTTACCAGGATTAGCTGGAGAATCTAGTCAGGTACGTGCAAAGTGGTGGACTTTTACAGTCACATGAAGATGCGCCAGGCATGATTCGGGAACAAATATAAAGGGCGGAGAGGCAACGGCTTGAATGGCCGAGGCCTTATAGTCGCACTACATCCGTATCAAGCTGCCCTCCCATCAGTTTCACAAACGTCCTTTCGGCCCAGACCCTACAGGCAGCCGGGTCATCTACGTCCTCGTGTCCAGACAACGCCGCTATTTCCTCAACAGAACTCCCTGACCTTCATATTTCTCACCTTCTCGATGTTGCCGTGAGGGAATATAGCGCCTGGCAGCAATCACGTTTAAGTGAAGAGGCATTGAAAGCTGATGTGAGAAAGGCATGCGGGGTAGCCTTGGATGATGGGCTAGACCTGGTGGGGATTGATGAGGACAAAAATCCAGAGTACTTCACGGAGATGTGCGGCCTTAAGTACGGCTGAGCGGACGGGAAGCCCTGTTCTCGCCCTATAGTCGTATGTACTGAGAGCAGATGAGATGGAGTTATATCGACCAAATAAATGGATATTCAATAGCAACGAAATTCTTAGCTTAAAGAATGCAAGGTACCACAAAAGCCATCTTCAGCGAATATTGAAGATCGCAGATCCGCCTCATATTTCACCTTTCAGTGCCCCGAAATCAGTCTCTTGGCAATATTCGCTGAACGAAGTCATTTTCAGACCAAACTATGAAAGATGTCAATGATCGCTCAGAGTGACAACAACATAACTAGCAGGATACAAATACCTTCTCTGGTCCCACAACGGCAGGGTCACTACCTTCGTACCCAAATTCATGGGAAAATAGTACGTTGTGAGCGAATTCGTGACCAAGACCTCCGGGGAGCAATTCGCAGAATTTGTCGTAGGAAAGCTCTTCATAGCCACCAGACTTGAAGCCTTGAGCTTCGCAAAAGATTCGAAGATAATCAGACCACGACAAGTATTCCCCAACAGCAAACAAGTTGGTATTAGGCTCGGACTCAGCAACTGCCTTGACGCAAGGACCGAAATCTTTGCGAACGTGTCCGAACGGGATGCCCTTGTTGCTGGGGCCAATTCCTGCCATTCTCCAGCTTCCATCGACTGCCTGTGAAACAAGTCAATACCTCCAAATATGCCAGGGAGTGCGATTCAGAGAAGCACCAGTCGTAACGAGTCATTTCTTTATACCTTTTGCGGTGTTGTAGGAAGTCCCCATGCCCAAGGGAGCTGGAAATAAATCGGCGACTGAATCTGCGAGAGTTTTCCAGCCAGGGCCGGGATGCTCTGTGCATAGATAGCAGCGTCTGCTTTGGAGTCCATGTGATATAGCTCAGCGAACTTGCCGTTGCTGGAATTCTTAGCATGGGCCATTGAGCTGAAGATATATCGGGTGAGGTTAGGAACAGTGGCCACGGCATCGGCAATATTCTTTCCCTGCTGGAGCTCAACATCGTAGCAATATTCCACGAGGGTTTGGCTGGGCTTCTTCTTTTTGAGGCTTTCTGGATCCTTGAAAATTGTCCAGAAGTCGGTAACGCCGAAGATGATGTCGGCTCCCACGAAGGCTTGTTTCAAGGACTCCACATCGTCCAGATTACCCTTGACCATCTCAACCCCTTTCGTTTCCCATATCTTTGCACTATCGGAGACAACGTTGCGCGTCACACCGCGGATCTTCCAACCTGGACTCGAAAGGTACGCGTCGGCAACAGAGCTTCCCTGCAGCTTCGGTGTCAGTCAAGCTGGAAATTGAGCCTCGAACCAATGAGGTATATCCAAAGATCAACATTCGAAACTCACTTGCACACCGGTAATGCCGAGAATAACGATAAGGCGCGACATCGTGGAGCAAAAGGATTTTTGTTCCGAAGTGCGAGAGCGATTATGAGTGAATCTGACGGAGATGATGAAGATGATGAAGATGACGAAGTGAATTTAACGAAAAGAAATGATCCAATTTTGTTTTGTTTGGTGCAGTGGTCTTGTGATCGGTGCGATGGAGACCCCAAGCTCTCACCAAGGCTATCTTATATACTCCCAGCTCTCAGGTGCTTGAGGCTGAACAATGCGTGATTCAACATTCCTACGCTGTAGCAATATTATATTCTTGATTCATAATCAGTCTGTTCATACCCGGTCACTTGATAAGAATAGAATGATCTAGATCAATTATCCACGGAAAAACCTCGCGAATATCGATACTGTATCACTTGACTCTTGATCAATCGGAGGCGCTTATCCCCTTCCGGCATGTGGAGCCAGAGAAGAACCCGCCCAATTTGGCAAGTCTGAACTCCAAAATGCGCTAAGCTTTTAACCAAAGGGGGACCGACATCCGAATACGGTTAGGCTGAACTACTCACTGGTTTCCTAATCAGGAACTTAGGCTCACATTGCTTGCATCCCCATCAACAAATACCCCATCGTGAGCCAATTTACATCAGCCTTCTCGTTGCCTGGATTATCGCAAGGGTCTGGCTGAGTCTCTGAAATTGCGCCATTTCTGACTTCGGCTTTCAAATTAATCATACGGAATTTGGCTTACCAGATCCTGGGCATGGATGTGTAGCCAATTGATAATATAAATATGTGGATTTCCCTTCTGATAAAATCACTCACCACACTCATTATATCACCAAAAACCCACCAACTCTTTATCCCTCCGTTTTATCTCATCTCGTACCTTGGCCGCCAAAGGCCTGACTATCAAGATGTCCCTAAACAAAGAACTTTCGACTGTCTATGAGCAGTTTCTTGAAACCGCCCCGAAGGAAGTGTCCTCCGTCATCAACGACGCGGTTAACAACTTCAAAAGTGTCTACGACCCTGCTAGAGCAATCCAGCCGGGGAGCGCCTTTCCACAATTTCAGTTGACCGATGCGACCGGTAACAAAGTGTCACTGAACGATCTCCTTGCCAAAGGCGCCATCCTGGTATCTTTCTACAGGGGTGAGTGGTGTCCGTTCTGCAACCTCGAACTGCGTGCGATTCAAGCCCATTTGGACGAGTTCCACCAGAAAGGCGTTACGTTCGTTGCTGTGTCTCCGGAGCTACCTGACCAATCTTTGTCCACGTCCGAGAAATTATCGCTGAAGTTCCCTGTGCTCTCCGACGTTGGCAATCAGCTGGCGAGGCAGCTCGGTCTGTTGTTCGCTCAGCCAGACTCTATGCGAACTGTTTTCGACAAGTTTGGTGTGGATTGGAAGCAGCGGTACGGCAATGATGACCTGGAGGTTCCTGTACCTGCAACGTTCCTTGTCGATCAAAAGGGAATCGTTCGCAATACCTTTGTGAATCCTGAATACCGATACCGTTTGGAACCTGACACTGCTCTCCAGTGGATTGACCAGATTTGATATTGGAATTTGATGCGAAGTGTCTTCATGCTCGGTTTGCGACCTGTTTTTGGCATGGAAATGTCTGCGGCGGAGTGATATATTGGGATGGTTCTCGTTAATTTGGTGTCGAGATCCTGGCAATCTGGCGGAGCGTCGAGCCATAGCGCTTTGTTAACCTCAAGAAGAAGAGCAAATGTCGCACTTTGTATTCAATTGTTGTTAGCCTCACGTCGTCTAGAATAACCATATTCGTTGACTCTTCGTATATTGCTCTGTAGAGAAGTTGCCTGGTGGCTGACGCGAGCGTTGATTCTCGTGCCATGACTAATCCTGGCGGATTTACAATATCTCCTATCGCCGAGAATCCTCCGACAACACTGAATGTCAGTCAGCACGCGACTTTGATAGCTCATTCGGACCGGCCGCTTGATCTTGTCACTGCAGGTGCATATGGATAACTTAGAAGTGGAACGCCGGTGTCACCGAGACACCGATATTGGATGCCCACATCACCACCCGTCCTCAGCAAGGACAACAAATGATAGCAAGAAAGCTGACAGGCGTCAAACATTCGCCAGCTCAAGATCTCAAGTTTATAAATCTATCTCATCCAGATGACTTGAATCGACAGCATAAGGTACGAACGGAGATCCGTCGTCACGTTATGAAGGATATCGGCCAACGACGCAGACGCCCACGACCCAAAGAAAGCTCTTGGCGAGCCACTCGAACATCCTCTTCAGAGTCAAGTGACTATGAAATTTCTCAACATCACGGCACAAATATAAGCAGCATTTCACCCAGCTACAACCTAACTATGGTTGCTCAGTTCCCTATTGAGGCTGATACTCGCACCCTCGAACTTATGCACTTCCGTAAGCGTTCCTAGCTTCCGCAGTCGTTCTGGCTCACCAAATCCACCAACACTAACTCTGAATTAGTCGTAACAGCTCCAGGCTATCAGCCACTCAAGACCATTTGGATTGAGATAGCACTATGCGACTCTGGGGCATTCCATGTGACTCTCGGCAACGCAGCTCATGCTTTAAATCAGATTAGTGGCAATGACAGAGTGAAATGTTCGGAGGCTTTGAGTCACTTTGGGGTTTCAACAAGGAAATTAAGACACCGCCTTAACAACTCCACGGAGAGTACCAGCAAAGGGGTCATCGCCAACATATTGGCGCATATCTGTCTCGCTGTATGTGCTACTTTATCGATGGTGAGCTCCTGACTGACTCTTTTGATAGATAAGAAGCTATGATTGGGATAGTTGGAGTATGCACATGGATGGCTTGGGTCTCATAGCGAAAGCTCGTGGTGGATTCGCCGATCTCGGAGATCAGATGACCCTTCTAATACTGCTGTGAGTGCTTTGAAATTTGACATTCCTTGGGAACCACTTCTTATCAATCCTGATTAATCTTCGCAAAGGTACGACTTAGCTGGCTCTATGGTCTTTGACTCGAATCCGCGATTTGAGCTTCCACGACAACTTGTTGGCATATCCCATAGATCTGCGAGACAACCCGCCCCCCAGGTTACAAGCCTTACTTATCCAGCCCATGTCCCCTGTATTCCTTCCAGCTGGTCAAGCATTGATTATGGTCTCCTCAATTGCGGATGTCATCAACATGAACAGCCGCAGTGCATCATTTTGGAAGAAAGATGTCGATGCAATCCGGTTGATCGGCCCCTGCATTCACTTTTTACTTTCAATGCCAAGACTCCCAAGTGATTTCATGAATATGTCTGACTCAGAAGATCTTGTCGCGAGAGAAGTGGTTCGGCTTGCCTGTCTTTTGCTCATGTCGAAACTAAAAAAAATCATTTGCGTTTCCTCCAAGCGAGCAAGAATCACTACATACTAGGCTTGCTAAGTTCTTCACTCAGCATGTCGAGATACTTGGGAAAAAATATTTTGAGCTGAAAGTTTGGGCTCTTGTCACTCTTGCCTTACTGCGATACCATGACGGCAAAGATGTCTATGTCCAGGAGATGAAAAGGGAAATGCTTGCAATGAACAAACTGACTCCACCTGAAGTCATTGAGATTGCAAGAGATATTATCTGGATCGATGTCTTGATGTCGCCATTTTCAGAAGATCTCGCGGTAGACCTGAATCCCTTTGTTTCACCCCAAAGGACCTACTGAGCTAATTTCGGCATATCCATAAATCCTTGGCAGAAGGACCAGAAATGTAAAGTTGTTTGCATGCCTCTATTTTCAAAATTGTTCCTTTTCAATCTCTGCGGACTGCGGTCCAAGAGCCAAGAAAAGCAGGAAACTCACCAAAAAAAAGGGTCGATAAGATTGGAGCAAAAACTTTAGACGAAAGTAAAAGATAGGCTTAAAAACAAGCATAAAATCACAGAAAATTCAAATACATACAACAGCAGGGATTCGCATGTGGTCACCTACCATACTACTTGACATCCAGTTCATGGGCGACATTCATACACCTCAACCGCCTCATGCGAATGTAGATATCTCTGTTGAGCAGGATCAGTGGATAAAATTGAATGACGAGAAGGTTCTCTGGCTTCCTGTTGGGTCTCGGTCCTCCTGTTTCAAGGTCTATGGTAACACACTTGCCATAGGACATGTATTAGGACGGGTTTCCTTTATCGGGTTTTGTATATAGATGCAATTCATTTCGATTCCATCTCCCTCCTCTATTTTCTTATCTCTTCTCAAAAGAAGCGTCTGGGAGAAGATGGGAATTTATACAGCTCTATACTACACAAGCAATATCATAAAGCTCTAGTTATCTGATAGATTGTCTAGGAACCAAGTGCGTGGCGCCCTCCACGCATGATTTGCAGACCCACTGCGGAATTCCATGGAAGTCGACGGGATTCTCTGAGACGAGTGTATTATTACTTCGCTAGATACCGTATCGTACCAAGTGCATTTTACAACGTCCCTCAACTAAGTGTGGCTAGGGCAATGACGGATCTACACTAAGGTCTTGGCGGTGGGACTAGAAGAGAGAGTGTGAGTGTGTACCGGTCAAGGCGAATTCGAGAACGACTGTATGATTGGTGAATGGAGCAGAGCTTTCATCTTGTATTAAGTTTGGCCGAAGCTAGGTACCGGAGTTGAGTCGCTGCATTTTGAAACAATTATTGCCGCCATATACTGCCAGCCCTGCCCAGTAGGCCGTTATAGATGGCCAGGTATCTTAGAGTAAAGTAAGACTGTAAAGTCATTTTTTCCACTGAATAAATCATTCCAAGGTCTCAACGAAGTCCGGTTCGCTGATTATCTATAGTATCAGTGATCTCTATTAGAGGTGTATCCGCACTATTAGTTACCAAGATTTACTTTTAAATCTTGAATATTATCATCATCTATACGATTCTACCCAATTGTCTTACAGATTACGTAAATTTATTAGCATTTTACAGTACGCTACAACCATCATTTTACAGTGGCCCTCAACTTACTGCGGCTGACCTAATTTATGATCTGCGCCAAGGCCTTGGCAGCGGGTCCAGAAGAGAGTGATTGAGTGTGCATCGGTCAAGGCGATTTCGAGAATGACTGTACACAAAAACGCAAAGAATAACGTTATCCTGTAAATTTACGTTCATACAGATGTGATAATTACGTAGAGAGAAGAGCCGCGGCTACTGTACGTTGTAAAGTTCTTTAGCTCCATCACCTTAAGAGGCTGTATCGGAAATCCGCTAGCGCCGGAAATTCGCACTTTTGCCCCACCTTGAGCGGGGAAGTATCCACCGATGTGAGGCTCTCTAAGAAATAGTTTTGGAATCTGGCGGACGCAGGCCTCCTAATCATGATAACATTTCTTTTCCATCTCAGGAGTTGTGGTGTTGTGTACACCTGCCACGATTTGCCCATTGGATTCAGAAAAGCTGTAGCAAAGGAAGAAGAAGAAATGGAGAAAAAAAAAGCTACCTAGTCCTGAAGAACTGAGTTAGGACCCAGGAGCATAGCCCATAAGGCACATTATCACAACGCCATTGAGGGCCAAGGATAGCCATGAGCAACGAGGGCTCACTGAAGAACGTGAGAACACGAAACCGAGTCAATTGCCTGCCGAAACCACTGATACCGGTGGACCGCACCTAATGAGTGAAGCCTAGCTCAGCGAACTGCGGGTTCTCGGAGTCTGATGTATCTGTACACCTTTTCTTTATAGCACTATTTCACAAGATATAGTAAATCTTGGCAAGTACAAAGAGCATGATATTGACACAACAAAGCACAACAAGGGCTTTGTTGGCGGTGTAATCGCAACGCAGCTCGTCAGTTTCGAGTACGTTGGTTTGAATTTTGTGTAAGGTTCTCAAATTCACTCACAGAGGGGTTTATCGTCATCACGGTAAATGTTGGCTGCAATGATTGACCCGACCTGGTACGACATGTCATATACTGCAGTCGAAACTGCGCGCCGTCCCACGGATTTCGCATTACGTGATATCCAGCCAACAAGAATGGAGTGAGTTTAGGGTAGCCCATTGATGCCGGTCAATAACGTATAGCGAATCCAAGGGTACCCATCGCCCTTTATGGCAATCAAGCTGATAAAGTAAGGTAGCATCCCGATATTGCTCAACGCAGAAATAAGAAATCGTTCGTTGATCCTCTCAGAGAACCAGCCCAAAGGAACTGTCTGTCGTTTTGTTAATTCATCAACCAGCCAGCGAGAACTGCAACAATCTTACATTGATAGCAAATATTATATAGCTGGGAATCGCCAAGACGTTTGACTCAAAAACTGTGTAGCCAAGGTTGCGGAGTGTCAGGGAGAGATAATTAGCCGTCGGTTGGAATGGAATCCAAACGAAGACGCCCAGCTGTCACGTTTATGTCAGTTCGATGTGTAAACTATAAAGGCTACTTAAGATATAGACGGGAAGTAAATCTTTATCAGTGATAGCCTCCCAAAGGCCCTTCATCGTCACCGCTGTGCGATTATTCAAATCACCTTTGGTGGGATCATCTCGAAGCAGTCTATTAACTAGCACTTTCTCATCTTCCTCTGTCCACCAGCTGTTAGACCGATCGGGTCTTCTAAAAGCCAGGGCAGGTTCAGTGATGGAAGGTGGCATGACGAAGAAGCTGATGGCGCCAACAATAAGTCACAGAAGTCCTTCTAGCAAAAACCTAGCAAATTTTAGCTTTGACTCGAACATGAACATTTATCTATCCTCACAGCCATTGCCATCCTGCCCATCCACAGATTCCTCGCATATTGAGAAAGCCTCCGGCAAGCAAACTCCCATAAGTCTGTGTCAATGGAATGACAGAATAAAAGAAACTCAATCGAATGGGAAGCTCGTTGCCTTTGTAAAAATAGGATAAATAAAGGTCTTAAATTATAGCCGTGTTAAAATTGAGGTAGTTGGTATCGCTTGTGGCAATCATACCATCTCAGGGATAAACCCTCCTTGTGTTATCCCTAGCAAAGCCCGCAAAAGCCAAAAGCTCCATCGGCTTTTCATTCCTGCTTGTATCATGCAGAGCCCACCAAAGAGGACAATGATGGCGAGGGTGTAGCGGAAAGGTCCTATCCTTTTGCTGATAAGGCCTCCTGGAAGCTCAGCCGCGAGAAATGAAACCAAAAAAATGATCTGCCCTGTGTTGTAATCATTGGTATTGATGCTCGGGTCATTTAGGAGGTTGTCAGAAACAGCTCTGTTGATGTTTCGTCTAATCAAATCCATAGAAGAAAACATGATCCAAACCCAAACCATAACACGTCGGTCTAGCTAAGAAAAAGGATTTACTAAAAATCAGAGAGAGTACAAATAGTCAAGCCCATTGGGCCAGTAGAAAATAATGGTGAACAATATTGGGCAAAGGCAACATTAACTTTTCAATACACAAAATGTAAGGTCATGTAGATATGGGCAAGCAGGGAACTGTAAAGGAATGGATTGGGAATATTTAATTACTTTCCTTTTCAAAGATACTTCAGTCCTGGCAGATCATTGGAATGATGGATCAAACCTATGCCTGCCTTCATACTTCACGTTTTCATACACAGACTTCCAGTACTGGGCGCGGATTAAGCTTGAAAAAACGTGTGGCTCCACTGAGCCGTAGTGCTGCCCCGTGATAGGAACTGCTTCCTGAAGAGCCTCATTGTCTGCATTGGACCCGGACTCTTCTACTATAGGAGGGTTTCTCTGCCTCGGTTGAATGCATTTAGATAATTTTGCGAAGATGTGAGTGGGAAAGAATTTGAAAAACAAATTTTGCGGCAATTAGACAAACGTGTTGTTAAATAGATCTTAGTACTGTCACAAATTTTGTTTGGCAATTGCCATTGATTGCGAATATTTCATCATGCTACTAGTGTTGTGGTGTTGTGCTCTGCGATCGACCAGTCTGCTTGTGCAGACTGCCAGTGAGAGTTTTCCATCTTTCACTAGATACGTATTTCTAGATATATATAAGGGTAAAGGCGGCTCTCGGGGCATAGAGACTAAATATAAACTACAAATAAAATTAATCACTTTATAACTACTAATTGCTCAGGTTATCCTAAAGATTTTTTACAATTACAACCTTGGAAATAAACATAAATAAGGTCGAAGGAGCGAGACAAGAGAAATTTATATCTCATTGTAACTCTTTTATTAGTTGCAGTACTAGTATGTACCAAACAATCTATCCAAGGTTAGGCCCTAGTGTAGATTCTGAGTCATTCCTACAGTGCCAGGCGCTTAAAGTCTAATAGAAGATTACTTCTTAGAAGCTTTCTATTTTATCAAGTTTGTCCGAGTCTCAACTTAAACCTCCCCCGTTCGGAAAAAGGTCTATATTGCCCTGTAAACAGCTGAGGGATTTTTGATGGGGTTTAGATGCGGCCAGGGATGGTGCCACGGATCAGAGGTTGCGGGAGCACGCACCATGGGCCAATCAGGTGTCCAACAATTGGAATGGACTACGAGTATCGATACCAATTGACAATAGTGAATGAGGATAGGGCGTCGTTATGGGCTTGGACAATGGCACATGCTATGTTCCAGTATGGAAGAACTGAAACTTTACCTTGTTCCGGACTAGCCTGTCGCCTGCTCCCCAACCCCACCCCGTTTGATTAGCGCTCGGTCTTCCGCACAGTGCTGACAGTTGAGAGTGGAGTACGGAGTACTGTAGCTAACTCTCCCCCCCTCCGATTCATGCAAGTCTCTACCCAAGGTGGCCCGAATCTCTCATTTTTTTTACCAATCGCCAGTCCACATCGGCTCATCTTTTCATCGTTGCTGCAACACATCCATCCACCGAAACTGGAACGATTACTTCTTTCGGGCTAATGACTTCAAAGCCCCAATTCGGTATTGCCTGCAAGACATGTCGTCGGAGAGGGCGAAAGTGCGATCGAACCCTGCCCATGTGCATGAGCTGCCATCGGCGCGGCGTAGAATGCGAGGGTTACGCTCTACGTTGGGTCGGCCTGGCAGCCAGGGGTAGCATGGCCGGTCGGACATACCAGTCCGCTACTGATGACCCCACCCCGCGAAAGGAGCAGGCCTCAGTCAGCTTACTTTCGAAAAATGACGACTCCAACGTCAGACGTGCGCTGCCACAGCGGCTGAACGCCGCCAGGGTCCTGTCGTACGCCGATCAGTACCACCACTCAGCCAATTCCACCCCAAGCGATGATGGGACCAATTTCCACATTGTTGCCTTACCGTGCCGACGACCTACATGGACAATGACCACCGCCTTACTTCCTCCCGATAGTGTGCCGGTCTTGGTCAAATATTGTAGGGAGAATTCTTCATAGAGAAATTTGGCTATCACTCATGATTTGTAGACGCGCGCGAAATAAGCACAGCCTTCTATCTGGGCAATGGCCCTGCGCAAACTCCCTACACGCAGCATATACTACCAATGACCAAGAATGTCCTCTGCATTCGGTATGCCGTGGCGGCGACGGCGTCTTGCCATATTGGCAACAGACTTGAAGACAGCAAGTTGAGAATGCAGAGTCTCCACTTGCGGCTGGAGGCCACAAAGGCGCTCAGACAGCAACTGAGAAACGAAATCGAGGAAACGGACGTTTCTAGTATTGCTTGTATGGTGTTGCTTGCCCAGCTCGATGTACGTGCTCAGATATCTCTTCAAGGCTACTCTGACAGATATGACAGCTCTGCTCTGGGGACTGCCTGGAATTCGGAACACACTTGAATGCAGCAAGTGATATTGTGAAGCGGCATGGTTCGGATGGAACTGACCGAGGCTTTTTCGAACAACGTCTTGCATGGTAACGTCTTTTCTCCGTAGCTGCACTCTATGAAAGGCTTACATTTTGTTAGGCTAGATATCATGGGTGCGACGACATCGTCTCGAATGCCGCACTTGAAGCCTGAGCATATCAAAGCCGCCTTGAACAAGTTCAAAACCCCATCCGGTCGCAAATGGGGATTCGACGTTTTTGACTGCCCTATTGATCTATTCGAGTACATTGCAGACATAACAGTATTGCATAAGCTGCATATCTCTTCACGAATACCATCCGATGAAACCTTGAGAAAAGCCATCGTCCTTGGAAATGCTGCTAAGACGTGGAATGGATCTGATATCCTGTCTGACCAACGAGGAGACATGATCGAGATCTGGAGACGTGGGGTCTTACTCTATCTCGTTCGCTTATTCCAGCTATCGGAGGAAACATTCGATACTTCATATTTACTAGAAGATGTCTTTCGGCGGGCGGAAAGACTATCCTCAGAGAAGAATCGGAAGTTCTCAACGTCATGGCCGTTGTTTCAAGCAGGTTTATGTCTAAATCAGGGATCTCATGAACGGAAACAACAGTTGCGAGAAGAATTCGCAAGCCATTTTGCGACACTTGGATGTTGCAATCCAAAGCTTGCAATAAATGTATTAGAACAGGTTTGGCAGACCGGTGATACGCAGATTCTTGATTCGCAGACGTTACTGTTTTAGTCACAGATGATCAAAATATGACATGTCGACAAATACTCCGACTTAGACAAGGTCCGGATCATAAAATATCAATTTGTGAAAGAAGATAATGATGGATATGGCTTTATATCCCGCGTTTGGTCACACTCTAAACCCCATGAGAAGGTTTTGCTTGAAGCTCAAGAACTTGAGAATGGAAGATTAGCAGACGCGGATTGCCTGTCCCTTCAACCTGGATAGAAGCGTTTATAGACATCATCGATTTCCTGAAGAATCCCCTCCTTAGTCGGCTGTGTTGCCCAGGAGACTGTGACCGCGTTTCGGGATAACATTGCGATTTCCTTGTCGGTAAATCCAAAGTGTTTTGTGAGTAACAAATTGTGCAGAATCCAAGCGTCGTCCATAAAAGCCGGGTCGTCACTGTTGACGGTGATTCTGATCCCTGCGTCGAAAAGAAGGCGCATCTTCGGTCCGAGCTCGGCGTAGGTCTGATATCGCATATATGCCCATGGGCAGATGGTCATGCCTATGTCTCGCTTCAGGATCAGATCCACCAGCTCAGGTTTATCCGCTGCGTTGAGGCCATGATCGATTCTATCAGCCCCATTTCCGCCAATCGCGGAAGCGACTTGTCGGATGTGCTCGTGGGTATTGTCCTGCCCCACATCGCAATGCATCGTGATCCGGAAGCCATCCCGTCGAGCCAGTGAGAACACCTCCTGAAACAGTAAAGGAGGTCGATGGTATTCGTTTGAATCAAGTCCAATGCCGGTGATCATGTTGCGATATGGCAGCGCTGCCTTGTAATGATCCATTGCGTCCTCGGTGGGCAGATCGCGTAGTAAACACATGATCCATGAAGAACGGACCTAATTATTTCGTCATGTTTTGAATCTTCTTTCAGTCTATGAGAGTGCATTACTTACGTTGAGCTCACTCTTGGCTTTTGTCTGAGCCTCCTGGAAGCCTCCCATCATAACATCCCAGGCGATACCTCGGCTTGTATGCCCCTGGGGGTCAAAGAAGACCTCGCAATACCGAACATTCATGGTTGCAACATGCTCGAAGTAGTTCATTGCCAGGTCGAAGTAGTCCTGTTTGGTTTTTAACGTGTCAAAAGCTCCGTAGTATGACTCGAAAAAGAATTCACGCTCCTCATCTTCAGTCTTGGGTTCAGCGCTGTTCATGGCATATCTCAGCTCCTCCATACTGTGTATTTCTGGACTCTTGCCAAATTTGACCTTGAGGCCGTTTCTCTGCGCCAGCTTCCATCTCAGCTCTGGAGTCAGAGTCCCTTCTATATGCACATGCAGCTCGACTTTGGGAATGTCGCGCACAAACTCGTCATTGGCAGCCAGAAAGTCTTCTCTGAGCTTCCTACGGAGGTTCCTGGGAAGCGCGTCGTGGATACCCATAGTAAATTTATTGATCGGAGTTGGGATTTCTTAGTGGTCGTGCTGGTCTTGAACGGTTTTAAATTGTAAACTGTGGTGGGAATTCTAGATGTGCGAGGGACTCCGTTTAAATAGTTCACATGAATGTGTCCATAATTCCCCTTGGGGTGGGAACTATGAGACGTATTATTAGCGGCCTGGAGTAGTCAAGGGCTATGTACACTTATTTCCTTTTGACGATGCCTAATGTAGTCAAAATCTCAGTTTCGATGGAAATCACCTGGATTTGGCGTCGCCTTTCCGAGGGGAGAATAAGTGTTCCCTGCCGTTATTCCTAAACGGGTCAAAATTTCAGTTCTCCACAGAGTGTGGGGTCATCTGAGGCAACGTGCCTCAATGTTGCTTTGACCCCTCGTATTTCTTTTAGTGAATTTTTCAACCGATTTACGCCCCTCGTTCTTTCTATTAACAATCGAAAATGGACCCTACCCGGTCATTCTTTTCATACAGACCATCATGGAACTCTTTAATTCAGATCGAGCTATCAGAGTGGTATTAGTCGGCGATACGTATGTGGTGGTGGTGTTATTTAACGTCCGGCGGGTAGGAGTACTAGACATCGCCAGAACCCATGTCAACCATGACCCAACCCAACCCAACCCAGCCCAAAATGGGTTTTGGGTCCAATTCTATAACCCATTGATGGGTTTTGGGTCGGCATGTTCAACCCAAAATGGGTTATGGCGATGTCTAAGGAGTACTAACCCCCATCTGAGGCCTCCCCCCGGGGGCATACAGACGTGCTAAACTAAGGCTACTCTTAACTAAATACAGTTAAAGCACTTCTTAGAAAGCAAGTGCCACTTAAGCTAAATATATAGCCCTATTGGCTAGTTAGCAAAAGCATTATACTCTAACCTATAAGTAATTTTCGCTATACAAATTATATATAGAGAAAGCTAGTTATTAATTCTAATATAGTAAAAGAGTATTCCTTAAAAATAACAGATACAGAATTATGATACAGATAAAGTAGAGATATATAATAAGAGAGAGTAAATATAAGAAGATTTAATAAAGAGAGAGAAATTTCTTCTAAAGTACTACTCAGTAGTCTAGAGCTAGTAGATAGTAGCCTTAGAGAAATAAAGGGAAGGAATATCTATAAGATACTATCTAGAAGCTAGAGCTAGTAGATAATAGCCTTAGAGGGATATATAGAGGGAATATCTGTAGAGTAGAGAGAGAGAGTACAGAAGAGAAAATTCTTTAGATAAGTAGTATAGTAAGATAAGTTGGCAGCTATGTAACGACGGCCCGGATGCAGAAATATCGTAAGGGGGCTAGGCTGAGAGGAAGGGTAACCGTTGTGAGGATGCTCAGATGCTCACAGAGATCAACGTACGGCGTAGCATACGAAGCAAAGGAAACAGTAGCTGTTCAACGAAAGTAATAGCTTGAGGAGAAGAAGAAGGAGGAAGCTGAGATAGAACTAAGTACATGTAGGCGTGGATGCCTAAGTGGATGCCATCTACGTCAGGCATCCGCGAATGGTAACAACTCCAGTTCGTTACAACCGTAGTACTCTATCGGGTACAGATTTTATAATAGAAATCTGTAATGTAGAGAAGCTCAGCAAAATCGGGTGGTGACAGACCTTTGAGGTATCTAAGGGCCTCCTCTTGTCCCCTGGGGGAGGCGATGTACATGCTGGCAAGGTAAATATTCTTTTGCGAATGATTATTATCGAATTGTTGACAATCCCAAAAAATAGCCGGGTATCTCGAATCATTACTGGCTCATATTTGGCAGTTTACAACCCGACTCTAAATTATGAATGCACTATCCATGCTCGTGAACCCCCCCCCCACACATCGGCAAGGTAGATTACAAATTCACGAGAGTCAAGTCATGGAGGGAAGGCCATTTTGCGATGCCTTATATACAGATAAATTTCTATTTCTCGTTCTTCCCAGTTCTCCAGCTTCACAAGGGAACGCATCTCGACTACAAGTTGTACCATTGGTCTTTTATGTACATATTGCAGATGAAGAAAGAAACTTTGAGCCATATGCCCATGCCTTTATGGATATCTATGGCTCATTACTACCATAGAGGAGAGGATCATGCTCTGAGGGTCCTGGCTTCCTCTCTGCCGGTTGTTCCCGATACAACACAAAGTGCTGGAAGATAAAGATGAGATCAAATACGAGGGTTATATTTCCCAGTGAAAGTTTGGCGACATTTCCAGTGGTTCCCGACCAGTCCGCCTGCAAGGAAGAGTCCAGTACCAGCTGTATCAACGACAGCAAAGCGCCTGTCAGATCGAGCAGGACTGCGAAAATGGAAAACCCTGCCGTGGACTGGCGTAAATAGTTCATTACGGCCTGAGGGGTGTACTTGACGGCTGTTAGGAAAACTTTGATCATGCCAACCACGTATACCTTTTGTAGCATGAGGGTCAGCGCACATCGAACTAATTAGTGATTTCATTGGCGGGATGCCTGCTTACCACGTCAATCCATTTCCACGACGCCGAAACCCAAACGTACAGGATGGCCAAGGCCACCACCCCTATACAGCCCCCAATTATCACGAGAGCCAATGTACTCACTCGTTTTATTTTCGATCGAAACTTCCAGAAGCTCGCACAGAGGAAGTGGCTGCCAATCAAACAACATACCAGGGCACCATGTAGGGCGTAGAGGAAATCGTTCCATTGGACGGTCGGTTTGGCGCCCTCGGGATGCCTTTGACCATACTGGGCCCGCACAACCGGCGAAAAGAGAAAGCACGCATTGAAGATAGTGTATGCGGTCAAACCGAGGATGTTCAGTACCGCAAAGTCGACAGAGAACCCGTCCGTTGACCGGCGGCGATGATTGTGCAGGACTTGCGGATAGAAGGATAGCGACCACAGGACGAAATAAGTCCAGCCCAGAGTTTGGGATATTGCATGTGTCCATGTGTCATTCAACATTGCTGACGAAGTGGTGAAAATCAAAGGTAGCGGAATAATAGAACTGCGATAAGAAGTGCTGAATTGTTTGACCGTCGGGAAGATGTAAGTGAAGGAAAGATTAGCTACAAATTAGTCGGGTGCGGGCTAACTAATAACCTTAGCAATTGGATGTCTCAATACAAACGCCGCAAGTTGGAAGAGAAGGGGAATCACGCGCATTGCTACCTTCGGAATAGACCCGGAGTTCGGAATAAGTGGAGCTCAGTATACCCCAGCCCCCACGTTGCGGATGTTCGCTTGTTAGCGCTAGACGAGGGGCCTGAACTCGTCATCTAGAATATCCTTGCCTGAGGTTGATCTGCACAGTCATGATTTCTAGATCGCTCTTGCGGCTGATCTGCCTGAGAAGCCACTTATCATGGTACTCCCTAGACGACACTTCCCCGTACGGGCCATTGCAATTGAAGTTGTATAGCTTGAATTAACAAGCTGTCGATCCACCGACCACAGATTCTCATCTTTCAATTATTCATCATGTTGGGAAAACCTGGATCTCAGCGGTTTGAAACTCTTCAACTCCATGCTGGGCCTGTCTGATGCAGCAACCCTTGGGTGAAACCAAATTCCGACATGGTACGCCATAGGGCCTTTCCCGATCCATTGAATAGCTGCGCAGTGCCGATTTACACCACCGCTGCGTTTGCTTCCAATAATGCCGAGCATGGAGCCTTGGAGTGCGTCTCTTGAATATCAGCGAGTTTGGCTCATGTACAGCCGCACAACCAATGTAAGGACAAGTAATGTCGGCCTCGACGATGAAATGCATGGAATGCAGCTGGCTGACAAATCTTCTCGCATTTATCTTAGCCTACAGTGAGTGTGTTCCAAAACCGTATGACAGCACTGGAAGGTGGAGTGGCCGCTTGTGTTGTTGCATCGGAAACCGCCGCTGTCTCGATGACCTGATGGCATTGGCTTGCGTCGGAGACAACTTTGTCGCCACATCAACGGTCCACGGGAGAACGTACCACCAATTCAGGGTTCTCGCGCCGCAATTGGGGATTGAATGTCATTTTGTTACTTCAATAATCCAGAAGACTTCCGGAATTTGATTGACGAAAAGACCAAGTTCCTTTTCGTGGAGAGCATTTGCAATCCGAAGTACACCGTCCCAGATTTTGAAGCCATAGCTGAGATTGCTCATGCCAATGGAATTACATGGATTATCCATACCTGGCCCTGGTGTGTCTTTATATTTTCCAAATGCTAATAGAAATCCCAGTCTGACAATACGTTCGGTTGTGCTGGCTATTGCTCTCGACCTATCGACTACGGAGTCGACATTGTCCTGCACTCCGCCACGAGATGGATCGGAGGCCATGGAACAACCCTGGGAGGCGTCATTGTCGACGGTAGTACGTTTAACCTGGGCTCTCATGCTGACAAGTTCCCTCAATTTCACGCCGACGGCGCTGAAGATGGCGGTGGCGAGGTCAGTTTGTGGAAAATGTTTGGCTCGCGCGCCTTCGCCATGCGCTGCCAATTGGAGGTCCTCCGACACATCGGCAGTACTATGTGTCCTCAAGCGGCCCAGTAGCTTAATATTGGGCTTGAATCTCTGGCTGTTAGATGCGACCGTTATGCAAGCAACACCGAGGCATTGGCGGCGTGGATCGTGCAACAGCTACAAGTCGCTTGGGTTCGGTGTCTAGTGAACGAAGACCACCCGTGTCATCAGCATGCTAAAAATACCCACAGCGGGAATTTAGGGCCTTGGAACATATCAAGCTTATCCAGTGGCCACGGAGTGAGAATGAGAGCTACAGACCCCTCCCTCTCAGCCTTGTGGAACAAGTTCATCCGTAAAGTCTCCGTGCGTAGCGCTGTCGCAATCAGCGCCATGGAATACCAAGAGCCGCACTCTTGGCAGTTGACGGGGTTTCTACTTTTCAAATAACTGCATTTCAAGCCCAGAACTGCGGTAGGATTATTCCAAGGCTCTTGGCGTGGCGATTAAATACCCAAAGCGCAATACTAAGGACGCAGGATCACAACTTTGCCTTGGGCCTCTTGGCATGGGCCAGAATGGATGGCGAAACAAGATAGGATGGTCCGAAGGCTGCTTGGCACTGGTCCTGAATTATTCAAAAGCGGCAGCTCTCTTCGGAAATGGTAAATTGGGTTATTGGAAGCTCTTCCTCCACCGTGACTTGTTTAGTCCGAATCACCCATTCAACCTTGCATGAAAGAAGACTCCCAGGAGCTGTTCGAAATCCACTCTCGCCAACAGCAGCATGGTTTTGGCCCATTATACGAAGAGGTTGATTCTTTGGATCCGCCCATATGCAAAGAAAATTGTCGGCTTGATTGCCCTTCCTCCACAAAAGTCCGAAGATGGCCGTGACCAGTGGCCCTCCCGGGCAGCATTCCTTCTTGCTGCGATGGGAGGTTGTGCAGGCCAGGGCAACTTACTAAGATACCCTTCGGTCGTTTACAACAATTATGGCCTGCAGTGGTTTATCCCGTATCTACTCGCGGTGTTTGTTGTCGCCATTCCTGCTCTAATCCTCGAAATTTCAATTGGGCAGGCATATCGTGGGGGCACGGTAATCGCATTTAACAATATAAACCACCGGCTGAAGGGTGTCGGCCTTGGTCCGATTTTGGTCAGTTTCATCGTCGTACAGTACTTCACGGTGAATCTTGCCTGGATCATGAATTATTTCCGCAACTCATTTCGCAGTCCTCTTCCATGGGAAGGCAGAATTGAAGAATTCTACATGGGTGATGTGGTTTCAAATGTTGACCCCGTTCTGGGAAGCTTAACGGCAGGGAATAGGGCAGTTTCAAACTATACTGTCTATCCAGGTGTGTCGCTCATCGGGGAGACTGTCGGCTGGAGCGCCTTCATATGGTTTTTGATCTGGGTTTCCATTTTTCGCGGAGTTGGCCTAACGGGCCGAGTTGTCTACTGGACGATGGGCCTGCCAATCGTCACAACTATCATCATTGTCGCTCGCTCCTGCTCACTAGATAATGCGCGCGAAGGAATTCGGCTTCTCTGGGCAACATGGAGAAGCGACCAATTGGCGTCGGGGACTGTCTGGCAAACTGCTGTTGGGCAGGTGTTTTTTTCCACGGGCATCGGTTTTGGTTATTTCACGTCCTATGCTTCGTACAACTCTAAGCACTCTAACGCTGTCATGGATGCCATCTTGATCTGTGGAAGCAATGTTCTCTTCGAAAATTTCGCTGCTTTTGCAGTGTTTGGGGTCGTGGGCTATCTTCAGCGGTGGCCTGAGGATGGGGAAAGACTCGGCGCGTTTGTCGTGGGTTTTTTGACGCTACCAGAGGCTGTTCTCCACATGCCTGGCTCTAACTGGTGGGCTATTCTTCTATTTTTCACTCTGGTGGTACTTGGTTTTAGCTCGGCATTCGTGATGCTAGATGCTGCAGCTACACTGGCCGTCGACGCGGGAATGAAACATTCGCGACCGACGATTGTGACTGTACTCACTGTGGTTTCATTTCTTATGTGCTTACCGTATTGTACCGAATTTGGATTCTATCTACTAGATGGGATTGATCGATGGATCAACAATGTTGCTTTGATATTTGTTGTCTGGTCAGAGCTTGTCGGTGCAACTACAGCTTACCGCTGGCGCGATGTTGTTGATCAAACAGGGCTCATAGCCTTTGTTACCTACAACACTGGATATTTTGGTGCCCAGATCATCGGTGTCGCTGTTGCACACGGCATCTCAAATCCATCAGCTGGAGCTGGTGCGGGATTTGGATTCTATATTGTTTGTTCTATTCTTTCGGTTCTCGTATCCACGACGCCGAGCATCAAAGCTCCCGGTTTCTGGGGTCGAAACTCTATAATCAGTCGACTCTGGTATTTGGCCTTATATTCGGTATGCCCCACTGCTCACCACTTCTATCTCAGGTGAGCTAACGCATGCAGGGAAATCAATTGAGGCGTGATCTAAATGACGTGGTTGGCGGAAATGGCAACTGGAATATCCCTCGTTTCTGGCCCCCTCTACTGCGATATGCCAGTGCGCCTATTTTGGCCATTGTCTTCAGCTTCGCATATCCAGAATTCTACACTCTTCGATATGATCCGATGATGATTGCTGGGTTTATTTTAGCACACCTGTGTCTACTTTTAATTCTGCTCGGTGTTATTTTACCCCGGTATTACAACATCTTTGTTCCCCGTCACCGAAGAGCCGAGGGCACCGAAGAAACCATCCCGCAGCAGGCCAAACAATTAGGCGATCCGCTCGATCTCGATACGCTTGGATTGGACAACGCAATATCAGCAAACCATACACTGATCCAAAGCCCCGATATGTTTAAGAGTTAGGGATTCCGACTGCGGCTCGCAAGCCCTAGAAAATGCAGCTAGCCTTACGGGAAACCTTGACACAGATTTAGTCTCAAATAATTAGTCGGAGATGGATGTTCTGAACCCAAATCTCTGTATTTTAGTATCAAATAAGCCCTTTATAAAAAGGTAAGTTCAAAAGGTTATCATCATGGGATGCAAAGCTGCGAGACGAAACCTTTCCGGAGTAAGGTTCTCCCATTGCATGCAGCTCTCCATTTTTGATATTCCCACCCCTCCAATTTCCTCATTGTCGATCACCTGCAGCTTCCCTTCTCCTCTTCCCCTTACATCTTCTCTTCCCCTCCTTGCCCTGTACTTTGTTGCCAGCCACATTTCGGCTGGTTTGAAATTTCTTTTCAACTGCCCTACTTTAGAGATAATTATATGGTATTCGTCATTATGTGATTTCATTTCCGAATTTCGTATGATCCAAAGATTGAGAAAAGCCAGAAACGTGATTTTTTGTAATTTGCAAGTGTCATCCCCTTTGTGCCTGCTTTATTCCCTGGCGTTGAGCTCAGCCACACCCTTTTGGGATATCATCGGGGAACCTCTCTTTTTTCAAATGCCGCGTTTGTCTCGCCACGCAAAGCCACATGCATAAGTACCAGAGCTACGTAGCTGCCAAGATCGGATACCAACTTGCCAACCTTTTGGTGCGACAGTCGAGCCCCGGAGATCGCGGCAAGGACAGCGGAGTAATGAAACAATTGGGAATGATGACCACCCATTCAAACCCGTGCCAATTGACCCAATAATTGAAGCAGGATCGCAGCGAAGTTAGGTTTCTTAAATTTCGGTCCGACGGCGATCGCGGGAACCGGACGGTCATCATCGGGTAGATTATCTCCGGTATCTCCAAAAGTCGATGACCGACTGGCTTGGCAATGGCTCTTGGCGTGAATCGGTTTACCCGTTTTCGTCCATTCAGTCCACTCAGCAATTTGTAAGGGCTAGGCGAGCGGATTTCATGACGTGAGTGACTGCAATGGAGCGAACTGTCAGGGATGGGGTGGGAGAAAGTTGAGGGGTACCGCTGCGCTACAAATGACAGCGGTCGCCCATGCACGTCCCTGGAAATTGTCTTTCACCCCGGAATGGCAGCTATAGCTTCATCCCAGTATAGTATGAGACGCCCATCTATACGCCAACTCGACAGCCGATCACTCCAATTCTCCGAGAATGGTACATTTCAAATCTCCATCTTCGAGGACTTGCACTTTGCTGAAAGTAAGTATTGAATCGTTCCTGAGCATTCGTCGAGAGTATGCTAAAGTCGATCCAGATGCTACTGACGATGCCATGACAAAGCAAGTCATGCGATCCATTCTCTCCGATGAGGAAGCTCAACTAGTAGTTCTTAATGGGGACCTTATATCGGGGGATGCCATTCAAGGCTCGGGCTCCAGTGATTACATTCATGAAGTCGTATCACCTTTGGTCGAAATAAACCAGGCTTGGGCTTCAACCTACGGGAATCACGACTGCCAAGACAACTTGGATCCATCAAAGGACATTTTCGATCAAGAAAAACAATATCCAACAAGTTTGACAAGAAGCGATATTTCGGGAACCCAGGCTGGAATCACAAATTATTACCTCATGGTTTACCCCCCACGATGACCTTAGTGGCCCTCCTGCACTTCTTCTGTGGTTCTTCGATTCTCGTGGTGGGCGTAACGCAACCAATCGGGATTCCAGCATGACACCCGGCGTGCGAGAAGACTGGGTTGATGAATCAGTAAGACTATTCTTCTCAATGAAATTTACACTGGAAGACTAATATATTCCAAGGTGGTGGAATGGTTTGTTCAGAAAAACGCCAATCTAACATCCGAATTTGGTTGTCCAATTCCATCCCTTGCATTCTACCACATCCCCGCTCATGCGATGTTCGAATACCAGGCCAAGGGTGTCAGTAGGAAACGGACACCTGGGATCAATGGAGAGACGGTTGTATCGCAAGGTTCTGGCGATACCGAATATACCGGCCAAGACTCCAGTTTCATGAACGCTCTTCTTAATACCACTGGCTTGCTGGCAACCTTTAGTGGACATGACCACGAGAACGATTGGTAAATATTGCTTTAGACGTTCATTAAAATTCCGCATTTCACTAATTTTTCAAGGTGCTTTAAATGGGACAATAACACTATCGATCAGAATATCACCGGCACGGGCTTGAACATGTGCTATGGCCGACATACAGGCTATGGGGGGTACAGTAATGTGGCTCGTGGTGCACGACAAATACTCATAAATCGGACTGATTTGGAAAGCCAGGTTCGAACTTGGATTCGGTTAGAAGATGGTTCCATCTCAGCCCCGGTAACATTAAATGCCACCTATGGTAAAGACAAATATGGCATTACGTTCTCGGACAAACGAATCCAGTTTTCCGGGGCCTCTTCTCCTTATGAAGCTCCATATCTGTTTTTCTACATTTGGGCCTCTTTTTGGGTGTTGACTTTGTGGCGACGGTAGATTTATCAAGGGTGCTAGATTGGAGACACATAGAGACCCGTTCTGTACGGTCGGATTCGATGCGGGGATTAACCCAAGCTTATTATTTTCTTCCCTCGGTCATAGAATTTTCTCTGCGTAAGTGGAAATGGTAAACTTAGGGGTATCATTCATTTGCTATGAAGGGGACTCGGGGGCGACTTGTTCCAATGTGCAAAATTCCGGACAATTTACTCGTCATCAATACCCCCAAAGATACTAATTTGCCACAAGCAGTACCATTGCCATGGCAGCTAGTAGCTTATAGTCATTGACCGGTCTCCTTGAGGTTTCCGGATTATCTACCCGTACCGGACATTTTTGGCGGATTTTCCAAACCAGTCATCCATATCCAACGATTCCTCAGGCCGAGCGAAGTTTATAATTGTGCTCTTGGTGGAAGTGTAATCATGGTAAGCATCGACTCCATTTTCACTGCCAACTCCACTGGCTGACTTTGCACCTCCCCACGGGCTACTGGGGTCATTTCGATGATGAGTATTGACCCAGACGATTCCGGCCTCGATCATTTCGGATATTCGAAAAGCTCGCGAAAGGTCTTTGGTCCAGATACCTGCCCCGAGGCCAAAGTCTGTATCGTTCGCTAAATAAACGGCCTGCTCTTCCGTGTCAAAGCCAAGCACAACAATAACAGGACCGAATGCTTCACGGCGCCAAATAGATGCTGTAGTTAAATCCTTTCTTCCTGGCACTAGGACAGTGGGTTCGAAGAAATATCCCTTCGAAAGATTGGATCCATCTAGCGAGCTTCTTCCGACTAGACGTTTGCCCCCAGCGAGAGGGATCGCAGCTCCATTCTCAACAGCATCATCAACCAATTCTTGTACTTTGATCATTTGTTTTTCAGATATAAGAGGGCCCATCACTGAGTCGATATTTGTAGGAGACCCTATTTGAGCAGTAATGCTCTCGACCTTTGTCTTCAATTTCTGTAACACTTGGTCCAGAATTCTGTTATCAACAAGGATTCTTGTGCTTGCCACACATGTTTGTCCGCTAGCAATATAGCTTCCAAATGCAACTCCATTGACTGCGACATCGATATCTGCGTCATGGAAGAGTAAAAGCGGTGCCTTGCCTCCCAGCTCGGCTGTATATCGACACAGATTGCCTCCCACCAGTGCTCCGATCGCTTTCCCCGCATCGGTGCTTCCAGTCACATCCACCTTACGCACCAATGGGTGCGAAACCAGGAATCTCCCGGTTTTTGATCCAAACCCAGGCAGAACTGTGAAAACTCCATCTGGAATCCCTGCCCGTTGAAGGATTCTGCCTAAAAGGAGAGTAGTCAGGGGAGTGAGCTCACTCGGCTTGGTTATTACACTATTCCCAGCTGCTAGAGCAGGTGCTAGTTTCTTCACTGCAATCAGTAGAGGGTGATTGAATGAGGTGATCTGCACCACAACACCCAGGGGTAGTCTTTCAGTGAAGTTGTGAAGCTTGCCAGTAGTTGGAAGAACGGAACGCTCTTCCACCCGTAGTAACGAGGCATAGTATTGAAACCATCGCACAAGCGACGGAACCTGGGCTTTCATCTCACGTACTACGCGACCGGTTTGTTTCACCTCAAAATCGATCAATTCTGGCAATGCTTCTTCAAGACAGCCAGCACAATTTTCAAGTACTTCCGCTCGTTTGTGACGAGATGCCCGTGACCATATGCCAGATTTGTATGCCGAGTGCGCAATCTGGACCGCATTATCGACATCTTCCTCGGATGCTGCATGACATCTGCCAATTGTGAGAGAAAGCTCTTTTGGAGAGGCACGAGGGAAAGGGATTCTAACTTCGCAAAGATCTCTCCGGTAGCAGGATTCTCGATAGGGATTCTTGATCAAGGTTAGAGCTCTGTTGCACTTTTGAAACACTAGAAGACATACAGGTCCTCTTTCCCGGGTTGGCATTTACCAGCGACCCACAGGTAATAAACAGCCGACATTTTGATGTTCCTTTTGAGTCTTGTAGTAAGCCTGAAAGTCTTGAATCTTCAAGTCGACGGGATTACAGATGCTTCTGATATATTGGAGGTTGAATCAAAATAGTTCCAGTAATTTCATGATCAAAAGGTTCAGTCGGGCCTAGGAATCATGTGGTCGATCCTAAATAAGTCCACCTCGCCCTGCGGCCTTCGTGGGTAGCGGTAAAGAAAAACCCAGAGTATGGTCAAGGGCGGTTTCCGGTCCAATCCGGTAGGAGTGGGGCCACCCCTCAGGCGGTTATCAAGCCAGTGGGATCGGTCTAATCTATGAATTAGTCATTCCTGTCTACTTGACTAACAATTTTGAATCCGAAAACATGATAGTAAATGGTTATCGTACTGAACCCCTCCTCGCCATCATGGCTGGTGGCTTGATGGACCCGATAAGCTACACCGTGGCTGACCTGTCTTACCCAGAATGCTTGGCTGAGAGCCCAAGCCAGACACGAAACCGGCTAGAGCGTATCGATCTATCTTTCAATGTGTAATACGGTACTGATACGATTTACGCTTGGCAGTTTGGTCTGAGAAACCCCCGCCTCTTCTGCGGGAGCAGGCGATGCAACCCCGCTGGGCGGGGGCGACCGCTGGAACACTGCGACAACAGCCCTGTGTGAGACAGGGTAGCTATATATTTCGTCTCTCATAATTCCAGAGTTATTCCACTTATACATGCTCTCATTAGCTAGCAAAGCGTCCTCCCATCGAGATCTAATATCGCTTTCTAGCCGCCAAGCAAGTGTTCAGGGCCAAAGAAAATATGGCGGAAATCGAGTATCTTAAAGGGCTAAAGGCCGTTCGCGAAAGAGCTCATCTTGTTTTGGAAGCTGCCACCCAGGACAATCTGACACACTTCTCATATTATCCGGACTTGATGCCTGGCGTGGCAGATTTTGTGGCGGGTATCATCAACGTGCGTGCTGAGTTGGGTAATTGCGCCTGGCGTGATCTGACCAAGAATATCTAGAGAGACTTTGGTCCCAATCGATTCCAAGAGATTCCTCCCCATGGCCGATGGCAGCACTTCGACATTGGAGGCGTTCCGCGAGTGGACAAACTCATCAAGGGATGGCAATCAGCTGGTCATGACGAGACAGAAATCACTCGACGCCTTATCGATCTATTCTTTGTTGCTGTGCTTCTCGATGCCGGGGCCGGTGATTTCTGGAAATTCACTGAGCCTGACACCGGGAATGAATATGGAAGGAGTGAGGGCATCGCAGTCGCAGCTTTATATATGTTCAAGGCTGGTACATTCTCGGATGGTGGTGCCGGTGAGGGAGGCGGGAACAAGAACGAAGCAGTCGACGGCAAGTGAGAAGTCTTCTACTTAGACATTGAAAAGGCTGACAAGTTTAGCATAGGCCACGGTCTCGTTTCACTTGATATTGCAGAGTTCAGAAAGCACTTTCAAATAACCGCTAACAATGAGATAATCAGCGACATTTCTCGTGTCAGTCTTCTGCAAAGCGTCGGACATTCACTGTTGAATCTGCCTGAGATCTTCGGGGATAAGGGCGACCTGGAAATATCGTGGGTAGGCTTTCACCTCCTCGACAGTAGTAGCTCTGTATATTCATCATTTGACTTAGATTACTTGTTGGCAAATCGAAAGGATGGAGGAAATCTCAACTACGAAGTTTTGTGGTCGGTGCTACAAAAGACCCTTCTCCCTGCCTGGCCCAAAAACCGAACCCATGTTTCAGGCGTGCCTATCGGAGATGCATGGCCTCTTCAAACGCTAAAGAGACTTAATTCTGATCAGCAAACTCAAGATGGCGCCTTGAATATCCAGCCTTTCCACAAACTGACACAATGGCTTGCCTATTCTCTATCGGTTCCTTTCATACGGGTTTTGGGATTAGGCTGGGACAACATTGATCAGGGAACCGGACTTCCGGAATACCGTAATGGTGGTTTGTTTGTCGACCTAGGTGTATTGAAGCTGAAGGGGAATGTCTTGAAGGAAGGGCAGAGAAATTCTGGGCAGGAAACCCCGAGCTTCGATGCGACCAGTGACGTGATTGTGGAGTGGCGTTCGATGACTGTTGCTTTGCTCGACACTCTTCACAAACTTATCGCCGATCGTTTTGCACTACAAGGTGTTCGAATTAGCATGGCACAAATGCTTGAAGCTGGAACTTGGAAGGGGGGCAGAGAGCTGGCAGCAAAGTATCGCCCTGAAACTAAATCAAGTCCAATTGTGATCCAGGGCGATGGGACTTTATTCTAGGACACCGACCTAGTATCTATCAAAAAGATCTTCTTTGTCGCGTACTTAGTGTCATTGCATGGAATTCTTTTCGTCGGGTGCGCCCACGCTGGTTGTTAATTTTCTTCCAACGGCATAAATCCGTCCGATTTTCTTGGTTCTGGGACATTCGACCGTATCTAGAAATATTACTACACAATGAAAGCAAGATTATCAAGATTATCGTAAAGAGTTCCGGTACTTTTGTAACCAAGTTGTCAGCGGGTGTCCCAGGAGATCGACATGCTTTGATCAATACTCCGGTCACATCATCCTTGGCTAGAAACTGGGTCCGGTCAAGAATACATTATTTTGCCTTAGTAGTACTAATAGTAACTAGTACCTTCCAACATGGAAGGTTTGAAGCGGTATCGTATTGTGGATTAACCACCAGGGTTTAGAGAATCTTGAACCGGAATTACAAAAAGATATATGGGTAGTCAAATCACTGTATCTCGGATTTAAAGCTACGTCTTGTTCTTGAAACGCAGACGATCTTTCAGTCATTACAATCCGCTTAAGTGGCTCCTTGTCTTGATTGACTTGATCATTTTCCGGAATAATGTCCATCTGTCAACATTGAGGTAACTCAAATCTCCAGCCCATATCGTGGATCGGGGTTTCATACCCTAAACCCAGATGTCGAGCAAAATAATTTTAATTAAGTCGATGCACAAGCGGCCCCAGAATCGCCTAAAACTGGAGGGCTTTGGGACAAAAAATCATCAAATGTCAGGATTTGACAACTTAGAATATATTCCTGCTACATTAATTCTCTCCGATGTGATGAGTTGACAGATATTCAGCTATTTGTAGGCATGGAAAGAGCCATTTTTCCAGGTTGGCTGTCTCGCCCAGCCCACTTTGATGTTACAGTCTTCAATTGCGTATAGAAACTGACACCGGGCTTACCATAGAATGTATTGGCACCACCACCAGCAACACTTCGTTTATTCCCAGTAAATGAAAACATCGGGAGAGGGACTGGAATGGGAACATTGACACCGACTTGGCCAGCCTCTATGTTCTTCCGAAACCTCTCTGCAGAGACCCCCGAAGACGTGAATATCGCCGTGCCATTCCCATAGGGATTTGCATTTATCAGACAAATAGCATCGTCGAGCGAGTTTGCCTGAAGACAGACAAGCACCGGCCCGAAAATTTCTTCTTTGTAGCACTGCATGGTGGGATTGACATCACAAATTATTGTTGGAGCGACCCAATTCCCGTTAGCATATTTTTTGTGTTGAAATCCTCGCCCGTCCAGGAGGATTGTAGCCCCTTCGCTCTCGGCACTTGCCACAAGCTTGTTTATTCTGAGCTTACTTTGCGGTGTTACGACCGGACCAAGATCGGCATCGGGCTCAAATCCTCCATCCACACGGAGGCCCTTGGCTCGCTCAACTAGTTCTTGAAGCCAGTGTTTAGTTTCACCAACAAGAATCAGTGCCGATAGTGCCATACAGCGTTGGCCAGCCGCACCAAATGCTGCAGCCGTAATAGCCTCCAAGGTCGAGTCTTTATCCGAATCGGGTAAAACAACAGCGTGGTTCTTCGCTCCGAGGTTTGCCTGCACTCTCTTGCCACTGGCACTTCCTTTTTCAAATATGTATTCCCCGGCTTGGTTGCTCCCCACAAAGCTGATGGCCTTAATTGAAGGAGCATCGAGCAGATAGTTGACGGTGTCATGTGCCCCATGAACAACATTGATCACTCCATTTGGAAAGCCAGCCTTCTCTGCTAATTCCATCAGAATCATAGCTGCTCCGGGCGCTCGCTCTGACGGTTTGAGAACAACCGTATTGCCTGTTATAGTCGCAATCGGAATGCACCAAAGTGGAATCATAGCAGGAAAGTCTGATTCATCAGTCTTCGTATATCAAAGCCTGTCAGGTAAAAACTTACTAAATGGACAGATGACACTAACAACACCCAGTGGCTCGCGATAAGTCCTGGTCTCCATATCCTTGGCAACTTCTAAGACTTCTCCTTTCATGTATTCAGGTCCAGCGCATGCGGCCTCCGCCACCTGCAAGCCTCGCAAGACATCTCCTTTGGAGTCTGCCAAAGTTTTCCCTTGCTCCAATGTTATCACCGCGGCAAGGCGGTCCCAGTGCTCCCGAATGAGACTAACAAAGCGGAACATGATTTGCTGTCTGGCAATTGTGGACATTCCCTTCCACGCTGGAAAAGCTGATCCTGCGGCCTGGAGCACTTCCTCTAGTTCTGATTCGGTCATCTTGGGAACTTTCGAAACAAGCTCATTGGTAGCAGGGTCATGCACGTCGATGAATTCTGTCGTCGCTGAGAGTCTGAACTCATTGTCGACAAAGTAGGGCGTATCCTTGGGGTTGGCAATTTTCGCGTGAGAGCTTGGGAAGGAGCTCGACGAAGTACCTAGTACACTCGCCTGTGTTGAGTGTTGAGTCATTCTTGGATGGAACCGATGCTTATTTCTTTGAATATCAGGAACGTTGAAATGAAAGGATAAGAATGTAATCTTGGTTTCGTCGCTGCTTGGTGATGATAAATTTCATTTGCACACCAAACTTTCCACGGCACAGAGAACAGTGGATTGCGGGGAAAAGAGAGCTCCCCAACAATTTCCTGGGGGTCTAGCTTGAACCTGGATATGGAGTAGGTTACCCTCGATTCACTAAGAGCGGGGTAGTAAGCTGTATAGTCACCCAACTCCGCACCGTAACACGCTTGGGCACCAGCATCTGCATCTGCACTTACATCTGTACTGCATCTGCATCTGCATATTCCCCTTACCATACGTAACTACTGTGTATTAAAACGGAAGCCTTGAACGCTTCCCGGTCTGTTTTATAAAGCGACACAAAGCACAGTTGGAATAAATTTGGGATACATCGTCATGCATTCTAACTTTGGCATCTGTCTAAACTCGCAACTGCTATGTACATTCGACCATCTACCTCGACTCACCATCTAGGTATATGTGGTGAGAACTCCGGTCGAAAATTTCTCATATAAGTAGTGTCATCTCTCTTAGTCATGCCGCATTCAAGGTACTGTTGATGAAGACGTTCGAGCTTTTCTCTGTCGATTTCGATTCCCAGTCCAGGCGCAGTTGGAACAGCGACACCTCCATCGCGCCATTTCAGGGCACCCTCGACAATGACGTCTTCTTCATCGCGTTTCCATGGCCAATGTGTATCGCAAGCATAGTCCAGATTTGGAGTGGCAGCGGCCAAATGAGTCATGGCAGCGAGTGATATACCCAAGTGACTGTTGGAATGCATGGAAAGTCCCATCTTCCATGTACTGCAAATGGCGGCCAGGGTTTGGGACTTTCGAAGCCCACCCCAGAAATGATGATCAGAGAGAATGACCTGAACGGCATCTTGCGCGACCGAAGGAGGGAGATGTGAAAAAGCAACAACCGCCATATTCGTTGCCAGGGGCATCGAAGCCTGTTTTGCGACCGCTGCCATTCCCTCGATTTCTGGGGCAGGATCCTCAAGATACTCAACGATACCTTCCAACTGACTAGCGACCCATTTCGATGTTTCGACAGTCCATGCGGCATTAGGGTCTAGTCGTAGCGGCATTTCTGGGAACGCAGTATGAAGTGCCTTGACGGCTTTAACTTCCTCTGCTGGCGGAAACACGCCACCTTTCAACTTGATGGCTTTGAACCCATATTTTGTGATGATTTTCTGCGCTTGTCGCACGATTCCTGTCGAATCCAAGGCTTCTCCATATATATCCTCTGGTTGACCAGGATGACTGCCCCATTTGTAGAAGAGATATGCGGAGTATTGCACGTTATCTCTCACACGACCACCAAGAATCTCACACACAGGAAGTCCTGCGATCTTTCCTTGTATGTCTAGACACGCAACCTCAAAGGGTGAGAAGACTTTGTCGGTTACAGATGCCGTTGTGACCATACCCGCCATACCATCTCCACCGGTCGCGTTGTCACCTTCTAGAGAGTTTTCACATATCTTATAGATTAAATTCGTATTGTACACGGATACACCCTCCATATCATGTGCTGCATCTTTCAGACGTTTCAAGTGAGCCGAGTCGCCATAGGATTCCCCAAGCCCGTAGCTGTCGTCTGTCACGATCTCCATAATGCTACGCAGGGCAAAGGGTTCGTGAACACCAACACTATTCAGCAGAGGCATGTCGTGAAAAGCCACTGGCGTGATGGTGATCTTTCTTATTGTTGAGCCTCGAGGCATCTTGCTTGTCTCCTTTATCCGAAATCGATTGAATACTCAGGTTCCCTAGAATCGTCAGTCTGATAACTGTTCAATTTATCCTGGCAGAGCATTGAAGCCAGCATAAAAGCGCAAGCTAACCAACAGCTTTTCCCAGATTTCCGGCAAACACTCCGGAGAAACTTCTTCGGTGGATCGGATAAAATAATTGACTTTCTTGTACCCCGCAGATTTCTCCAAAGCTCCAGCTTCCACCTAGTGCCCAGGTGGTCCGTGTAGAGTTATCCGCACTCATGGGGAATGTCAGCCGCACGTACAGGGCTGCGATTGGTTGATTATCCGTATCACGAAGACCCGGGATGAGCCAAAGGGCGCATATGCCGGAAAAGAATAGATCTTCGCATCTCGCCTTCGATTCTGGATAAGCTTGCCTGCCAGCCCCCGCATTTTGAAGCCAGTGACCCGTTACAAACGTGGTTGCCAAGGCCGGGGTACTGGGGTCGTACCGATTGCCAAGGTCAGTTCATGGCAAATTTCAGTTAATGATCAGGAGATACCAGTATGTTAGTATGCGGCCGCCAAGGAGAGATATCCGAGATGATCTTTTGGTATATATCCCCCGCCCCCAAGAGAAGACAGATGGTTCTATCAGGAGCTATCCATCTCTACAGTGTATTCTTTCTCCCCCTGAGGGTGTATCACGTAGTGCTATCCATTGCTTCACTTTCAGGGAGTTAAGATGACTTCTCATTCCATCACTAAGGACGATGTCGAAATTGCGGATCGGCCATCTCACATCGAAGCCCTTCCAAAAGCCGCCCATGTCACTGAGATTGGAAATTTTCGTGTCGTTAGTCTCACCCCGGAGGATGCTGATTTCTTCTCCAGCTATTCCGAGGAAAAGCGGAAGAAAGTCTTTCACAAAGTCGATATGCGGCTAGTACCTATGCTAGCAGTGCTATACCTAATAAGTCACATCGATCGTGCCAATATTGGCAATGCCAAGATTGAAGGAATGGTTGAGGATTTGGGCATGAGTGGTGTTCAGTATAACACAGTTCTTTCTATATGTGAGGACTGATTCCCTTTCAAATTTTACCGCAAATATTCAAGCAGGCTACTAACTCTCGAATCCATAGTCTTCATTCCCTATGTCCTACTGGAGGTACCCAGTAACATCCTGTTGAAGAAGTTCAAACGTCCCTCTACCTATCTTGGAATTCTTGTCCTTTCATGGGGGATTGTCATGACCTGTACTGGTCTAGTGAAAAGCTTTGCAGGTCTCATGGTTACTCGAGTCTTGCTCGGTGTTTTCGAGTGAGTCGGATATCCATCATGCCCTCCTTGCTTCGGTTTCTAACGTACTATTTAACAGGGCCGGTTTCTTTCCCGGTGCTATCTATCTTTGCTCTTATTGGTATATGCCTAAGGAATTAGCCCTGCGTATATCCTACTTTTACTGTGCTAGTGCACTTTCTGGCGCCTTTTCCGGCCTCTTGGCTGCTGCCATTGCTCAGATGGATGGAGTGGGCGGTCTTGAGGGTTGGAGATGGATCTTTATTTTGGAGGGCCTCGCAAGTGTGATTCTAGGGGTCGCATGCTTTTTTCTTCTGATCGATACACCGTCGTTCTCTTCACGCTGGCTATCTCCCGATGAGATCCGGTACCTCGAACTTTCGATGTTCATCAAGCAAGGCGGAACCAGTGTCGAGGAAACCTCTTTCAAAATGAGAGACCTGAAGATTGTTCTCACGAATTGGAGAGTATATGTGCAGGCCTATTCTCTATTCTGCCAATCAGCACTATCATATGGTAAAATAGCCCAAGATGACGTATATGCTTGCTTCTGACTGACTTATTTATCCATAGGCACCAAGTTCACGCTTCCGACAATCACCAAGGCAATGGGATTTAGCGATACTAATGCTCAGCTCACCTCTGCGCCCCCTTATGTCGCTGCTGCAATATCTGCCATTGTATTTGCCCGTCTCTCCGATCGCTTTTACTGGCGAATGCCGTTTGTAGCCGTTCCTATGCTCATCTGCGTGATTGCTTACTCGGTCATATTTTCGCTCGACGGGGCCCTGCAAGAAAAAAAGGGTGTCGCCTACTTTGCTGTTGTTCTGGCCGTCGTTGGAATTTATCCTATCCAATCTGCAGCCGCGTCTTGGAACTCGAACAATATCGCTCCATCTTCGCGTCGGGCTATCGGAATCGCTCTTATGAATTGCGTCGGCAATATCGGAGGTATATTAGGCAGCTTCATGTACATGGAGAAGGAGAAACCCAAGTACCAAACTGGCTTTGGTCTCAGTCTCGCGCTAGCTGGTGTTGGCATATTCGTTGTTCTACTCCTTGAGTGGAGCTACAAGGTGGGCAATTCACGAAAGGCTAAGCTCATCGACGATGCACGAGCCAAATATACGGAAGAAGAGTTGTTCGACCTGGGAGATAGGTCTCCCCTCTTCAAGTACACTTTGTAGATAGTTTACTAGTCTGCTGAGTTTCAATAACATACTAGGTGGAGGTCATTTACTCATCCCAACCGTCCGGGCTTCACTTAAGCATTGAAAAATGGTTCTTTTGTTTTACTTGAAAGTAGCCCACGTATACGCAAGTTTAACAACGCCTACCGGGTTTGAACGCATGTTCGGGATCTTGCCTTTCTTTGCCTTCCTTTTTTTTGAAGTTAAATTTCGTGTCTCTACACTTGGCACTGAATTAATGATCAAAAGGAAATTCACTACTTAAGGCTCGCTTCAATCGCTACTAGGTTTGCCGTCTGTGACTCTATAGCTTGCTTCTCTGCCTCGGAGGGCTCCACGTAGGGACGGCGTGGCTTCAGTTTTTCCAACGCCCCTTCAATCCCCGCAGCGACCGCTGTGTTTAGCGCAGCAGCATACTTGACAGACGCAATTCCAGTCTTGCATGGCTGCTCCGCGAGCGCTGCCTGTTTATGCAGCTCCATGGCCTCTCTCAGTTTTCCTTGTTGATATAAGCTGTAGATGTTGGCTATAGTCTTGGGGAAGACATTCGCAAAACCGGCGATAGTTCCCGCAGATCCAGCAGCCAGTCCCCCAATCAAAAAGTCCGACTGCCCACCAAATGTCGCGAACCTGTCTGGGGGAAACTCGGCTGCAAGTCGAGTAATCTTTGCAACCGCGCCACATGTCAACTTCACGCCAACGATATTTTCATGCTTCTTTGCCAGTCTTGCAATTGTCGCAGAGTCCAGATCAATTCCATTGCAGACCGCCGGAAAATTATATATAACAATTGGCAAAGGGCTAGTCTCGGCGACATCATCAAAAAAGCTGTTAATGACTGCCGGTGTCGTCTGTTTTCCGAAATAAGCCGGAGGCAGAAGGAGGACATAATTGGCGCCTGCATCTGCTGCGTCGCTGATGAATTCGAGAACCTGCTTGGTAGAGTGGCCACCAACACCAGCCATAATCGGGTATGCAGGTCCACATGCTTCTCGCGCGACCGTGAGCAATGTTTTGCGTTCCTCGCGTGTCAACAAAAATGTTTCGGAATTTGTCCCCAACACCACCAATCCAGCAAGTCCAGATTTTGATAGGTATTTGTAATATTTGGCTTGAGATATTGTATCGATGCTGTCGGTACTATGGTCAAAGAAAGTGATTGTTGGAGCCCAGACTCCGCTGGGTGGAACTTTGGCACGAGACATGGTATCAGGAGGGGGTATTGTCTTCAAGTTTCACTTCTAAGAAAATATTGTGAATGACCATTCGATGGAATGTTCAACTTACTTAAGTCAGTTTCCTATGGAGCTCTCACAGGTATTTATCCGTCCGGGACGGGTTCTACGCATCCGTCCATCCACGTCACTTTTCTTCGCGGCGCATCACCTTCCATTTGCTGATCGCCTTCGTTCTCTAGCTTATTTCCAGCTACGTGAAACTCTAAATGGGATAGAAAAAGCAAAAGATAGAAATCAACTTCATAGGACCTGATTATCGTGGAAACTCTGTAAAGACAAGGAGTGGGCACAACAAACAATAGCTCGCAGTCGCTCTTCTCCCCGCTTCACCGGTGCCTCTTGGCGGATATGCTTGGTGCATTTCCGACGGATATGCCATTCGTATGCTATTTACTTGATGGTGCTTAAGGGGTACTCTAACGCTCTTCCTAGGTTCAAGTTCAAGTAGGTACCTCGGTATGGAATTCAAGTTGATGTACTAGTAAGTTATTTGCCACCTTTGAGGGGCTCAAGGTGCTCACTGCCCAGGTGACACACATTGCGAGAGTCACTGCCACTGGGAGTGCTTCTGACCACGGGATTAGTATGCCTACTATATTAGTAGTAAACTTGCCAGTTGTAAACACCTGTGCACACACTTCTACTACTCACCTGGGGAGGCTCCAGGGCTGCTAACTAGTATTATAGTAGTTCTACTAGTACTGGTTAACTAGTAGTGCGTAGAATTCGGACCTCGGGAGGACCTAGGTTGCTACTTCTGGGGGCCTTAGCAGCTTATTTATTATAGTAGTGGTAGATATCACTTTTCGAGAAGGAAGTGTCAATTTTGCACTGGCTGAGGCGATTCTCTATATTAATTTAGAGTTCATGTGTGATTCGTGTTCCAGGGTTTGAGACATTCCGGTTAAATGACTAATGCTCGAGTACCACTAAGTAAAATTACGGTGCATAATAGTTGCACTTGCTTGATGGTTTGGGAAAATTAGAGTATCAGCCATCACGACGTTTTCTCTTCTCCCACTGGCAAACACGATAGTCTCCGCAATATCCTCCGGTGTCAAGGGCTCACAGCCTCTACAAAGCAGTTAGCATAAGAATATGGTTTTTTTCCTGGTGGTTAGAAGGACTTGCGTATAAACAGCGTTCGCCTTTTCCTTGTCGCCGTAGAATCGCACCACAGAGAAATCTGTTTCGACTTGACCAGGATCTATGCAAATGACGCGAATGCGAGTCGAAACAAGCTCCTTGCGCATGCTTTCGGTAAACGAACGGACAGCAGCTTTGGTCGCGCAGTATATTCCCCCACCAACATAAGGTTCGCGACCTGCAATAGAGCCGATATTTATAATGTCACCGGCTCCAGTGCCATTGTTTCGCTTCAACATGCTAGGTAAAATAGCCTGCGTCATATTGATTAAACCATTCACATTTGTCGCGAACATCACGTTAATGTCTTCCTCCAAAATTTCCGGTGCCTTTGCCACACCTCTCACGAGACCTCTGCGGGAGACAATATATCGTGTCAGCACTCGAGCAATTAATTTTCGCCAGGACCCGACTATCAAATATTACTAATTCTCGATTTCGTTTTCTTTTGGGGTAAAACTAACGCATTGTTGACCAAAACATCGACCTCCTTGAACTCGGCAGGTAGCCTTCCTACCAAAGTACGCACGTCATCTGGATTGCTAACATCAAGCTGAACAGGTAATACTTTGATGCCAGCGCCGATCTCCTTGACAATTTCAGCGGCTATCTCACGGAGACAGTCGATCCGTCGAGCAGTCAATATCAGCTTTAGCTCTTTAGGAGAGTTGCGAGCAAATTCGAATGCGGTAGAGCGGCCAATTCCAGAAGAAGCTCCAGTTATTAATATAGTTTTTCCGTGAAGGCGTTTGGAGACTGAAGTGGCCATGATGACTAGTATTCACGAAGGAATAGAGATAATGTGAGGGCGTGTGGGCAAAAACAATAGTTAGCACGACAGCCAGGGTTCAAATTGAAAAGATCATAATGATTTCCAAATCTGGATAACATTTTTTTATGTATTACAGCCAGGGCGCGATAAAGGTAGTTTCATGGCAGAAAGCTGCGGAAAATCCAAGCATTAAGATTCACCGGCTGTATTCAAGTCTCCACCATGGGGCCTTTTCCGTGTGTTTATAATCCAGTAACATACTAAAACTTACTAGTTACTCGTAGCACAACTGGGAGAAATGTAATGTAAGGAATAATAAAATTCCCTGATATGCGAAATCCCGTCTCTATCGAGATCCACACTATCTCATCAGTATGTATTATGTATCTACTGGATATCAGAAAGTATACGAGTACCAATCCCACTCATGCCTCCTCGATTTCTTCTTGGCACGGAAAAATGACTACGTCGGCCTTCTCCCCGCATCTCCACCATCGACCCCGGAACGAGAAACTCGCGCTTCCCTGCAGATTCTCCTCAACTGCTTCTCAACTTCCGTTTCCCACTCTGACTTTTCCGTCTGCACATGCGCCGCACGATCCACAACTTACATTACCGGATTGATGGCTTCAGTCCCCCGTCGAGAGCTACCGCCAAGTCTTGCAAAACAAGGACCTCCGGCTCCCAAGAAACGGAGTCGAAATAAAGAAAGAGTCAGGGTAACTAGGGCTTGTGACAGATGCAAAAGGTGAGGGTCTTCGTGGATAACTTCCAGGCAAGCTGATGAGATGTACTCCCAGGCGAAAGATCAAGTGCAATGGCACACAGCCATGTGCATTCTGTGTTCGCGCAAAAGACAAATGTACTTTTGCTACGGCATATTGCCGCGGTCGGCTACCTTCAATCATCCCTACGTTCGGTTATGATCCTGGTGACAGCACTGTTCTCTCAACGGGCCAACTTGCAGCCAGCACGAACTCCTCGTCTTCGACTCAGAGCTACCCTATTATCCTCCCAAGAACAGAACTATCTACAAGCGATTCCGGGTTTTTGCAAAGCCAAGAAAATTTACCAGTGGCAAACGAATTTCCCCGGCATTCTCCAGAACCACATCAGCCGGAGATGCAGGGCCAATATATCGGTCCTGCGTCAGGTGTATCTTTCCTTCTGAGGATCCAAAATCGTCTTCGACAGGCTATTTCAATCTCGAAGGCAAGCAGCATATTTACATTCGGTGATGCACCTCTACAGGTTCCGGAATCTGACCCATCCTTCTGTATGATGCTGCCGAGAGCGGACGCTCAGCGCCTTGTGGATCGTTATTTTGATTTTGCAATGCCTACTTATCGGTTCTTGCACAGGCCTACTCTTCAGTCCTATTTTGATGAGTTTTATGATACACTCGGTATAATGGAAGATACGCAAAACGCGTCCGCAAAGATTGCCTTGCTCTTTATGGTCTTTGCCCAGGCAAGAGTATACATGCCAGACAACGACCGACCCGGTCCGCCGGATTTGAGGTAGGTCCTTATAATCATCGGAATTCGATAATCGGATCATCATTCTGAGCCTCAGAAGTACACGATACTTTTTAGCAGCAGATCATCATTTATCCAGAGAAAAGGGTTCCATACGCCTGGCCAGTGTGCAAGCTAGACTGACTCAATGCTGTTACCTTCTCACTCAATCTCGCATTAATCACTGTTGGAGCCTATTTGGAACTGTCTCCCACCTTGCACTTGCTATTGGACTTAATAGAAATCGGCCTCCCGATGCTGTGACTGGGCTAGGTCGTGTCGAATCAGAATGTCGTCGGCGGACCTTTTGGTGTGCCTACACATTAGATGCCTACCTGAGTGCGGCACTAGGAAGACCTCGCACATTCCACGATAATGACATCGACAGCGAGCTTCCAGCATGTGTCGAGGATGAGGATCTGATGAACGAGGGCACCGATAATTTTGCAAATCATAACAAAGGCCCATCAGCAATGCTGGCTGCAATTGCACATATGAAGTAAGGGCGATTCTATCCAAAGTCCTACATCACTTCACTCACAGGTTAGACTTGCGCAGATTATTAGCAGAATATTGACTAGTCTCTACTCGGTCAAACCTGTGTCTGCCTCAGACCGAGCAAGTGCTGTCGAACAGATCTCAAAAGACCTTTATCAATGGCACTCCGAGCTGAGCCGCTTCTTAGACGTTGACATCTATAGCACTTCTTTTCTAATTTCGATCTTCCAGCGACAAAGAAATGTTCTCAATCTTACCTATTGGCATGCAATAATTCTCACTCACAGACCATTCGTATTGAGTACCCTTGCACGACTCTCGCAAAATGGCAGAGATAATGCTATGCAGGAGGACGCTCAAACGGGGAAAAATCTGAAAGAGTGCGTTGACGCTGCAATGAATACAGTCAATACAATCAGCGAAATTACGGAAAGCCGACAACTCTTCCGAGCATTTTGGGTTTGTTTGCAGTGGCACGTGTTTCAAAGTGCTCCGCTAATTGAAATTCAGATCACGGCCTATTTTGCTTTCAATGCTACCATTATGCTCTATATTCATGTGATACAACAATGTGCGTCACCGTCGGAGTTCTACGTCAAATACTTCTCGGCTGCCTCTCGATGCCAATCCCATATTGCAGCAATTGCTGAGAAGGGGTCACTATCGGAGCGCTATTGTTTAGTACTCGAGGAACTTCGTGTCGAGGCCATGCGTCAAATGAAGCATGCACACCTAAACGACACGTTGACCTCTTCAATAGATGACCAGGAGGCCGGAAATCTGTTTCAGTGCCAGTTTAATTCAACAGGACAAAGCCCCGCTGCTTCATTTAACTTAACAGAGTTTGGTCAAGATCTCGCGATAGATCTAGATGGTAACATCCCTGCCCTTCAATTTCCTAATTACTCAGGGTGGGAACAGTTCACCTCTTTGCTTTCGTCTGGGTTAGGAAATATGGACGGTTTCATCAGCTACGATCAATGAATTTCTAGCAAATATACTCAGTAACACTCTTAATCATGTTTCCAGCTTTTAGAGTCACCGATATCTAGGATTGCTGCTGGCCATTCAGCATTACTCTGGTTGGTGATTTAATTCAAACGCTTAGAAACATCGCACATTCTCTGCCATTCTTTCCATAGCTAGATGCCAAACGTGTGTCAGCCTTCAACTTATGTCCGACAGCACGGGTGTCTTAAAAGCGAGTCCATTCTCCTGTAATCAAAAGATGGTCCTTGGAGAGCCCGACATTCTTCGCTTTATGAACCTCCTCTGCAATAGTTGTCGGCTATTTCGAACTTGACATGGGAGGCTTGCCCATCTTGCAACAAAACTAAATAATAAAGCCACAGGAAATATAGAACTGAGCACAGGTCCAACTTCGATGGGCTTCCTATTCATCCTCAGCACTGACCAGGCGAATAAGCTAGTCCTAGCCGAGGTACTCAAAGGGCTAGCGGCATCAGCCGCCACAGTATGTACACTGGCATCTTCGCGGGGTTGCATCTACAGCCCATTGCCCGACCTGAAGAAACCCACGTAGTGAAGACATGCTCGATCCTGTTGGGAAGTTTCCGAATCAAGATTCCACACCAAATGGATCCACCAAAAGGAAATTTTGAAGACTCTTCTTTCTTTCTAGCAACTCGCGGATCCCATTTCTTGGCAAAATCAAGGTTCAACTCTTTCAGTCCGCTTGTGGGCTAATGGCCCCGGTCTCGTATACACTGGTCATCCGCCTGTCTTCTCTGGCAGTGGGGTGATTGAGACACCGCCAATAGAATCTTTTGAGGATATTTTTGACGATGAGCTACGAGTGATTAGAACGACACTTGCTAGACCTCTCCAGGTTTGAACTGAGCAGCCCTATTATTAATTCGGGGATGTAACAATGTCTCAGAAGGTTCCCCGCGAACTCTGGTATGGTGAGGCAATCAGGGTCTACGGCTTACGATAAAATGACAGCATTTTCCTGCCCTGCATGTTTCTCATTGCTCAGTTCACCTATCATAGGGAGATAAAATCTATGTCCGAGCACATCTGAGACAACTCAGTGCATCGCGGTGTGCGGGCTTGGCCTGCGCTCACGCCACAGAATCTTGACCTCGTCGGGCTTTCAGTCTCTCCGGTGTACTGCCCATTTCTCCATTCGACGATCATGCTATACGAGCTCTCTCATACTAAGACATACGATATAGGTTCTTGGAACATTTCTATTTGCTGTAATGTCTCAGATATTACCAGAAAGATGCACGCAGTTTGAAACCAGTTATATGGAAATGGACAAGTCAATGGAGTGTCTACAACCCGCCACTATCCGGGTAGTAGGAAGGAAAAATCTATATAAGGACTGTCCATCACTACTACTCTAACGTCGGCATCCTACTCTCAATTCCATTCATCATCATCTATCTCACGCGGTACTTCTACAACCAATCTAGAATTTCAAAATGCACTTCCATACTGCTGCTATTGTTGCTGCTGTGGCCACTTTGGCGCCTCTTGCTAGTGCTGTTGGGAATGCTAAGGTTGTGAACAAATGCGGCTTCCCCGTCTACCTTTGGTCCGTTGGAGGCTCAGTTGGCCCTGCGCAAACAATCAAAGCAGGTGGCACCTATTCCGAGGTCCTGCACCATGACCCTGCCTCTGGAGGCATTGCTATCAAGCTCACCACGGTTCAAAATGGACTTTACAACGGCAGCCCTCAGACAAACTTTGCTTATACCTTGGATGGCCAGAACGTCTGGTATGATCTTTCCGACGTCTTCGGTGACCCGTTTTCCGGCCACGCTATCGGTGTCAAAACTTCACTGAACTGCCCGAAGATCTGCTGGCCCAAGGGCGTTGCCACGAGCGGCGCCAGTCAAACCAAAGTCTGCGGTGCAAATTCCGATGTTACCCTGACTCTCTGCTCTGGCACCTGCTAGATCATATAATGTTTTCACCTTCATGTTTGGCTATCTATAACTATCGAACAAGCGTTATCGAGATGTTGAGTAAATAGCTGCATCAGTGCAAGAACGAATACAAGATATCCTTTGGTGGTGGCCTTTTCAAACTAAGTCAAAGTTTGACAACATTCCGAGCCCTGGGGCATGGCTATCACTTTACAAGTTTTGGTCCTTCGAGTTATAGCTACAAGTCAACCGGATGACCTTAGAATATTTCTCGTTATAAATGCCCATGCTTTAATGATAATCTGGATCATGGTACTCGAGACTTCGTCGGATTCTAATATTCATGATTCTATAATTTCCGTGGCCCTAGATGTGGGTAGCTGACGAGAGCTCAAAAGTCAATTTTAACGAGAGCTTAAGTCAATACGTGATTGTCAAAATATTTGACTAGAGTAGGTCTAATAATCCTCAATATGGGTGCCTTGGCAACTGACCTCGATTGACCGTAAGCACTGTTGTGAAAATATGAGGCTTTTTAAAGCAATCATCCCACTTTTCCCTACCGGATCCCCAGAAATCTTCCAGGGCTTCCTTTGCTGAGAGAGGGGCATATGTGCCAGAGATAGCGCTCATAGATATCATTTTGTCTCGGACAAACGAACGCAATGAATAATCACCATGTACTGCATGTACCCCAAGGACCATAAGAGGCCAGAACAGATAGCCATAGGATCTCTGGTCCAGTCCCTTCTCCAGCAGCCCGTGGAGAATTCGTCTCTCTATGTCGCAATTATTTTCAATAGCGGATCCGGTGGTAAGGCTCCAATGCTTGATAATGAGGACATGCAATATAGAGCAACCGCACTTTGATAGGCGGTCACTATCAAGTCGCTTTCATTTGTAAGGAACTCGTTTGATTCGGTCCATGCTGCTGGCGAAAAGTCATATACGCGGCGCAGGACTTCGCGAGCATCGCTCTGAAGGTTACACTGGTTTTTTTTTTTCTGGCCTTGACATCTGATTCCGAATGTAATTGATCTTGATGATATCGGCAAATAGTGGTGTGGGGCAAGTCTGGAAGGCATATCCATTATCTCCATATCGCTGCACGATAGAATACAATTGCGTGGGGTCTAACCCCTCGACAAGCATATCAGATGCGGGGGATGAGGTATCAGCAAGTACAGTGCAACTACCGAGTCGTTAGGATGGGCTGCTCTGGCATTTGTCAAGTGTCAGTTCACTTACTGAACAAATGATAAAAGAATCGGTAAAACCCCAGGCGACATGCTTAAGTTGTGCATGCCGCCGCGCAAAATGATAAATCTTCGGACTCCTTCAATGTGATGTCGCCAATGTTGCGAAATCCCATGCTGGGCCTTTTATAATCGTCTATCTTTAGCACAACGAGACCATGTTATCAATTTGGACCGTGAAGACTTACATCAGCCAGTAGGAGTGTCAGAATACCAGCCAGGACAACATCCCCGTTTCTCATATTAGGGACATTAATGTCTTCATTCAAGGAACGAATCATCAAGCCTCGATAGCGGTAGAAGGTCTTCTCCAGGGCCTTGGAACTGGGATCATGTCTGGTCTGATTTATTCGATGACTGACAGTCACGCATATTAAACCTAATTGAAGATGAGCAGGCCTAGTCAGACCGAGTTGAAATACTTTCGGTGAAAGTTGGTATATATTGGTATTCGTGCCTAGTCGTAAAGCTGAGGCTAGTTGAGGGTACATGCATGAGTTGACTGTTTTGGAGGTGAGCCTTTGACTGCCTAGGTAAATCGCGAAGTGATATTGACATACAGTATTGTACAGAATCTAAAAGTGCATGATGATCTGTTTTAAGATGAAAGCGAGGGACTGCCAAGCCCTGCGACTCATCAGAGGGCCCTGATTCGGCCTCAGAAGACTCGAGGCCACCCTTTGATATCCCCGTGCTGACGCTGCCTGAGCTAGCTCTACTGTTCTTCTGGCGATTCGAGGATCCGTTGCGTTGTCCGTTGCGTTGTCGAGATTTGACTTTCCCGGGGGCGACCCATTTCACTCGTATGGGTGGTGTCTCTCCATATCCTGGGCAATCGACCCCAGATCCTGCACATCGCTTACAGCCGGGCACCTGGAAGTCACAGACCAAGCGACGCTGGAGACATTCCCAACAATGGTGCTTCCGAGCTTCCACCATCTGCGCGACTCGATATTTGGCAAATCCGTGAACGGCCTGCAATCAATGTACTAGTAGGATGTCAGTCCTCGACAACAGATGCGCCACGCCCTGATTTGTACCTTGAAAGAGATACGGCTAGTTCAAACTTATGCCGCCCGAGGGCCTTGGGAGATGGTAACTCTCGAAAAGATACGGATGATGCGGCAGTTCAGGCCTACAAAACAGCGTCCGAAGGGGCAAGGTACACATACATAAGTTGGGTTTTTATTTCCCAAGACACTGCATTGACATCATGAACTTGAAGTTCCGCTTATTTGAGGTAAACTTGTGGCCCCCACTGACGCGGAAGAATGGCTCGTCCGATGTGGGGGGTCATTCATGAGTTATCCTAGGCCAGAAGGCTGACAAATTCTGCGTGTTTTTCGCGTCGGCTCGTGTTTGCGCGAAATTGCGCGCTGTTTTGGCCCCAACTCTGCGTCAATCAAGTCCCGATTCGTCTGCCCTGCACCCTGGAATTGATAGGATCGGCGACAGGCCATGGGATTTGGTATGATTGCGCACGGGCATTTCAAAAAGTCTTCCAAATAGTAGTAGTAATCTGGGATGATCGTGAAGCGCTTGTTGGAGCGGCTCAAAAATAGCAACCACCCACAATGACGCGAAGAAAACACTCCTGTGCAAATAAGGTCGCATTCGCATGGTATCAAACATGGCAGTCAGAGCCCTCACGGAGAGGACTTTTGGTCTGCTTCTTCAGGGGGAATATTTGGGTCCAGACCCCCAGGGTGAGAATCGCCATCCCCCCCATGTACCGTCTTTGCGAGGGTTGGTCGATCGCCTGTCGTCTCTTCCCCCCACATAATTTCAGTAATACCATCCTCTGCCATAAAAATGTTCTTGGATTGGGGAAGATAACGACTGGCATGCCACACATTCCACAACAGTGAATTTGCCAACATAGTCGCACCCTCAAAAACAAAGAAATACCACTCATAGCGCACGAGAGGACTGAGCGACCGGAGCGCGTTCAAGTCATTAATGTCTACGGCCGAATTTCCTGCATGGTCCACCATCCGATAGACAGAACGAATCAAGATCAAAAACATGCTCACGTACATGATGATCGGAAGAGTTGGGAGAGCTTTTGTCCGAATCCCGTTCTTACTGCACCGCCAATGGAAAATTCCGGCGAAACAGAAGAAAGTGACAATCAGACAGATTTGAATACCGATCGCGGCCAGGACCAATATCTTTCCTGCTTGAGCCTGACTGCTTGTCGGATTGGAAGTGAAAGCAATTCCGAGGGAATTCAATGTTTCCACTATCATCATAACAGGCCCGAAAATAGTGAGAACTCTGTTCGGGGCAATTGGTGATACAAAGGGCACGTAGAAGAAGGTTCGGCTGAGGATGTGATAGTTTCCAAGTTCTAGAAGCGGTCTATTGGTGAAGCAAAACGAGCCCTGTCAGTCAAAAACCTTGGAAATACACAAGAACCAGCGATGGATCGGTAGGTTCGAAATTGTATAAAAAAGATCAGGTGTAACGAAACTCACGGGCAGATATAGATGAAGACCTGACTTGCGATGTAAATTCCAAGAGTCATTTGTGAAGATTCTTTATCCTCGAACATGTAATTGAAGGCACCATACTCTCTTAAGGCGTACCCAACTGTCAACAATATGGCGCAACATGCATGCAGACCAGTTAGCTTCCATGAGTTATTGCGCCTGGTGATTGTCAACTTTTCTAGCTCGAATTGCTTCACGCTGAATAATTTGCTCACCAGCATTGCCAATTATGTCCAATCGCTGAGATTCCGAATAGGACTGCAAAAATAATCGGAGCCACCGTATTGGGAGCATAGACGTAAAGGCTGCCGAGCACTGAATAACGTTATTATACTGCAGTACAATGTATGACACTTGGATGTTTTACCAACTTGTCCCTCTCCCATCGTGAATTGTCAGAGCAGGGATGAAGAGCCTTAATAGGGGTCCGGGGTGCATCCGAGAGATTGTTTCTGAAAGTTTTATCTGGTGGGTTGGATAAGTGTAGACATGAACGCGAGTATTTGAGGGTGATTCATGTCGTTATTTATGTGAGTTCTTTAGACGCGAACAAAGTCCAAGTAGTTCGTCATCAAAATGCGGAACGCGGAAATCTCGAAATATAAGGTCATACGCAGGTGGGATAAAAATATTGCCAAGGCCTCATTATTGTGGACATTTCGATATGACTTTTGACAATCCCCCATTTTGCTCACTGTCTTGGCAATATTTCTTTTCAATATTGTTTTACTCTAAATCATTCGAGAACAATTGAAATTCGCCATCGCATCCCACTACTCCGCAGCTCTGGCGATCTTCAAGCAGGCACTAAACTAACATAGGAATATTTTGTTGCCAAGACGCCGATCTTCGCTCTTTCAAGGCGTATTTCAGGTGAGATTTGGAAGCTGTCGTCAAAGTGGTCTCTCACAGCCTTAAAATAATTAGCAGTGTACCAAATAAAGAACCATTCAATGAAGATCTACTATCTCGAGGGCTTTTCTTGCACGAAATTTAACATAGCCTGCAAATATTTTGAGGCTTTTAATTTCCGAGGACCAATCAGCGCAGTCTTTAGGCCTCTTCTCCGAGATAACACGCCATGTTACGCAACTAATACCCCATTTGTCTGTGGCTAAGCCGTTCCCATTCTCGGTCAGCTTGAGAATACCGGTACGCCGATTTTCTCACGCTGGATACTTTCTAGGGCATTTAATGGGGCTATTTCATCACAGTCCTCAATTATAAACGGCTTAGAACCAACCCATACCACTTCACTTTCTTTTCATCGCCGTTACCCATCTGTCAAGCAGTTTAATTTGTCGAAAGCCTATCTCAAAGTCCCACTCGCGGTGAAAGACATTTGGGTTCTATCTATAGCCAGCCAGCCATATACTCCAACATCTGGCATCGGTATGACCTGGAAGCCCTCTACTCGTCTGTTGGTATATTAACAGCATCATAGCAGATTCCCCACCTGAAAGTTCTTCCTGATTAAGTTGAAATCAAAACCACCATCATGTGTCTTGCTCTTTCATTCCTATTGAAGAAGAACAGTGACGGCGAACCTGCGGGTCCTGCGCCGAAGCCTCACCCGGTGATAAAAGCCCAATCACAACTATCACAAGGCCCTCCCTCCTACCCAGCCTATGCAAATGACACTTCAGGGTCCAACGGGAACTCGGGGTACAGACCAACCTACTAAGTGCTACAATTTCTCTAGCCCACGTTGTTATGAATGGAGTTGGCGTTCTTTTTTCGATAAGGGAGTGGTTTTTATGGGAGCACTGAAGGGCCGGAGGTAGTTTGAATGTGTCGGAGTTTGGATTGTTCTCCCGAGACCTCATTTCAAGGTACACTGCGCATAGGCAGTATGTTTATTTCAAGTTCAAGGTCCCGTCTCAGAAAGGTTGATGGAGTAGTAGCAGTTAGCACAAGTAGTTCCAAGGTTATTTTTTCTGAATAGGTGCCCAGGTGTTTTCAAAGCTTTATAGGGATCAGGATCTCGATATATCGATGTTCTTTAGAAAAAGATCTTCTATATGGCGACTATATACAAGAAATCACAAACTGAAGGGGAAATAATCAATAAATATCTATGGCGCTCAATTCGAAGTGGATTTGCAATGACCAGTTCCAGTGAAGCTAACCGCATCAATCAAGACATTTCCAGTGACGGAGGAGTCCTCCGAGTCACAAGCCGCAACAATGCTCAGAGTTCCCTCGTGTCTCTTCGGCTTGTAAGTTCCGGTAAGAGCCTGCCATTCTCCAAAGGTGGAAATATCTGCCGACGCAACCTTGCCGGTTGTAGCGTTATGTCCCATATAAACGTACACGGAGCAGAACTCCACTCCACCCGAGAGGACTTGAAGTTGGACACTAAAATCGTACTCTGTCTGAGGCTTCAGGTGCTTGAGGTGCTGGGAGACTGTGTTGCCACGGTTGCCATACGCAGTCTGGAGATTCCTGGATTTGACAAGGTCAATATGAAGCTTTCCGATATAAGCATGCACGATGCGATCTTACAGGTAGTAGTCCCCGTCGTAAGCGCTTGTTGCATTGCTGACCTTGGCCACATTGACGGCCGATGGAAACCACGGAGCCAGAAGTCCTGTCTCAAAAGACGGATTCAGCACAGCATTGCATGCAGAAAGAGCCATGTCGGTAGATAGTCTTGGCTAAAGCTTAGGATGTAGATTAAAGTCGTGATACTCTTGGCCTGGGGAGAAATTAAATGGGTTTATAAGCATTTTGCCATCTGAAACATCGAGGACCGTGAACACGGAAAAAGCCGACAAGGAAAGTTTTCAGCGCCCGCATTTCCTATTTTTAACCTTTACAAAGCTTGCATTAGGCGTTCTCTGTTGAAGGCTTGAAACATAGCCTCTGGACTGATCGCGTTGAGTCTCATCAGTGCTCGAAGAGATGAAGCTGAGTGGATACTATCCCAGTTCCCTGTTTTGGAAATTGTAGATGTTCAGATCCCTCGTGGGAAGAGTTGCATTCCTGTCAGATGTGGACCTTCAGGGAAGTGAAGGATCCACTTGCCATCTCTGTCAATGATTCTCTGCAATCTCACGGTACCTCGCGGGTAAGATCGGCAGCCCCTGAACAGTTCTTTGGGTACGGAGTACGGAGTAATGGTTTCGCAAATTTTATGAAGCATTACCTCCGTTGCGCCCAGGATTGATGATAATAGCCTGGTATAGTGGCGTCACTCATATTTTTGAACCTATGATTTGATTATTCTTCATTTTATGCCAACCAGCTAGATCTGGGCCTTTCCCAGGAAATGCCGGAACTCGTAAGCCAGTTTGAATGAAAAGAGCCCGGTCGCAAACGCTGTACTCCGCGGGCTGCAAAATTTGGATATATCGAGAGAGATGGCCAGACCGAAGAATTCACGGTGATAGAAGGCAAGACCCACGTGTAAGCCATCCAGCATGCTGGCAGCTTGATTTAGAACCGTCCATCCACGGTTGACCATCACACTGAGCTTTTAATCGTCCGTCGGTCGGGCCTTCTATGGCACTAGAAGGGTTGCGACTTTAGGGATTGGCGGAAATATGGGCTGAAATACTCCCATTTGAATGCGGTAGTCATCATGTTTTCACTCTGCAACCGAACAAGCCTATCGCATAGCAAGGTCGGACGTACGTGCCCTTGGTGGCTGATGCCAGCTCTCAAAGTCTCTGGTGCTCTGGCAAATATTCAGCCATTGCTGTTGTTTGAACTGGAAATAGTTCATCTAACAATAGAGTAATGACAGTATTGCCATTCGGCACTCTGTTCCATTGAAATAAAGTAGGACTTGTCTCAGCTTACGTCCAACGTGGATGAAAAGATGCCAGACACATCGGCCAGGTGCATCAGCCAACCCCATTATATTCAGCCAGTCTTCAAAGCTGGACGAAAACTTGATTATGCTCCCCCAGGCCAAAGCTTGATTTGTCTTGCAAGTGAAAGAATTCAGAATGACTCTGCAATGGCTCCTGATCGGCGGATTCGCTTACAGGCTTAGACCGCCACCATGTCCGGTTGGCCAGTCACTTTCCCCAGCCACGATGCCTCATTTCAAAAGTATCAAGGTGGGCCGTCATCCTCGTCAAAGAATGTTTGATAAATGACTTTTCATCACCCGAGCGAAACCAAGACTACGATTCCACCCTCCGAACCGGAAATCCTCCAGTCCATCCCACCCACCCCGTCTCCATGGGGCCACGAGCTAACAAAATCAGATACGCGACACCAACAAAGACGATATTAACCGATCCTGTCAAAATCCAACCCCTTTCACTATAAACGCGGTTCCCCACCGCCGTGCCCATCAATTGGCCACAAAAGGCGCCGATCATGTATGCGGTATTAACCCGACTACGCGCCTTGGGCGCCACGCGGAAGATTGCCGTGCGATTGGCAATCTGCGTCATCTGCAAGCCGAAATCCTGAAAGGCGGCTTGAAGGACCGGGCCTGCGACGAAGAATGTACCGGTGTATGCACCAATGCAGATGCCAGTGACCATCATCGTGAGGGTGATGAGAATGGAAAAATGCTGTGCATATTTATCGATGACAAATCGCGAGTAAAAAGGGCCCAGGATCATCGGGGTTAGGCCCGCCAGGGAAAATAAACTGATTTGGACGGTCGAGAAGTAGTACGGAGTTCCGGACAACAGGAAGGTCAACGTTGTCCAGAAGCTGGTGAAAGTGGCGGAGAGGAAGAACCCCATGAGAGTGGCTTGGATTAGAACTGGGGATGACACGAAGTAGGTTGCGATAGTCACCAGGATCTTGAGGTATGAGACGTTCGTGTTGACAGGGGGGTAGTCCGGCATGAACGTCCAAATTAGTAGAACGATAAGGTATTGAAGACCAAGTGCTAGCCAGTATATATTCCGCCATGAAGAGTAGGCGGCGATGATTCCGGATAAGAGTCTTGCGAAGAGAAGGCCAAGGACGAGGCCGGACGATACAATTGAAAGGGCAGTTGCGCGTCGCGCAGGAGGGACGAGGTCTCCGACGAGTGGAAGCATGATTTGCTAGAGGGGGCAGTTCAGTTTCGAGTGCTTTGAGTTTCTTGATGGAGGAAACCGGTCATCGTAAATCCTGGCTTTGCTCGGGAGTCCGAGTCCACTTACCGGAGTGACGGTGGTGACCGAGGTCAAAAAGTTCAGGCAGAGAAACACATTGAAGGAACTGGTGATGCACAGGCCAATCCACAAGGTAGTCGTAATGAAGGTCAACCAGACCATGAAATGTCTTCTCCGCACTATGTCACCCAGCGGGCACAGGAAAATGATACCTATGGCATATCCGGCCTGGCTACAGGTGGGGATGAGGGAGGCTCTTTCTTGTGAAACGTCGAAGAATTGAGCCAGTTCATCCAGAATCGGATGTGAATAGTATAGATTGGCGACCTATTGTAGGTTTTGTCTGTGTCAGCCATGTCATATTCAACATGACCTTGGAATATATCGTGTGGAAGAGAGGAAGTATGCATTTTCTTATTCCCTACCGTGAATGTGCCAGCAAAAGCAAAGAGAAAGTTCAAGGGGAGTCCAAATTTAGGCGGACTCTGTTCATCCCAGCGACACCATGGCGGAGTCCATGCAAGAGCATGAATCAGACGAGCCCATCTGCCCTGGGTGGGCGTCGTGGTGGGCGTGTGGGGATCCTCCGGGAGATTGCCGAGGGCCGGGGTCTGGGGATGACACGGGGTTGACTCTAGGTGCTTCTCGGCACTTTCTATAGAGGGTGGCATTTTTTGAAGCCGAAGAAAAGAAAGTGGAGATTGGGAGAGCCATGTATGCTTGAGTGGTTAAGTGGTTGAATGTTGAATGTCGGAGAATTGAGCGAACGCCCTTAGCGGCCCCACTTGGAAGCCGGTCGCGGGAACAAGTCTTGATTCAGGCTTCCGGAAAAGTGACTGAGTGGATTCCAACGCTGGTGGGGTGGAGTGAGGCTCATTCAATGTAGTATCCCATCACCAACTGCCACCGTGACGTACTGCGGATACATCTGTTGATGCAAGAATAGATACCAGTTGAACATGAGAGATTATGTATTTATTTGTAGGTACTGAAATAGGATGTAGAATATAGTAGCAGTAGCAGCAGTAGTAGCAGTAGTAGTCTATGATATGAGTGATCCAGATCGAATAGATAGTACTAGTGTATAGTAGTGATCTATTCTGGCTGTTACAAATTTACGGTGCGCACTCCAGGTGTAACGCACTGGGGTTGTTAGTTACCATTCGCGGATGCCTGACGTAGATGGCATCCACTTAGGCATCCACGCCTAACATGTACTTAGTTCTATCTCAGCTTCCTCCTTCTTCTTCTCCTCAAGCTATTACTTTCGTCGAAAAGCTACTGTTTCCTTTTTTTTTCGTATGCTACGCCGTACGTTGATCTCTGTGAGCATTTGAGCATCCTCACACCAGGCTGGTATTCAAGTTGCTATACTTGCATACTACTAGGTAGTATACTCCAGGCTCCTCTTGTCAGTCTTACTAGTATTATTCTATTGGTAGATTTGATCCACTGATGAGTCATACTGAAGAGTCTAGCACTAGTCAGCAGTGCTCTAGTTGATGTATACTCAGCCTCACACTTCGTACACTACTACTATTCCTCCTAGTAACGTGACTATACCAGTACCCCTGGACCGAGTTAACCGTGGTTCCCCATCGATTCAACCTTGGAACAGAAGTATGCAGTAGTACACTCTGACTACACTGGTCACTATAGTATCATACTGCTATACTATACTATACTAGTAGTATACTAGTAGTATACTATAGTACACTCACTGCAACAGCCGCATCTCAATCAGCAGAAGCAGCTCTGCTGCCTCTGCCTGCCTGCTGCCTGCTGCTGCTGCTGCTCCAGCTGTACTGCCACAGCACAGTACTGCATGCAGTATACCTACTTCCACTACACTACGCTGGCGATATTATTGGGCGTTCCTGGTGAGGCAGAGCCAACGCATCGGAGCCTGCGTGGGTCAGCCTGATTGGACTGGCTGCCTAAGCACGAACCCGATTAAAATCCTCTTTCTTTTTGTCTTTTGTCTTTGGTTATTTTTTTCTTTCCTTTTTCTTTCTCTTTTTCTTCCACTTCCATTCCACTTCCACTTTGTCCTTGTCTTTGTCTTTGTCTGCGTGTCTGTCTTTGTTTACAGAGTAGTATAGCTATAGCTATAGCTACATCTCCACCACAGCTCCAGCTCTGCTCCACTTCCCCTCCTCCACTCTCCTCCACCTCCACCTCCACCTCCACCTCCAATCTCATCTCCACCATGACTGAGCCCATCGACCAGGTCGAACCATCCGACCATACGGTCCCGGCTCAGGATGTCTCAGTCAAGGATCCAGCCACAACTACTACCACCAATACTTCTCCAGAGGGCGCTAAATCCTGCAAGAAACATCCCGATCACCCCGACCAGAAACAAAAACTGAAACAAAAAGATAAGCGAAAGAAGCGCTCCAAAAAGAAGTCCGCACGCGACGATGATGATGAGACCGAGTCCTCTGATGATTCCTCCTCTTCTTCCTCCGATAATTCCGACTCTTCAGACTCCGGGGACGCCGACTCCGAATCCGACTCCAGCGAATCCGACGAGCTCGACCGCCGTAAGCGCAATCGAATGCGCACCAAGGCTCGTGCCAAACAAGCTCTCAAGGATAAGAGGCGAAAGAAGAAGAAGAATCGCTCGCGCCAATCTCGCAAAGTGGTCTCTTCTGATTCTGACTCGGAGTCTACACTAGACTCGGAATCCGAGGATGATTCCGCCAACGAATCGGATGAGTCGCTCGACGAAAAGGCTCTGCGGAAACTGGTCACTCGGTTGAAGCTGAAACGCCAGGCCAAGAAGCTCCGAGATCAAACCAACGATGATTTGGGTCTGGGTGATCCCCTGGGTGATGGTCGCCGTGAGAAACGCTCCAAGAGGAAGAAACCTGCCTCTAAAGTGGCATTTAAGCGTGTGGATCAACGTAAGCATCTCTTTATTTACTGCTCCGGTCAACTGTTTCTCGGTCCGAGCCTAAGCTAACCCTACACTTCCAGTATGGGATACCACCATCCACAAGTACAAACTCACCGAAACTGTCGACGACCCCGATGCGAACGAGTGGGATCAATACATCTTCACCGTTCGCCGCAAGTTTAACTGGGAAAACAAATACCTTGATACCGTCGTCGATATCAAGAGCAAATACCTGCGTGATGCCCTCGCCAAAGTCATGGACGGTGTCAAAGGCGTCAGTTTGGTCCAGGAGACCGCGGTCGTCGATCCCAACATGCTCTTCCTCTACCTCGAGGAGACTCGTCAGTGCATGAAGGATCTTCGCAAACAATCCCGTCGGGAGAAGAAGAAAAAGGCCCGCAAAGCTGCTGCCAACAAGGCGGCTCATCTGAAGGTCCTGATCAAATACCTCGACACCGACTACGCCGACATCAAAAAGACCCTCTACCCACTGCTCGAGGTCAACACCATCACCTTCGACTTGCTCTGGGCGCTGTACAAACCCAACACCATCGCCTACTGCCCAACCTACGGCAATTCCGATGAGCCCCGCGCCTTCAAAATGGAGTACGCCATCAAGGAATCCTCCTTCATGAAGGGTCAGTGGTACAGCGTCGAGGGTCGCTATCTCGAATATGATGGTAAAGACTTTGGCTTTGGCACCATGTCCGCCGAAGTTGAGTCCTTCAAGGGAGCCCGCAAGATCACCAGTCTCGCCTGCTATCCCCTGCAGTATCACCGAGACTCCGAGGCTTTGCGTGGCCGACTGATTGAACGCGGGAAACGATTTGTCGCACTCCGCGGCATGAATTACCGATTCCACAAGGGCATGGCGTTTTACAAGAAGAAGCGATCCTTCGTGGTCAAAGTCAATATCAACGGTCGCGTGATGATCGACCCGGCCATCCATCGTCGAATCAACCCCAACTACCCCATCAGCACCGTCCGCCCCAAGGACCCCGATCTCCTCGATCCATCCGAAGCAGGCATGAGCGATGTTGAAGAAGACGGCAGCGATGGAGGCGGCTGCTGCTGCGGAGGCTCAGAATCGGATTCAGACAATGGTGGCTGCTCAGATACCCCACGAACAGTATACAAAGTGATCGAGGGAGATGACGGCAACCCACGCGTCGTAGAAGTCGAAGTCGACGAGAACGGGCAAGAGATCACCAAGGAGAAGATGGATCGAATTGAAGGCGACGCCACCTCTCCTTCCCAAGAACGCGAATTCACCGAAGAAGAGCTCCTCATCGCCAGCCCCGTCGTACTAGGCTTCGCCTTCAGCGAAAAGCTCTGGCTCGAATTCACCATCTCTGGAATCAGTGACATCGAATGGAACGTGGACGCCTTCGACTCACTCGTCCTACCAAACAACCAAAAATCCATCGTGAAAGCGCTCGTAGAATCACACACCTTCCACGCAGCCGAGAACATCGACGACGTAATCCAAGGCAAAGGAAAAGGCCTCGTCGCCGTCCTCCACGGACCCCCAGGAACCGGCAAGACCCTCACAGCCGAAGGAATCGCCGAACTCCTCCGGCGACCACTATACATGGTCAGCGCCGGTGAACTGGGTACCGACTCACGTACGCTGGAAGCAGAACTGAACAAGATCCTCGACATAGCACATTCCTGGGGCGCAGTCCTCCTCCTCGATGAAGCGGACATATTCCTCGAAAAGCGCACCATCCACGACATCCACCGTAATGCGCTGGTTAGCATCTTCCTCCGACTCCTGGAATATTTCCAGGGTATCCTCTTCCTCACCACAAACCGGGTGGAAACGTTTGACGATGCGTTCCAGTCCCGCATCCACGTCGCCCTGCGGTATGGCGATCTCACTTCCAAGGCGAAACGGAGTATCTGGAAGATGTTCCTGGAACGAGTGCGTGCGATTGAGGGGGTGAAGGTGGCGACATTTACTGAGGAGAATTATGATATGTTATCTCGGCATACGTTGAATGGGCGACAGGTGAGTTTGAGTATTAGCAGTAGTAGTGGTGGCGGTGGTGGTGGTGGTGGTGGTTATATATCCGATGCTAACATATGGACCAGATTAAAAACTCCGTTCGCACCGCGCAGGCTCTGGCGGTAAATGAGAGCTCCCCCTTATCAATGGATCACATCAAGCGTGTGCTAGAAGTCGCCGAGACTTTCGACCAAGATTTACGTGGTGGAACGGGGTACCTGGATGCGATGCGTAGCTATACCTAAAGAAACCCTCAATTGGTGACTAGGTATATGGATGAATATCTCTCCTCTCTCTATCTCTCTCTCCTCTATTTGATTTCATTTCAATCATTTCCTTATTCCTTATTCCTTATTTGCTTACTCATTTCCCTTATTTTCCCCGATTTAATCTGATCTGATCTGATCTGATCTCATCCCTCTCACTTCTCTCATCTCTCTCATATCATTGCGGAGAATTTCCTTTCATTCCAATCCTTGCTTCTTGGAGTTGAACACGAGGAAGATTGCAGGTCATGCATGGACATGGGTTTTCGGGCATTCAGGAGATTGGAAACTTGCGAAAGTTCGGGGCATCGAAAGACTCGGATCTGAGATATGATAGGTTCAAGTTCACGCCATTAGGTCATGGTAGCTACTAGTAGTAACGAATCTACGACTGCATCTGCATTTATCTACTTGCTACAGCAAATTATTTACTACTAATCTACTCTATAGTCATAAGTAGGGAATTGAATGGTAGATCGAAAGATCAATCAGATTCACGCTCGATCGTACATAGGAGAATTAAGACCAGATCGACCAGACTAGGCCACACAAGCCTAATCCAGCCGCCCAGCCCGACTAGACCATGTTATACATAATTTAAGGGTTAGCCTTGACGAAGTCAACACCCTTCTGGATGTTCTTCTTCAGGTCAACGAGGCAAGCATCAACAAGCTTCTGCTCATACTCGTTGACGGGGCCGACCTCGTGGATCTTCTCAACACCGTTGGGGCCAAGCTCAACCTTGGAAGCGAAGAAGTTGACACCCTGGTCCTTGAAGAGAGGAGACTCAACGAAGGTAGGCTCAACAACACCCTTCTCACCCTGAGCAGCGCGGAGCAGAGACTCAGCGAAGCGGGCACCGGCCATAGCCATGGAGAGGGTAGCAGAGCCAGCACCATCCTTGGCCTTGACGACCTCGTCACCACCGAACTGGATGCGGTTGACGAGAGCGTCGCGGGTCTCACCGGAGATGGAGGCGTGGTTGGACTGGGACAGAAGGGGAACGATGGTGACACCGGAGTGACCACCGACGACGGTGACCTTCTCGGCGGCGGGGTCGGTGGACTGGACCTCGGAGATGAAGCGCGAGGCACGAACGACGTCCAGGGTGGTGACACCGAAGAGGCGCTTGGGGTTGTAGACACCGGCGGCCTTGAAGACCTCGGAGACGATGGGGACGGTGGAGTTGACCTAATGCAACAGTGTTAGCAGGAATTCTCGGAAGTAAAGCAGATCTCGATTGCTGGATAGCAGAAGCATACCGGGTTGGCGATGACCAGGATGTTGGCGTTAGGGGCGGACTTGGCAGCAGCCTTGGCCAGGTCACGGACAATGGAGGCGTTGGTGTTGAACAGATCGTCACGGGTCATACCGGGCTTGCGGGGGACACCAGCGGGGATGAGGACAATCTCGGCATCCTTCAGGCAGGAAGCGAGGCCAGCCTCATCGGGGTTGTAGCCGGTGACGACGCTGTTGGTGTTGATGTGGCTGAGATCAGCGGCGACACCTGGGGAGAAGAGAGTACAGGTTAGCAATTGCGCGGGAGTAGCAGCAGTAGAGCCTCGCAAGGAGCATATGCATACCGGGTCCACCACGGATATCGTAGAGGGCGAGGTCAGAGACACGGGGGTTGAGCTTCAGCAGCAGGGAGAGAGGCTGGCCAATACCACCGCCAGCGCCGAGAACGGCGACCTTGGAGGCCTGTGATTGTTTAGTTAGCAGGGAGCTGAGAATAAGAAAGAGGACAATGGAATACCTGAGCGGCAGAAGCGGAGAAGGCGCGCTTCTGAAAGAGGGAGAAGGATCGACGAGCAGCAAACATGATGAAGATAGTCTGGGGGGAGATGGGGAGGAGAAGAAGAGAAGCCGGAGAGAGAAAGAGGAAGAGGAAGGGAGAAAAGCTTTGGCGTGTAAAGCGGGTCCACCCTGCACTTCCGCCGTCCCGAGCTCGGCCGATGCAGTCGGTGCTGTGCATGTGTATATCCATACAGGGAATTCATAGGATTAATAGAATTATTCAATTGCATTAGGGTTGGCTTGCAAAACACGTTAGGGTTTTAGGGTTTATAAAATAAGGGGTTGGGGTTTAATAGTTACTAGTATCTACATCGTGGTGGAGGCGACCCTATACAAATAGTAACAATATACCGAGTACAATATATGCAAACGCCTCGCTATGAACCGATTCTGAATACACATCCCCCTTCCTCTGCCCATTCTCACCGCAAAAAGTGCAAGACCAACCAGCAAAACAAGAAAAACACAACCACTCCTCCCCAGAATATCCACTTGTCCTGTTTCGCCCGCCGCTCAACCATCCGAATCGTGTCACCACTCACCCCCAACGTATTAGCCACACTATACAACCGGCGTTGTGTCCCCTTCAGAATCTCTCTTTGTTCGCCCAAATCAGTCAACACCGCCCTTCCTCGATCCAAGAAATCATCCAGCTGGGTGTGTGTATTGGCAAAGAAGGAGTGTTCGCGCAGCGCATGCGCCTCGCGTTGCGCATCCTGAGGACCACCCCCAAAACCGAGACCTTGTGACCCATATCCGCTGGGCTGAGAGGGTTGATCGTATGGATTCTCGGGCGTCGCAGTATGGTGTGGTCGGCGGCCGAAGAGCTCGTTACTCTTGTGAACGGATTGCTGTAGGTAGAGAAGGAGATTAGCAGGAGTCACAAATCACGAGTCACTGTGTCAGCCAACTTGGAGGGGCCAGGGTCAAGGATAAATTACAGCTTCTTCCCTCTCCCTCCTCAATTTATCAAATTGACTACGGTAATCGCCCAGCTCATCGCGGAAATTCTTCACCCGGTCAAAGGCCTTTTGCTGTTTCTCCGGAATTAATTCTTTCTTCGAGAGGGCAGAGTAGTCGTCCACGGTCCGATTCAACGAGGCCAACGAGGCGGCAATTTGGCCTGCGATCGGTCAGTATTGCAGTAGTAGTAGCTGGTCAACAGCGAGCTCAGGGACACACCTTGCAAGGCGGGGGAGGAGGTGGCCGGGGACTGGGAGAAGGTGTCCAGATCCCGACGGATCGCGGAGGATTGTTTCAGGGCGGAGTTGAAGAGGGAATTCTGGGGGTGTTAGCGAATGCGACTCGAATGCGCGGTCGTGAATGGGGATGGGGGTCATACCATGTTGGTGGTGGGAATGAGAGTTGGAGGGGAGGGGGGAGTGCTGGATTATCGAGGCCAGTAGAGAGAGCAGTTCGGCGCGTATCTGATCCACCCGTTCACTTAAGCAGTGATTGTCTGCAATGACTTGATTGTTATTCCAGTTGGATGTTGTTGGTTCACGCAAAGCCAAAAGGAAAACTGGCCCAAACACAGCTCACCGCCTTCCTACGTCATGCACCTTGTAGCCTGCATAGACAAGAGCGTCCTCGTACATACTTAAATCAATAGTTACGGGGAAGTTATGCATCTGCATGTACGGAGTACTGCTTAAGTACGCTAGTACTATTCTATATCCCCGGTTCATCAATTCAGATCTCTATTAAAGTAGTGATATTCGTATTGGTAATATAATTGGCATTGGTACTGGTACTGCATGGCATCCATTGCACGGAATACACCCAGTTAAACAGCCCGCACCCGCAGGAAGAGCAGAGATGGTATATCAAACAAAAGATCAAGCAAGAGAAATTCGTCCACCTATTTGGGGGGGTACTTGTTCTGGAGGAACCACCTGCGAAGGGGTTAGCACACATAGTTCGCATCATGGACATGGACCAGTCCAGCAACCCAATTCGCGAAAACTCTGGGGAAAAGGATTAACTCACTTGCTAACATAGTAATCCGCCACACCAAAAGCACCCACGGCTCCAGACACCAACCCAACAAGCTCCCACGAGAGCTTACCAGCAACATGCTTGCGATAAGCGCCGAAACCAAGACCCGCACCGACTAGAGTCATCACCAGGGCATTACCAATATAGACCGGGTTACCGGCATTGGCCGAGAGACCACTGCTCTGGGCCTTGCGAGCCTTGGCCTTCTTGCGGGAATCTTCACGGGCGCGCTCGCGCTCCTTCTCTTCGGCCTCGCGCTCCAGGCGCTCGGCTTGGGTGGTGGTTTGCACGTCCTGCTTGAGGAAGTCTGGGTCGACGGCTTGGACGTGGGGGGAGTCGACATCGATCAGGGAGGCGGTGCTTTCGGATTCATCTTTGTAGATACCGCCTACATTGGGGGCGCGGCTGTGGGATGGTCAGTATAAGTTGGGTGTGTGGACACAGGATAGTGTGGTCACTTACGCCTAGTACAGTGTTAGCTTGGTGTTCGCGATGAGGGAGCTTAAATGAGCTCGAAAGAACTGAGCTGGGTGGGCTGGGTGGTCTGATTTGACTTACATCCTCGGGGGCTTGCTTGGGGCCCTTGGAAGCGGCGTCGGCGTAGGACATGATGGAAGGGGTGGAATGGGTGGAAGTGAGAAGGGTAGATTGGAGGGAGGTAAAAGGGTAGAGAGAGAGAGAACTCGAAGTGGAGTGTGACTTTAAGGATCAGCAGGGGTGGAAGAGGGAGAAATGGTTTTATAGCAGCAGCAGAAGAAGCAGGTGAACTGGTGAACCTTGGAAGTCGCATGACATCACGTCATGTGGGGACTAGCACATGCATACAGTAGTACTCCAGTAGAACTGGCGATATTCGTACAGTTGTAGTTTAGTATCTTTAGGGTTTTAGGGTTTATAAAAAGAAGAGAGTCAGTTAATTACCATCCAGTATAGTAATAGTATATTTATTTACTTTCAGCCCAGGTATACCCCAATTGAGTACCAGCTCTGCTGTGTTGAGCAGTTGACGGGGAATGACTAATCCGCCACTGACGTGCTCTACCAAAGTTACCTGCAAGTGGCTAGTAGTGAACTATTACTAGGAGTAGGATAACCCAATATTAGTGGTCGATATTTGGCATATTTAAGCTATTTCTATTTCTATTTCTACTTCAAGCAAAACATCAACAGTCTTTCCATACGACTGGGTATTACACACGGCCAATCTGCACTGTCAGATTCACTACTCGTATGTACACACTGTAGCGTTATTCTTGGCATCCCGGAACTACGGAATTACTTAACTCCGCAATGGTGATGGCCTCAGGGTTAGCTGCATTGCCAGCTCACACTTCATGTTTCATGTTTCATATATGCAGGACTAGGGTTACGAGTACGCTTGCCTGCATTGCATGTTTGCTTCAAGTTCCATTGCTTTCTGCTGCCAAGTGCACACCGTTTGTCATGAGATAGGTAGATATAGCGAGGATTCCCTCCATCGCACACATCCCATAGTGTTCCTCTGAAATCAATCACCATTTGAACCACAATGGCCAACCTGACCAAACAATCCGCCTTCGCCAGCCCTCTTCTGACTCTTCCCCATGAGCTTCGCTTTCAAATTTATCGCTATGCTTTCACTCCAAACGAAGATGAGCATCCAAATATGTGGGGGTCACTCCCCTCCAATATGCTCAGGCCACTCCGCACATGCCGACAGATCTACCAAGAAGCCAAATTTTTGGCAATCTCATGTGTCTCGTGGCCTGTGGATTGCGGCGGTGACTTGGATTTCGCCGGTTATTATCCCAATCTGAACCCCGATATGCTCTCGGCCATCAAATCCGTCACTTTCTGCTATCACATGGATCACACGTCCCGAGGGGAACATAATTGGCTGTTTTACCTTCCTGATTATCCCTTTGACAAGTTTGGGCTTCATAACATCGAGGAACTGGTTCTTTGGCCAACGGGACAGGATGAAACGTGGAAAAAGTTGAAACCTCGAGAGGATGCCGTAGGGGGTCCTGATTCCCCCGTCGAAATCACACTTGCTGCATTTGCAAGGGCTCTGATGGCTACCATTCGACGAAGAAAGGCGCTGAAGAAAATAGTTGTCGATTGTAGACAATTTATTCTCAGGAAGAATCTTCCCAAATTGCGCAAGGAATTTAGATCAGAATTCGCTGCGCCATCTTTTCAGAACTGGAGCTGTGAACAGCTTGAGGTTGCATTTCAGGGCGATTACTATAATTGGGCTCAGCGTTGGTATATTATTGTCGTCGAGCCTGATCTCTGGAGGCTAGTTTATGAGGGTCTTGACGACGAGGAGCGGTCGGTGACGTTGGAATTCAGGGTCTCGGATGAATGGGAGGCATACTATGCCAAATATGCGGTTGACTCCCCTCCACTTAGGGAAAGGCAGCTCGCCTTTTTCGAGAGGGTGTTAAGTCCCGGTCTTCTGGAGACTTTAAGGAATCTCGCAGCAGCGCAGGCTGAGAATGGACAGGGGGAGATGAGCCAGACGAGAATGGACATGATGACGATGACCCAAACGAAAACGACCAAGGGGTTGCCTTCGATACAATGGATGAGGAGGACTTCGACAACCTGAGTGAAGGCGAGAGTGTTTACACTCGTATGCCAACCCGGGCCCCTACCCCAGAACCGGAATAGCGGATAGTTCAACAATTGCGGCGGCTGGTATTGCCGGGGCTATGGAATGGGTGGAACAACAGATATCAGAACTGCTCAGAGGCACTTTGGATCCAAACCGTCCTCGTCGTAGTGGGGATGCGCGTTGACTACTAATAGTACTAGTAGTAATTCAAGTTGTTGTGATGCGAGCAAACTTGAGATCATCCCAGTCTGCCTCAAGGCTATCCAAACAGCCGACTTGAAACTGCTTTCTAATCAATTTGGTTTTAATGCTGTATATGGGCGTACGTAGTAGTAAAGCGTCATGTATTAATTTAGTAAAGCGTCATGTATTAATTTCCTCGGACACTCGAAACCCCTTTTGCAAGAAAAGCTCGCCCGGGACTTGAAGGTAATTGCTCTAGGACCTAGGCACAGGGCTGTTTTATGGCGCGGTTGATTTTTGTTTCCCCACTCCTGGACAATAAAAAAGTATAAATCTAGATGTCAACCCCATAGCGTGTTTCATATCAGAAATGTTGAGACTCCCCCATGGCCTCAGGCAGCAAGATCGCCACGCCACCGTTCTATCTCCAAATAGCCTCGCTCTCTTCCCCTCTCTTATCTGACCATCACTTGCATTTCTCTCGCTCCTCCGCGGAGCCAGTAGCAGAAGGCCTTTTGCTCGGCACGCCTTTCTGATAAAAATGAGAGGAAAGAGCCATAGTGAGCTGCGCGAATAGCGAAAAGTCCGACCGGAAACGATCTCTTCGGGTGTTAGCTAACATACATGCCAGCAGGAACCTCGTTCGGAGAGAACAAAGTCAGAACGCGTCAATGCAGTGTTGCATTGTTGAATGATCGTGATCATGGCGCCGATAGCGTGATTAAAATATGGCCAGTTTAGGCCCAATGGCCGTTCTCCACTTACTTCTCGGCGGAAAAACACAAGCTTTTGAGTATTGCGACATCTGCGCTTGGGATTTGCTTGACAGCGACGGCAGCTATAATAGCTGGCCGGCGGGTCGAGATTTTGCTTCAAAAATTTCCGAAGTGTTGTCGTTTCGCGCCCTTTTAACTCATGATGGGTATGTACTCACTATCGCCAACCCTTTGGGTGGAGACTCCGCGGGTAAACAAGTCCGCTAACGCGCGGGATCATTCTTAATTTCTAGCAGCGCCACACGCGGACGAGTCAAACGGCGCAGTGACCACCGATATTATTTCCAAGCAGTCAGAAAAAGTGCAGACGGCAGCGCAGGAAATAGACTCAGACACCGAAAAGCCTCTTCCAACGGAGGAAGAAAACGAAACCCTACGTAAGGTTGCCGATAACCTGCCATGGGTATCTTTCTCGCTTTGTCTCGTTGAGTTTGCAGAGCGAGCGTCTTATTATGGCGCTAAAACCGTGTACGCCAACTTTATCGAGTACCCGCTTCCAGAAGGTATTTACAATCTCTACGATCCCCAGTCTGTGCTACGCCATAGATACCAAGACCTCTTTACTAAAAGCTATTTTCTAGGGGGAAATGGTGCTGGGGCTCCTCCACGAGGAACACAGAAGACTGCAGGTGCCCTAGGTATGGGCTTGCAAGCCAGTAGTGGCTTGACTCTGCTATTTGTCTTCTTGGCCTATGTGATTCCCATCTTCGGTGGATGGTGGGCGGATGTTTATGTTGGACGTTACAAAGCTATCTTCGTCGGAGTCGTCCTATGTGGTATAGCTCATATCATTCAACTGGTCGGTGTTATCCCATCAGTTCTACAGAAAGGACAGTCAAACGCTGCTCCGCCATTCATCCTCGGTCTTTTGATCCTAGCGTTCGGAGCTGGTATATTCAAGCCCAATGTATCTCCCCTCATTTTGGATCAGAACAAAAACAAAAAGCCTTTCGTACGGACTCTCAAGTCTGGAGAAAGGGTAATTGTTGACCCGGAAGCAACTACAAACAGGATTATGCTTCTGTTCTACGGTTTCGTGAATATCGGTGCTTTCTATATGCTCGCCACAACATATGCAGAGAAATATGTTGGATATTGGCTGTCCTTTCTATTATCCGCCGTCATCTACTTTCTGCTGCCAATTCTACTGTTGGTGGTCTATAAGAGATTGCACAAAGAGCCTCCTAGTGGAGGGAAAGAGCTCACCGAAGCATTCAAAATCACCGCAAGGGCACTTCGCGGCAGCAAATTCAAAATCTGGCGAAAGGACTTTTGGGATTCCGCAAAGCCTTCTAAGCTTGAAAGTCAAGGTATCAGCGTACCTTGGACAGACAAGACTGTTGCAAAGGTCGCGACAACTCTTCAAGCATGCGATATTTTCATCTACTTTCCAATTTGGTATATGAACGACGGAGGCCTCGGCTCTGTCCAGTCAAACCAAGGCGGATCGATGGTAACAAATGGAGCTCCCAACGACATCTTAAACAACTTCAACGCCTTGACAATCATTGTCACAATTCCTCTTTTAACATTCGTGATATACCCAACTCTACGCCGCTACAAGATGACCCCAGGCCCGATAACTCGAATCACCTTTGGCTTCTTCCTAGCCACACTTTCCGGTCTTGCAGGAACGTTGACGCAGTGGAAGGTTTACGAGCTCTCACCTTGTGGATATCAAGCCTCCACCTGCGATGAGGTGGCACCGATCAGTATTTGGTGGCAGCTTGCTACTACTGTCCTTGCTGCACTAAGTGAGTGTTTCGCGGCTGTGACTGCATATGAGGTTGCCTATGCACGGTCACCGAAGAGCATGAAGAGTCTGGTCGTGGCTGTCTTCCTTTTCATGAATGCTTTGAGTAGCGCCCTTGGAGAGATCCTTATTCCAGTTACGAAAGATCCATACCTCTTATGGCTCTGGGGTGCCCCTGCAGTGGCTCTAGCGGTCCAGTCTATAATCTTCTGGTTCAGGTTCAAACATTTGAATCATGAAACATTCAACGCGGGGATGAACTTGATGAGGAAGATGAACAGGAGCAGGGGCAGAAGGCTGCGCTGAGGGTTTAGATTACAGATGTAACTCATTGATATCAGACAACTATATCAGGATATCTTCAATTGCAGCTTCAACAATGAAAATAACAATAACAATAACAATTTAGAGCTCAACTAAAACAAGTGCCATCTATTTTTCCTCGGCGTATGTAGTTATCAAGTAGCTGAAATCGGAACCCTAAATTGTGGTAGTATAGCGATAGGGTGATAGACAATTCAGGCACTGACAGTCTGCAGGGACAGAAAGAAATACCGACGAAATAATTAAAGTCTCGAGAACACCAGTATTTGAGCATAAGCGCCAGAGCGGCTATCCGTTCTTCTATATGCGCAGACCTATTGGATCGTGGCTATCATGCAATTGCAGAGATACCTAATAAGGCGGGTTGGGGCACAGAAAAGAATATTGATGGCGACAGGACCTGGACATTTTTTTTCCGCGAAGAACAGAATCACTCACAAAAACTTGATTCCCATTGATCAATTTTGAATTCCTAATGGTTCTCATGTTCGATAGAAGCCAAGAATTGCTATAACTAACCCTCATTCGTTCCATCTGCAGGCTATTTCCACATGCTTTAGGGCTTAGGGCCTTTTACACAATTCTCGGTATATGGTACCCAATTTCTCGATTGCTCAGGGCTAAATGATATTAGTACTAGTAGTACTTGCCCAGGTCGCGTAGTCAAGTGTAGTAGTTTACGAACTTTTATGAGTTATAAGGTCTTATCTCCGCCGCATCTTCCGGGGCCCGTGAGTATCTACGTCCGCTTTTAAATTTAGGGGAAATTTGAAAAAGATGAAAGCGAATATTTCTGCATTTCTTATATACATTATATTTACATACATATGTGCTTGTAATCATACCAACTGCCAGTGGCCCCAACAGGTGGAGGCTTGGGCATGTGGTCTGATGTAAATCCATGGGTATTGCCTAGGTAAAAGGCACAACATACTAAACAGCTAGTAGTAAATGCGTACTCCTATCGAACCCAATCCCATGCGCTTACTCGATAGGAGCATAGAAGCTCAACTTACCTCGGGGGTCATACTTGTGCTTGAGTCCACGCAGGCGCTCTTGACGCCAGTGTTCGCTACCGTAGATCTGCTGCGATGTCTCCGAGCCATAGGCATAGTTGATGTAGGCGCGGAAGTCATCGCGACCGGTCGCCGCAGAGAGGATGTTGCGAAGCTGGTTGCCAAGATCGGCAGCCTTACGCTCCAGGGCCTCACCGGCAGGGGCGTAGTTGATCATTGGGGCGGCAAGGATGTTTTCCGAGCGGAAAGCGAACGCAGTGGAGTCAGCAGCGATGGCGTGGACGCCCTCGGCGGAGTACCCCTCGAACATGAAGATGGAGTTGTTGAAGGGAGAAGAGCCGCTAACGGCGGGAGCGTAGATATCCCAGGCCTTCTTCTGGGCGGGAACGTTGTATTGTTCCAGATAGATGGGAAAGCGAGGGTTGGCGAAGCCGAGTTTCTGGCATGGAGGGGAGTCGACGGCGATGCTGGTCCAGTTGGCGAGGTCCTTATATGTTCCTGATTGAGGATTGATAGAGATAGGTCCGATATCGTGGAATGCCTTGGTGTAAGTGGACTCGACAGCCTTGACTCCTTCCTGGATGATATAAAAGACGATAACAGGGCTGTTGGGGTCAGAGCCATCGTTCATCCAGTAAGACCAGTTGATGACGCCGGCGGGCTGGGTGCCGTCTTTGACGAGATAGTCATTGGCAGCTTGGTAAACAGCCTCGACTTTGTCGCCACTGAAAGTGATGGTCTCGATGGCCCAGTCAGTATGCTCGATATCGTAGATCTTAGAGGTGACTGAGGTAACAATGCCAAAGTTGTGACCTGCGCCCTTCATTGCCCACCACAGCTCAGAGTCGGCATCGATGGTGGTCAAAGTGCCATCAGCAAGTACAACATTCATCGAGACAAACTGATCAGCGACAAGTCCGTGGTGGCCCTGGAGCCAGCCATGTCCACCACCAAGTGCAGGCCCCAGATAGCTGACACACTCGCAGGTTCCAGTAACGGTCTGCTTTCCAGCTGCCCACAAGTCATCGGTGATCTGCTTGGACATGACTCCACCTCCAATTGTGGCAGTCTTGCCATCGTCGTTAACCTTGACACTTCGCAACTTGCTAAGAGAGATGCCAATTCCGTGATCCATTTTACCCAAGGAAACAAGGGCCCCGTGGACCCCATTGTAGGCGAGAAATGGGACGTTCTTCTTGTTGGCATATTTAACCTTGATTGAAATCAAAGTTAGTGTACGATCATGTTGTCCAAATCACTCTCCATCAAAGAAAGATTGGACAGGGAGGTTGAATATGGGAACTTACAGTCTCAGCAACGTCATTCTCTGTCCCAGGACGACAACCACATTTACCTTGGGTTCCTCGAGAACAGACCAGCGGGTGGTGACATTTTCGAAGCCACTGGAACCAGGGTAATAGACTTCGGCAGTGCGGGAAAGGCTTTTGGCAAAGGCCTTCATGTCAACATCACCGGTAGGGCATTTTCCCTGCACAGAGCTACCCACCACAGTGGAAGCCAAAGCAGCAATGGCAGTGATCAACCTGAGGGAGAACATTTTTCCAATGCTTAACCAGAGAGATTGTCCAGCTCTCCAGAAAATCAAATATATGAACGACAAAAGAAAAAAAGGGAACCCAAGACTGCCAAGGTGGGGTCACCCCTTGCGTATCTTCCAACGTTCGAAGAGAAAACGACTAGTAGGCTGCTCCAAACCCCATTGAGGTGCAAGGTCCGAAACAACTAAAATTTCTAGTGTGCAGACCTTGAGCGCATCGGAGTAACTAACCCTATGAAAAACACCACTCTCAGTACAATTTATTCAAGATCTCCACCTGAGCGCCGACCGCGTCTGCATCATGGTCCGAGATCCGACCCAGAGATACAACTCGGGCGGTTTTGGACCCCAAGTATGTGGGGCGATTCGGAGCGATTTGGGCGCCGAGAGGCCCTTGGGAACCACAGCCCCCTCTAATTATGAATATTCATCCATTAGGAATGCAGAGCTTGGACGATCCACCCTATTAGGGAGCTACTGAGGCGCACTCGAATCCCTGTAGTTGCATCGTTTTTGAGAGGGCTCAGATTATAGTGCCGCCTCTCCGGATGCCGGTACTATAATCTGATCCAGCAGGTTGGGAATTAAATCTACTCTATTCGCAATAGCAGTAGTTAACACTAATGATCCGTGCACTTCCGAGATCCGTTGCTGTGAATTTAAATCATCATTAAGGGGAAGCCTCCCAGACTTCTCTTGGTGTACTGAGTTACTACTGTAGTTAGTTCAATTATGAATTTTGTAATCTATACATAGTACTCTCTGTAGGGAGTAGTACATGGAAAACGTGATGAAAGACTAAGAACGCACTATTTTACATACGATTGATGTACATAGAAGCTGATTTCGGATTGCCGAGCACAGATGGGGTTCTACAACAATTCAGCCAATCTAATTCTGTTGGTGGATCACGATCAGGTTTCACTGAAACGAACTCATTTTCTAACTTAATTGATCACGATATGTGGTTCCAGTCTTCGGCCGCAGGTTTCGGTCAATTAATATATGGAGATTACCATGTGGAGTGTCCATAAAACCGGCGCCGAAGGCGAGACCTTGGAACACCTGGACATAATACTACATGATCAAGGAGGTGTGGGGCGTACCCACTTACCAGAGAGGCATTCTCGCGCTGAGCTGCTTTGTCGGTTAGTCCGATTGCATCCTTCGGGTAGCTGAAAAATGGGTACGTAGTGTTCAAATCGCTGATTAAAGTTCTTGGAATGTGAGAACCACAGGTTCCAACCATGTGGTGTTGGTGGCCCCCCAGGCCCGAATTTTAGGGCAAGGATATTATTCTTTATTCAACAGTCTGACCTTATACTTTTTGCACATGCTTTTAATCGCTTTTCTAGAAAATCACGATCATTGAACGCTCAAAAATCTCCCGGATGGTAGAAACAATACGAAGGAGAGGGAAAACAAGCAGTGCATTCTCTACTATCGATAAACTTCCTCACAGCCATCCTCTCACGCTGATCCTACTCCACCAAACTTAACGTGCAGATCATGGTCTTTGCTTTATGGGTGCGGGATGCCGCCGCTGATGCTGCAAGGAAGACAAATATTGAACTATGGACTTTATACGGAATTGGTGTCGCTTTTACGATCCTCAGAACATATTCCCGAATTAGAGCTGTGGGCTTGAGAAATCTGCGACTGGATGACTATTTGATATGGATTGGAATTGTGTGTACTGTTCAATACTACTGGTAGCTGCGTGCGCCTACTGATACTATGATACAGATATTCTATACAGCACAGACGGCTCTGGCATATAATGTCGGTGCAGTAGCCAACGGCCTCGCAAATAATAGCATGACAGATGCGCAGCGGACTGCGCTATCACCGAGCAGCTCGGAATATTCCGCCAGGTATGCTCCCATTGAAAAGACAATAAATATGCAATGAGGGCCATGAACTAATATTCCAACTAGAGTGACTGGTTCCAAGATCCAAATCGCAGGATGGAGTACATATGTAGCATTGATCAACTCTTTGAAGTTATCAATGCTGGCATTCTATCTTCGCCTTATGGTATGTATTTCGACGATGTTAATTAAGGACTCGGATCTGAATCGATGGCTAAAAAATTATATTACAGGAAGGACTCGGCCGTCGATACCAGATTCCCATATACGTCGGCCTTGCCCTCATTACGGCGAGCTTCATCGCCAGCATGGTCGCGATTCTTGCATCATGCAGACCATTTCACAAAAACTGGCAGATTAATCCTGACCCCGGCAGTCAGTCTTGTCCCCCCGCTTATCTCAGACCTTGAGATTTATAGATCATACCATCATTCTTACTTTGATTTCTCTATCCAGATGTGTGCCAGCCAGCAATTTCCAAACCCGTCATCGCCGTGACCTTTGCCGCGAACCTCCTCACAGACCCATACCTGATCTTCATCCCGATTCCTATGCTCTGGAAATCCAGCCTAAAGGTCATCAAAAAGATTGCGACAACTATCGTCCTAAGCGCCGGTATTTTCATTCTCGTCTGTGCAACACTCAAGAGTGTCTTCCTACTAGTGGTTAGTTCCACCCATTAGGAATCGATTAAACCCATGGATACCCAGCTGACATGATTTTTACCTACTAGGATCCCGAGAACGGTGCTACTGTTGCCAACGAATGGGGTACCCGCGAAACCTTCGTCGCAGTCATTACAACCAACCTTCCAATGGTCTTCCACCTATTCCGCACATGGCTTACAAGGGTGTTCGGCAGCAAGTTTGGATCGTCTCATAAGACAAATTACAAGACACCCTCCGCCTCCGGCGGGTTGCATACTATCAGCGGTCGTGGAAACTTTGCTAGCCGCAAGGGCCGTTCAGACATGGATCCTATCACAATTGGGATGACATTCACTGAGAGTGAGGAACGGATGATGGAGGATGAGATCAAGATGCAGAATATCCGTCACAATGTTACACATATCCAGTCAACCGATAACGGGACTCCTTCTTCGAGCGGCATCATGGTCTCGAATCAGGTTGATGTTACGAATGAGTCTGTTAGTCGGACGAGTGATGGAGCGCGAAGTGTTCGGGAAGTATGGTAGCGGTGACTTATAATAAAAATATAGACTTTTACGATTTTGAATTCCAATTTGCCTTATACCCAATTATTTAAGCTGATACCTGATCTCAGCTACTGTGTGGCACCAACTATCTAGAGAACAATTCAATCTCTTGTCGAAACCTCCACCTTAACAACTTTCTGCTCAGAAAGCTCACCATGCTCCAACTTCGTGATCTCAGCACCAATTCCGGAGCACACGTATTTATCGAATTGCCAGGTGGGGACTTTGTTTTGAAACATCTCATCCAACTCTTCCAGCGATCTTCGGCTGGTCTCCGGCACACAGATCCATACAAATAACAGCGAGACGACAGAAAATGCACCGTAAATGAAAGTGACTCTCCCACCAATAGCACTCTGTACGTACGGATTGACGAAGTTGATAGGGACTGATGTTAGGAAGCTGCCCATGGACGCAAGGAACACGGTACGTTCACGAAGCTGACCTGTTCCAATCTCGCCAGTGACAATCCAGCATCCGGGACCCCACGTAAAGCCGTAAATGCAGTACCAAAGGATCAACAAAGCTGCACAGGCATTCTTTGCTTGCGAGGAAAGATCTGCGACCGTAGGGCTAGATTCAATGGCTCCTCCTGTACCCAGCATTGTGGCAGCGAGACCCACAGAGCCAAGAAAGAGAGAATTGCGACGACCGAGTTTGTCAAAGGTAACGAAAGTAATAATATGACACACAAATGAGCAGCCCGTAACGAGAACGTTGGTTTTAAGGGGATCAGGGAATCCCATTTGTTGCATAAATGTCACAATAAAATTTTGAATAAATGAGACACCTTGTGCTTGCTGAATAATTTGAACTCCCATCGCTGCAATGGTTCGACGCAGATTGGTTCCTTTGAAACAGTCCAAGACCGTCGTCGCTTTATGGAGCTCTCGTTGTTCTTCAATTTGAACACGGAGCATTTCGATTTCTTGCGTAATGGTTTCCGGATGGTTGTACAGCTTTTTCATGACCTCTTCTGCCTCGTCAAATTTTCCACGGTAGACAAGGTATCGGGGCGACTCAGGAAGAAACGGAAAGGCAAGTAGATATCCTACAGGGACGAACAATTGGCAGCAGATTACAATCCTTCGAGTTGATGACTTGGTCAGCTTGCAAATAAAAATTGACTGGGAATATGAGAAGCCTCCATACAGATACTGAGAGTTATCACTTCTGTTCCGGCATAGGTAGACAACGAGGGTTGCCATGAAAACGCCAAATGATGTGAAAAATGAATAGAGCGAAAGAAAGGCACCTATACCGTTAGATAATCGCCCTCATTGAAAAATTCATAGGCATGAGTACTAACCTCGAACACGCTGGGGTGAACATTCGGATAAGTATGTCGGAACAACGTTCGAAGCCAACCCAATGCCAGAGTAAACAATGATTCTCCCAACGGCTAGCTGCCAAAAGGAGGCAATAGCACTGGCTTCCAATATAATACCCACGATCATCAGGCACGACAAGGCCATAAAGCCCATCTTACGACCGAACCGTGAAGTTATTATTGGAGCTAGGATGCAACCAAGAATAATGCCAGCAGATCCGGTTCCAGTTCCAACGGAAGTCTTGTCAGAGGGAATTGCCCATTGATCAAGATCCGAATCATAGGCTCCATACTTGTGCTGGAATTCGGATAGGCCTAAAGCACCGCCCCACCAACCATTGTCAAAGCCAAATCCCATGGCTCCCAGTGACGCTGTGAAACCGATGAGGACCAGCCGCCAATTTAGGTCTTGGTACAAAGACGTTACCTTGAGAGTGGCCAACATAATGAAATTATCGCTGCAGGGGCGAGATCACAACTAGAATAAAAGGAATATATAATACCATATTATAGACCTATTAAAGTACGAGTAGGCTTATATAGATTTTCTGACCCCATGGGGAAGAAGCATCGAGTGGATGAATTTCCAAGGTCCATCTTCCAAAAAGCGGGGAAGCATAGAGCGACGAGCAAAAAAGGAAACGCGAGCCACAAACTGCTAATTGAACTCCGTTGCCAAGATATTGTTCGCAATGCTAGTCGAGTTGTAGACAGCTGACGAAGACCTTGGCTATGGGATCGATGTAAAGATCAGCAGTAAATCCCAGTTGTGACATTGCGTCAACCCCTTTTTTCTCTGTTTACTTCGACAGGAAACTGAGGATGATATTCCAGCCAAATCCAATAATAGATGCCACGGCCACTCTCCATTGCAAGGGAACGCATAGGAAATTGAAAAGGGCAACGAGAGGCCAAATCCTCCACCCAGCCTTCATAATTCCGACTATTCTCGCTTCAATTTCGCGAACCAGGAGGCTTGTGCTTTGGAGTCTGGCCCCAGTGGTGCAAGTGATGAATACGACGTTTGTGAAGCATAATCCAATGGTTTGGTCCAACAAAAGTTTCACAAGAACATTGCACCAGTTGACCCGATATTGTTCGTCGGACTTTCGAGTAGAAGATTGAGCGTGGGGGTTTGGTTCGGGGGTTGGCCCAACAACGCCATTCTGAGTTGGGAAAGTTTCCTCCAAAACACTTTGCCAAAGGGAGACCAAGGGCGCAGAGACCAAGCCAAATACAGCGAATTCAACTACTCGAGCCCAGTCCATTTCGGCTGGTGCTTCTGTTCCCCATTGTGATAGAGTCTGAGCCGTGATATTGGCGCCTGCTTTGAGGATGGCCGATTGGATAGTGACAACCACGAGGGAGGGCATGCCGGCATGAGATGTAAAAATTGATATTTTCCCTGTTCTATAGTGATCAGTGTATTTTGCTAGTAGATTCAAGTCTTATAGCGGTCAGTCAGTTAGCATCGGCTTGTTTGTTGCCCCCACGTCCCAATCAGGTATCCTGAGCCACCCTTACCTGATCCATCGACGAAGCCCAAGCTCTCGCCTATTTAGTGAAGGTGAAGTGAGTCCGCTGTTCATTCAAAATAATAGTGAACAGAAACAACTTATTCCACCTATCTCGTCATGGCTAGCCTCCGAAGGTTAATCCCATTGCTTGCTGCCTTTTGGGCCATTGTGTCCAACTCCTCTGCTCTCTCAGAGTGCCAGCTAAAAGAATCACCACAGCGGCGTCTTTTCCTATTGAGTGACATTGCAAATGAGCCTGATGATGCACAGTCACTAGTTCGATTACTTGTATACGCGAATGAGTTCCAAATCGATGGTCTGGTGGCCACTACAAGTTGGTGGCTCAATGACTCAACTCGTCCAGATCAAATGCGCGATATCGTGGGCGGTTACGCCGAGTGTGTCGAGAATCTCAGGAAGCATGCGTCAGGTTGGCCAGAGCCTGATTATTTGCTCAACCTGGTCAAGTCAGGCTCAACGAAATACGGGATGAATGGGGTGGGCGAGAACCAGAACAGCGAAGGGTCAGATCTTCTCGTCACGGCGGTGGATAGGTCAGAGGAACCATTGTGGATTCCCGTGTGGGGTGGTGCCAACACTCTCGCCCAGGCACTGTGGTATGTCAATGCGACACGATCAGCTGAAGAAACGGAGAAATTTGTCGCAAAATTGCGTGTCTACTCGATCTCCGATCAGGATAACAGTGGGCCTTGGATTCGAAGAAACTGGCCCAATCTGTTCTATATTGCGAGTGTGCATGACTTCAACCGATATGCAAACGCTGCCTGGGGAGGAATCTCAGGCGATGATTACTATCACTTTCCCAGCGGTGGAAATAAAGAAGTCATTTCGAAATCGTGGATCAAAAACCATATCCAATCTGTGGGTCCTTTGGGAGCACGATATCCCGACACGGAGTTTATTATCGAGGGTGAGATACAAAACCAAATCAGTTTTGCCTCAACTACTAATTGTTATAAGGTGACTCACCATCCCTGCTCTACTTGATCCCGAGAGGACTATCGGATCCTGAACACCCGGAATGGGGCTCCTGGGGAGGTCGATATGGGCCAGTGGCGTGGGGTGAAGGGCATTTTGCTGATAGCATCGATACCATTGTCAGTGATTCAGGAAGCATAATGATGGGTCCCCATGTCACGATTTGGAGATGGCGCAATGCATTCCAGAATGATTTCAAGGCGAGAATGCAGTGGACTATCAAATCCAAGTTTGAAGGAGCAAATCATTCCCCTATTGCTGTCGTGAATGGTAGCTCCAGCCGAGATATTTTGGAATATACAGTCATGCCTGGTGAAAAGATTATCTTGGATGCAACTGCTTCTTGTGACCAGGATGGCGATGACCTCTCCTTCAAGTGGTGGCAATATTTGGAGCCAAGCTCAAACCTCAACACCCCAAAGCGGGATGTACTCGTTTTGAAGATGGACGCAACTGATACCTCTAGGCTTTCTGTCGAGATCCCCAACGCCGAGGCTGTGCGACAGCCGGGAAGAGGAGTCCATCCATCCGACGACAAGCACTTGCACATTATTCTAGAGGTATCAGATGGAGATATTGTCGCTTATAGGCGCATAATATTAACCATCAAAGGGAACATTGCGCTGGAAAAAAGGGACTCTGGCCATGACGAATTGTGAATTAAAATAGCTTTAAACAGGGTTAATTGTGTCTGCAAATAGATGCTAGTAATACCTACGAGTAGGCACTAGTACCTATGCAGTAGCATTTGGTCCACCCATCCAAGCACCAATGTCACTGCTATAGTCACGGTATTTCGGCCACGCTTCCCAAAGTACTCTACGCCCAGTATGAAATGCTTAGTATTTGAACCTCTTATGAAAACCTTGGAATCTAACATCTAACAATCATCATCCGAGTCCTCCACAACTTGAACTTGAAATTATATAGAACTACTACTACGATTAGTACTACTCGTAGATATATGTTTCAATTTTTCAACTTGATGGTTCGTAAAAAACCGGAGCAGCTGATCCCAGCCCTGGACCAAAGGCAATTTGTAAATTAATCTAGCCCTCCCAGTCTGCGGGCCTTGGAAATTATCTACCTTATCATACCAGCTCTCGTGATCCGTTTTGTTCATTAACATGTGATTGGGTCTCTGCATAACCACTCTCACGCAAGCCCTGGGATATCAAGGAAAAGGTAGTAAATATGCCTATTAAAATGAAATATTAGATTCCTAGAATCCTCTTTGATGACATATGGCCTTTTCTGGGAGAATTGAGTTGTGCATTTTACCTTCTGCCGGTTGACATCCCCTTGCGGGTGCCATATGCAAGTCGGGAAACCGTTTTACCGGCCTCGGCATAGAATCGTAACCTCTGGGGCCCGGGCCCACTAGAATTCCGATAGAAGGACGTAATTGGAACTGAATTTCACGAAATTTATTAAAGAAGAGAGATTCGCATGATCTCCAAGCTTTCAAGCTTCTAAGCTTCCCCGCAATCCATCCCCAGGGTCATCACATGCATGTCAGTGCCATCCACAATTAGTGGACCCTTAGATCTACAACTCAGATCTACTCCAGACTGGAACTGAAGAATCAAGATCAGCTCTCTACACTACAGTATCTAGTACTGCCTACTCATCTCCTGCCTTCTCATCTTCGCACACATGCAAACATGTCTATCTCAAAATGGATTGGCGTTGCTAAATCAGACAAAAAGGACCTATGCTGGTCTAAGGAGAAAACGTTTTAATACAGATTACAGGTGTAGTCGGCACTCCAGAGCTCTACTCTACAGCAGCAGCTCCAGCGGGTTCTCCACCACCTTCTTCAGCTCCTTGATCCACTCACCACCGACGGCACCGTCCACAACCTTGTGGTCGAAGCTACCAGTGACAATGATCTGGTCGTCCCACTCAGTGACGGTACCCTCCTCAGTCTCAACGGGGACGGCAACCTTGCGGATGGTGCCGACCGCCAGGATACCGGCCTGAGGGGGGTTGATAACAGCAGTGAAGCGCTCAACGGCGGCGTTCATGCCCATGTTGCTGATGGTGAAAGTACCACCCTGGTACTCCTCGGGCTTGAGCTTGTTGTCACGAGCACGCTTGCCAAGGTCACGGACCTGGTTGGAGATGCCGGACAGACCGAGACCCTGGACGTTCCGGACGACGGGAGTGATCAGGCCGGTAGGAGTGGAGACGGCGACACTGATGTCGGCGGTCTTGTGCTGGCGGATGACAGTCTGGCCGTCGACCTCAATCCAGCTGGAGTTGACCTGGGGCACCTTCAGCAGGGCGGCGGCGCAGGCCTTGACCAGGAAGTCGTTGACGGAGAGCTTGTACTTGCCCTCAGCGGAGGCGTTCAGAGCCTGGCGGAGCTTGAGAAGCTTGCTGACCGAGAGGGTGGTGGAGACGAAGTAGTGGGGGTTCTCGGCCATGGACTGCTTGAGGCGGTTGGCGATGACCTTGCGCATGGAGGAGGCGGGGACGTCCTCGTAGGTGGCGGCAGCAGGGCCAGCGGAGCCCTGGTACTTCTCGACATCCTCCTTGGTGATCTGACCACCACGACCGGTACCCTTCAGAGCCTTGACGGGGACACCCTTCTCGAGAGCGAGGGCCTTGGCAGCAGGGCTGATGGAAGCCTCACGGTCCAAGCTAGGCTGGAGCTTGTCACCCGAAGTCTCGGGCTCGATAGCGGCGGGCTCCGCGGCCGGGGCCGGGGTAGGCTCAGCGCTCTTGGGCTCCTCCTTCTTCTCGGCGGCAGGGGCAGCCTTGTCACCACCGGCATCAGCCAGGGTGAACTCCTCGAAAGCGGCGACATCAGTGCCCTCCTCAACCAAAACGGCAATGGGCTATAAGTCGCGAAAAAAGAGCATTGTTAGCAGAGGAAGAGGGTTGCGGAGATTCACAAGTCCGCGGGGAAGCTCGGGAAAATTCTTACCGAACCGACGGCGATATCCTTCTCACCGGAATCCTTCAGGACCTTGGCGAGGACACCCTCATCTTGGAACTCAAAGTCCATCTGCGCCTTATCGGTCTCAATCTCGACGAGAACATCACCGGGCTGGAGGCCGTCACCGGCCTTCTTCTGCCAAACACCGATGTTTCCCGCGGTCATTGTAGGGGACAGCGCGGGCATGCTGATGATGGTGTGCGAAGGGAAAGCTGTAGATGAGAATGCGAGTTAGAAAGAATGGTCCTCATTGTCGCTGTTGTAGGGAGAGGAGCTCGGATATCGAAAATCGGTTTGTTGGGGGGGGTGCGTACTCTTAGAAGCATAGTAGCGGGAAAGCGCGGAGATGCTGGGCAATTGGTTCCTGCGCGAAGGATAATGGTTAGCAATGGATTGATTTAGGTGTAGAGAGGGGATTAGAGCGCGTACTGGATGACTTCCTGGAACTTGTAGGAGACCTGAGGGCGGCGCATCGAGGCAGCACCTCGAGCCATCATGGCCGGGGTGCGCATCCGGACGGCGGCAGCAACCATATTGAGCGGTGGAGGAGTAAGAATGGAAGAAAAGGGAATATAAAGAACCCTCAATGCGATCACGCAAAAGAGAGAGAGATGCCGGCGCAGGGGGAGATGTGGAGGGGCCGGAGATGGAGGAGTTGGGGGGAAGAAGTCGGGCTTGTCTTGGTGAACTTTTCTGTTGAGCTGCCAGTTTTCCTTATGTAAGGTGGTTTTTGCTCCGATTCCTCCCTTTTGCGCTTTTGGCTTTGCGGCAGGAGCGAACCTTACCGCCTTGGCTCCTTAAGGGGGTTCGGTGAGCGGCCCCGTCCGGGTCACCTGACAGGCACCTGACTTCATCAGGTGACTGGGGTCAGGTGACATGGTGGTAGCACGTAAGTGATATGGGGAGACCCAGTCACGTGATGTTATGTTCCTAGTCACCTGACAGCCACCTGACTTTGTCAGGTGTCTTCAGGTGTCCTCAGGTGTCTGTCACATGACCGCTTACATCAGGACAGATACCGCATACATCGGCGATGCTTCGGGATGCCCCAAAGTAATTCCACGTTGTACGCTACTTCCACCACTTCTCCCCCCCACAACCCCCTCTGACCTCTCCTTGCCTTCGCATGTTCTGAGTCAATTCACCCCGCCCGCGACCATGGCGGACGTCGACCCCGGCTCCGAGCCAAACACTCAAATTAATCTCCCTCACACCTCCGACTCCCCCGATGAGAAGACCCCAGTGGAGAGCAACACCGAGCCTCAAATGACCCCCGGGGTAACGGACGACAATCCGACTTCACCGGATGAGACCCAGTTATCCAACCCCATCGAGGAATCCAATCAACCTCAAGAACCCCTCGAATCCTTTCAGGACCACCCGGAGGAGGAAAACAAACAAAAGAATGGTGATGACGACCATTCAGGCACCAACGTTGTGGAGGAGCAGGTCCAGATCGAGCAACAGGAACAAGACAATGACGATCAAGACAAACCAGACGTACCCCCCAAGGATACTGAAGATGCCCCCGATGCCACCGAATCCACCAACTTCCCCGAGCTCAAGACGGAGCCAATGCCAGAAATTCAAGAACCCGTCCCCGAAGACAACGCGCCCCCCGTGGAAACTCGATTGCGATCGGACTCTCGCTCGACCACACATACCTTCATGACCTCCAAAGGTGGCACTGTCAGCTCGGCCGTCTTCATTATCACAGCCCTGGATGCCATTGGTGCCTCGCGGGAGGCTCGGAAGAGCAAGGAGCTCGAGGACGCCGTGCAGGTGGCCCTGGCCAATGTCAGGCAGGAAGGCCAGCAACCAATTGACCCGGAACTGATCTTCCGTCCATTGCACATGGCTAGCAAGACCCTCAGTGTCCCCTTGCAGGTCACCGCACTCGACTGTATCGGCAAGCTGATCACCTACTCCTATTTCGCCTTCCCCTCCGCCGAGTCCGAAAACGAGTCCACCCCGGAACAACCTCCCCTGATCGAGCGCGCCATCGATGCGATCTGCGATTGCTTTGAGAACGAGGCCACTCCAAATGAGATCCAGCAACAGATCATCAAATCACTCCTGGCGGCGGTACTGAACGACAAGATCGTGGTTCACGGAGCTGGTCTCCTCAAAGCCGTCCGCCAAATATATAACATTTTCATCTACTCCAAATCCACACAGAACCAGCAGATCGCTCAAGGTTCGCTGACTCAGATGGTCAGTACCGTGTTCGACCGTGTTCGCATCCGCCTCGACCTGAAGGAACTACGGACCCGCGAGGTCGAGAAGACTGCCTCCAACAGCCTGGACGCGCCGGCGAGCGACCAGGGCCAATTGTCCGAAACCGCATCTGTGTCTGTCTCCGTGGCAGACCAGTCGGTCACAGATCAACCAGTCACCAAGGAGCCCGGCGAGAAGCTCACCCTGCAGAGCTTCGAGTCGCCCAAGGAAGTCACCTCGGTCAATGACAATGCGCCGACAATGGTCACACGGGCCAAGCGTTCCAACACTCGCTCGTTGTCCGGAATTCCTGAAGAGAGGGACGACGATAGCTCCGCCGAGGATGAGGTGGATGAGATTTACGTCAAGGACGCATTCCTGGTCTTCCGTGCTTTGTGCAAGCTGAGCCACAAGGTTCTGAGCCACGATCAGCAACAAGACATCAAGTCACAAAACATGCGGTCTAAGCTACTCTCTTTGCACCTCGTCCACTATCTCATCAACAACCACACCAACACCTTCACTTCTCCCCTCGCAGCCATCAAGAACAGCTCGACTAACCCAGATGCCATGACTCTACTCCAGGCGGTTCGCCCTCATCTCTGCCTGAGCCTGAGTCGTAACGGTGCCAGCTCGGTACCCCACGTCTTCAAGGTCTGCTGTGAGATTTTCTGGTTGATGATCAAGCACATGCGAGTCATGATGAAAAAGGAGCTAGAAGTGTTTCTGAAGGAGATCTACTTGGCCATTCTGGAAAGGAAGGCCGCTCCAGCTTTCCAAAAGCAATACTTCATGGAAATCTTAGAACGACTTGGAAGTGATGCCCGAGCCCTTGTCGAGATCTATCTAAACTACGATTGTGACCGTACCGCTCTCGAGAACATCTTCCAGAACCTTGTCGAGCAGCTATCCCGATACTGCAGCGTGCCGGTTGTCACCTCGGCCCCACAACAGCAGGCTTTCCAGGATCACCACGTCAAGATGTCTAGTGTTGGAGTAGAATGGCACCAGCGGGGAACTTTACCTCCATCTCTTACTTCGGCAAACATCATGCCGAGCCCTCAACCCCCCTATTCCCACCATCCCATCCGATTATGTCCTAAAGCACCAAGCCCTGGAGGGTCTTGTGGAGATGCTACGCTCCCTGGATAACTGGGCCGCTCAGCGTCCGGAAGAACAAAGCCCACAGACAGCAGCGCCCTCCAAGTCTATGGACAACTCTCGTGAATCTCTGGATACCAATGTCCTCTTTTCTCCGCGTCCAGAGACGGTCGAACCGGGCACCGGACGGTCTACCCCCTTGCCCGAGGACGATCCTAACCAGATCGAAAAGGTGAAGCAGCGTAAGATTGCCATGATGAACGCTATTAAGCAATTCAACTTCAAAGCCAAGCGCGGAATCAAGCTGATGCTCTCGGAGGGTTTCATTCGCTCGGATTCGCCGGAGGACATTGCTACTTTCCTGCTGCGCAATGACCGTCTCGATAAAGCCATGCTGGGAGAGTACCTCGGTGAAGGTGATGCCGAAAATATCGCCATCATGCATGCGTTTGTTGACCAGATGGAATTCACTAAGCGCCGCTTTGTCGACTCTCTACGAGGATTCCTGCAACACTTCCGTCTCCCTGGCGAAGCTCAAAAGATCGATCGTTTCATGTTGAAATTCGCTGAGCGCTATACCACCCAAAACCCTAATTCATTCGCCAATGCCGATACCGCATATGTGCTATCGTACTCCGTGATCTTGCTGAACACGGATCTGCATAGTTCGAAGATGAAGGGCCCGCGGATGAGCAAGGAGGACTTCATCAAGAACAACCGAGGCATTGATGACAACCAAGATTTGCAGCCCGAATACCTTATTGGAATCTACGACGAGATTGCCAGTAACGAGATTGTCCTCGACACAGAACGAGAACATGCGGCCAATGTCGGTATACAAACCACCGCCCCTGCTGGTCTAGCCACTCGTGCAGGTCAGGTGTTTGCCACCGTAGGACGAGATATCCAGGGCGAGAAGTATGCACAGGCTTCCGAGGAAATGGCCAACAAGACGGAGCAACTGTATCGCTCTCTCATCCGGGCTCAGCGCAAGACTGCTGTCAAGGATGCACTCTCCCGTTTCATTCCTGCCACATCAGAACGCCACGTTGGCTCAATGTTCAATGTTACCTGGATGTCCTTTTTGTCTGGTCTTTCGGCCCCGATGCAAGATACCCAAAACATCGAAGTAATTCGTCTTTGCATGGAGGGCCTGAAGCTGGCTATCAGGATCAGTTGTGCTTTTGATCTGGAAACCCCGCGGGTAGCGTTCGTCACGGCTCTGGCCAAATTCACCAACCTTGGAAATGTTCGCGAGATGATGGCCAAGAATGTCGAAGCCTTGAAGGCACTCCTTGACGTCGCCTACACCGAGGGCAATCACCTCCGCAGCTCATGGCGCGAGATTCTTACCTGCGTCAGTCAGCTGGATCGTTTGCAATTGTTGAGCGATGGTGTCGATGAGGGCTCACTGCCTGATGTTTCACGGGCTCCAACCTCTGATTCCGCCTCTCGCAAGTCTATGCAGAGCACACGCCGACCTCGTCCGCGCTCTGTTGGTGGGCCTACAGCTTTCCGCATGGAAATTGCCCAGGAGAGCCGATCAGCGGACATGGTTCGCGGCGTGGATCGTATCTTCACCAATACCGCAAACTTATCCCATGAGGCAATTATCGACTTTGTCCGTGCTCTGAGCGAGGTGAGCTGGCAAGAGATCCAGTCTTCCGGACACAGCGACTCCCCCCGGACATACAGTTTGCAGAAGTTGGTCGAGATCAGTTACTACAACATGACTCGTGTTAGGATTGAATGGTCCAAGATCTGGGAGGTGCTGGGTCAGCACTTTAATCAAGTTGGCTGTCATTCTAACACAACTGTTGTGTTCTTCGCTTTGGACTCACTGCGACAATTGTCGATGCGTTTTATGGAGATTGGCGAGTTGCCCGGTTTCAAGTTCCAGAAGGACTTTTTGAAGCCGTTTGAGCATGTCATGGCAAACAGTACCACTGCTGCTGTCAAGGATATGATTCTGCGGTGCTTGATTCAGATGATCCAGGCCCGTGGCGACAACATCCGCTCTGGATGGAAGACCATGTTTGGTGTTTTCACCGTGGCAGCTAGAGAACCTTATGGTATGTCCCTTTTTTGTACCCTCGCTTCAATTTTTTTTTTTCTTTGTAGGGCGCAATTGCTAACAACCGCATAGAGGGAATTGTGAACATGGCCTTCGACCATGTCACCCAAATCTATAATACCCGCTTCGGAATTGTAATCACCCAGGGCGCGTTCCCGATCTCATTGTGTGCTTGACCGAATTTTCCAAGAACTCCAAGTTCCAGAAAAAGTCGCTGCAAGCCATTGAAACACTTAAGTCGACTGTCACCAAGATGCTGCGAACTCCAGAGTGTCCGCTCTCGCACCGTGGCGATGATGCCCGGAACTTTCAGGAGGAGGGTACCAACCTTGCCAAGCAACTCACCCGCCAGTCGAAGGAGGAGCAATTCTGGTATCCCATCCTGATTGCATTCCAGGATGTGCTGATGACTGGTGATGATCTCGAGGTCCGATCCCGGGCCTTGACCTACCTCTTTGATACGCTGATCCGCCACGGCGGAGATTTCCCACGCGACTTCTGGGATGTTCTATGGCGCCAGCTTCTCTGCCCGATCTTTGTGGTCCTGCAATCCAAGTCAGAAATGTCCAAGGTTCCCAATCATGAGGATCTTTCAGTCTGGCTGTCTACCACCATGATCCAGGCCCTGCGGAACATGATCACTCTCTTCACGCACTACTTTGATGCACTGGAGTACATGCTGAGTCGATTCCTCGAGTTGTTGACCCTGTGCATCTGCCAGGAGAACGACACGATCGCGCGCATCGGCAGTAACTGCTTGCAGCAGCTGATTCTGCAGAATGTGGCCAAGTTCCGCGAGGAGCACTGGTCTCAAATCGTCGGGGCGTTTGTTGAGCTATTCAGCAAGACCACGGCGTATGATTTGTTCACTGCCGCAGCCTCCATGTCGAAGATCACCGAAACATCTAGCATCAATGGGGACCTCACCAACCAAACATCCGATGCCTCGGCGCCTTCAGAGGACCTGCCCGATGCCATGCAGCCCAATGGATCGCAGAGCACGGCATCTCTCCAAGAAACCGGCGATCCCCCTGTCCAAAGCGAAGCCCGCGCCGAACTCGAAGACTACCGTCCCGCAACTGATTCTTCGCAACAGCCCGCTTCTGTAACGGCGGCGCGTCGGCGCTTCTTCAACCGGATCATCACCAACTGCGTTCTGCAACTACTGATGATCGAAACGGTGCACGAGCTGTTCTCCAACGATACGGTCTACGCACAGATCCCAAGCCCGGAGCTACTTCGACTGATGGGCTTGCTAAAGAAGAGTTACCAATTTGCCAAGAAGTTCAACGAGGATAAGGACCTACGCATGCAACTCTGGCGTCAAGGCTTCATGAAGCAGCCACCGAATTTGTTGAAGCAGGAGAGCGGTAGTGCCGCGACCTACGTGCATATTCTCTTCCGGATGTATCACGATGAGCGAGCAGAACGCCAAAGCAGTCGCGCGGAGACCGAGGCTGCGCTAATCCCGTGAGTTTTCCCCATCACCTACCACCGGCAATAGCACATTCTTCCCTTTTCCCAATCATGTACTAATATTTTGACAGGCTCTGCGCCGATATTATCCGCAGCTTCGTCCGCCTGGATGAAGAGACCCAAAACCGCAACATCATTGCCTGGCGACCAGTTGTCGTCGATGTGATCGACGGGTACCACAGTTTCCCGCAGGAGGACTTCGACAAGTACATTGAAACGTTCTACCCAATCGCGGTGGAGCTCCTGAGTCGGGATCTGAGCCCGGAGATTCGCGTTTCCCTCCAAGGGTTGTTACGGCGAATCGGCGAGGTCCGACTCGGAGTTGCGCCGCCGAACCCGCTAGATGCGCCGATCAGTCCGCGGAGTTCGGTGTCACAAAAGATGCGTCGGGAATCTCAATGAGTTGGCCACTAGTGGACTGGCTACACTCTAGCATTGACCAATGTCTTCTACCTTTTGTTTCGTTTATTCTGTTCCTTTTTGTCTGTCCTTGTTTTTTTTTTCTGCGATATACTACCTTTCGCCCGGCATTGTGATTTACGGGTGATTCTGGCGTTTGAGTGTATGTGAAGTCTCCATTGATTAGCATCTATTTGGTTCAATAGAGATGCATAGCTGTATTGATAAGAATCAGTCTACGTTCAGCCTCCAAGAGATGTACTGCTAGTAGTTGTGGTAATATGATCCATGTGGAGGAATTGTATGCACCATATTCATTCGGGTATCACTGTTCCATTCTATACTATGTATTCTATTCATCTCTTCATCATTAATCTATTCATTAATTTTCATCCTCTCCAAGCGCACCTGTTCCAAAGGCGGCACATCCCCCGCGGCATAATGCGTCAACAATGCCACCATATCCTCCTCCGTCATCTTCACCAAATCATCCAGCTCCCACTCCTCACAAACGGCAGACATCCACTTCATCCTCTTGGCCCCCTCCTTCGCATCCGGCGCCACAGCCCTCAACATCTTCCTCAGCGAGCCCACGTTCTCAATGGCCGCCCCCATATTCTCCGGCAAGGCATCGGCAATTTTCCTCCTCACAATCGCCGCCAATCTCGGCCCATTCCCATTCGTACTAACCATAACCTGAAGCGGCCCATCGCGATGAATACTGCCAAAATAAAAGTCACATTCGGGAGGCACGTCGGCGATATTAGCAGGAATGCGCCGCTCCTTGCACAGTTTCCAAACTTGGGTTGAGGCTTCGGGATCATCAATTGCGCAGAGGACCATGTCGGCATTGTCGAGGTCGGATGGTTCAAAGGTGCGATCGATGTGGGTGACTTGGTTTTCGGCGATGCGGTAGGATACTTCTGGGTTTAGACCGGAGGTTGGACTGACGACTGTTACTCTTGCGTCGGCGTTGAGGGCGTGGAGGATTCGGCCTGCTGCGACCTGAAGATATTTGTGTTAGTGGTATTCTATATCAGGGTGTATATAGGGTAGGTAGCTTACCTCGCCGCCGCCGACGACTAGTACATGCTTGGACTTGATTTGCCAAGCGACGATCAGTGAGCCGCCGCCTTGGACTGGGGGGGGAAGGACATGGAGAGATAGAGGGGAGGTAGAAGTAGGAGTAGAAGTAGAGATAGAAGTAGAAGGAGGGAGAGAGGTAGAGGTGTAGAGGTGTAGTTGAAGAGGAGCAGAGAGGAAGGAAGGGGCAGATTGAATTGAATTGAATCTGAGGAAGGCGCGACTGTATCTGGCTGGGGCTACTGAGGAAGGTGCGATTGATGATTGCTGCGAGGGAAGGAACGAACGTGGGGCTACGGCGGGGCGCACCTGCCTCTTGAGCACTTTGTGGCACCTGCTTTTTTTTCTTTTCTTTTCTTTTTCTTCCTCCGCCTTCTCCTCTTCTCTTCTCTTTCTTCTTCTTCCCCCAAACTCTTCTTTCTTTTCTCCCCTCCTCCTCTCCTCTCCCTCCCTCCAACCATCTTTCGAGATGCGCGGCGTGCAAATCTTCTCCGGCACGTCGCATCCAGGCCTCGCAGATACTATCTGTGAGCGCCTGGGTACTTCCCCCGCCAAAGCCGATCTGGGCAAATTTGCCAATGGCGAGACCAGCGTCAATATCGGCACCTCCGTCCGGAACCAGGATGTTTATATCGTTCAGAGTGGCAGTTGCAAGATCAATGACAGCGTCATGGAGCTTCTCATCATGATCTCCGCTTGCAAGGGTGGTTCCGCAAAGTCGATCACTGCGGTCATGCCGTATGCTCTGTCTTCCATCATGTCTTGTCTCCCTGTATGATGTGCTGACCCCATGATGAGATACTTCCTTTACTCCCGTCAATCCAAGAAGAAGAGCCACCGCGGTGCCATCACCGCTCGCATGTTGGCCAACTTGCTCTCCATCGCCGGCGTCGACCATGTCATCACCATGGACCTGCACGTACGTCTACGTCCCCGTTCCTCGTTACCTGCTTTACCTGCTTTTCCCCGATTGGATGAAGTGATGTGATGGGGTCAATGGAGTGAATTGAGTGATTTTGTTGGATTTTTGCAATTTTTGCATTTTTGAACTCATCGTTGACCGGTGTTTTTCTCCTTTGCCTACAGGCATCCCAGATGCAAGGTTTCTTCGGAAAGCCCGTCGACAACCTCTTTGCGGAACCTTTCATCGCCCGCTGGATTCGCATGAACGTGGCCGGCTGGCGCGATGCCGTCGTCGTCAGCAAGAACGCCGGTGGCACCAAACGCGTTACCTCGCTGGCCGACACCCTCAAGCTCAATTTTGGTATTGTGACCACCGACCGCAGGCGGCCCAAGGTTCCCGTCAATACCATGTCGGATAGCACCGTCTTCTTTGATGCGGTCGAGGATGATCGGCTCCCCCGCGATCAGCAACAGTTTGACCTGCATCTGCACAGTGCACAGGCCACCCCACCGATTCCCGAAGAGACTGACGTCTTTACTTCTCCCTCCACGCTACTGCGCCCAGAGACACCCTCAGCGGCTCGGAGACCATCCGAGTTAGAGGCTGCACACGATTACACCGATGTGCGAGTGCGTGATGTTATCACCGGTCGCCTGGTACAAGGCCAGCTCGTCGACGATGATTATCGCCCTGGGTCGGAGTCCCAGTCCGGGGGGACCACCCCCGGCGCCACTCCTAGCGGTAACGTGGATACCGAGGTCGTTCCAGATGCCATGGTTAGCTCCATGATCTCCAATAGTTCCTCCTCGGTCCACCCCGATCACGCTCTTGGTGGCTCCTTCGATGCCGCCGAGTCGGACGATGAAGCCAGTGTTCCCGGAGCCGACCACGAGCGAACCATCACCCTGGTTGGTGAGGTTCGTGACCGCCCAGTCTTCATTGTGGATGACATGATCGACAAGAGCGGCTCGTGGATCGCTGCCGCTGAGACAGTCGTGAAGCGCGGTGGTGCCAGCAAGGTTTACTGCATTGCCACCCACGGCCTATTCACGGCGGAATCGATCGACCAGATGGAGGCGTGTCCCTCCATCGACCATATCGTCGTTACAAATACCTTCCCGATCTCGCCGGCGTTGGTCCGCCGGTCGAAGAAGTTGATTGTTATCGATGTGTCGACCCTCCTTGCGGAGAGTATCCGACGACACCACTATGGTGAAAGGTGAGTACCTCGTTTCACATGTGGCAGTGAACCATTCTGACTGATTTTCTAGTGTCTCGGCTCTCTTCCACCTTAACGACTGATGAGATGTGTTGATGATGGCTGTGACGAATATCCCATGGGCGGCGTTGGCAGACTCCGATATCTGCATTTTCTACATGATATGATACCTATGAAGACGTTAAATCCTTCTACATTGTAGCTTTTTTCTTCCTCCTTTTTTTCCCTTTCCATTTTATTTATCTTCCTCTTTTCCCTCCCCATCCCCCTCCCCTCACCAACGATGCAGTCCACTCTGGGTTCTGCAGGAGTATCTCGTGACCCACGAGGTATTCTTAACGGAGCGTTGGCAGAAAAAAATACCGAGTCGGCCCGTCTTCCAGTTTTTGGGATCTACCTTGGTATTTCCTAGGAGCTGGCGGGCGACCGACTCGACGAGTTATGAAGGCACCGGCTTCTGTGGGTTCGTCCCATGCCTTTGGCCGTGGAATCGGTGCAAGAGAACATCTCGAACATCCCGTCTACCAGTCTCAGTCTCAAGTCTCGACTGGAATGAATGGTTGGGAAGACTTGACCCGACCTCAACTGAGCTGAACTTGGACTTGGTCGGGTCTTCGTAGTGATTGCTAGCAAACTAGTCGATTTATCAATTCAGTGGCAATTCCTTCCACCGCATTTTCTTCACTCCCATCAATTGACCTCCGTACCTCCCGTGTGATCCCGATATCACGCCTCCCTACGACCCTATGATCATGGTCAACAAGCCATAACAAGCACAAGCCCATCAGCATGACCCAATGCGGTACAACGGTGAGCTCATGTTTGACATCATGCCCGTCAAAAGGCTGCGGCCCGCCGTCCAGCAGTCAGAGGGAAGTTCACGGTAGTTCTTGCGGTCTGACATCAGTGGATTCAATTCTGCAGAGTAGAGTTGCAGAGCTGCGCGGACAGCTGAAGAAGCCATCTGGCCACAACCCTAGCTGAGATGAGGTGAGGTGAGGTGGATATCATCAGCAGTTTGACATGGTTTGCCTCCGATCTCGCCCATCTCAGCGCACGCGATCAATCCCGATATACAATAGCGGTCTGTTTCACACGGATATCGAAAGCACGACGGGTCAAATGTATTGGTTCTTCGCTGAGCGGCTCGAATGGGTGGCTGGACCGGTTTCAAATGCGCCGGGGTTCTAGGTATACCGGTTGTCGGGAGATTCTCGTAGGTACCCGGGTTCTTCAAATAAAGGGAATTAATTTTTAACTTTTTGTTTTTTGTTTTTACTTGTCTTCTTATCTCGGAATGCATTGTGCGACGTCGTTTGTACGACGTCGGAGCGGGTGTCCCAGTTCCAACCCTGTTTTAGCATACCGCTTCTTTACTTCGACGACTTCGGTGCGACGGGTCTACTAGTACATGTTTGTATAGTACGTAGGGTACAAACAATATATTGTAAATATATTAAGTTTGCGTAGATCCCAACTATGTATGTAGTATGCATCCCGTTACACCGGAGGCGAAAACGGTCATTGCATCATGATCGCAGTCATCATCGCAAATGGCAGCAGGTAGGTGGCCTTGTTCTGCCAAGCCGCAGTGCCTCGATCTCGACCTCGACCTGGATCTGCTACCGTGGCCTAAGTGTGCTCGGCTAGGCCAGTCACAAGCCAGAAAAGGGCCGTGGATGTGATGGAGGGAACCGGGTGGGGAGGGGAGGTGGAGTCTGGAGAAGAAACAATTCAAATTCTCTCGGCCAATCGGATGTATGTAGTGGTAGTACTTGTAGGTATGGTACTTGAAGTTGATTTAAATAATATTCTAAATGGTCTAAGTGGTCCAAGTTCAGGTTCCAGCTCCAGCTCTGTTCTAGTCCATTCTCTCGTGGCTAGACCTCAAAAAGGTACCTCACGAAGTACCGAAGAAGTATACATGTAACATTTACTCTCTAACGCCTCGCCAAGTCGGCACTTCCGATCGACAGGGATGCAGATGTCTCTAAAATAGAATAATAGATAAGTACGCTCCGTATTCCGTGACTCCGTGCCCCGTACCTCACACTAAGACATTAATCCGAGGAAGTAAAGCCAAACCATGTGGAGCAGTTGATCTATCGCGAGCCAAAGTACCAAGGTACCTACCATTGTCCAAAGTACGTACCTTTCCCAAAGCCCCTAGTTTCTAGTTTTCGCACTAAGGAAGTTTCTCTGAAGGGAATCGGGTCCCAACCCGGTCTGCTGGGATGCATATGCCCGCGATCGATCGACGCTTATCTGGGATATTCCCAGGAGGGAGCAGCAGTTCGCCAAATTGTGTCTCCTACCACAAGTATTTATTGCCAGCACTGACAATCCAAGCCCTAAGTGGGAGTTAGAACCCGCGAACGGACACCCCCGGTCAATAAAATACATTCCCCAACCCAATGGTCTCCGTAATTGTTTGTTTTTTAGTTTGTTTTTAGTTTCTTCCTAATTGCGTAGCTCATAACTTCTATTCTCGACCTGTCGACTGTCCCCCCCCACTACAGATCCACTTAACACTCCTGTCGAACCTGTCCGCTGGGCCGCGTCTGCCCCGTCTTTCGTTCTTTTGCAAACACGAGTCTACCAGACGATCGCACAAAATGGAAATTCAATTTCAAATTTACTTCCCCTAGCGACTTTCCCCCCGAATTCAGACAAGTACCTGTCCTGAGGAAATCGACAGTACCCAATTGTAATGCCCCGATGTCTGCGATCGCGATCTTCCTGCGCAAACTACCTGGGATCGCCTTCGCGTAAATTGCCATGCGAGATGCGTAGATCGTACAATAGACAGCTCCCCTTCTTGACCCTTGTCTTTATTCAACCTCCTACAGTACAACTCTATTCTTTTTATTTTTATTTCTATTTTATTTTCCATTTTCTTGCATCATCCTATCCCAACCCATCGCATCGCATCGCATTCCATCTCCTTTTCTTTTCTTTTCTTTTCTTTTCTTTTCTTTTCTTTTCTCTTTCCTTTTTCCTTCACCCTTCCCTGTCCTGCACTTCTCTGCACTCTGCACTCCCTGAACAGTCGGGTAGGTGCGTCATCGGCATTTTGCAGCGATTGTCTGTTCTGTTGAGAGGTATCTGGTCTGGTCGGTCTAGTTCTGGCATCGATTCGATCGATATATAGCGTCGATGTCAATGTTGATGGGTATATAATGTCTGGCGGACTTCCTCTTTCAACTTCATCCCTCCTTCCCTACCATTACAATTACCATCAACGTCGCGATCACCTTCACATTCTCACCAACCTCCTACCGTGATACTTGAACTTGTTCTTATACTATCCCTTCCACTTCCGAACCCAGCTCTTGGTATTCTTCTCCGGATCTGCGCCGTCCACTCCTCGGGCCGTGATCGTTCTCCTAGTTCGGTAGGTGACAGCCTCTCGGGACTTTCGAACCAGCGAGCCGGGCTAACATAATCAGTTAAACTACTATACTACACTACACTACAACTCCCGAAGTCAAAAATCATACTATACTAGTATTGATCATGGCAAACCAGTGCTCCGGCCATGTCTTCGCCATTGTGCAAGCCACCAATGGCAACATCTTGACCTGGCGCTGCTCCGACTGCAACTCGGGCCCCTTCGTTGCTATCTGGCGGTGCAAGATCTGTGGCCATTGTCGCTGCAACGCCTGCCACAATGCGAAAGCCTAGTCTACTAGCAGCAGCAGCATAGCTGTAAGCATACCTTTCCCTTCCCTTCCCTCTCTCTCCGCGGCTTTCTCTGTGCGGTGACTAACGAACCTCAATAGACGCACTGGCCTCCACTCCAGCAAGGGTATATGTATGTACCGGCATAATACCCACTATGCACCCTCGCAGCGACTCGGATTGCCCTGCGCAGCTACGCCATCTTATCTCATCCATCCACTACCACTTCCATCCAGCCACCTCATCCACCCATCCCATCATTCATTTCCTCGCGTCTGCGTCTAGCGCCATGATTTAGAATTCTGCGTTCAAGTTCGCATCGGAGTCGATCAGAGTTAAAAGTGTTTGTGTGTTTGCATTGGACGGAGTTACTCCCATCAGGGATTTGTTTTATTTTCTGTTCTGTTCTGTCGGTGTCGGGTTTTAGATCGAATCCAACTGGGCTGGGTTTTCGCTAGGGCATTGAACAAAGTTGGTTCGCTTCGCTTCGGGTCGATTCATTTCAATTCAGATAAAAGTTCAGATCAATATTAATTATCCTTGATTTTATTCTACTTCGTTTCATTTCGTTTCAGCTTTCCGCCAGTGATCCAGTAATCCAGTCAGGTAGATCTGTTCACACCACACCACCAGAAATGCTACAACCAATCATAACCCCGAGTCCAACTGCCACAACAATCCCAAATAATGCAAATGTAAATGTGGATGTGGATGTAGATACATACAAATATTCCAAATCTGCAGCTTGGTGCAGGGAACTCCTTGTACAACAGAATGCCATTGTTTCCCTTCCTTCACTACATTCCATGACTGCCAGTGGACTAAAATGGACTGCGCCGCATCACACTGCACTGCACTGCACTGTCCTCTTACTTTCTTTCTCTTAGACAGGGGAACCCTCGCTCGCCAAGACAACGCAAGCGCCACTCCAATTGGGGAGGCCGGAACAGTTGTCCGGCGGCAACCACAATACGAAAGGAATGATACATCGGGTGGATGGGATAGGGGGGAGGCCGGGGGGAGGCCGGGGGATAAGCCCTGAAGGAACAGTGTACGAGTATGTTGTAGCGAGGCAGAGGGCCAATAATGGCAGTATCAAATAATAAAAACGGTTGGGCAAATATGCCCCCAATGAAACATAGCCGGGATGCATATCCCTACCCTATAATGATACGAGTAACTTTTACCAAGGTACCTTTTACCTTTTACCTATCACTACCACTACTGCTTCGTACCATTGCCACTGCCAATCCCAATCCCAATTCCACGGTAATAAGGATTTCCAGGGGCTTGGATCCGCTAACTCTATTCTGGCTCCACCACGCAAGGACCAGCGGTGAGTGGAGTGGAGATACTCCTGTCCCGAGTGTCCTGGGGAGTAAAATTGCTGGGACTCCTAGCTACAGTAGCGCGAAGTTAGTCATAACAGAAGGAAGAAGAAAAAAAAAAAAAAAGGAAAAAGAAAAAATCATTGAGGCTGAGCGAGGGATCGGCCTAGTCGGATACCCCCGGTACATATGCACTGTACTCCTAATCTACTGTAGGGTAGTGGCGCCATGGTGTAGGTTCTTCCACAAGATGCGAGATCTACTCCAGAGACAAAGGAACACGATCAGATCGGGAGCATAAAAAAAGAAAAGAAGAAGAAATGAGGAAGCTAGATACAAATTCGGAAGCTGGTTAACCACCTCCACGTACATACTCCTAGTTCCCTAGTTCCCGGTCACCACACTGGGGACTAGACTAAACCGGCCTCTGGTATAACTGAACAACAGTACTGGTAAGTTAACATCCCAGCCAATATTCACCGAGGATCGATTCAATTCAATTCGATCGCCGTGCCGATCGCTCTGAATCTCGGATTTGTTCGCTTCGCTATGTGTAGATGCTCTGCCGAACTTGTTAGCACCATTCAGTCCACCCACCACCCCACCCCACAAGCGAAGGAGTGGGGTGGGTTGTATTGTGTTGTGTTGTGTTGTTTTGAGGGGAATATTTGCAATTGCAAATGTCATCGCGATCGCGATCGCGATCGCAACCACAATCACTCGCACCAACTCACCTCCGTAATCTGATTAACAGCCAGCCCAGGCTCCGCCATCTCAGCATCACACAAGAAATCCAACGGCAACCAAACCAAATGACCCTTAATCCGATCCAACTTCTTCCTCACCTCAGCAGCCGGCATATACGGATCGAACAAATGGCCCTGTCTCGCCCCACGCGGGACAAAAGCATCGTAGTCATCGAAGGTCTTGATATGGTCATCGGGGTCAGCGCGGAATAGCATCCGATACGTCTCGGTGTTGACGCTAGCCTGCTCCGTCCAGGTGTTCCAGACCTCGTCGCCAAGCGGATCCATCACGAACGCATCCTCAGGCCCCGTTTCGTCCTCGTTAAGGCAGACGTCGGGGCTGCGCGCGTTGGGCGCCTGGCTGGCGTCGTAGTCTTGCGCGGAGAGGAGTCCCAGATGTTCGCGCCAGAGGTGGCGGCGAAGCGTCGCAGCGTGTCTAGCTGCCTTGTAGGGCTTTCCGTCCATCTGGCTGTCGATGAACTCTTGGTCTTCCATGACGATGGCTAGTTCGCTGTCGTGGGAGCCGAGTTGAGACTATTTGATAAAGGTTAGTAAAGCAGCGGCAGGGATCGCGGTAGCTGTATCCAGCTGAAGAAAGAACATACCCGATCATTGATATTGGCACTGCCACAGATGACAATTCGGTCATCGACAATGCACACCTTACCGTGCACATACAGCTCCTCCTGAACAATATTGTCCTTCTCAGCTTCCGGATCGCCCTCCCAGTACTCCTCGGACATCTTGCCACCATTCAGCATGGTGCAATGAGCCACGGAGTCGCGACTAGCATCGCCTTCATTCGCCTTGGTTTGTTCAACCTGCTGCTCGAAAGCCTCGAGCTTCCGCACTTTCTCTTCCTTGGCCTTGGCATCATCATCGTAGCTCTTCTCGTTTTTGTCGCCGTCGTTGCCGACAGACGGGTGCACACTCTCACTCATGATCGACTCGGCGATACCGCGCTGGATATCTTGGTAAGTCACGTCGGCCTTGTTCTCCAGATCGATCAGGGCGGGGGTCTTGTTGATACGGTCATAAGCACGCAGAGCAAAGACGAAGATTTGCTGAGTAGGATCAACACCGGCCTTCTTAATCTGTCCCATGATGGAGTTCTCCCCACGACAGATAGACTTATACTGATAATCCATGATCGCCCTCGTCCCCGTCGCCGCATTGTCACGCAGGTCACCCGCAAAGCCCGGGATAGCAGGAATAACAATGACGACACGGAACTTGCGGCCCTCCTTGCCCGCACGAACGCAAGCATCGACAATAGCGCGGCCAATCTGATTGTAAATCGGATGCTGCTCTTCACCGGTAGCCGTGATGAAGAACTGGTTCTCAATGTAAACCAAATGCTGGGCATTGCGAATAGTCTCACAATAAGCATTCTGAATACTATGCTCGTTCAAAATGCCACTACTCCAATCATCACTACTTCTAACAATCTGTGCCCGCACCGTACCCACCTGACCACGGGGCTTTGTAGAGAGCGGAGACAGCGGATGCTGAATATATTCACCGCAGGGGTATTTCGGACGTTGAACGGCGATGATATCCTCATCTTCACCGGTCCGACCTTCCATCAACATCCAATCAACATCATCACTGCGCTTGTATTTATCGCGCTTGATAAAGTTCCAGCGCAAAACGAAGTGCTCGGCGATATCGTAGACACAATCACCGACCAGACCCATGGCGACGTCGTGCCACGGCATGCGACCGTAATCAGCTTTGCTAAGCTCGTTGCTCTGCCAGTCCTGCACACTTTGGAAATCCATGATACGGTTGTTATTGAAGTCTTGGCCGGGGAAGATGTCGTCGCGCAGACCGGCTGGGTGGACGTCGGCGAGTGGGTGCTGGTTTGAATCCCAACGGCCGAAGCAGAGGTCGATTCCGCCGATGAAGGCGACGGAGTAGTCGATGACGATGAATTTCTCGTGGTGGGCCTGGGTGGGTGGGAGTTAGCATGAGTTCAAAAGTAATCTGTTACTTGCGTGTATAGTGAAGGGAGGTAATTACCCAGTAGAGAGTCATATCAGCGGCATTCTCGAAAACGTTATGATCCGGGTGTCGCAGGACGTGAATATTACCATGACCCGGGGTACCCTCAGGGCAGAGATTGCGCAAGGCATGCTTCGTGTGTGCAGAGTTACAAGTGAGAGCCTGATTGACCTCTTTATAGACGATCACGTAGATCTGCACGCCAGCCTCGGCGCGACGCTTGAGGACATGGTCGAGACGCCATTCCTGGTGTTGTACTGGAGGGCGGCGGAGGAATAATTCCGGGGAGAGCCACCAGTCGGCGATGTAGATGGTCTCAGTGGCCTTTTCCAGGGCCTCGGAGACGGCCCAGAGGTAGTCGAGGGCGTCGACGTACCATTTGATGCGGTTTCCGTCGTGGATGGGAGCGAAGGAGCCGAAGCGGTGGGATTCGGCGATGGCGGAACGTTTGCGGTCGGTGGCTTGTTCGTGGGCTTCATCGTGGCGGTGATTGGGGTTGATGATGTTGAAGAACTTGCCGACTTTGTGTTTGAGGTGGGTAGCTTGGGCTTTGGTGTCGTGGAGGGAGTGGTCTGGATCAAGTTGTGGTGATGTTAGAGGGGAGTAAGGAGGAGGTGGGGTGATATTGGTATGCCAGTGGTGTCAGAGGTAGAGGCAGTAACAGTGGCAGTAGTAACAGTGGGTCAGGATGCACCTTTGAAAGACTCCTCCATCGACTCGAATCGACTCTCGACCTTTTCCTTGAACTTGTGCATGTCGGAAAGTTTGAAGAGGTGGAGGGGAGGGGATGTGGGGAAGAGGGGAAGCACCAGCAGATGCAAGTAGTATTATATTGCCAGTTGTCTCACACTACTCCCTACCAGGTGCATCAGCCCTGACATCACAGCCTTATGGGGCGTCTTGGCAGAGTTTTGAAATCGCGATCATCGCGGACCCGGAGGATTGTGCCTGGATATCGGAGATTAAAGGGAATCGAGGTGGTTGGGTCCACTTGTACCGTGTGGCACTGGTATACACTGGCTGATATCAGGTAGCACTACAGTAGTAATATTTTAAGAGTAGAGTAGAATAGAAATAATAAATAATAAATAATAAATAATACTGGATCCATATCTCCACTCAATTGATTGATAAATGGGCCGATGAGAAGCTGCATCGTTCGACAGATTCACTGGGTACATATTACGTAGTTAGTAGGTGTATAGTAACTAACTAGTGCTAGATATATACATCCACTGCCCAGCACATGGGCAATGCCAATGTAACTTGAACTGGACCTCCAAGCTGGAATCTACTACTAGCACTGACTGTAAATAAGAATATTATTTGCTACCTAGGTAGGTAAGAAAATACCACCACTTCTACCAAGCTCAATTCGCATAGTTCAACTTCACATAAGCAGGTTTTCTCGTTCGATCGTCCTGCGGGGATGACGTAGGAGGCACTCGAGTATACTGTAGTGTGGTATGGTGTAGTATAGGCAGTGTACCGCTAGTAGCTGTATGGTGATATTATTGTAGTGAATGTATTTAGAGTATATCTATTCAAGGTGTTTATTATTGTACTTTGTTTACAACAAGTGGAATCTCGGAATCTCGGCATGCCGAGACTCCGATGGGATGGTGATGTATTACAGTCACGTGAGTTCACAACAGTGTATACTATACACCTGGGCAGGATACTTGGATATAGTATCCAGAGTAAATGAGGGAAAAGAGTTAGAGTTATCCCTGATATACTCTGGGATACTTCTATTATCCAGTCTTCTCTCGAGTACTCTCTGGCTGTATACTCCGTGGCATGCTGTGTGTATGCTGTGCTGTCGTGGCATGCTGACTAATTCACGTGACCACAACAACGTTGGCAGGTCGACGGCACTCGTCTCTGTTTACCTCCCTCCCTCGCAAGTCTCAAGTTCTCTTCACGCGGTTTGTTGGCGCTTTTGCCTCTCCTCCAGGTCCTGGTTTCTCGTCTGCCAGTCCGATATCTTGTCGACCATTCCTCTCACGACCACTGCTCTCAATCACACCCTCGTCCCATTCACCCACGAATGCTCATCGTCGCCCGCCCGCTTCCTCACCGTGACCAGGTCTCGCACCGGTCCATCTCCCTGGTGACGGACCTCCACTTTGTCCAACCTAATCCAACCACGGACACTTGCTCTGTATAATGCCTCCCGAATTAGGTGAGTCGATCCCTTACCCTCTTCCTCTCCCTCTTCCTCTTCCTGCCCCCATCCGTCTCATCTCGTCCCTTCCGATCTCATCTCATTCATGTCTCTCCCCTCCAGTCCGCGCCCCGTCGCAAGGTAGCGTCGTCTCCCAGACCACCCAACATATGGGTCCGCTTAGTCGCCCAGGCACGGCCGATCACCTTCGCGGTCGCTCCGAGACCCTCTCCCGGGCTGGCCGTCGCCCTCGTTCTCGTGGTTCCACCGCCAGCATCCATTCTAGTACCACCCAGCAAACACAGGACCAACTCGATGCCTTCCCCCAGTTTATGCCCTCCCAGGTCGGCGGCGCCCAGCACGTCTTTGCCAATAACCCCGAAGATATGATCATGCGGTTTGGTCACCAGCTGATCCACCAACAGACCAATGGCGCGTCCCTGGAGCATGCCCACCACCGCGATCATTCAGTGGCCTCGCAGGCGGAGGAATTTGCAGGTCACGCCATGCACAGTCACAACCTCTCTCACCACGGCCTTCCCCACAGCCTGAGCCACAATGGCCTGCCCACAGTCCCTGTTCCGCAATATCAACCCATCTATGACAGCGGTATCGAGAACCACCTCCCCGATACAACATTGGAAGAGCAGGAGGCCTCAGAGGCCGGTGGAAAAAAGAAACGCGGGTCCAGCTCCACGCTGGCAAACGATAATGAGCTGCGGAAGCTGCTCCGTCAATACGAAGGATACACATTGAAGCAGATGGCCGCCGAGGTCATGAAGCATGAAGGCGCTGGAGGCAAAGCAGAGAAGGTGAAGCAGGTATTCGCCATGATCTGGCTGCGCGAAAATTGCCGCAAGAGTAATGGTTCCGTGCGTCGGGATCGCGTCTACTGCTGCTATGCAGAGAACTGTGGCACCGAGCGAGTGTCTGTTCTGAACCCCGCCTCCTTTGGAAAATTGGTTCGAATCATATTCCCCAATGTGCAGACGCGTCGATTGGGCGTCCGTGGCGAGTCCAAGTATCACTATGTCGACCTCTCTGTCATTGAGGAGAAGCAAGTCAAGCATATGCCCCAGCAGGTTGCCCCCAACCCACACCTCCCCGTGGGCATGCCGGACCGACCGAATAGCGCGATGCGTTCGCGCCGATTTGACGAAGCCTCTCCAGCCCCATCAGCGCATTCCAATGGACGCTTTGGAGTAAGCATCCCACCGCCCACTGCAGACTCCGCCGTCTTCCCTTCTCCCACCACCTCGTTCCCGCCGCGATTCTCCAACAATACCCCGGTCACCGGCTGCGGATGTGAAGGTCAACATAATGTCGGTGCCGATGCTGCCATCACCACGGAGAATGTCGCACAGCAAGCGGGGAAGATGATTCACCAGATGCTGCAATTTCCCAACGACGAGAGCCCCTCGATGGATAATGACTCTCTGATCCTCCCTGACATTCGTCCCTACCTCCCTCACAACACCGATCTCAAGGTTGCCGACGCGTTGGCGGCTCTCTATCGATCACACTGCATCTCCGTCATTGACAGCTTCCGATTTTGCAAAGAGCGTAATCTTTTGAAATATTTCTCTGCCTTTCACGGGACTTTAACTGTTCCTGTACAAAAATTGTTGACTCACCCTAATATGGCTCCCTGGATTAAGGAGTGCGATTGGTTGATGTATCAAAAAATGATTGCTTTCGTCGCTCCTCTCACCACTCAAGTGGTTCCCAAGGTTGTCATGGATGCCTTTGGATCCATCTCAAAACGCCTCTGTGGCCACATTACCGAGACCTTCAAGGCTCAACCGACGCATGTGTCGGTGGCCCGTCTCATTCCCGCTCACATCTTCTGCAACCTCCTCAAACACATGCTGGATGTCAATCAAGCCGCCAATGCGGCTGCCGCCTGGCTGTGCCACCCGGATAACCGTAACCAGATGTGGTATGATTTCAAGACATTGGTTCACCCGACCGAGATGATCACCAGGGCCGACATACCGAGCTGTGCATCGAAGGCCGCGGAGCAGATCCTGAAGCATGATGTGCGGGCGCTGCTCACCCCCGTTACAGATAGCAATCAGTCTGCTGGCCTGCCATACTTCCAGCAACCTGACCAACCTGCTGATATTGAGGCTCACCTCTTCCCCGTGGACACTGCTACGGGCGAAGATTACAACTTCCCCGACAACTGGGTCTCCTTCATTCTCAACCTCCCCGCTGCCTTTGCCAACCACCGAGCAGGATGCATCATTCAAAAGGTCGATGCTCTGTGGGACAGCATTCTGCACCGTCTGACTCTCGGCGGGGCGGCCAGCTTCAGTGCGTGGTGGATGACCAAAGTTTTCTTCCACGAGATGATGGTGTGGCAAGCGGAGAAGGCGGGTTTATGACCAGCACCCCAAACTCCCTTCAGAATGCGGTTTTTGGAGAACCCGCGGGGATGGCGGGCATGAAGCAGAACCCCAGTCAGACTTCTTTTGATCCCAAAAATCACCCGCGGCAATCCGTGAGCCATGAGGGCTCGGCTGATACCCCCAACACTGAACCGGATGTTAAGCACGTCCCCGAGAAAGAGCTGGTTCTCCCAAACAATGATGACAGCGCGATTGATCTGGAAGATGATCCCATGATGATCGCGGTGGGCAAATACAACGATATGATGGCGTCTGATCCCGCCGATGCAGAGGGTGATGTAGTCGTGATCTAGAATTGTGACTTGTGACTTGTGACATTGTTCTTAATGCTTGGGTCGGAGTTGGATATCCATTGGGTGAATCATTGTTGTTTCTCTTTTCTCTTTTTTTTTCTTTTTCTTTTTTTCCTTTCTCATTTCCTTTGTTCTTTCTTTTGTGCAGTGTGGTGAATGGCGTTGGACGATTGTATTGAGAATTGTTCTGCACGATGCGACGAGACACGAGCATGGGAAGTCGTTGAGGATGCAATTATGCAATTCTTCCCTGATCATTACAGCATTTAATCGGCGTGAACCTTGGATTGGTTCTCGCTTTCTCTCTGGTTCTTATGACTGGAGCGGTGTATATACGCTATGAATGGAGTGCAAGCCACCCGATAGCTTTCTATTTCTTCCCAACTGCTTCATTGGAGCTTAGCAACAGTAGAGTAAGGGTATCTCGGTATACAATCCCCATCCCATCCCCTTTCTATACAGCAATCTCCTTCCACTTCCCAAAAGTAAACTGCGAATTACACATATTGGTCAACTCCCAACTCTCCGCCCCCAGAACCCCCTCAGCATCAGCATCCTCCTCATCCCCAGCCGCCCCCGCCACAAAAAGCGCCGCCATAAAATGATCATCCGTAGCATGCGCATCTCGAAAACGCGGATGTTTCATCAACCTCGTCATAGCCCTACGCAACTGTACCCCACTAGTCTTAGTAATAACATCCTCAACGGCCTGACGAAATTCCAACGCCCAATCCTCCGGCGGCGTCTCCATGGCGAAATTATCTCTAAACTTCAACATGGGCGCCCACCGATTTCGATAAAGATTATGCACCGCACCACCGGTACCAATGATAAGGAAATTCTCTTTTCGAAGCGGTCGCAACGTCGCGCCCATTTTCATGTGGAAGTGTGGGTCGTAGCGTGCGTTTGCGGAGATTAGCGTCGTTGGTGGACAGCCGGATGGGAACATTCGGATTAGGATTAGGTAGACGTCGTGGATCCAGTCGAAGGTTGGATTTCCCGTGACGTTGAAGCCTTCGTTCTTGAGGAGGGTGATGCAGCGGTTTGTTGTTGGGAGGTCGGGGGTTAGGGTGTAGTTGATGTATTTTTCGGGGTTGACGTAGGCTACTGGGCTTTTGCCGGGGGTGGGGTTTGTGGATAGTTGGATTGAGTCGTTTAGGGCGTCCCAGTGTGCGCCCTGAGTAGACACCATGTGTGTTAGTACTTGTATTTGGCAGTGGTGGTGAGGAGAGGGGAGGGAAGTACCATGATGATTACGCCCTGGATGTTGCGGGCTAGGGCTTCGTCACCGCATTTTTTCCAGTAATCTGCGCTTTCGGATTCTTCGCCTAGCATCATGGTTGAGCCGTGGGAGAAGAAGTGGACAGGGGTGAGGGATGCTGGGATTAGTGTTAGTGTTGGTGTTGTAGAGTTAGGGTTTCGGAGTAGAGTATAAGAGTGGAAGTACCCATGATGGAGGTTGGATGGTGGTATAGTGGTACAAAGAGATAAGAGGAAGAAGAAGATATTGAATTCAATGGAATAATATCACCACCACGACCAGTGGAATAAAATAGAGAATATTGAAATAGCAGGGAGTAGTATTATAGCAATGGCAAAGTAGGTGGACCTCCACTCGGATGTCATCCCCCACATCCCGAGGAGAAGGAAATATAGGAGATTCCGGATGGGGAGGGGTGTCCTAGTAACATTGATTAGAGGGAAGATGCTATCGTGATTGATATACTAGTCTAGATAGTACCACTCTAGTAAACTATACACATTACTTCCTATACTTCCTATACTTCTTACTCTGATTGTAGTTGAGAATGATGAGTCAGCGGAGATCAAATATGGGGAAGGACCCACCGGCTATCCCCGATTAGGCGATGAACCAACCAATCAACCGCGCCTTCCCTGGTCCTGGTTCTGCTTCCCCAGATTCTTCCTTTCCTCGAGGGTCCTTTTCTCCTCCTCTCCTCTTCTCCCCTCCTTTTCACATTCACCTTCTCTTCTCCCCACCTCCCCCATGTATCGTCTACACCATGGATGCTAGTGCCTCACCTACAAAGTCGAAGGATGGTGGCTACTTCCAATGCGGTTTCTGCAGGCGCCATTATAACCGTCCTGATCATCTCATCCGCCACGTTCGTTCCCACACTCGCGAGAAGCCCTATGTCTGCGAAGTCTGCGACAAGGGCTTTGCCCGTCCGTAAGATCTGCTTCTCTGCTTCTGTCCCACATCTGTTCGGCTCTTGACTCACCTGGCCAACCCAGTGACCTCCTAAAACGCCATGCTACTGGCCACGCCTCGGACCGGGATCGCAAGCGGAAACGCAATTGGTCCTCGCCAATTTCCAAACAAAGCCGTGTATCTCAGGCTTGCAAAACCTGTGCTTCTTCCAAACTGAAATGTGACGAGGAGAAGCCTTGCCGCCGCTGCCGTGAACGCAATCTGCATTGTGACTGGCAGGAGGTCACCCAAGATTCCTCCCCAGAGCCAAACTCGGCCCATTCAGTCGCCTTTGAGTCGATGCCAACTCCCATGGATGAATTGTCAACAGTTGCCGCTGCAGTCTCAGCCACGACCGCCATTCTCCCATTACTCTCCCCGGAAATGCCAGCGTCCGAGTTGGTCGAATACACCGACCAGTCCCCGCAGTACCAGCAACCGGCCGTCTCGCCGACCGATCAGGAGAGTGGAATTTTCAGCGTCGATGGCACTTTTTTCCCTAGCTTCATCCCTGACTCTTTGGTCTCCTCGCTAAACCGCTACAACGATCCCTTTGAACCATCCAGTCTGATCCCCGAGTTCACCCACTATGGTGCCCTGGAATACCCGCCCTTCGACTTCAATCTGACTGATGGCGACTTTGGCCTCATTGACATGTATAATTCGGGCAGTATCTTCCCGAACATGCACGAAAATCATCAACAAGATTCCTTTGACGCGGACAGTGGGATCGGCATTGGCACCGAAGCCTATAATCGTTCCTCTCTCTCCGCATGGAAACCCGGCCAAGGGGACAAGGCTGGTGTCGATCATGAGAGTCTATCGATTCCGCAGAATATCAACAGCCCCGAGGCAATTGCCACACCAGATCAGCAGATTCTGTGTGACCGGCTTTCCTCCAGTAGCCGGGACCTCATCTTTGGCCTTGTTTTGGAGATCAGCCGAGAAGCGAACTTGACCCGCATTATGAAGTCATTCCCCAGCACTGAGTTGCTGGATGGCCTGATCCAACAATTCTTTGAGCGCCAGGCCAGGAGTGTTGTTTCTTTCATCCATGCCCCGACCTTTCGACCGAACAGCGAACATGCAAGTATTCTCGCCGCGATGGCCTCCTCTGCGGCGGTCCATTCGCCAATTCCGACTATCCGGAAACTGGGATACGCCCTCGTCGAGATAGTTCGGCTATACATGCCTACTAAAGTGAGTGTCGCTTCAATATCCCTTGTTTAGACTACTCTGACGAATTAGTACGAAAACGACAACAGCACGACACGCGATCTGCGGGCTTCACAAACATACGCTCTAACCATTGACACTGGCATTTGGAGTGGCAATCGGCGAAAGACAGAGATTGCCGAGAGTTTCTCGCAGCCTCTTATAACCATGCTTCGTCGATCCCTGCGATTCCGCCGTTCAATGTACACCAGTATCATACCTCTGCCCGAGGACGAAGGGGAGGTCCTCGAGCAAAAGTGGCATGCATGGATTGAACAGGAGTCGTTCAAGAGGTATGCTGTCGCCATATATTCATACCAGTATTCATTTCATGCTAATATGACCGCACAGACTTGTTTATCATGTCTTTGTCCACGACGCCCAGTCTGCGGCGACTCTCAACGTCAACCCGATCATTTCATACGCCGACATGGATCTCCCGCTACCAACAGCCCGTCAAATATGGGAAGCAAAGTCGGCCGTGGAATGGAAAGAACTCCTCTGCAATGCCACCCCCGAGCGCATGCCCTCCCTCATCGACCTTTTGCGTGACATTTCGCAGCTATCAGTATTCCAGGATCGCATCGACACACAAATGTCCGCGCTTGTCCTTCTCCACGGACTCTCCGCCTTGGTCAACGAATACCACCGACTAAAGTTCATTTCGGGCAGCAACTCTAAACATTGGCATGCCCTCGTTACCAACTCGCGACAACAAGAACTGGAACAGTCGCTTCAACATTTCCGCCTGGTGTGCTCTGAGCTTCGTATCAAGTGCCGACCGGAGATCATCCTGGTCTGTGAGGTAGTCTCGATGCTCCTGCACATGTCCTTGGAAGAACTCCAGCTCTTTGCCGGCAAAGAGGACAAGCAAGAAGCACGGCGAGTCTACCAATCCGCTCTGGAGTGGATCACTAGTCCCGACTCGCGTCGTGCCATTTGGCACGCCGGCCAAACTCTCCGCGCGGCGCGTCAGATGGCCCCAGGCTCGATAACCGGCTTTCTTGCTATTGGAGTCTACTACGCAAGCCTGGCATTCTGGTCATACGGGGTTGTTTCCAAAGCCAGGGACTCCCGATCAATTGAGAGCCCCCCTCTCTCCCAAGGGCCAACTGTATTCCTCGACGCGGATGAAGTCCCCGATGTGTCGAAATTCGTCACTCTGGGATGTGGCTTCCCAGCCTTGCAGAGTGCAAGTGGGCCCCTATACCTTGTAGACCCCGGGACGACGATGCAACTAGTACAGTCAGTGCTCCGACCTGGTATGCCTGAGCGAGCGCCACCTTTAGTGCAGAGTCTTGCACAGTTGATAGGAGATCTCGGGGCTGCTTTGTATACTAAATAATGTAATTATGATAATCAATGATACCCAAGACATGAAATTATGAACAATTTCAATTTCAATTCCAATTCTCGGCATCTGCTAGTAGCTTCTAGATTCTTGAGATGACACCCGACTATCCCATAGAACGAGGGAACAACCACTTGAGGGCTGAACCAGTCTGACCAGTCCACGAATAGTGATTTCTAAGCTTTTGCTTAACTTTTGCCCCCTCGGCAGCCACTTTTCGCTGATCTCCACATTCCGAGCTGCCCCCGGGGCTCATGCGGGCCACGATTGCGGGGAATCGGAATCGGCGCCGAGTCCGAAGTAGCAGTAGTAAACATGAAGTTGGACAAGGTCAATCAATAGTGGTTCATAGTTCATATATAGCAGCTACATACTCTCCATTGAACCAAAACAGCTCAACAAACATCCTCCTCACATCCAACGCCACCATGGTCATCAAGCTGAAACAGCCCAACACGTCCGGCGTAGGTCCTGCACCGACAATCGACACCCCCGCAATCGTGCGGGGTGTGATCAACGACATTCGTGCGAATGGAGATGCAGCCGTGAGACAGTATTCGGAGAAATTCGACAAATGGAGTCCAGCCAGCTTCAAGCTATCCCAAGAAGAGATCCAGGACATCATCGCCAGTGTTCCGAAACAGATCATCGATGATATCAAACAGGTGCAAGAGAACGTTCGTACCTTTGCGCGAGCCCAAAAAGATTCCATCAAGGAGTTTGAACTAGAGATTCGTCCGGGCGTCCACCTGGGACAGAAAAATGTCCCCATCAATTCTGTTGGCGCGTGAGTACAATCTACAAAGCCTAACAACAAAGTAAACCCTCAAACTAACACCACTAACCATTTTCTTGCATAGATACATCCCCGGCGGCCGCTATCCCCTCCTCGCATCCGCACACATGACAATCCTAACAGCAAAAGTAGCCGGCTGTCCACACGTAACAGCCTGCACACCCCCCATCGCGGGTAAAATCCCCGCCAACACCGTCGCAGCCATGCACCTCGCCGGCGCAGACGACATCTACATCCTAGGCGGAGTCCAAGCCGTAGCCGCAATGGCCATCGGCACACCGAGCATGAAGAAAGTAAACTTCATAGCCGGACCAGGCAACGCCTTCGTAGCCGAAGCAAAGCGCCAACTCTTCGGAGAAGAAATCGGCATCGACCTGCCGGCCGGGCCAACAGAGATTCTCATCGTAGCAGATGAGCACGCAGACCCATTCATCGTCGCAACAGACCTTCTATCCCAAGCCGAGCACGGCCCAGACTCACCGGCGGTATTAATAACCAATTCAACTGCCGTGGGCGAAAAGACCATTTCGGAAGTGGACCGACTACTCAAGATTCTGCCCACGGCTGATATAGCCGGTGTATCGTGGGACAAATTGGGCGAGGTCAATATCGTGTCCGATCTAGACGAGGCGTATAAACTCGCCGACGAATACGCGTACGAGCATGTTCAGATTCTGACGCAGAATCCCCGTGAGGCATTGGTTAAAATGTCCAATTATGGCGCTCTCTTCCTTGGCCAGAATACTTGTGTTTCTTATGGTGATAAGTGTATTGGGACTAATCATGTTCTTCCTACTCGTGGTGCGGCGAGATATACCGGTGGTTGTAAGTACCCAGCCATCCATCCATCCATTCCTGCCCAGCCCAGTCCCACATAGCGTGGTGGAGCATCCTCAGGATGCCAGAAAGTTTCAAATAAGCCAATGACTATAATACTAATACTCCCTCTTATCACAGTATGGGTTGGAAAATTCCTGCGCACTGTGACATACCAAGAAGTCACCAACGACAAGGAAAGCGGCGAGCTGGGCCGTCTGTGTGGTCGGTCGGCGCGGGCGGAGAATTTCGAGGGACATGCGAGATCGGGAGATGCAAGGGCGAATAAGTACCTTGGTGATCATTTTGAGTGGATTGGATAGATCACATTTAGCTTGGATTTGCGGTTGTGTTAGTAGGGGTGAGTATATAGAAAAGGGAATGAATGGATTTAAAGAGTTCTTCGAAGTTATCAGAGAATACTAGAGTAGCTTATTTGAGATTATGTTTGCTTGTGCAGAAACTTGAAACCAAAGAACTTCTCTGCGCTGTGCGTGGAAATAGGTACTAGTAGCTTGGAATGTCGCGCCTTGCTTTGGATGTTACACGAGTTAAATCGTACCATCGAGTCGGTATGCACAATTCTCGCTAACTGTTACTAGTCCGTACCAATTAAATTGAACCTACCAGCTCATGTGGATACACTCGAGCAAAAGCATGGCTCAGCTGAAAGCTGAATATCTGCATCGCAGTGTCGACAGTAAGGACCAATCTTTCGGTGAGCGTTACAAGGGGTCGTCATGCGTTCATCTAGCTATAGATGACCCATATTTACTAGAGTGAACGGCCTCGATAAATTTGCATTTGGAACCAGTTCCTGATGTTGTTGATAGAATGAGAAAACCATTCAGCGTATATTATTCGTTCAAAGTCTCCGCGGGAAGCGTACACGTTGGCAACTATGTACACGGACGGAAAGAATAAGTTAAGGTCAACATGCACAGACGCCCAAAACCATAGGACTTGCACATAGTGGGCCACAGAAACAATATTATGCCTGAATGAATTGGATCTGCATCAGGGTCACGTTTTCCAGCAATGCTCTGCATGGATCTTTTAAGAAGGCGACGTATCCCCCGGCTTCCAGAAACCACTTACCCTGCCTTTGAATGTCCATTTCACCTCGCTTCTCTATATCGATCAACTGCTTTCCAATATCCACTCATACAGTATACAATGGTGTCGTACACTTTCTTTGCACTTGCCATCGCTTCCTGCTTGGCCCCTGCTCTGGCAGCGAAAAAGGTATCTCTATACAAAACACATTTCAAGTCCAGTTGTAAATTATCTCGAAGCGACTAACTCGCTCTAACCAAGGCCACGATTTTTTCACAAGAGCCTTGCACAGGAGAATCAGCCAAGATCAAGCCTAACAACGAATGCACTGTTGTGCCGGAGACATTGTATGTGGAACCAACGCGAAAGCTAAATGCCCGTTTACTTGATAGAACTTGAACATTAACCACACAATTTCAATTAACAGAAAGGGCAAAGTGACCGCTGTCAAGGTTCCCGAAGATGTAGTGTGCAACTTCTACAAGTGAGTCTTTTTACCCCCTTTTCAATCAAGCTTGAGACAAGTCAAGCCATCCAAAAATAAAGAAGAGAGTCTGTACTGATCCTGGCCAAGGGATGAATCTTGCAATGAACCAATCTTGTACTCGGTGGAGGACGATATCTGCAAGTTCAGTGAATGGGATACTTCGGATCAGAAAGTCAGCAACGAATCAAAGAGTGTTTTGTGCTTTGATAGCACCGTCGAGGAGGCTTGAGGTATAAGCCAATACTCAGCTCTCATAGGTACCTCTATACAAGGGTGCATGTGATATTCGTTACGTTCATATTGAAATCATATTTTATGATCAAACATGGAAAAAATTCGAGATTCAATTTGATCTTTGCAAATTCAATATTTCCATAAATATTTCCATCACTGTAAGCCAAAGCTTACTAAACTTTCAATTTGCCATTTTAATCGATTGTTGTACTGCTATCGGCAATTTGACGCACTTCAAAGATCGAAATAAGCGCGATCATCGCATTAGGTTCCAATAACCCAGTCAACATCATCCTTTTTCACCTCATCACTGACAGATGGCTTTCTCTTCTCGGGCGCATTTTCCTGGTGGCGTTTCCACCCCCAAGGATAATGCTTTTTCGTAGTAGGCTGGGCGGTATCAGCTAGCCAAGTTTATTAGCACGCGTCCGACTCCGTGAAGAGCCCAGAAAATAAAAGGAAATGGGGCAGATACTAGTTGCAGTCCCAGCAAAGGCTTCGTTAACATGGGATTCCGACTGAACAGACCCGCTTCGCTCGTTGAGTGGTTCTTCAGGAGACTTTGCTGCGTCTGGAGAGGTTGGTGCGCCTGTGGAGCCGGTCGAGTCTTGACGCTGGCGATTGTGAAACGCGTCAGATGCTCGGCGAAAGAAGTCAGACATGGTGGTATAATTGATTATCTTAGGGGACAATCTTAGCGGAAGTTTTCTTTGCTGGGGAAGTAGAGTTGATGGTGACGAAATCGTATTATATGGTTCAACCACATGACATCATTTGACCTAATTAGTCTGGTGAGCTCGTGACCATTTAAATACTATTAGTAGTAGTAGGCTTTATGGCATAAATGAAACTGTCTAAGGCTAGGACAAATCCCCGACCGGTAAAATTTTCGAGTTTAGGTGAATTTCGTAACGAGGGCCGTGCGTCAGGATGGTGATAGCCAAGAAACACTCTGGATTGGGCTTGAGCTAGGGATATGAGCAGAAAAACATTCTTATATTATTACCTGAACACTACTAGGCAATCTAAATCACCAAGTTATTCAATTATTTCGACTATCTCTTCATTCCAAACCACTCAGGCTGCCTTCTTTGTATGTTTTTCAGTGATAGTTATCGATTCTACTATATTAGTCTCGATCTCATCTCTCACACACCAACATTCCCATTGTTGCCTCCTCTTTTATACCTCCATACTTAAAGCTAGCTATTGATTCATTCTGGAAACCTTAACGGTCTACATTGCGATGTATATGGTGACTTGATTGGAAATAGCAAGATATCCCTCGGATGGTTGTGGTGACGTCACTAAAATCATCTCGTTAAATCGTTTGTCTATCTACACCGTAAAACTTCCAGGCGAATATGATTCGCTGAGTTCATCAAGGGGATCGGGCGCGGTTCGGGCCTCTTTTATAAAAAAATATCTCACACCCACTTCCCACATTGTTGACATCTTTCTTAAGTGCAGGTTCATAAGAAATTAATTCGGTCCTTTTTTTCATCCAGGCCGACTATTTTTCACTCAAGATGCAATGTAGGATACGCTTTACAGCACAAAATAGAGTCCGCTTTTACCCACAAATCAGCTCACCACGAGGTGAATCGAAACAGACGGTCGCTATTTGTAGAGACTAGAAACAGGATAAGACGCGCAGATCAAAATTGCCGCAGTGTACTTTCTGAATTCTTTGAATCGGCAGATATAAACTTGAACGCTATGAGGCCACTAAAAAATCTGCCCCTCCAGTTCTACTGGCTCCCCTGGCCATGGCCAGTGGATGTCCACTATTAATTACTATGTAGTAATGCATAGCAAGGATTCAATCGCCACCAGATTCACTGGCAAGAAAAATAATCGGAACAAATGATAGATAAGCTCTCCACTCATCGACAGCACATCGCATGTACCTTTCGGAGAATGTTATCCGCAAAGGTGGAAAACTCTTCGATGTGACGTCCGGATCCACTTTTTCTACCATTTAGCCGGAGGCATTTGGAGCATCATATGTATGTGTTTGCCCCCCGCGATTTCTCTCTTTTGATCTGAAGTTTTCCACCAGCTCAGTGTCACCGCCATAAGTGCTTTCATAATGACACCGACACCCGTGGGCGATGGTGCGAAAGGCACCACCCACACCGTTTATGAAATGGGATCGACAGCAACCTCCACAATGTCGCTGTCCACGACGGCAGATAGCACCAGAAGAAATTCTGACGAACTCGATGATCTTCCTGATTCACAAGATGTTACCGACCTGCACAAAGTTCCCACGACCCGGACTCGCCGGGGTTCGCACATGGGAGAAGCACTTGAGAACCTAGCCAGCTCTTTAAGTCATCATCACGACGGCCACCTAGAATTGGATGCCGTGCCTTCACGGCGAAGCGAGCGCAGCACTCGCCGCTCTTTCAGACACGCGTCGCCGAGAAGAATGCCCGATCTCGCTGAGGAGGCTGGCTCTCCAAGCGAGGCCAAATACCAAGGGATTCCTCCTGAGATTGGTAGCTTCACAGCCGAAGTCATTTTCGTGTTTGTGTGCTCTGCTGGCCTGATGCTATTCTCCTTTCTACTCGGCGATATCACGGTAAATCAAGAAGAATTCAAGCGCTCTCTGGGCATCAGCAATAGTGAACTTCCCTGGTTATTGGGTGCATATACTACGCCACTCTCCCTCTCTGTCGTGATATCAGGCTCACTGAGTGACTTGGCGCCACCGAGAATGATCATGGTCTGCGCATTTGCGTGGCTTCTCGTTTGGAATATTGTCGGTGTGTTCGCCACCGAAAAGGCGATTCTATTCTATATCGTCAGAGCTATGCAGGGACTTGCCATTGGAGTTTTAGTCTCCGGCTCAATGAGTATCCTCGGCCGAGTCTATAAGCCAGGCCGTCGCAAGAACCAGGTATTCTCTGCTATGTCAGCCACTGCACCCTTTGGATTTTGGCTCGGTGGTATCCAGGCGGAGCGTTGAAGTCTTACCTATACTGGATTTTTGGCTCAAACGCCATCCTTTCTGGAATCTGCCTTGTCGCGGCTTACACCACAATCCCTCCACTTCGTCCCGTGGCTGACATAGCCGGCACGGATGCACCGACAATTCGAGACTTTGACTTCATAGGCGCTGGATTTGCAGTGACCGGCTGCATCTGCCTTTTATTTGGCCTGACACAAGGATCCGTTGTACAATGGAGCCCATACACATATGCCCTCGTGGTGGTCGGGATTCTGCTGTTGATCGCTTTCTTTTTTGTGGAACGTTGGGTTTCACGACCACTGATCCCTAATAGCCTATGGAAAACAAAGGGCTTTACTCCTCTCATGGTGGCATACTTTCTCGGCTATGGCGCCTTCTCCGGAGCCTGGCAATTCTACGCGGTCCAGTTCTGGCTACGCATCCAGAATCACGAGCCGCTCACGGTCGCATTATATCTCCTTCCAAATGCGATAGTAGGAGTCCTAGCCACGTGGCTAGTCAGTAAGACTCTTCACATAGTTCCTGGCCACTTCATCTATCTCACGGCGATGTTCGCATTTGCCCTGGGACCGGTATTTTTCCTACCGCAAACATCAGGAACAACCTACTGGGCACTATCGCTCCCGGGAATCGCGTTAGTGACATTTGGTCCGGATCTTTCATTCGCGGCCGCTTCGATCTATATCACAAGCAACGTGCCACGCTCATACCAAGGGAGTGCCGGCAGTCTTCTCGTCACCATGCAGAATCTGAGTTCTGCCGTCATGACGGCTGTCGCCGATGCGGTTGGGACGGGAGTTGACCGTGGGCCATCTGGCGATATTGGTCTAGAAGGATTGAGAGCGATCTGGTGGTTTGCTCTCGCATGTGAGGTTGTCGCTGGTTGTATTACGTTGTTCTGGGTGCGGATTCCAAAAGAGGAGGAGAAGGAGCATGTTACTTGATTTCGTGTTTTTGCGACCTATAACCATGGGCTATTAGTAGCTTTCAATTGTTCATCGCTGGCTAAAGGGATGGTGTTCTATATCGCTGAAACGATAATCTTTCAAGGCACTGTACGGTTATTTCTCAATATCCGAGAAATTGAAGACTACATAATTGGCCAGAAATATGCGATTTCCCGAGTTATTACGCCAGCTTAAATTGGATGCCAAGTGCGAGAGTCACTCACGATTAAGGACGAGAGACCTAGCCAGACCATTCTAAATTTAACGCGGCCGCGCTAAGGTCTTGGCGATCGGTCTACTCGCACTTTTCGGCCAGATATGTATGAGGCTCCGGTGGGTGGGTCAATGAAAAGGCAAGGTGCAACGGCCCTGGGGGCTGAAAGGGTTACTACCTTCTAGGGCAGTGGGCATCTCATAACTGTATCGAAAAGTTTACAAGCCTTACAAAACCACGCCTAGTTAAGTGGCCGAAACTTAATGATGGGCCACCGAGAGCGCCAGGGGTAACATACATGTATACTATTTTCAAGATCGGCAGAACGAATACTCTATAAATATCAATAGTGCGTTGCTACTGCAGGGTAGTACTAGTTTTTATTGGGTTTGGTTAGAGAAAAATGTCTCCATAAGCGATAACTAAGCCTTTTCGGCCCCATAATTACCATACGTTTGCTAGCCAAACTGACGTGTTCCAAAGCCCCCCAGGGCCTGAGCTAGGTAAAAGTCTGTCTATGTATTGCCCGGGAGGGGCCGTACATACTTGGATAAGACAAGGCCCACGGCCAGATCAAGGAAGGGGTTTAAAGTCGAATAATGTCCGTGTCGCATAGCAAAATTTGAACTTGTCTCATCCAGTACACACAGTATCAACGTCATATCTAAAAAAAAAGATGGTCTTGCTCCTGAGATTCTTCATCTCTCTTGGTTTCTTGTCGGCTAGTTTTGTCACCGCAGCTCCTGCATCTGATAGCAGCAAACAAGCAACTACTACTTGCGCCCCAGTTCATTTATTCGTTGCCCGTGGAACGAGCGAAAGCCCGGGTGATGGATCTATTGGCTCTCTAGCCGACCTTGTCCTTCAGGGAAATCCGGGGGCTACACAGGAAGCTATCGATTATCCAGCTTTAGCCTTCCCAGTCTACATCGCAGATGTTTCGATCGGAATCAAGGCGGTTACGGATCAGTTCGCGCGCTATACGAGCTCGTGCCCCGATTCCACCCTCGTTCTGATAGGCTACTCCCAAGGGGCTCAAATTATGCTAGATGCCTTATGCGGCTCAGGAAGCATCTTGAAAGGGGGCATCGGAACTCCTACGATTACCGAGTCGCAGGGCAAGAAAAGTAAGTCGAGCTACGGTCGCGTTGAGTCTATGATATGCAGTCGCTGCTTCATTAAAGGAATCCCTGTCTAATTAAACCTACCAAAAACATAGTTGCGGCAGTCGTTGGATACGGCGATCCTGGTCATACTGCAGGGGAGTCTTGGAACCAGGGAACTGCGAAGGAAAATGGGGTAAGTCCAGTGCGACAAATACAAGGCTTTATAGGCGAGAGGACTTGGGACTGACCATGGGCTGTAGATATTCTCTCGACCGGCAGATGCGTGTAATGCATGGGCTAGCAGGATACACTCGTACTGTAATGCCGGGGATCCATACTGCGCCAGCGGAAATAATACAACGGTTCACCTACAGTACACTCAAACATTCGATGATCTGGCTTCTTGGTGGATTGACGGACAAATAGTTTCGGCAATAGCCCGGTAAGACGAAGCGCGACAAGGCCTACAGCTGTTAAATTTGTACTGGCGGAGTTAGATGCGAGTCAATATTTTCTTATATGTACCTAAAAGACTTCTAACAATATAGACACGTTTCAGCAGGAAACTTTCAAGGGATTATGTGTTTACTTTATCAACATACGGGAATGAAATATCACATATCTGACCAGAACCTTAGAAACCTGTTAATGCCAAGGCTGTTACGGCTGCGTAAGTTAGACCACAAGTACAAAAGGCCCACTAACGGTATGGGAAAGGTAAATTAATCCTGAAAATCCTAAATTTAAACTTGCTTGACGTGCGATATTAAAAACATGGTATTTAGCAATGATAGAATCCATGAAGACCATATATTTACCCGTCTCTTGCTTTTTGTGTCCATGTCCCGAGACGCGACATGTAAAGGCAAAAGAAAGAAAAGAGCCCTAGGGAATGAGTTCTCCTCGCCGATACCTTTGCCAACTCTTCATGGCATCGTGAGTGGATATCTCTAGGATGTGCCACTAGTGCACCCGGAGAAATAAATGATAAGGGTAAAGTATGTCTTCTAGCAACAAGAGTACCGTGTTGTGAAGAGTGAGAGCTGCGGTTGTATAATGAATCTGCCCTGACGGGAAGTAGACAGCTAATGGAAACATGCATGGAAGCTCGACTCACCATTAATAGAGACCCCGTACCGTGTATTGTGCGCGGTGGCTGATATTGGTTGCTTCTGGAGTAGAGATAGAGCTGGATCTGAGAGCATCAAAATCGTAAACAAGACCCGGTATATATGCTAAGATGCTGAGAAAAGAAGAGCAGAAACCCTGCATTTTGGGCCTTAGGCCTTTCAAAATGGACACCAATGAGGAGCCCGAAAGAACGCAATATTTCCAATGATTCTAAGCGCCGATAATGTGCTCACGACCTCGGGAAAATTAACAAAGGCTATGTGGATGGAAGCTTCCGAAGACTCGGAGTCTGCAGCCAAATGTAAGCCGACCAATTCGGCCCAGGACACTGTCGCCGTGTGTTCACCACCTCGGAGAGCCTGCCCAGGTGGGCAATACATTTACATGGCCGGTCATAAGATAGTTATGTATTGGTGTTATTGACCTTCCAAGGTTATACCTGCCCAGGTGGGCTTAACTAACCATGTACATAGCTCTTTCTCTTTCTCGAAAGTTTTGGGTGAACTGAGGTTTCAATTTGTATATTGCAGAGGGATCCTGGAGGATCCGTGCTGTACAGCTAGTAACACTTGGGCAGCAAATTGAACCCACTAGATCCGTCCCGAACCTTGTAGATACTACGAAGGCGGCAGCCTAGTACTAGCAAGTCCCAAACCTCGCCCTGTGGCCCTGACTACATGTTTCACGAGTTTAAAACAGTGCGGCAATGACTTGTACAGCAAAAGAACTGCCTGCGATAAAGTTAGTAGGCAATACGGAATGAAAATATCATAATATTATCCATGGATCTAGGCGATATGCCTTTCCTTTCAGATCTAACCTGGGCTCAGTTTCTCTCTAAATGACTTAATCACTAAAATGGCTATTTTTGTGGGACAGAAGGGACTCGGATGAAGCATTTATAGTACTCATCAACTGAGATACAAAGTCCACCTGGAAACATTATGCCTCTCGTCCTGCCAAGACGACAGTTTCGGAATATTCTCGGCGATGAGATACGAGTCTCTGCCGCTCGAAATTTTGCCGTTAAATCCTCGGGAAACTTGATCTTTCATTGTGATGATATTACTAAATTGCACAGAATTTTCGCATGAATGAAAACGTGCTAGATATATGGTTGCACTCAATTCTTCATCTTCATCCTCATTTTCTGTTCAATGGAGACATGGGTTTTTTCATGTGATAATTAAATCTGAATCCAGATTTCCTGCCGGCCCAAGTTCAGCCCCCAGATTTATTACCCACCGTGATCGTGGAAATCACCATCTACTTGCGGCGAACGCACCCTTCTACGCAGACGAGTATGAAACGGCGAGGTTCCCGCGTTTGCCGAAAATTTCGGTATGAGATTGATTGAGAAGATTATCTGATTGATAACTTTGTCTTGGCACGGCCCGTTATATCCAATCATGCCACCAGTCACCCGAGAAAAGTGGTCCTTAGTGCGTCTTTAGGCCAAACCCACCATGCACGAGGGGCTTGGAATCGAGCAATCAAACCTCTTGATGCTGGTGAGCTGAGCCGGGCATCTGCGGGCTTTTGCCCCCGGTGGAGCTTGGCCGACTCGCTAGAGAGGGATCCTATCAAATCACCACGCAGGGTGTCGAAAAAGCCCCTGCCGCAGTCCGCGCGTGCTAGTGTCTCCGGTCCGACTTCGGTGCTTGGGACTTGTGTCCTTGATGGGTAAATGATCACATTTTCCCTCTTGGCTTTATTATCTAGCACACCTCGCCACGAAATTGCTCCATCGTCTTGGCTTTTTTCCATACTCGGCCGTCATGGGTATCCGTCCCTTGGTTCGAAGGGCTCGAACGGTCTTCCAACATCTGGCATCCGGTGATGGCGATTCTATCGACGAAGAGACTATTGAGCAACGAATAGTCAGAGAAAATCGAAGACAAGAAAAGGGCTCCTTAGATGATAGCGTCCATTGGTCCAGAAGTTACAGCGGCTCGGGATCATGGGATGACCAGCCAGCTGAAACCGTCCAACATGGTGTTCAAGATGTCGAGGCCGTGACCATGACTTGGTCGAAGACTACATTGATCCTCATTTTTGTCAAGTGAGTTTTTTTTTTGCCAATTAGTTCTCGTCCTGTAGTTCCTGTTTTTTTAATTGTGGGCACTAATACCATGAACTCAATAGTATTTGGTTTCTTTACTTCGTTAACGCCTTCCAAGCCACAATTTCTGTCAGCTTGAATCCTTACGTGACAAGTTCATTCAAGGCCCATTCACTCACAGCGGTGCCTACTGCTATAGGTGATGCCTTTGCGGCTTCAACCTACCTCCCCATGGCAAAAATGATGGATGTATGGGGTCGCGCAGAGGGATTTCTCTTGACGATCATCTGCTTAACCATCGGATTGGTTCTTATGGCAGTATGCGACTCCTTTGAGATATACTGCGCCGCCAATGTAAGTCCGAGGTGACTTGATCGAACAGCGACTATAACTTACAATTGCGATTATAGGCGTTCTATTATGTCGGTTTCTACGGGTCTGAGTATGCTATCGATGTTATTACGGCAGATGCGTCAAGTTTGAGAAATCGGGCCTTTGCCTACGCTTTTACCTCTTCCCCTTATATTATTACCGCATTCGCGGGGCCAAAGGTCGCGGACATTTTCTACTACAACATTTCCTGGCGCTGGGGATTTGGTGCTTGGGCAATAATCACCCCCTTTTTCGCTGCACCTCTATACATAATGCTGAAATACAATCTGCATAAGGCTCAGAAAGAAGGATATCGGATTAAAAGACCTAGCGGTCGAACCTTTTTTGAGAGTATCCGGCATTGGACTGTCCAGTTTGACCGTGAGTACCGTGGACTCGATTCCCCAGTCACAACTATCATAAATCGCAGCAGAAATATTATTTACTAACTTTGAGTTTCAGTCTTTGGCATTGTGGTATTCACTGCTGGTCTTATTTTGTTCGAACTCCCTTTCGATATCGCAGACTACGCACCCGAGGGCTGGGCTTCGGGCTACATCATTGCTATGCTTGTTGTCGGCTTCTCGATGCTCTTTTTCTTTGCAACCTGGGAGAGGTGGCTTGCGCCTGTACCGCTTCTCGAGTGGAGATTGCTCACTGATCGTACCATTGTTGGCGCGGTCCTCTTGGATGCCACCTACCAATTGTCGAATTACTGTTGGAGCTACTACCTCACATCTTGGCTACAGGTCAATAATGACCTGACAATATCTACTGCCAACATGGTTAACAATATCTTCGATGTGATTTCCGGTGTTCTCCTATTGTTCCTTGGTTGGGCAATTCGCGCAACTGGCCGATTTAAGTGGTGTCTTTATATCGCGATCCCCCTCTACATACTTGCGCAAGGTCTGCTCATTCATTTCCGCCACCCAAACATGAGCGTTGGATATCAAGTGATGTGCCAAATTTTGCTTGCTATCGGTGGCTCCATCTTCATTCTGGTGGAACAGCTCGCCATCCTAGCCGCAGTTGGTCATCAGCATGTTGCAACTGCTCTAGCCTTGTTAAACGTCGTGGGTACAATTGGTGATTCCACCGGGCTCACCATAAGCACCGTTATATGGCAAAATACATTTATGAAAGCTCTTCTGCGATATCTTCCCGAGTCGGCAATGCCGAACCTGAACAATATCTATGAAGATCTCGTGACACAGACCAGTTACACAGTTGGAACTCCCACCAGGCTTGCGATTCAAAAGGCATATGCCTACTCTGAGCTCAGACTCCTTGCTGTCGGATGTGGCATCATGATTTTAGCAATCCCTTGGACAATACTCATCAAGGATATTGATATAAAGAGAAAGGTTCAGGTTAGGGGAACGGTCTTATAGTAGGCGATATTAGTATATAGAGCAATTAAATTTCACGAATTTGACGATACTTTCCTTCGGCTCCTCCAGTCCCACCTTCTTTACTGTAGATCACCTCCCAGCCCGTTTAACTGAACCGTGCACCAGTGACGTATGATTAGGGTCAAAAGCTCCTTTGGGTTGAAACTAACGAGAAAAGTGGAGGCCTTAGCTCCTTCCCATAAGAGTTGGCCCTGGCGTCTAGATTTCAATTTAGTCTCGTGAACCATTCAAAGCCACATGGGAGTGGGGTCAAAAAGCCGAGATCGGATACCGCTCCAAGCGCCTAGCAAGTAGCAGCATAAGGCAGGTACTTTTCTTCCAGGCTGGCTGTGTGCACGGACTAACAGTTGGAAGCTGGTCTTACGCGGAAGACCCCACTACCGAAAGAAAGGTTCCTTGTGTTTCTTCCTATCTTGACACATTACTGCATGTTTAAAAGCCCACTGCAGGTGTTCGGTCCAGACCTTTTTCCTTTTTCCTTTTTTCCCCTTTTCCTTTCGTAGCAAGCTTTCTTCTGGGCCATTGAAGCTTAGACACCCCTGGTGGCCCGTGTCGTATGATGAAAAGCACAGACTGGTCGAACGAATGAAGCCAAACAAGTTGGACAGCCGATACCCAACGGTTGAAATATTGCAGGGCACTATTTACACCATGGACTCGCTGGACAAAAAGTTGAGAAGTTGCTCTATCTCATATCATTCTGAATTTTCGAAACCGATTGTCTGTGATGACGGCGGAGGTGTCGAAATCGTTAAGGCCGGAAATCTAGCGGCTTTAGTGGACCATCTCACCCGCCATGACAAACTGGACGCCTCGTTTAACCGCACATTCCTCACGACCTACAAATATTTCATATCAACATATGAGCTTATTCGGCTTCTCATTGATCGATTTGATGGTACGCCACCAGATTTGAATCCGACTCAAGCTGCCGAATGGTCAAATCAGATAAAGCCCTTGGTGCGACTACGAGTGATAAACATTTTCAAGCAATGGCTTGAGAGTTTCTGGGGTGATTCAAGTCGCTGTGATGCCACCGCCAAACAGGATTTGCTTGAAATTAAGGCGTTTGTGTATCGAATCAATGATGCTTCCGAAGCAGTTGCGGCCCGTCAGCTCCTTTCAATTATCCAGTGTCGACTCGAGGGCGTCGTCAACATAAAGACAATCCAACCTTCTTTATCAAGTGCACCAAAACCAATTCTTCCAAAGAAACTGAATAAACTACAATTTCTCAAAATCGACCCTAAGGAGATAGCGCGGCAGTTGACTATTATGGAATCATCAATGTTTGCTAAAATACAACGGAGCGAATTGTTGAACAAGTCATGGCAAAAGAAAGACACTTCCGGAGGTCCAGGGCCAGCTCCGCATATCAGGGCCTCGATCCAATATTCAAATCAAGTGTCTAACTGGGTGGTTGCTCTCATAATTGGGGAGTCGGAACTCAAAAAGCGAACCCAAGTCATCGGGCACTTCATAAATGTGGCAAGCGTGGGTCTGCACGTAAATTACCACTAGAAAATGAATATGCTAAGCTCAATTTATACAGGCTTGCCATGATCTCCAGAACTACTCAACGGTTATCAGTATTCTATCCGGTTTGGAAAGTGCTCCAATCTACCGGCTAAGTCGAACATGGGCAATGGTCACCGAACGAAGCTGCAACACATTATCACCCATGCAGGCCATGATATCTAGCACGCAGAATTACAACGCATACCGCGAGACTATCAGAGCTGCAGTACCACCTTGCATACCATTCCTCGGTTCGTACGATTGTCACTTTATTTATCAGCTTCCAAGTTGCTAATATAGTTTGTATTGACTAGGCCTTTTCCTAAAAGACTTGACCTTCATCGAAGACGGAAACCCAGGCTTGACCCCGGAAGGACTGATTAATGTCCACAAATACACAATGCTAGCGTCGACTATTCAGGATGTTCAGCGTTTCAAAGAAGCACCGTACTGTTTGCAGCCTGTCCCGAGTTGCAAGAATACCTTGCAACTGAACTACAGTCAGCTGTTGAGTTGCACGAGCTGTGGCCAAAAAGCTGCGAGTTAGAGCCAAGGGGTCGGGGAGATGAGAGCAGGCTTCGAGATCGCTATACAGCGACTGGAGGTAATACAACTTCCATGGTCGTTGCCTGCATGGTCATGGACCAGTGATTGACTTCCTTTACGAACCTTTTGATACCCCATATTTTTTTACGATCTCATTTGATATACCCAGTTCGCCAAAATTCTCCCTTTCTACTGTACACTTCTACGACTATGAATTGGGTGCAAAATACCCAATCTAGCACTTCATTTATTTATTTTGTTTCGCAAGTGATATCAAAAACAGATAGATGTCTTAATTCATGGCGAAGGGAATGACTTGATAAACGCCGAGGCTATGTGATATCGTTATTGCCAGATTATAATCTTATTAGAATTTTGGGTGGAGCTCGAGCTCATCAATCAAATCCATCAAGGAGTTGATAGTTTTCGCGGAGGGAGGAACGTTGCTATCGCTTCGAGGAATCAGAAAACTCTCCCATCCAGCATCTATTGCCGCCCGATAGTCTTTCTCATATTCGTCGCCCACATGTATACAAACCCAGTTATCATCTTTATTTCTCTTCGCAGCCGGTGGTTGGCTTGACATATGATTACTTGGTAATAAACGAGCTTGGCGTTTCGCGACATCGAAGATCAGTCGGTTTGGCTTCCCCTCCCCAGCCTCGTAGCTGGTAATGACAAGGTCAAGATCGACATCTGGCTGATCAGAAGGATGCGACTTGCCGGATCCAGGTCCATCCCGATGCTCAAATCCCGGAAGCTCCATACTCGAGAGATCTTGGTCTGCTCGTAAATCTCCTACCCGCAGTCCCAGCGCCTTCAGCACAGCAGGAACGCGGTCATCCGAATTAGACACTATACCCAGCACAATACGGTCAAATCGATGGGTCGGAAAGCTCCTCAGCTCACGCATGCGCGTGAAAAAAGGGATAACATCTTCGTAGAGCGCGTAACCTTCGTCACTGGCGAACCTATCAAGCAACACGTCCACCATACCCGAAGGAAACTCGAGTGACTGGCTACTATCCGACGCCAAAACACGCGTGAAACTCTCTCGTATGACTTCCCCCACCATTGTTTTGGCCCGCCATATTTCCCGCGGAGTACATCGGCGCGGCCATAATTTGGCCAGCGTTTGGCGTGGGCCGGGTAGACATCCTTGAAGGCTTCTTTTACTTTCTGCGGGGTGACGGCATCTCGAGGGAGGCCAAATTCATGGGCGACGGTCGCGTATTGTTCTGGGACAGTCGGGTTCGGATAGAAAAGGGTACCGAACGCGTCGAATGTTAGAAGGAGGGTGCGAGGATGCGTAGATGTTGACAAGGTACGAACACCCGTCGCGAGGGGCGTCATTGTAGTTGTGTTGATGGGTCAATGTTGAGTGAAGAGAGTCTGTGTTAAGTGATTGTTATCAGTGACTTGCGATCTGCTCGCAAGTCATTATCACGGTTAGAATCGGAGAAATACGGAAGTCTTTGCTTTGCAGTTGATTTAAAGTCTGACAACCTCAGACGAAGAGCCGACATCGGGCACCTAAAAGAACTGAACTGTCGATATTCAATTGAATAATTTTTTCGATAGATCAACAAAGCTCAACACCAAGAATAACAGAATAACAATAATTAACTTGAATGAACACTGTTTTCCACGTGACCTGATTGTTGCGGGGATCGAATGATTAATAATGCTGGCCATCGCTCATATATAGAGCTTCCAAGGATAGTTTTCTTTCAAGTTGGCTTCGTCTCTGTCTAGATCCACAACTTTTACTTAAGTTCTAGCGTTATGGGGGTTGCAGACAGTGGAGGGAAAGTCGGCCTACCTAAGCAACACAATGAAGCTCCGGGGATTTTTCGACGAAGCCTCAATACGTCTTGTTTGAATTGTCGAAAACGTAAAGTCAAATGTGACGCTTCTGAAGGACGTGGATGCAGCTCATGCGAGCGATATGCAGTCGAATGCAGGTAAATATTCACCTTGACAACAAGTCGGTTTTTTTATCTGAACACCAATTCACCTCCTTTGAGACCCCATCCAGCCCAGAACCAACAGAGACGATCAAGGAAACGTCAAGTCTATGGAGCAAAGAGATCCCACGCCAATGAAGCGGATCACAAAAACAATCAACCTGCTACTACAAGCCAGGACTCCAATTCCGGGCTCTTTTCTCACTTCCGCGCCGGAAATTTATCAAAATTCTTTGAGACTGGAGTTCTAACCTCCAGGTGGGAAGGATTTGAAGAAAGCGGAACCGTTCGAAATGTGTACATCGGTACTGACATTTCCAACTTGTATCATCTTGTTCGAGATTATGAGTCCCCTGACAATAACTACATCTCATACCCCTTCCCGGCGATTCGTGACGAGCTTCCGTGGAAACCACACCCCGAATTATCAGGCCATCACTACTTATCTTCTGAGGCTCTGAATGACTTGAGCAGTCTCCCTGCACCGTCGGTTCGAGATGCTTTGATTGATACCTACTTCAGTGATATCCATCCTGGATGCCCAATAGTCGACGAGGCCGACTTTCGTCGACAATATGCGGACCCGGAAAACCCCCCGCCGTTACTGGTATTCCAAGCTGTTCTCCTCGCAGCAGCTCGCATATGTGACCATCCTCAAGTCGCGACTTCGCGTGGAAGCATAACTGCCGTTCTTTTCCGAAAAGCTAGAACTCTTTTTGAGCTGAAACACGAGAATGATCGGGTTGACCTCATCCAAGCTGCAATTCTTCTCTCTTCGCATGTCGAAAACTCGGATAACGTCGCTAGTAATGCCTACAATTGGACTGGCGACGCTGTTCGTACTGCTTTCGGCATGTCCCTACATAGAAGAGCATCACTCCGCTATGTACCATCTCAGCGCAAGGGGTATCACAGAAAATATAAAAAGGTTTGGTGGATGCTTTTGCATAGTGAGGTCCTCCTAGCACTTGAACATGGAAGACCGTGTATGATTCGCCAAGAAGACTTCGACGTTGGGCCCCTTGAGGACGAGGATTTCAGCAACATGGATGACTCTCGGGATAAGCTCGTCAATCGTGATTTCTGTTGTCTTTTGTCTGAAATTTCCATAGCTGCATTGGAAGTTGTTCATGCTCGTGCGCCGAGAGCCCAGAATACTGAACTGAATGCTACCAAAATTGAGAAAAGTTTGGCCGCAATTGCGCTGAAAATGCCTCTTTGTCATGACTTCTGGTCTTCTCAACTCCGGCTAACTTACAGCTTGGTTGCATTGAGTTTTCATCGGACAAGTCAACAATTACACGCATTCAAACTTTGTTCTGAGGAGGCATCAAGTATCCTTACCACCTTCGAGGCTATGGCTATGCAGGACACAATTCGACAGTGTCATCAAGGCAGCACGACAGCTTTGATGGGAGCTGCCATCCAGTTCTCTCGAGAAATCAAAATGGGCATTGGGGAAGGCTCCATAATGAAGTCCATTTCGGCACATGGGCAACTGAAAAGACTGCTCGCCCCAGCCAAGAAGCTTGTCCCATATTTTACACAGGGCGAAGCAGTCTATAGGCTTTGCAAAAATCTGCTTAACCATGGTGAGGCGATAATCAAAGACTTCCAATCGCAGCATATGGCCTATTCTACATTTAATATTCCCGAGGAGCCCAATCTCGACTGGTTCGATATCATGACGAATTACTGCATGCCGGATATTGATATTGGACTCGGGACGAGTGACTGGTCAAGTGAAGGGCCGCGGAATAGAAGGATGCCTTGAAATGTTTCCAAAAGAATATTGACTATGTCACTTGAATCAATTATACCTTCTCCCACGTCATTCAAACAAAGCTTCGCTGCAAGGCCAATTGTCACTCTAAATGAGCGGCTTGGGTTTCTCAACTTCCAATCGTGGTAGCATACCCAAATCACCCATTTCAGAATAGATATGGTGCAATGACTCAATAGTATCCACAAAACCAGTCCATCCCAGTAACCTGGCCTTGTTCATCGACAAGCTTGGAACCTTTCTGAATGCTTGGTCGCCAAATGCGAAATTCTCATCGATGTCATCGAAAGGGTTAAAGGTGAGAGCACCACCAGATTCTTTCTGTAAATCTAGCCACGCTTGTTTATTTTCGGGCCTAGAAGCCCAATCCACAAGTTTGAAGCTAGTTCGATGAACGAGGGGTGGGCCATACCTATAGTCCGCCGGGTTAACAGAAATGGATGAGAGAATTAGGAGGTCAGGAAACTCACCCTATGGGGGTATCTGCTCCAGCCTTTCCGATTGACTCTTCAAATTTAGCAAGATCTTCCTCCGGTCGGATAATGCCATTTTTCACGCCAAACCAGCGAGTCAGCTCTTCGTAAAGTCTATCGAAGGTGACAGAGCCGGTGTCTTGAGAATTGAAAGCTTCATTTTTGGTCTTGTCTTCCAGTACGGCCCATTCAGAAAGATATCCAGTTAAAAGAGCTGTCGAATGATGTGCTTCGTATTGCCATGTCTCGAAGTCGCTCGGGAATGCTATAGGTTCGCCTTTCTGGGCTTGAACGGCGGAGTAGATTGCGATCGGTAACAACGCGTTCATTTGGGCATTTGTAACCGCTCCAAGAACCCAGGCCGGTCGGATGACATTCCATGAAGTATTCTGCTCTTTGCAGTAAGCAAACAGTGCCTCTTCCTGGGGGTAATAGAAATTCGGCTCCAGGTGCGACAGATTCGGATCAGACTCAATCGCCGGCGTGCGAATTCGGCCGATCTGTACCCCATAGTGTTTCGCACCAGTTTGGAGAAGAATTCGCTTTGGTGTGAGCTTTCCTATTTTCAAAGCCCCAAGAAAGTTATTGAGAAGAGCGCTATTGACTTTGACTAGCTCTTCGGCATTTGACCAAACAGCCGCGCCTGGATCAGGCTTCGGCTGTAGATAGGAATAGAAGAAAACGTAGTCTGCCGTGACGCTGAACGAACTCAAGACTCGTGCGATTTTGGATGGGTCTTCAAGGAAGTCTATAGCGACATGCTGTAACCTCGAGCGCTCGGATTCGGACAGTAGATTGAGCATTTCTTCAGGTGGAGGTCGACGAGATAATGCATAGACCTTCGACCATCGTTCCGGACTTTCAAGTAATACACGAAGGGTGTGAAAGCCAGAGATGCCGTTGGCACCCGTCACGATCGCAGTCAATCCTGTAATAGATGGGTCAAAAGTTGGTAGATTATGGAAAATGCCCTTTTGTTGGACGGGATAAAGTTCTGAACCCATGTTGGCAGATGTTACGGGGAAGGTTCCAATATGATAGACTGGTAGAAAGCAGGTATATATGAATTTATCATAATCAGATATAGACGAGCATATGAGGGCCTATTTATATTAGCAATCTGGCCAAGCCCAGAGCATGAAATTGGAGGGGTTCATTATTACGTAGCCCCTCTTGCTCGGGACCGAGCAGCGCATCGTGCAAGAACCGAAGCCTACTCGGTAGCGAAACTCAGCTGCTAGTTAACACTCGGCACTCAAACACAACATACCATATTCCAAGGGTTCCCACAAACGTGAGAGAAATCCATTTCTCAGGGCTTCCGAGATAATTATGAGTGTATTATAATTCCACCAGGTTTGGGACAGCAGTTGCTATGAAGGGTTACACAGGAAATCCCTCCATCCTAGTTGCGCAATGCTCGTTAATTCATTCATTCATTCACTCGTCTATCCTAATATTCTTAGATATAGCGGAATATGAGCTTCTCCCCTCGCTTCGCCCGCCATTTATTCGTGGATATCATCAACTCTGGGCACCCTCGGACAATCCAAGCCCATTTCTTGAGAAACGCTTCGGTCACCTCCCAATTATTGATATCCCACGGTTCGCCCCAGACGATCAGACCAGAGTTCTCTGCAGAACCTATATTCCAAAATCCCATTATATCAACACAAAGTTGCTCATCGTCCCATTCATCGCCCGCTTGGATCATGTTGTCGCGCATTTTAGGCAGAGGAAAGAAGTCCAACCAAGGGTGATGTGGTATGGTTTTTTGGACTCGCGTCGGTCGTAAGCTAAGCGGCATGCTATCTTCCACTAGTTTGGCATTTCTCGGTGCCTCCGTATTGAAGTGGGAGATCGAGTCATCCTCCATATTGTCCAAGCAGCCTCCAGCCAGGCGAAGATTATTCCCGAATGCACGAAAAACGTTGACTTTGGTGAGGGTCAAGAGGTGATCCGAGGTTGGTGAGCCTGTCATATAGCTTTCGTAGGCCGTACTGGTGAATGTATTCATCAGGGCGCGTAGAAACCCGTTATTGAAGCAGCGATCGCCATTTTCTAGGGCGCTGCTCTCTTTTGAGCGGACAAGTGCGGTCGCAGAGGATGCAGGGACGGAGGCGACTACGCTTTTCGGGTGGATGTCTTTATTCGCCTCGGATCGTTGTCGTCTCCCTATAGCATGGGCACATTGTTAGCTCGTTGGAACTCGCGCTCTCAATTGGGTTTACACGCACGGCGGGCACGCTGATTAATTCGATTTTGTCGTCTGCGGCGTTCTGCCGGGTCGGTTAGTCCTGACCAGTCGTCTTCGGCCTTGTCATCGTCGATTGGGCTTGATTTTGTTAATTGTGGGGAAATAGACATTGTCGCGATCAGCACTTCTTTAAGGCGTCCAGCAAGTGAGATGAAGAAGCAAAGGTTGAAGCGACCGACTGGATTTCGGCGGGCCTGGTGACGCCAGAGAAACACACCGCTGCCAATCAGGGCTGTGTCGAAGCGGGTCTGCTGGTATTCAGGGATCTCGGGGTTAATCTCGGGAGGATCCCGAGTAATTGGGGGTACTACCTAGTTTGTCTGCGTCATTCATATTTACTTTCAGTTCTGTATGCCGTCAGGGCTTGGATAGTAATAGAGCAATTATGCAAACTAAACTTTTAGCTCCCTTGCGAAGGTCTGAAAATTCTTTTTAACTTGAAATTCCGAGGTTTTGCCGAGACCCAAAATGCACTGCTGGTAGTAACTAATATATATAACTACTAGGTAATCTTCATCGATAATTGTACATATCAGAAACTTGTTTGGAATACCTAGTAGATACTAGTGATGACTAGAGGTACTAATACTAGTCCATTTATGGATCTATATCAAGCAACTTGAATCACACAGAAACAGTCCAGCCCAGAGATTCTTCCCACAGAATACTGAAAAACTCTAAAAGACCGCAGCTATGAAATTTGCGCATATTCAAAATCCGCAGGGGTCAAGACTCTCTGGCGCTCACCAAAGGAATATAACCCAAACATCATCCCAGTGAAAGAAGCACCAATGGGAGGTGCTTTCGTCGCTGCTTTGTTAGAGATAGTCCCAATCCATCTTGGCTCGGCAAGCTCCTGCTGACGATATCCAAAACGATACTCGCTACCAGACTCAATAGTTAATAACACTTCCAAGTCCAAGTCTATCTCCTCTTCCGCTATCTTTCCCTCGGATGACTGAAACCGGATAATTCGCTTTTCGCCTTGCTTGCGAATTCCTAGACTGGTATACGTGAAATAATTCCACCAAAGAACAGTGCCTGCCTCTGTGTCCTCTGAGCTTGGGCTGAATGATAGTTTTGTCTGCCAGGTGCAGACAAGATGGGTCTGCTTGCGCAGAAATAATGTTGGACAAGCCGGAACAAAGAGATTATATGGCCCGCCATAAAGCCGAAGATGATTAGGTCGCTCGCTCAACGAGAAGTCGGATGTGAACGGGGTGTCTAGATGCAAGTGATCAGAAAATATCCTGCCAGTGCTGAATGAAAAATTTTACTCACTCTTCCTGTACCATCCCAATTGCATATTTGGGCCGGAGAAGTCATCTTTCCATTCTACGGGTATGTCGTGATGATAGAGACCCGGACCGGCTGATTGAAGCGTAATCTTATTTCCTCCATTTATGACCGGCCAGTCGTTTTCCCATGACACTGGAACGAGGAATGATTCTCGACCTATTACGTTTGGTAAACAAGTTATCGCAATGGTTTAGGGAGTCGACATACCAAGGACAGAATCTTCCCATTCACCCTCTTTTCGCACAGGTCGAACACCAAGCAGCACTGCCCACCAATTGCCTTTTGCATCTTCGACTAGATCTGCATGTCCTGTGTTTTGTACTTCGTCGTCCAACCCATTCCGCCAGAGAGGATTATTGGGCCCCAACACCCAAGGACCAAGTGGGCCATTTTCACTGCGACTGACCCATTCACAATGTCCGCTCTCAGTGCCACCCTCGGCCGTGAAAAGATACCAGTATTGGCCGCGCTTGAAAATATGGGAGCCTTCTGCAACTCCAGAAGAAGACTCGCGAATTAGTTTGGGCTCAGATGTTGAGTGTCCAGTTTCCAGATCAACGGTGCAGATGTGAATGGCGAAATCCTTGAGTTTAGCTCCAGGAGTCGGCTGTAGCTTGCGATAGGTAGATGAAAGGTATACGGTCTCATCGTCATCCCAAAAAAGCTACATTACGTTTTAGCCATGTCAATTCCGCCATTGAACTTGGGAACACTCACGTCTTGATCAAATCCAACTTGATCAAAGTAAACAGGATCCGACCAAGTGGTATCATCCCATATGTTACTTGTTTCGACATAAAATCCCTGCGGCCAGACCCGGTCATCATCCTGGGGACGATACCGGTGGAAGCTAGCCGTAACGACGTAGAACACGCCGTTATGATATCGAATTGTAGTAGCCCACACGCCACCTCCAGGCTCTGGAGTGTGAATTTGAAGTTGGCTCGGTCTTGTTAATGCGTGACCAATAAGCTTCCATTTTATCAGATCCCGGCTATGATAAATAGGGGCACCGGGAAAGTATTCAAACGTTGAGGTCACCAAGAAAAAGTCGCGATCAACCCGAACAATGGAGGGATCGGGGTTAAAGCCTGGAATTATGGGGTTGGTGAAGCTCATTTTGATCTTTCTGGGCCATCGTGGGTGAAAGGGTATCTATCAATGGATTTAAATGCGGAGGCAATGAGCCTCTTTGAAGCTTATTGGTGGATAAATAATAGCTATGGTAAAGAACACGAGAAGTTGGCACTTATGGATTTACCATATACGAGTACTACTAAGCTAGCTGTACTTTTCAAAAAAATGACATTTAAAGCTACACTCCGCTTCGATTTATGCTATCTCTATGCGAGGCTATGGGTATAGGCTCTTAGTTACTCTAGCTGGGAGCCAATCCCAGTCCGTAGAACAAAAAAGGCCATTGAAGTCAACCATCCCCACTAATGATGTGGCAGGATCCCACATTCGTACACTATTCCCCGTAGATTATTCCACTTTTCATCGCTGAATCTGGATCTGCGCTCTCTTTACCCTAAAAGAGTAGGTGAGCGCATCGGAGAGTTACCGCAAGCGGAAAAGCGGGCGACGCTCCGCCAAGGAAACCCCTCAGGATGATGCGGTGGCAAGAAAGAACCTGCCAACCAGTGAAATCAATGCTCAAATCAGCGGAGGTAAAATGGTCTAGCCAGCTACAGCAAGCTTAGCTGGTATAATTTGAGATTCAGTCGTGGTCGCACGATTTATCTCTACCAAGCTCGCAGATTTGGATTTGGATTCAAAATCCTCCCCTTGCAGGTGGTCGTACTAACATTTCGATTTATTCTCCGATGCTACTGTTTGCGGGGTAACTAGCCAAGTCCACCCAAGTCACATTAAATCATGGCCTCCACATGTGTTGTGCAGGAACAGTCGCACGATGCCAACACAATTACTCTCCAGACATTGCCTCCGAGTGAGTGCTCAAGAATAGATTCGTCAGAAACATCCCACGATGGATTTGCGGCGCTGGAGAAGTGGAATCAGCCTCGGATCAATGCATATCGCTCGTTTGCTACTTTCTGGAGCTTCCTGGTGATGGGCGCGAATGATGCGGCATACGGTGTAAGTGGGACATTTCGAGAGAATGTTTTGGAATCTCGAAACAATCTGTTCAAGTGGGATTTCGCTTATACTAGTATGTTTGCTAATCTTCTTTGTCGCAGGCTTTGATCCCATATGTAAGACCAAAACCTCGGATTCTTACTTTGAGAACTTGAATGCCATGCTAACAAGCCTAGCTTGAATCATATTACCACCTCTCCTACACAGTTGTGTCTCTCGTATTTCTGTCTCCGCTGGTCGGATATGTTCTTGCAGCGTTCCTCAACAATCGAATCCACACGTCGCTTGGACAGCGCGGCCCTGCGTTGATCGGACCAGGATGTCACCTACTCGCCTACATTGTCAACTGCGTCCATCCTCCATACCCAGTCCTCGTGATCTCCTTCATCTTCGCCGGGTTCGGCAACGGCTTGGAAGACGCAGCATGGAACGCCTGGATCGGAAACATGGCCCATTCAAATGAGTTACTGGGCTTGCTGCACGGTTTATATGGAGTCGGAGCTGTGCTGAGCCCGTTAATTGCCACGTCGATGATTGTGCACGCTGATATGCCCTGGTATTACTTCTACTATGTTATGGTAAGCCGCTCTATCAACCAACCTCTGGAATTTCACTCACTGGATTTGTCTTCATTAGGTCGGCTGCGCAGCCATCGAGCTAATCGTTTGCGGTACCTGCTTCTGGAAAGCAACAGGCGCGATCTTCCGACAAGCGAGAGCTGATACTGGGGGTGATAGCAAAAAAGGTGGATTGAAGACAGCGCTCTTCACGCGCCCCTCTGCACGAGTCACCTGGTTGTGCGCGTTGTTCTTGCTCGGATATGTGGGTGTGGAGGTTGCGTTGGGTGGATGGATTGTCACCTTCATGATTCGTGTGCGAAACGGCGGTGCTTTTGCCAGTGGAATGACGGCGACTGGGTTCTGGTTAGGTATCACGGTCGGGAGGATTCTGTTGGGTTTTGTGACCCCGCGAGTGGGAGAGAAGTTGGCGATTGCAGTGCGTTTCCCCCTTGCTTTCCTTGTTCCTCTCAAGTATCGAAACGAATATGCAACAGTCCAAGCTAACGATATGCCATCGTAGGCATATATCCTGCTATCCATCGCCTTCGGGCTCATCCTTTGGCTCGTGCCACAATTCTATGCATCAGCGGTCGCAGTTTCACTCCAGGGCTTCTTCCTAGGCCCCCTATTCCCCGGTGTCGTGGTGATGATCGCCAAACTATTACCCCGACACTTGCATGTCAGTTCGATAGGATTTGCAGCGGCATTCGGAGGGTCCGGAGCTGCCATTCTGCCCTTTGCAGTAGGTGCGCTGGCGCAGGCAAAGGGCGTACAAGTGTTACAGCCATTCATCATAGCTCTATCCGGAGCTATTTTCCTCATGTGGTTGGGACTACCGCGGGTATCGAAAGAACAGCGGAATGAGTGAGTAAGGTCGGAATAATGCGGCGATAATGCGATGCCCCTTAAAATGCATCATGTGGCATTTGTTCACGAGCGTTAAAGGGGCGATTCGAATGAAATTATGACATATTTGGTGCTCCGAATTGACCATTTGACACGTTCATAATATTCTTTTTGTGTGTTTTCACAAGCAGAGCAGCGCTGACATGTGAACATGTGATAGTCGGGACCCGATCAGCTTATCTGATCCGAAAGTACTTGAGTCTCCCGAGCCGCTGTTCTCCGATGGCGGGTCTCCTTGAAAAGTTTTGCTTGTTTTGAGCGGGCTTTGCGGGGGGTTTGAATTAGCGGAATTGATAGGAAATATCATTGCGAAGGTGTTATCTCTATGTCTAGCACTGTTCTTACCTTCTAAGCACTCCCCGGCCATTCGGCTTGCCCCGAGGACAGAGTTTAGGTGTTCGGCACATCTTTTAGACAGCCGGCAGTCAGTAGTATGCTACTGCATACTACTGCATAGTATATTAGAGGCAAGAATGTAAGCATTTGGGGTATTCTGTTTGTTTGTAGGGCCACCCTGACCGGTTAGACTGTATGGAGTACAACCGGGGCTGAACCGAGGTCAAATGGCTGACCCCTCGACTTGGTGGAATGGTTCGGTCTTCGCCGGAGAATCAGCCGGCCAGGCGACTAGGTGGCCTAGTCAAGTGATGATCGCTTACTCTAAACAAGTCTGTTTAACTAAATCGGCGGGAGTGACGCTAAACCTAGTTAAGCCGGGAGAGCCGACTTCGGGTTGGGTGACCCCGGGACTGCCCCAGCCGACACCCCGCAAGCTGGGGAGATGAGATAGGGATGAGATGGGGATAAGTATGGAGTATGGGGTACTCTGTACTTCCAGAGTACTACAATTTATTGTACCATAATATAGCATTCTATTCCCTATAGTATTTATTACAAGTATCAACAAGTATACTCTACTCTTCTCTCGGTCTTATTCGGCGCTTTACCCGATTGGGACAGCCTCGGCACTTTCCCTTTTGGGACTCCCTCGGCCTAGAAACGTTCACTCCGCGCTTCCCCATGGGCTTCCTCCTTAGCCACCTTCACTTCATATCTTGAACCTCTTCTCCCTTTTTCTCCTTCTTCTTCCCCATCTTCCTCCACTTCTTCCCCCTCCTTCCCTCCCTCCCCTCCACATCTTCACAATGCCTTCTCCTCCTCCTGACTGGGTCAAGGCCCTCACCCCCGCGGGCCCTCAGGGTTCCGAGCTGCTCGCGCAAGAGCGCGCCCAATCCAATATCAATGTCGACAAGCTTTCCGAATTGCTACACACAAAGGAGTTCCTGCAGCGTCAAGATCAGCTGGTGAAGCTCCTCCAGCCCGAGAAGGTCTTTGACAAGTCCCAGAACCACACTCTCGGTCGTGTCGAGCGTCTTCAACGGTCGCTGGCCAAGGCCAAGCGCCTGCAACAGCTGGCTGAGAAGCACCAATGGTCCATGGAGGAGCTCCACGCTGCCAATGAGCTAATTGGTGAACCTACTCCCTATGGCCTGCACGCCAGCATGTTCCTGGTATGATTTGTGATCCATATTCTTCACGAGCGAGCCTACAATGCTCCAGGTTTCCCATGAACGGATGAACCGATGCTAACCGGCCATTGCCAATTTTAGGTCACTCTCCGTGAACAAGGTAGCCCCGAACAACACAAGCTCTTCCTCGAGCGTGCCGCCAAATACGAGATCATTGGTTGCTACGCCCAAACCGAACTTGGTCACGGCTCCAACGTCCGTGGTCTCGAGACCACCGCCACCTGGAACCCCGACAAGAAGACTTTCACAATTCACTCCCCTACCCTCACTGCTTCCAAGTGGTGGATCGGGTCCCTCGGTCGCACTGCCAACCATGCCGTTGTGATGGCCCAGCTATTCATTGGCGGAAAGAACTTCGGTCCTCATCCTTTCGTGGTGCAGGTCCGTGACCTGGAGACTCACCAGCCTCTGGAGAATGTCTACGTTGGCGACATTGGTCCCAAGTTTGGCTACAAGTAAGTGCCCAGCACAAGGCAAAATCATTCACCAGCAACGGCTAACCATTTCCCAGCACTATGGACAACGGCTTCCTTCTCTTCAACAACGTCGAGATCCCCCACATTAACATGTTGGCCCGTTTCTCCCGCATCGACAAGGAGACCAACAAGTACATCCGCCCTGCCCTCCCCTACCCTCGTCTACGGCACTCTCACCTGGGTGCGATCCAACATTGTCCTGCAGTCCGGTGGTGTCCTGGCTCGCGGTGTGACCATTGCTACTCGTTACGCCGCTGTGCGTAGACAGTTCCAGGACCGCGATGCGGACGTCAACGCCGGAGAGAACCAGGTTCTCAACTACAAGATGGTGCAGGTCCGTCTTCTGCCGCTTTTGGCCTCCATGTACGCCCTTCACTTTACCGGTCGCGGTATGATGCGTCTGTATCAAGAGAACCAGCAGCGCATGAAGGCTGCCGCTTCCCCTGGCCAGGATTCGCGTGGCGCTGGCCCCGAGGAGCTCCGCGCTGGTGCCGACCTTCTGGCTGATCTGCACGCTACTTCCTGCGGTCTGAAGGCGCTTGCCAGTACCACCGCTGGTGAAGGTCTTGAGGTCTGCCGCCGTGCCTGTGGTGGTCACGGTTACAGCAGCTACAGCGGTATCGGCTCATATTACGCTGACTACCTTCCTACTCTGACCTGGGAGGGTGACAACTACATGCTCACCCAGCAGGTCGCCCGTTACCTGCTCAAGTCTGCTCGCGCCGTTCTTTCCGGCAAGTCTGCTGATAACGACACTTCCCGCATCCTCCGCAACTACCTTGACCGCCGCGAGAAGGGTGCCTCTTTCGATATCCTCGAGAATGATGCTGATATCGTGGAGGCCTTCGCTTGGCGCACTGCCCACCTCACCTTTGAGGCTCTGAAGCACCGCGATGCTGAGAAGCGCTCGTGGAACAGCCTGCTGGTCGATTTCTGGCGTCTTTCCACCGCTCACTCCCAGTACCTGGTTGTGAGGAACTTCTACGAGGCTGTCTCCTCTCCCAACCTGTCGCAGGCCATCGACTCCGACTCCAAGACCATCATGCACTCTCTCTTCCGCCTCTACGCCCTTCACACTCTCGAGCGCGAAGCCGCTGAGTTCTTCTCCTCCGGTGCCGTCACTGTGCGCCAGATCACCCTCACCCGCACCGTTGCCGTCATGAAGCTGCTCGACGAGATCCGTCCCCACGCCATCCGTCTTGTTGATGCCTGGGCCATCCCCGACTGGCAACTCGACAGCAGTCTGGGCCGATCTGACGGCAAGGTTTACGAGGACCTCTTCCACCGTGCCAGCCAAGAGAACCCCGTTAACGACCTGACGTTCGACCCCTACCCTTGGAATGAGAATGTTCTCAAGAACCAGCCTGGAAAGAGCAAGCTCTAAGCGTTTTTTTTTCTTTCATGTTTTTCGATTCCCGATGGTGTATTTTTTCCCCCAAATTTCTTGTACATGTTTGAATGGCTAGACTAGAGATGACATAGATCTCATAGAACGATATTTGATACCATATCACTTTCAATTTGGATTACTCAGACGTAGAAAATAGTCCAGCTTGAATAGGAAAAATCTCTCGATTTATTCACTCACACGCAACAACAATTCTTCCGACTCTTCTGCTCCATTGTGCTTTTACCCAGTTTCTGGTGCCGCGTAAGGACACAATGTTCTACAGAATTCTCACCCTTGAGTATTAAGAGATGGTCTTGTCCAGTCGGAAGATGGAAATACGTAGCAACATCCAAGATCAGAATATTATTAATGCTAGGCAAGCTGTACCCACGACAAAGGGCATAAGAATGATAAAAAGGACATCTTCTGCCTGTTTCGCTGATATTAGATGGAGAAAGAGGCACTCAAAGGCAGATCACGACTGGATCGACCAACATAAATATTATACTTTCCGTCCTGCAAAGCCCATTGCTGAGCATTGACATCCCAACTACTCAAATCCCTCCTCGTTAGCGAGAAAGTAACAGACTCGCTCTCCCCACTGGCGATAGAGACCTTCTCAAAGCCACGAAGTTGGCGGACAGGACCCCCAGGAATTCCAAGATAAAGCTGGGCAACCTCATCACCATCCACACCACCAACATTTTGCACCTTAGCAGTAACAGTCATCAAGTCGTCCCACAAATGCGGATTTCCGCCTTCGACAATATCTGCAGATGGAGGATACTTTGAAGTGGATTTACCCGACTTCTTGGTCTGCAGACCAGAGTATTTGAAATTCGTGTAAGACAATCCGTATCCAAACTCGAAGCGTGGAGAGATGCCCTTCTTATCAAAGGCCCGATAATCAATAAACTGACCCTCAGTAAAATCCGCCTGAGGGAAAAGCCAATAATCACCCTCCGGCTGCGCGGGCGAGAGAAGTTCACCATAGTCGGAGGCCTTCTTAGCGACAGTATAAGGAAGACGACCGGAAGGATTAGCGCGACCGTAAAGAATATCCACCAGAGCACGACCCGTATCTTGGCCGGGAAGATGGGCAAAAATGACAGCAGTGACATTGTCATTCTCGATCCAATTATCAACGACGCGAATGCCAGCATTATGAATGACAACCACCGTGTTTGCGCATTTACTTGCCACGTTCGTGATGAGCATATCGCTGTACTCGTCGCTCAGTCCGGGACGATCAAAGCCCTCAGTCGCATAATTATTGATAAGAACAATGCAGACATCAGAAGTGGGGTCCACATCGGGATTCTGATCGTAGAAGTTGTACATGACGGAAGTGTCATCTTCATAAGCCTGGCGCTGGATCGCGTCGATTGGCGCGTCGATGTATGCTGCGGAGTTAGCACCAGAGCCACCGGCGACATAGAGGGTGCTGTTTTGATACGGAGGGCTGTCGTGTTGTTGTGCGAGCGAGACTTCGAGAAAATCGGAGCTCGCAGCGTCGTATCCGAATACTGAAACCATCTTAGGGGATTTCAGAGGGAGGACGTTGTCGTTGTTCTTGACTAGAACATGTCCTTCGATAGCTCCTTGGAGAAGGATTGGCTTTGAGTCTGGGGATTTTCCGATCACCTGCTTGTGTGGTGCGGTGATATCTGATGGCATTCCGATGCCCGGGTTTTGGATGCCTTCGACTTGGTTGAGTTGGTACCAGGTCGCAATAATACTAGAAACATGACTAGTTAGGCTATTTTCACATCAGGTTCAGGCAAGATCTATCTTATGGCTTACCGAGTGGCCATGTCATCCAGCCTAGATGCTTCCATAGAACCATTCTTGATTGCGATCGTGAGGTTATCACCCCACGTCTGTGATGCGGGCATGACCATATCCAAGCCAGCATTGGCTCCAGCAATACCAGCATGCTGAGCACCCCAATCGGTAACAACGTACCCTGATTATATTAGCCACGATGAATAGAAAGGGCAGTGGTTCACTGGAGCTCACCTTGGAAGCCTAGCTCAGTCTTCAAAAGCCCATTGAGCGTCTTGCTATTCTGGCAACCGTACGAGTTGTTGACCCGTTGATAAGAGCACATGATGGAAGCACTTCCAGCTAGCACGGCGTCTTGGAATGGCCAGAGGTAAAGCTCATGCATAGTCTTATCATCGATATTCGACGACACTGCCTCCGTATACTCTCCCTGTTCATTCGACCCCGGGTTCCGATTTGTCTCTTGCTCATTCCCAATATAATGCTGTAAAATAGTCAGATTATACTCGAGACGACCCCGATCGGTGATCAAATACCTTGGTCGAAGCCCCAACTCCCGCTGACTGGATACCTTGGATAGTATCATAGACCAAACCACCAGTAAGATACGGGTCATCGGAGAATCCTTCCCAATTGCGGCCGCCCTCAGCAATGCGACCCAGTGGACCGACCACAGGACCTAGGAGTAAGTTCACGCCTTTTCTGCGAAACTCAGCGCCCATGTGTGCGCCACGTTTCTTTGCGAGGTCTTTGTTCCAGCTAATCAACACGTTAGCGAGATAAGTAAATATTACCAGAGTAATTAATCTTACCTAGCTCCGACATGGAGTCCACTCGGCCAGCTGTTCACGTAGTCGGTTCCTCTCTAGTACCGTCAGTGACATGAAGCAAAGCGAACGCAAAGCAAATAAACCCACCAGTCCATTCCCTGCATCAGAAACGCAGAAACCAGGAAAGCCGAGGCGTTCAATTGGCGCAATATTCCCCGAGCATCCATTATTGACAAAGACACCGGCAGTCAGATTAACCTTCTCCTCAGCAGATAGTTTGCCGACGAACTCCTTGGCTTTCTGGTAGGAAGCTTCCCAGTTACCAGAGCCTGTTCCCTCGGCTATATTCAAGGTATTCAAGGGTCAGTACAATCGTGATAAATTAAGACAGGAAGGAGAACACGACATACGCGAAGGATAAACAGGTGGAGACTGTCCGTAGAAATGGGTATCACTCGTGATGTTCTCAGCGTGAGCCGAACAGCTCAACAAAAGGGCGAGCGATAGACCCAGGGAGTAGGTCTTGAGCCCCATATTTCGTCTGGGTATAATGGCCAGCTAGACTTGACTTGAATGGGCTTGAGGTCGGCTCATCACTAGGAGGTATCTGCCAATTTATAGACAAGCGCGGCTCGGAGAATTCAGACGGTAAATCCGAGACGAAAATGGCACGCTTTGTGTAAGGTTTAGACTTTCCTAGTTCATCCTCGGACAACACTAGACCGACGCGATAGTAGTTCAGATATTATATGAAAGGTCGGCTGCGGACAACCGAGGGGCGGGGAAGAGGAGAGGAGAGGAGGTGAGGTACAGGCGCGATGTATCTTCAAGTCAAGCCATATCCAAAGTACCAAAGTTGTGGGGAAGTCCTCATAACCTGCAAAAGAAGGACTGAAGAAAAAATGAATAACAGTGGTACGATCGCGTGGGAAGAGCAGACGCGATCCAGAACAGCGCGTTCAGGTCGTCCACATTCCAGAGCTAGATTCTATCAGTAAGGGGAATCTCGGTGCCCGATCTGATGCGATTCGATCATCGTGGTCAGTTCTCACGATACGTAACATAGTAGAGTACCAGTGAGGAGTCGCAATCTAAAAGAATCGGGTAGGGGAATAGGTCGATCTGTGAAGCACGGATGTTTCTGGGGTAGTATCAAGATTTGATTCTTTGCTTAGCTCTGTCATACTAACTATAAAACGGGGCTGTTTCCCCCGCTTCCCCGCAACATCCATGGATGTGGGGCCATATTTTCATTATTATTGATTATTTCTTCTTCAGCGATCGCATATACCTCCTACAATTGAACAATGTAGTAATCTGCTAGCTTGAAGGAATTTGAAGATTGGAAGCTTTTTTCAGGCACCGCCACACCCGCATGGCTTACCCCTGAAAACCGGGCCGCTTGCTCAAGCTCGAAAACTGTCTAGTTGGACAAGTAGTTAGAGCTGGTGAAAGATATTGCGATATGGTATTTCCCCCTGGCCAAATAACTGCTGCTGAGATGGGGAGGGTATGAGATTAGACACATAGTTATTCAATGTCCCACATTTTAGTCCTGGTCGAACTTTTCACTATGCGGGTTTTATGATGTGAGTCTAATGGGGGGAGATCCGGTGGGTACGGCGGACTATAGGCAGGAAGCGGAAATATTTTGGTATGCGTGGTTGCTAGAAATTTGCACGTTCCATAAGGAATTCCATTTTGCCGATAAGGGCGAGAATCTACCAGTATTTGGTAGGGGATGTTTCGCAACGAGAATATGTGAAGTTCCACCCAAACTTATCGGGATTAGGAAGCTACTGGAAAGGTTCACAGGGCAACCTTCACAAACAAGAATGGAAGGAGGAACTTCAACCTCAAAGCAAAAATCAGAGCTAGGTTTTGCAGGACAGCTTTCTCTAAAATAGCAATAAATCGGTCTGTGCACTGTCATCTCCTGTTGGAACCTCAGTCAGCACTTGATTGGCCTGAGTCCATTCGGAACATTTGGAACATACTTCTTTCAATAGGCTAGATTGGAGGACCCCTTCAAGATTAAAGTTATCACCAACTCAATTGAGATCGCGACTGTGGTTGTAATAATCATTCCTGCTGATCAGGTAGGAAGGAGACTACTCGCGTGCTCAGGGACGACCATATGCTGATTACCTAGTCCTGTACTATGGCTATCAGTGTTATCGCGGTTTGTCGTCAGGTCAAAGCGTCAATCCATACTAGCATTTACTAGTATTATATTTGCTTGTTTCTGGAGTAAGTATCCCCTCCCCTCGATACTATTTAGCATGGTGGTCGCTAATTTGATCGCGACATAATGCTAGATACTATTGGTTTTACCGCCAAGTGTGTACTGGCTAGGGATATATCGGAGAGGTCTCATCTCAGAGACTCCAACCTTATACTGCTGGCCTCGCGGGAGCGGTGGCTTGTGTTGCCAGGTTCGTGATGAATGTGCTCATTCCATACATGGTGGAGCTTCAAAACGGGCTGGTTCTACTTTGGCGTCGGACCTTCGTTCGTTGTCGGCATGTGGCTGCTGATTCCAGAGGATATGAGCGAGTCCTTAAAAATCATGGTGATGTAAATGTATATCCGGGCTTTAGATTCGAGTAGCTTGGTTAACCTTCATAACTTAAGACGATCGGCTGCTGAGTTCGATGAACTATTCGAAAAAAAATGATCAAGCCTTGGGAATTCAATAAGACAGAAACGGCCCGCAGCGGCTCGTCCATCTCAGTAGGGCGAGAAACAACTCAAATTCACAACTGATGTTGCCTGAAATCATTGTGCTGAGGCCCACATGCGGAGGCACAGTTGAGATCATTTGCCTAAATTGTTTTCCTCTTCGATAGCTAGCCATCACATAACTCACACATGCAACATCATTCCATCGGTTTGAGCTTCTGTCGCGCTATAGCTGCAGTTTTGAGCCACTCAAGATCCTGTGTCTTTTGGCAGATTCCAAGGCCATAAAGACTATTTAGCAGGATTGCTCGGATAATTCTTCGCTGGGCATCGTATGTTCGATTTCCCCATCCGATCCTATTAGCCGCGCTTGCTTCACTTCAAGTTCTTTGGATGTGAAACAGCCCCGGCAAGCCAGTCGCTCTGTGCATAGTAGCCCCAAAGCTTTAAATACAGGCAACTTTCATATTGGCTATTGCCAACCAAGATCAGCAGATTGTCTCATGTGTTTCCGGTGGGATGAACGCAATGTCTCGGGCGGGATGGCCGATTGATCACCACATCCACGGAGTACGGAGTGAGCTAATCCAATTTGCGTTGCTATTTTATCCATATCCCGAACACGATTCCGAAGTGACATGCCGGTAGAATAACAGGGCTATTGTCGGTGGCCATGACGTCGGCATGCCGATCGGTGGTCCCTGACAATCTTTCCATCTTCAATACCAACTCGAACCCAGTAGGAGGCAAAATGGCACAGCTGTGCGTGGAGGTTGCGTGGAGGGTTATAGTGGTGATATCATCATATGCAGATGGTATTCCCGTTCTTCTTCCCAGCGACCAGCGACCGGCAATCAAAACTCAGACTCTTGACTCTTGGAAGAATCTCGGCAAAGATGGAGTGAAACTTAAACCTGTCTCAACCGACTCGGCGGCTAAATGCATCTCACCTTCGGTTAAAAAAGCGGCTTCAACCGAAGCCGAAAGCCCTCTCAATTCCTCCGACTGGCTGGGGGGATGTCGAGGAGACCGGGGTGCTCCGCCAATGACGCCGCCCGCTTCCCCAAATTCTGCCCCAGAATCCTCCTCCAGGCCATTCCTCCACATTTCCCACATTTCCCCCGGTCGATCCCTTCCGTGATAAGCCATGTCCCGGCTCAGGAGTGGTGCGACGCCCATTCCGCCACAACCGTTTGTTGGCGTCGCTAGACTTGTTTTCCAAGCCCTTCCCGAACTGTGCATTGACCGGTAGAACGGATAATGTTGACTTATAAAGCTACCCTTGGCCGCATGGAAGTTCGAAAGACCAACCTATTTCGAGGCTCGCTGCCAAGATGTATCGAATCACGAATATCTACGGTATTTTTCATCCATTTCTCGTTCATTCAACGCCAGGGACCGGCTCTAACTTCTGATTAGTCCTCGCCGCGTTCGGCACCATCGGCGGAGCTCTCTTCGGCTTCGATGTGAGGTAAGTCGATGTTTCAATTCACTCAGGGTTGGACATAATTGACTCGGTACAGCTCGATGAGTGCCTGGATTGGAATTGACACATATACCGAATTCTTTGGGAACCCCGATTCCAATCTTCAAGGTGGAGTATGTTACCCTTCAACTTTCATGATACCTCAGCGTACTAAGCTAAACTCATAATGATAAATAGATCACTGCTTCCATGTCCGCCGGTTCATTCGTCGGCTCTATCGCAGCCGGCTGGTTATCCGACTACCTTGGCCGTCGCGGCGCACTAATGGTCGCCTCCCTCGTCTGGATCGTTGGAGCTATGGTACAATGCAGTGCACAGAACGTTACACATCTTGTCGCCGGTCGTGTTGTTAGTGGTCTGGCAGTGGGAGTCACTTCCTCGCAGACCTGTGTTTACCTATCCGAACTAGCCCCGGCAAAGATTCGTGGTCGCATTGTCGGTATTCAACAATGGGCGATTGAATGGGGTATTTTGATCATGTACCTAATTGCATACGGTTGCTCGATAGGTGTGGCGGGCCCAGCTGCTTTCCGAATCTGCTGGGGCATCCAAGCTGTCCCCGGTCTGATTCTATTCATCGCACTATTCTTCTTCCCCGAATCTCCTCGCTGGCTGGCCGGCAAGGAACGCTGGGAGGAAGCCCTTGAGACCTTGGCTTTGATTCATGGCAATGGTGACCGGAATGACCCTGTGGTGCAGGTTGAGTTCGAAGAGGTTCAAGAGGCCGCGAGAATTGCGCACCAAGCAAAGGACATCTCTTTCCTTGCTCTATTCGGACCGCGTATCTGGAAGCGGACCATGTGCGGAATGAGTGTGCAAATGTGGCAGCAGCTACTCGGAGGCAATGTTGCAATGTACTACGTTGTATACATCTTTGAGATGGCTGGAATGGTAAGTCACCCTTATTGTGTCTATCCGAGATTCTCAACTAACATGAGTAGACTGGAAATACTACCCTCTGGTCTTCGGCTATTCAATATGTTATCTTCCTGGTTACTACCGGCGTCATGCTCCCATACATCGATCGAGTTGGTCGACGACCTTTGCTCCTGACTGGCGCGGTGACTTGCATGGTTGTTCACTTCGTGATTGCAGGTGTTATGGCTAGCAGGGGTCACCCGGTATCTAACGTCAATGGAAACTCTAACTTGACATGGTCCATCAAAGGCGGCTCTGGAATGGCTGTTATTGCCTTTTCCTATATCTTCACTGGTATCTACGGCTTTACTTGGGTATGCACAGCTTTTGAAACCTCCAAAAACTCTTCATTATATTAACCAGATGCAACAGGCGCCGGTCGCATGGATCTACGCTGCCGAAGTTTTCCCACTCAAGTACCGTGCTAAGGGCGTTGGTCTATCTGCCTCGGCAAATTGGATCTTCAACTTTGCACTGGCTTACTTTGTCGCACCGGCATTCCACAATATCCAGTGGAAAACATACATCATTTTTGGAGTATTTTGTTGTGTTATGACTTTCCATGTCTTTTTCATGTATCCGGAGACGGCTGGTCGCTCACTGGAGGAGATTGATGCGATTTTCGACTCCAATGTTATGCCGTGGCGCACCAATCAAATCGAGAACAGATTCGGCGAAGAAGTCGAAAAGCACAAGCAAGCCAACGAGAAGGTCGGCAAGGATTCTGAAGGTGCCACCCATGAGGAGGTGGTCTGAATCACTTAACGTTTGAACTATCTATGACTATTTAGAGTCTTTCATAAACAGAACGAGGTATGAGAATGAACATTCATCAACATACGCATAATTCACCCTGTAGGATATTTTGATCATAGCCATGATATCTCATGGTAGGAACCTTGTTCATATTCAGCACTTGCCAGTACTTCCAGAACTTTAATTGACGAATCACTACTGCGAACTAAAAATGCACATGCAGGACCGGGCATATCCGCTGTGGGCTTTGTTATCATTGGAGCGTTCCATTCGTCGACAAGTCAATTGCTTAGTGTGATTGCTTAGCTTGGTTGAAGGAATAAATACAGTCTACCGAAGCCTGGCCTAGATACTCAGAATTTGCAACTCGGGATTTTAGGTCAAGGGGATCAAGTTAATTATGAAACTTCAGTCTGGTATGGGTATTGAAGACTGATCTCGAAGGTAATAAGGTACAAAATGAAAATAAGGGTATTCCTTCGCGCCCGGCACATGGTGAGTCGTGAGGATCATCGCGGTATGCCAATTTCCTTCGTGCGCATCGCAAGATATTTCTCGGCACAACTCTTCTTTGGCCCTCCATTATGTATGACAGCGCCACGAAATTGAACAAAGTCTATTTCTCCTCGCTAGTTGCGGTATTGTCGTCGCTATCCTTCTCGGCGTGTTCACGGTGAGCCCTGGCAACATTCTTGTTCGGGTTGGAGATAACACTGGCGCGACGGACTGCATCATCCTCGACATCGTCCAGAGTGCGAAGAAGTTCACCGTTGGGGCCGTACATGTGTGGTTCTGTACGGGCAACATGAACGACGTCGAAAACATTAGACGTCTTGCGGAAAATACGATCCATCTCCTCTAGGGAAACGCATGGTAGTCTCCGGGAAGAAGAAGTACACAACAGGCACAATTGCGGCGTTACTAGAAACATTAGTAAAGATCGAGTGTGCCATGGTAGAATACAAGGACTTACATAACAGCGAAGATGACATAGGTCTTGTAGCCAATGGTACTGAAAGCAACTGGTGTGATCATGACGACCATGAAATTCCAGATCCAGTTGGATGAAGTTGAAAGAGCATTGGCGGGAGCACGAATCTTCAGAGGAACAATCTCCGCGGGTACAGCCAGGTCATTCCCAACCAACCAATAGCGAAGAAAGTGTTGAAAACAAACAGGAACACCGTCTGGGCGATACCGGCAGCGACACCTGTAGAATTGCCCTTGTTCGTAGAGGAGATTGAATCACTGATGGCCAGGACAGCCATAGAAACCGACATGCCAACAGCGCCGAAGAGCATGAGCGAACGACGACCAAATTTTTCGATGGTGAACACGGCGACCCAGGAGGCAGCAAAGTACTCAGTACCGTTGCAAGCAGCAATAAGACGCGAGTTAATACCGCTCAGACCAATTTGTTCCTCAATAATGGTAGGAATATAGTATGTGATCAAGTTGATACCGGAGATCTGCTGGAACATCTGGTTGACGTAGGCAAGCATGGTACGATGGAAGTGTCGATCAGGGCCCATAGTAAACATATCGCGGAATGAGCCCTTGGCCATCTCCAGGACGGTAGCTTTAATAGCGATAAATTCAGTGTCAATGAAGACTTCGTCGGTCTCATCGCCCATCAAGCACGACAAAACCTCGCGGGCCTCATCCTCACGACCCTTCAAAATAAGCCAACGGGGAGACTCTGGGAGGAACATGACGAAAACCAAGATGATGGCAGCGAAGAAGATCTGGAAAGCGAGCGGGAAACGCCAAGCAACCTCACTGGGATCGGCGAACAGTAAACCGAAATCAATCCAATAACTGATGGTGATACCACAAGTGATCATAGCACCCTCAATCATGACCAGTTGACCTCGTCGATGGGACTTGCAGCATTCAGATTGCCAGGTGGGGACTGTAGATGTGTTGATGCCGTTTCCGAAACCAGTGACAAGACGACCAACGACCAGCTGGGCGAGCTCGTAGGAAGTACATTGCAGAATAGCTCCGATGCACATAATGAAAGAACCGAGGAAGATAGCCTTGCGGCGACCCAGCATGTTACCAATCCAGATAGTGGGAATAGAACCGGCGAAACATCCCAAGTTGTACGCGGCAACGGTGATACCCTGGCGAGTTGACTGATTGGATTTAGCCGCAGATGACCAACCCTCAGTATGCGCTGCTGTAGTATCAATTGTTGGGAAGTATTTTCTGAAAGAGTCGAGGGTAAGAAGGCCACCAGTCACGCCTTGGTCGTAACCGAAAAGCAGGAAATCCATACCAGCCAGGACGCCGATAGCGACCTGAAGCTGGGTGCCATTGAGGCCGAGAAAGCGTTTGGTCGGCATGTTGAGGTAGCAGTCGCTCGGTTGTTTACCTCGGAGCTGCGAGGGCCTTTTACTTTATTCTTTGTTCTAGTGCTGTTCCCCTGTCGAGCCGATCCAGTCGGGTATAGAAGGCAAAGAAGGAAAGGGAAGGAGATTTCCTTATAGAATCAGACCACAGCAAACATCCAAGAGAAAAAGACAAGAAATGATCAACGAGACCGGGGCCTGGTCGGTTTTAAAAGCCCGCTGCACATCCACATCCATCTAACCATTCGGGGGCCGTGAGTGCGCCCCAGAACTCGGGTTGCTTTGTTGGTCTGGTCAGGAGTTCCTTTTCTTGTTAGCGGCAGAGCATGATTCGAAAAAGACGCCCTGAGCAGGGTCCACTTCCATCACTGATTCTCCATATTCCACGGGAGTGTGGGCCATGGTTGGCTCATACCCCAAGGTCAACTCCAGGTTTGCACAGACACTTTCGGGCGAGCGTGTCAACGGCCCCCAGTATCCCGATTCATCTCTCGTGTGGTCTTCCAGGCTACGCGAAAGACCGAACCACCAATAGGAGATCGTGATGCCGGGCAGCGGGCGGTGGTTTCCGGGTTCTCCAGGTACGGTTAGCACGGTTCAAGGCTTTCCTTCCGCATCTCCAGACGAAGCAACGCCCCCGCCGATCATTTTGGCCTCTCAGCTTTGAGCATCATGAGGCGGAGTGGAGCTTCTCCCGTTGGTAGTCTCCTCCACGCCTCCGGGAGACAAAGAAGGAAAAGCCAAAAAAGAAAACTGGGTCTACGATCTGGGAGCCCTGGGGGGAAATAGTCACCCCAGAATCGGGCACACGAGTCATTTTGATGTAGGAAATACCGCTGGTAAGGAATATAGATTGTTGTGATTTTGTTCCAGCTACTGAGTCTATTGCTGCAACTACAGCTTAAGCAAAGAATACGGTCTACGCAAAACAAAAATAAGGGGCCCAGCCGAGATCCAGCCGCTTGTAAAAGAGCCTGCGTAGCTCAGATCGCCCTCCACGAATCAAATAATTCCCGAGGTTAGATGCACCGAGTTCCTTTAATCTCTAGTCCTCGAGAGTAGTAATACCCAATACCCTGCAGGTCTACGGATTCAGTTCCGTTACGCCCACCGGATGAAGTCGTGAACCCGAGACGACCCAAACGCAAAATGGCGCCTTGGCGCCTAGAACGCCTCAATGAGCTTCGCATCTCTTAAGTGGTCTTGTCTACAAAACAAGCCCTCGACAAGCCGCTGACCTACCTGCCCAGAGAAGGCTTCTCTCGACCTCTTGTCTTGGCCCAGTTCAAGTTACCCCTGTCCTGAGATCATGATATGGATTGAACCTTTGAATTTGGACACACAACCATGGCAACGGATAGCTACCGAGGATCCCGTCGGCTCTCAAACCTGCTTCCATCCGCCTGGTGGGCGGTGGCGTTCAGCCCCCTCATCGTACCATTCGTGGGTCAGGGCGCATCGCATCAAGCATGATGAGGCTAGACTTCAGCCAAGAAACTTCATACATTGCAACTGCCACCCTATCGTCAAAGAGAAACAAATGTGTAGGCAAGGACTGCCCGCTGGGGCAACGTAGCCTGTGTTCTCCTGAAAATACACCGCGCTAGCATTCGCTAAAAAGCCGAATGTATCCGACGACGCCCCTCAGTGGTGACTGGCTCACTTTCGTCTGTGTCGTCTCCCCGCTACGGTTGCGACCGAATCCTGGGGGATGAACAAAGCGACTTACTCAAGAAGGCAGTTCCGAGAAAGTCCCATGCCACACAATTCCCACTTCTCCTATCCCGCGTCGCGCCCGACCTCAGCTGGTTTCACTTGCTTTTTACACGCATACGAGTCCGTACTACTGTAGCTCAATGCACGCCATGTATTATTGACTAATCTCTAACATCCCAATTTCCTTCCCCCTCTTTAGCGCGATATACTAGAATAGACATTCTCCACGTCGTCTGATCTCTGGGCCAAAGTCTGCGGCAATCCACGAGGCGCCTTCCGCCAGCCACTGAGGTCACTCAGCATGGTTCAAAAATCGCGACTCCGTGCGAAGGTTTACTGGTCAAGCCATGGCGTGCGGATCATTGAAAACAAACCCCCAGGCCGCTTTGGTCTGTGCGGTGTCGCAAGGGTCAAGACTGCGTGTTACCTGCGCAGAATCGCCCCCCCCCCCCATCAGAGGCCTCATTTCGCTCTCGCAGGAATAGAAACTATATTATTGATTCAAGTTAATGAATGCCTTACACGCATTATCTACCCCATATAAAGAAGTACAAAGCCCAGGTTTCGCAGATCCTACAGTCTCTGGTGCATAGTACTAGTATACTGTTACCACAGCTGTAAACACACATATGGAGTACGTTTAGATCGATTCTTTATCCAAAGATATTTTTGGATACGCAACCATATGCGCACCTTGTAGATCTTACTTATTATATGTTCTTTGCGACGTCGCGGGGCCACACGTTGGTCCATGTGTTTCCTGATTTCTCGGGAAGTCGGATGTGATGGGGACTACCCCTTGCATCGACGGTGAGGTCGCAGGGTGCCCTACTGCGGTACACCGTACATTTTTTGCCTCCGGTCATGCATTTCCAACCCCGATGAAGATTCTATTGGTTGCAGGTAGCCTAATCTCGCAGCCCTTCTCTTCTAGAAGATGAGGCTCGGTCATTCGCAGATCGACAGGGCGTTATGCGCCTGCACAACGCCCCCTTCTGGAGCCAGGCTCCTCAAAGCGGGACGATTTTTTTTTTCCTGATACTCGGATGAGATTATACTCGTCATGCTGTGTCAGGCTGCAGTACAATATGATATGGGGCCCGCCCCCACAAATTCGGGGCTATGTGGCGTTGAGCATGGCCTTCTGCAAGGGCGTACGGGCGCAGAACGCTCCACTTCGGACTTCCCCAGAAGTTCACCGCTTGAAGGATCACGTTTCTAGAACACTGGTCGCACTGCTCGCCAAAATGGATCGAGCTACTTAAGTTTGACTCTGAAATTTGACTTGATATTGTTCAGACCAGGCGTCAGAAGTGGGGCACCGCAGCAGATAGATAGTGGATGAAGTCGTGAATTTCTGTCAGTGTCAGCGATTATGAATTCCTATAGGCTAAGATTGCAAAGTCAGACCCATTCGCCAGGATTTTATCATAGTGAGTGATAATTCATGTCCTACTAAATTGTATTAGCAATTCCAACCAGGGCTCTGGGTAACGTTTCGATGATTTCGGACTCGGATACAGTCTTAGACGAGTAGTAGTAGAGGTTTACTAGTAGTACTCCAGAGCTACTAGTACGATATATATTATCTTCCAAGGTTCTAGTAGGTAGTACTAGGGTTATGGCAGCCCGGCAGATGGTAGTAGCTACTACTAAGTAACTCCCAGGAACTTGAACTTGATCACTTCCCAAGTGGCCATCAAAAACCTTGGAATATACATTTGGACCTCAGGATTTCAAGTTACTTGGAAGGTTCGAGTCATAGCAGGCAAGAAAAAGGCCTTCCGCAACCTGAAGGTTGCTCGTGAATATCCATCTTCATCAAATGATAACTATTAATGGCTAGCTACTCCATTCAAAGCAGGATTCCGACACATAAGTACTACCTGGCAGTTACCAGTAATCAGGGAACTCTTCCAAAGGTTGCCCAGGTGGGTCGGTCAAGATCACAAGATGTCGGCCAGCCGGAGATGCGCATCCGCGAACCTTGACCGAGAATTCTCAAGCAAAATTCCAAAGCACCACGCTCATCCATGTCGTCGGGACCCCTTTGTGATCGCTCTGTCTGAGCACTCAAATCCAAACTCTATAGACTCGCCCCTTTGCTTCCCTTCCTCTTGTAGTAAAGCTGGCGAATTTTGGTAACACAAACTCTAACGGCTACAAGTACCGCGAGCCGTTAACGGAATAACTGTTTCGATAACTGTAAGACCCGACTCGATCAGATAAACTTTAATATAGGGCGACACATTTCGCGAAAAGGTGGCGGCAAGCTTCACCAAGATGCTCGCACAACTCAGGGGAATCTTGGATAGTGGTCGAACGATTAAAAATACAATAATTTCTCTAAGGAAAGGTTGCTGGTTTCCCTCCGCGACGATGTTCTCGACTGTATTTTCATCTCCCTTGCACAAATTGAATTGTCATAAAGTAAACAATCAAGGCTGGGTCACAATATTTGGTTACTGCTATGTTGCATGATGCAGGGTAACACAGTCAATGGTCGAGATCACCTCATATCGAAACGGCTGAGCTGTCGTTTCGTTATTTTAATCTCTAGAAACTGAGCGCTACGGTAGAGGCTGATGGTCAAGACGGCAAGTTTCTTCGGTTATCAATTTCGCCTCGTAGCTCATAGTTCTTGGTGAGTGCTGAGTTCTAACAAAATCAAGACCATGCAGCTCATCGATATTGCATGAAAGAGAAAACCTTATAATTCTAAGACTTTTGTAAGGGCGAAAAGTCAAAGGTTAACTATATTACAGGAACACTGGCAATGATGTAAGTATTATTCAAAATCAGCATATGACTTGACACTAGCTGCATTTACGGGGTAATTCGGAAATAAATTCTCCGCAACAGACCTTGATTAAATTTAGGCGAGGACATAAATCACTTGGAAATTAGCGAGCCGGGACCCGGTGGAATGAAGGGATGTCATCTCGGCAAAAGTGCATCGCGACCAATCTCAACTGATAGACCCTGGAGAGCACAAAATCATGGGCTATGTGCCCAGGAAACTGATCAGCTATTTTAGATAATTATTATGTTGGTGACGAACAAAAGCATTACGAATGAAATATCAAAGGCAACCAGTCGTGCTAGAGCGGGATCCCTAGTCCATAAAAACTTCGCATGCCACAGAATCAACAAAGGAATGCTTAGGAGATTTAACACGTACGATGTTGATCAAACAGAACACCACCCCTTGTTAACGTATGGTTGCAGTTGACTTTAAGGTTGCATTATAGCTAGATGGAAAAGGACATCTACGTCCGTGGCTAAACTTAGCCTTTTACTCTCCACAACACACTTCGCGAAGATTGCCTCCGGATGTGCCGATTATCTTGACAACAAGGGTTTTCAGTCTAATCGGAGACTGGGAAATCTTGCAGGTGGTTAATGGCAGCCAGATCGGAAATGAAAGGTTGCCAGGATGGCTTTATGGAGTCTCGAGATGATATTCCGCTGAAAGAGTCTGGAAGCGATGATGTTCTTGATGACCAGAAAGGCGAATACCCGTCACCAGCCAAGCTGGCGCCTATTATCCTGGGTTTATGCTTTCAATCATTTTGCATCGCCCTGGTAAGCTTGCTCCCAGGTTACACTGATTACGGAAGCTGATATATAACGAATATAGGACAATACAATCCTGTCGACCGCGATCCCCAAAATAACAGAAGAGTTTAATTCTCTCGAGGACCTTGCCTGGTATGCGAGCGCCTATCTGTTGACAACTTGTGCGGTAACTCTCCCCTTCGGCAAGATATACACCTACTATTCTACGAAATGGACATATATAATCGCTCTTGGATTGTTTGAGTTGGGGTCTTTGATATGTGCAGTGACACCAACATCAAAAGGGCTGATCCTTGGGAGAGCTATTGCGGGAGTCGGATCAGGTGGACTTTCTCCAGGTGCTCTCCTTGTCCTCGCCAATACCCTACCTTTGCATCGCCGTGCTCTATATTTTGGAATTATTGGAAGCACCAGCGGTATTGCGACCGTAACTGGTCCATTGTGAGAAAACCATCAGGTAAAAAATCACCTAATTTCTTTTAACTAACATCTCGACAGACTTGGCGGACTACTTACTGACAGGGTCAGTTGGCGATGGTGCTTCTATATCAATCTCCCCTTTGGAGTACTCACGGGAATATTCATAATACTGTTTTTCAAAGACTCAAAAAAATACCCAAAAAAAAGCTCGAGCCTGGAAAAATAAACAAAGTCAAAAGAATGGACCCGTGGGGGATTCTTGTTTTCATACCGGCTATCATATCGATTTTGCTCGCCATGCAATGGGGAGGGACAAAGTACGAATGGGCAGATCCCCGAATCATTGTTCTCATTGTGATATTCGGTGTATTTGGCTCCGTATGGTGTGTGATTCAATTCTGGAAGCAAGAAGAAGCCACGGTTCCGCCTCGTCTGCTGAAGGATCGCAATGTTCTTGGCGCTGTCATCCACGCAATGTTCTTAGGAGGCTCTTTCTTTGTATTTGGGTACTATGTGAGTTATCGTGCCAACACCCTTAGTTGAACAAAAGCCTAACCTACCCAGCTTCCGATTTGGTTCCAAGCAATCGAAGGAGAATCAGCGTCAGAGTCTGGAATCAACAACCTTCCCATGGTGGTTTCGATGATAGTATGTTCGGCGATCGGAGGATTGCTGGTCAATCTCATTGGGTATTATACACCTCTCATGTTTCTCGGGAGCGCGCTTCTCACAATCGGGTCGGGACTATGTACAACATTCCAAGTTCAGACTTCGCACGAAAAATGGATCGGCTACCAGATTATCATCGGCATCGGAGCTGGAGTAGGATTCCAACAATGCATCAATGCTTTGCAGACGGTCTTGCCATTGCATGACATACCCATAGGGATTGCGATCATCACTTTCTCACAAAGCCTGAGCGGTGCAATGTTTATCTCGATTGCTCAAAATGTTTTTCAGAACCGGCTAGTAGCAGGTCTCATTGAAAATGCCCCCATGGTCAACCCCATTTCCGTCATCCGATCGGGAGCAGCAAATTTGTCACACCGGCTCCCAAAGGAGGCTCTTCCTTCTGTTCTCTACGCGTACAATCTCGCTGTAACGGAGACATTTTATGTTTGCGTAGCCACAGCAGGCCTATCATTCTTCGGAGCATTGTTGGTTGAATGGAAATCCATGAAACGCCAGCCAAATAAGTCTCAAGACTGAAACAATCATTCAATCTAACAGCTTTGTGAACTGGATTGGTGTTGAGACGTGACCAGCCTCTTCAAACATCAGCTATCTTTATTGTGAATAATTATCAGTCTCATAATTACAATCGATGAATTTCAAACACCGCGTTTTCCTTTTGTGAAATGTAAATAATAAGAGCACACATGCGACACAGCCCCTGATTTGTAACTTGAAATCAAATATTTTAGCAAGTCCTTACATAACGCAACATGTCTCTGGGCTTGAGCTACTGTCAGAAATATTGGCTGCAAGCTTTCGAGAGCCGTCTAGAGGGCCGAGATCAGTCGTTTCAGTTCCCGCCATGTTTAGATACCTGCCAAACTGTTTTCTCAGCCAGATAGCACGATCTTTCCAGCTAATTTCCTTGAAGTCAGATTGGTAGTCGGCTAGAATGGAGTCAATGCGATCCAACTGATGTATGTCCTCTGCCGCAGCCCAAGCAACGACGAGACACAATGCGATATAAGCAGCACCAAGTGGTCGATAACAAGAGGCAAGCTCAGCCTCTAGCACAATCTCATCGCAGAAGAAAGCTGCTTCAGCAGACAACACGGGATTGCCAGGATGGAATACACGGAGGAGCGTATTTAGCATCAGACCCAAGGTAATCAAGGTAGCATATCCTGCTTGATACCGCGAGCGCTGCATCACTAAAAATGAAGACGTAACTGTAAAGCCAGTAGCGGGCCAGTTATCTAGGTATTCACGCATTCTCTGGGAGTCGTTTCGAATCCGCAGATATGCCGCCGCAATATCAGGAAGGTCGCCCGGGGTGAGATTTCGGATCCACTCTGGGAATTTAGCTATCGTGGGAAGTTTCGTAGAAGACCTGGGTATCTCGTTGCGTGCAGGTGATACCGGCGCACTGTCATTAAGGTTGGAAACCAGTTGAAAGAATTTCGGTTCCATCTTAATTCGTGGATTGACAATAGCCTCGATTATCTGTGTCAGTTAGCCAGAGTGCCAGCTTGGCCACATTGAGAGCGAAGAAAGAAGGAATATCATATATGATATTCTTGAAACGCCCGTGCTTCTACATACCACTGGTACCGTCAAAGTAATTATGATGTCTCGCTCAAAATTGCTTTTTATTTGAGTGAAATCTGACATTTTCAATAGATGAGCGATGGCTTCCCCATGGCTAGCCAGTTGATCATCATATTTTCCAAGCCAGCTCTGTAAGCTAAGTTAGCATTGATCATGCCCCAGGAGGGATGAACGATCTTGGGGTTTCAATATACCTGGCAGATAGTGATGAGGTAAACCGCACAGAGCGTATTGACCGATCGCGCTTCAGTTGGATCATCCAGGGTATCTCGCAGGGAACGCAGGGATCGTCCATAGTACATTAGCGCTTCTGGAGGGAAGTCTCTATCGTGGAAATATGGGTACGCAGTGACCAGTGCTTTGACGGCGGCGTCAAGGGCTGAACTGCTCCCCAGACGCCTCGGTATATCTTTCAAGAAGTAGCCGTAATACTCCAAGGCGTATCGAATATCGGTTATATTAAGCGTTCCAATGAGAGAGGAAGCCAACTCGTTCTCGGGAACCTGCATCGCGATTCTGAAACTGGCTGCGGATCTGGCTGAAGGTACAACGGCCCGACGTTTCCCGAGGGCTGTGTGGCCAGTCGCTGATTTGGAATCGGCATGCTTGAACTTAAATCGCTGCTTGCCACTGCCGATACAGTTTATCTGCAGCCGACGACATCGAGAGCAAGGTTGAAGCTCGTCGCACTGGTCTGTGCATCAGCTTGGGCTTCCAAGAGCCGATAGATATTATGTCACCTTTTTCTTGATCTTGCGGCAGGCGTCGCATCCCTTACTAGATGGAACACCAGGCATTTTTTCTTGGAATCTTCAGTATCCAGGGCGCAGGGTTTTACGCGAAACGGAATAACTGCAAGAAAAGGAAACAATTGTGATCAGCAGTGGCGGCTTTGCAGACTATAATCTTTTAAGACGTATCAGAAGCGCCCTCGGAGATCTTAAAGGAGATAAATGTGACAGTAACGAAATATGAATAGACATTATGAGGCAGATTTGACAACGTAGAAGCCAAGTCTAGCTGAAGAAAAATAGCTGGCTGACAGGTGAAGTTGGGAGAGCTGAAGCTTGGCAGGAGAAAACGGCCCCAAACCTCCTCCCAATCACGAAACGCTAATGGAGTCCTCGTACAGGCAACCAATGGGATCCTCCCAGATTTCAATGCATCACCCCACCCCGGCGCAACATGCTTCTCTTCTGGGAAACTCAAAGCCTCAGGTTTCAGGCTTTAAAAATAAAGCCAAGCATGGCGCAGTCACACATGTGACGATCGTCTCCCAAATGAGACATCTCTCTGTCAGATAAAAACCTTGCCGGTAGGATTCAAAAGCGCTGAGCTTAGCAGGTGCAACCAATATTTTGCACTCACACATACGATACATTGGCCTTATTTTCCCAATTTCTCTCCTGTCATGGCAAGCTTAATTTCTTTTATCATTCGACCTGCCCCGTGGGATCCAAGTAGAACTTTAGTCCACCCGGCAGGATATCCTATCGAAGCCCCACCGATATTTTCAATCGCGACATCCAAGGAGACAAAACCTAATGTCGTGGTTTTTTCTGGATGGGGAGTCGGTCCTTTTGACATCATCGGAGATGGAAAATTTCCGAAATCATTACATTCTACATGCCACTTAACGCTCCGTGGTCAGCCTCTAGAGATGCGCCTGAGCCAATCGGGATCTGGGGAATGCAAATTCGACCACCCAACGATGGGTCATATGAAATGGAAGCCAGACTTGTTTTCTTTGAATAAGATGGAACTACGGGATGGTTCTGACAGGCGGGTTGCTACTTTTGGCAAAGGAAAATCAGGCGAAAAGACACTGGAAGTCATTCAAGGAGACCCATACTTCATTGAATTGGTGTTCGTCTCCGGAATTACGGCGATGAATCTCAACAAAGGGATGACTGAAGCAGCCGGGAAAATATTTGGTAAGGTTCTAGGGGCATAAATGATGCCCGGACCCGAGTTCGCGCTTGCGTTAAGCTTTTGCATTATGGAGGAGCTAGGGAGTTTGTGATATTTATTTTGATTTTCTGCAAGGCCAGTCTTTGGTCGCACCAAGAGCTATTTTTGTATTATTATTGTTGCGATAAAATAGTTTTTTCCAAGGTTTTTTGTTATCACCAGTAAGCGTATTTGCACAACTGATTTTGCGTATTCGGCTTGAAAACAAAATACAGGGAACCAAACCAGCATCACAAGAGAGTAGCATGTATATAAGCTCTGATATTATTGAATAACAAGGTAGAACCTGTCTCAATTAAGTTCAATCTATAATCTATTTATTCCAGCAATTTTCCCTGAGTTCTAACCTATGGTCATCTATTCATTTCCAATCGTAAGTGTGCGTTGAATGGCAAGTCAAGCCCCCCGCCCCCTCACAGATCCTGCTTTTCGCTTCTTCGTCGAAGGGCACTGAAGATACCATTCCTGCCTGGTGCTCGGTGTTTGAATTCCTTCTCGATCTCATTGAAAGATCGGCCCTTAGTTTCGATCATAAATATAGCAGCCACAGCAGCGCCAATAACGGAGCATCCTCCGAACAAGAAGTAGGCACCACAATTACTCTTGGATAGCAGGACAGGAGTGACCAATGCGACCAAGAAATTAAATATCCAGTTGCTTGAATGAGCCAGTGTTGTAGCAGACGCCCGGGTTCGCTGAGGCTGTATCTCAGCGCTGTAGACCTTGACCGAAACCGCCCAAGTCAAGGAATAGATGACTGCGAAGATGTAGATGCAGACAATAACGACCCAACGTCCTGCACCAAAGCTGGCATGGACAGCATTCCCGGCGTATAGACCACCAATCAGAAACATGATGAGAGCAAGTCCAAAGCCACCATAGATGATACTGTGTCGCCGTCCCCATTTGTCACAGTAGATCAGACCAGGAATAGTGACGGCGAAGATGACCAGGGCCGAGACACCAGACGCAAGAAAGCTTGCCTCTGAAGATTCAAGACCAGCCTGCTGGAAGAGGAGAGGGCGTACTAAGCCTGAAGTTAGTATGAATGCAATAGTAGACAGACGAAGCCTTCCAACCTACATATAAGACGCCATCAATACCGCTGAGCTGCTGAACACCCATTAGGAATACTGCAAGAGCAGTCCGACCCCGGACATCTTTCTGGAAGATTTCGAATAATTTGTGAGTTTTCTTATTTTCCGGTTCATCGTTATCAGCTGGAACTTCTTCCACTGCAACTTGAAGTTCGACCTTCTCACGCTCCGCATGAGAAACACCAAGCATATCCCACGCCGCATCTGCTTCGTCCTGATGACCATGAAGAGTTAGCCATCGAGGAGATGGCGGGAGAAACATGAGAGAACAGGCCGATAGAATCATAGACAGAGATGCAAGAATGATCCACGGAGTTCTCCATGAGAGCGATGATGCGATATTTGATGTTCCATAACAAGTGAAATATCCCACGACAAGGCCCAAAGTGATAAGCAACTGGGGACCGGTCGTCAATGGGCCCCTAGTGCTAGTTGGTGAGATCTCACAAATGTAGACAACCAAGTTACCAAGAAACAGCCCCTCCCCCAGTCCCTCAATCACACGGCCACCTATAAACATGCCCAGCGATGTGGCTGCAGCTTCGATGGCTGCACCGACACCAAAGATGAAAACACCAATGCTGATTCCTTTCGGGCGACCGAGTTTATCGGCAACATACCCGGCGAAAAAGGAAGACAGGGCCGCGGGAATCAGAATGGACGAGACGATAAGACCGTGAATTGTCGCATTTTGACTACCGCCGAACTGAGACTTGAAATCTTTCATATCAGTCACTGGGCCGATCACACCAGTATCCATTCCGAAAAGAAGTCCATTGGCCGAAGAGAGCATGCACGCCAGGATATATGGAGGCGGCTTTTGCAAGTAAGGGATAGCCCCCATTTTTAGGGCTGCGAATGGTGCCAAGCCTTTCGAGAAAAGTTTTCTAAGTCGCGGTTCTGTGAATTAAGTTGTGAAAAATAGATGAGAGAGCCAGAAAACCAAATCGGATGCGGGATTCGAGGATGAAGTTCCTTAGGTGAAATAGAACAAGAGAAGAAAAAAGTGAATGTGGTGGGATTGAACAATTTTTTCATCGCCTAATCATTTTCCCCTCCATCCCACACCCCACGGGCTGATAGATGTTGTCCACAGCTCCACCCAACCCGCAGCAAAGTGGAGGACCCAAAGATAACGAAACAGGAAGGATTTACCGCAGGTGAGATTCTGGACCCTATCGAAGGCGGTAATTCTTGATTGACGCGACTCACATCAATAAGCACTATTATATCGTGAGTTGTACCGGTTCGAGATTTGGGCGGGAAAACTTCAAGTTCAAGGCGATATCAATGTATAGTTAGTACGGTCGCAGTTTACCAACACTGGAAGTATATACATAGTGCTGTATGTACACCCAACTAAAGATACGCACGGTCGGTTATTGTTACACCTTGGACCAACCACCATCCACCCTGTTTTTTATCTCCAGCTTATTAAGAAGGGTCCATGCATCTTGCATGTATGAGTTCAAAATAATACTCCGACCCGACAGTTCTTCGAAATATTACAAAACGTTCATCCATAGGTACGCATATGATTCAAGGATGCTGGCCAACTCACACTTGGTGGGTGGTTCAGAGTGCGGAGCTTCTGAACAAGCAGGTAAGTCATATTGAACTGGTCGTAATATACTCGGAAGCCTGTTTATTTTGTCTAGAAATGAGAAGCCCATCTCCGGCATAATTACTAGCGATACTCGTCTTACCCAGTGACCCGATATCACTAAAGAATGTCGCAGGTACTTTCTCTACTTGGGAAGCTTTCCATACCTGGCCTTAACAGGCTGGCTCTCACTGGCTTAGTTCATCCCTTCACTCGTCCTCCGATGGCCGTACCACAGGGAAGCCTTGAGCCTCTCTTCTAAGCAAGGTTTCCGTTTTCCATTTCCAAAATCCCGTTTCCCTGTCCTCGTGATTTAGATGGCCCATCATACTACCTGCATCGGTGAAACGGCGACCAGCTAAGTGACTGGAAAGGTCGATTTCAAATTGCAGCCGTCCATCAACAAGCATCTGGATAGTTCCAATATGGTCATATAGAGGCATCCCGAAAGATGAGACATGATATCCCATGCTCAGAAGACCAATTACCCTCTGGTGAAGGTATTCACAGAGCCACTCCGGGCGCGGCTTGTATGATGACAATGTCTCTGAGATCTCCCCCGAGTATCTGCTGGGAAATCGATCAAAGCCGTTGTGACGGTGCATCCAATGTTTGAATGTGACATTATTCGGGGGGAAGGTAAGTTCCAGGTCTGCCGACTGGAAGTCAATCACGAGCGTATCAATGAGCATGCTCCGATCCTCAAATTTCTCCAAGGCTTTACAATGCCTAATCCTGGAGGCCCCTCCTCCCGTTGGTGCGGCTTTTCCCTGACGGGCCCGTAACGAAGAAACCTTTCCAGCGCCGCAAAGAAGGACCAATGAAACCCTGTCCAGCCACCGTCGCCAAGTTGTCTACCGATCGTACGACTGTCGATGATGGGGCCGAAAAGTCGCACGTTTGAATAGAGGGTCGATATATGGGTTTCAAGAGGTGGCACAGACTGCCAAGTCAGAAAAAGGTCTAACTCGTTCTTGACAGCAATGTCAACAACATAGTCGAGCTTTCCGCGGTCAAGGACTGCACGAGCCTCGGTCGAGAGTTGATTGTTGATCAGAAGAAGAGACAGACATTTTGGGGAGCTGGGCATGTCATGCTGTGTATAATAAACTCTGATTCCGCTGGTAACCGATGCTGAATAATTAAGATCATAATACTCACGACCATTCAATTCGAGAAGAGTTGAAGGCGTGTAGTGAGCAGCCTTCCTAGTCTTCCGATTTTCTGACCCTTGCATTCAATTTATTGTGGAGTACCCTCGCTATTGGTCAATCCGTGATATTTTCAGCTTGAGTCTCCTGCAGCTCTGACACCACGTGCGATCAGCCATAACATGGTTGGGCTAATCATACGATTCATACCCTCGTCGCCGAAGTACCGTACGGAGCCATTACTACCAAATCCCGAGGAGCTGGATACTCCCTCTTTCTATACACCTCCCCCATTAACCAAAAATTCACTTAAGCGACTTTTCCTGCCGACCGAGACCATGGCAAGAATGACGTATCTCACTGCAACTTCCCCCTGAGTCATATTGCACGCTGAACTGGGCACAAACCATTTGCATGCACCCGTGCCAAGTCTGGTACGATACTATCATCATTGCCTGTTTGTATGGAGTACCGCCTGGTAACATGATGTGTTCCGCAGCGGGGGCTGGCTAACTGGACATAGCATTAAACATATCACTGGCGCCGCGATGGATGTTAGAACTGGACGAAGTGATTGTCCCTACCACCAACATCTATGCCGCTACCCCTACAGTCAATCCTGCATGCGTCTCGACAGCCAGCACAACGACCGAGTTTACCTCAACTTCAAGTTTGACTTCAAGTTCGACTACAACCTCAACCACGACACCGAAATCATTGTCTGAGTCAGATCCTTCTCCGGGCCTTTCAACCGGGAGGAAAGCAGGTGTGCGTGTTGGGGTTTCAGTGGGTGCTATTGCGATTCTTGGACTGCTCGCATTTGTCATTCGACAACGGGGCCGGAAGAATGATGAAGTCGCACTGGCAGAGACGCCTTCACCGGCATTGATAGAGGCGCATACCCCACGGATGCCCCTCGTCTCCTTTAGGAGAAGCCAGCTAGCCACAGATACGAGTTACCTGACAGCTCTAAGTCATAATATACGAACTATGGAGGGTGAGATATTCATACTCCCATTGTTGCAAAGGAGCGGCTTTGATATCTTGTATAAACGTGAGCGAGTATACTGATTCAAAGTCTACTGTTCATTATTTATTTTTCTTTTGCCGAATACGCTGGTAAATCTCTGGCTTACTCAATCTGATTATTTCTATACTGCTGATTGTCCCTTTTCTGGGATGAATTACCCGGTGTCTTCCGATGGAAGTCTCCCGAGCGGCTGTTTGACATTGCCAAAATATCAGGGCAGGAAGAAAAAGCGTCGGCTCTAGCCAATTTTGAGGATCGATGGCCCAAATGGCCACTGATATACGCTTCTTACCACATCCTATCTATCTTCTCTCAATTCGTCGTATTTCTACCACGGTTATATCCTTATGGCCGTGGGCTTGCGAGGCCATTCCCAGGTCTGTCAACCCAGATCACAAAATAGGGACGGCTAATGGGCGGCGATGGGTTTATTCCCATAGTACTCCGAGATCGTCCGATGCATAATGGCCATAACCTGACAGCCACAGGAGCTCTCGGTGAGCAAGTGAACCGACCGGCGTGGGAAGTCATATGCCTAGGTGACGCCAGAATTTAATCTGCCCCGAATTACTAGAAGACATGGGCATTACTTTATATTGCCCACAACTTTAATTCGTCCAAATTTGCATTCTATGTACACATATGTTATATGTGCTACGATATTCAGTCAGATTTATGAATCGTTTGCTTCCGGGGCAGGAAAATACTAAGTATTTTGGTTGTATGACTCAATCTACCATCACGCAAAATTGTCCGACGAAAGTCGCCATTTAAACCTCGGCTTTCAGTTCTGAACCACACCGATCTCCCGACCTGGGCCCTCGAATTCAGATAAGATTCGTCGAGATCTGCTGTGCATCTTACTGATTTTTCGGATCAAATCGGGGGATTAAAGTTCCAAGAAACGCGCAATTATCGCACCCCATTGTTTTGTTGAGGCGATTACGGGAGCTACAGTGCACATCATAGAACAGCCATTCTCAACGATACTATGACACATCTTTGAGGAACAGTCTACATTCTGCGTTGTAGGAGGCAGTACTTCTGTAGTATAAGAATCACTCTTTCCGATCGCATTGTTGAAATCTCTCAATTAAATAAAAAAGACCTGCTGAAGTCTCGATCGGCTTCATCTTAAATCAAATCCCTTGACACACCCGCGGGTCCTTGCCAGGAAAAAAACACCAAATACCACAATACTGTTCAAACATGAATCAAACTATGCGACCGCTAGTTCTATCAGTAAGAACTCAACGCAATCATTTATCAAGATGTAAAAACCCGGCCATACCGACATCCCTCACCCTGGCGATGCGGCAACACTCTACTTCGACACATCTCGCTCAGAAGTCCTCATGGACGCATCCAATGTAAGTCAACAATACTTCCGTGATCATCCCCTATTCTAACTCATCCCCTTATCATAGATACACAAAGAAACAAATCCTCGATGTTCAAACCGCCCATCGCAAGGCATCTAGCTGGCAAGATAGGGTTGCCCTGAGTACTGTCAAGGTCCTTCGCTGGGGCATGGACTTTGTCACGGGATATGGAACATATTCGCCGATCAGCATATCCGTCCCGAAGACTCGTACGATGACAGAACAAAAGTGGCTCACAAGATTTATTTTCCTGGAGAGCGTGGCGGGTGTTCCGGGAATGGTAGCAGGCATGCTCCGGCATCTCAAGTCTATTCGGATGATGAGGCGGGACCATGGTTGGTAAGAAAAGCTCTCCTCTCCCAGCAAAACCTTTCTAACAGACTGCAGGATCGAAACACTCCTCGAGGAAGCCTACAATGAACGCATGCATCTTCTCACGTTCCTCAAATTAGCCGAGCCTACGTGGACGATGCGCTGTATGGTCCTCGGTGCCCAATGGGTATTCTTCAGTGGTTTCTCCCTCGCATACCTGATTTCACCACAGATCTGCCACCGATTTGTGGGATATCTCGAGGAAGAGGCCGTTATAACTTACTCGAAGGCAATCAAAGATTTCGACGACGGACATCTTCCTCTGTGGGAGAAACTCGAAGCACCAGAGATGGCAATCAAGTATTGGCAAATGCCGGAGAATAATCGTTGCATGCGGTCTCTGCTGCTTTATGTCCGAGCCGATGAGGCAAACCATCGTGATGTCAACCATACACTTGGTAACTTGAACCAAACCGACCCGAATCCCTTCGCAGCCAAACCCAAGATTGAGATCGGCTTGCCACAGCTCCAGCAAAATGGTCGAGTGAAGGATTGAGCAATGGAGACATAGGTATAGAATGCTTTGGCTGCCATCTGTTAGACTAGTTAGAATGATCAAAATAGAATCAATAATTTCCTTTCTTACGTTCAAATTGGCGGCTAGGGATAGGTCTGTCATGGGCCCAGGTACGGTGAAAATATCACGCATGGAGAAGGAAGAAAAAAGAAGTAGAATCTGGAAGACGGCGACCAGATACAAATGTTTGATTAGATCCCTAAGTATCAAAGCACATGGTTCTTGATATCGCCCCTCCACACGAAAAGATTCTGTCTCGGTGCCCATCATACCTCATCCCCACAACACCATTATCCATCCGATCACGAGTATTGCCATGCACATTGCCGTTGCCAGTGGATTTCGTGTTTGCGTAGTAGCCGCTAGATCTCGTACTTTAGTTCGATATGAGGAACGACCATCTTCCGCTTCGTGACCGTTGTTCGAGATTTCGAAAAGATTGGCGAGCTGATGAATGATGGCATTGTAGTCGTGGTTGCCGGAGGTTTCAGCATACTCAATCTGCGGGAGGACTACCGCTTGGACGCGGCTACCCAGGTTCAGATAGACATAGTAGAATTGTGCTTGGGCATCCCCGATGGCCTCCGCATCAATTCTGAGTTTCGCCCGTATAGCAGCCACCCATGTATTGAACTTGACAATTGTGCCAGTGAACTTCTCGGGAGCCGGAAGCACCGGTCTGGGGCACTGAGCCTCAGCGAGAAATTTAAGGTGTGTCTGGAGCAGTTCAGTTTGGACTTGCTACTCTCGGTTCACAGCGTCGAGTTGAAGTTGGAGCATATTGAGTTGTAATTGCAGCTCTCGATTAGTGTTATTGGCCTGTTGGATAACATTGGCTTGAACTTGCTGTTCTCGGCGAATGGTTTTGATTTGGGTTTCGAGGGAGCTGATCATGCCTTGACATGAATCGAGCGGGGAATAATCAGTGGCTTCTAACATCGCATCAAATGGGCGAGGGCTGGGATGCTCCATTCTGAACAATGACACGATGGAAACGGGATGAAAAGGCAAGGTATGAAGAGTCCTCTACCACGCCCGAAGTCGAGTGCACACCGTGACTGATACCGTGCAGGCGTACACGAATCTTTGGAAGGAAACTGCCAGAAGGGTCAACTGAGGTCAACTGTCGTCTCTCGCGTGAAGCTAACCCATAAAAAGTGCGACAGGAAGAGTGCTGAATTCAGTCTCAAGTCTCCGAAGGAGGATGCCTAGTACTCTGAAAAGAGTCCATACACGATTGATGTTGCAAGTGGGATATCGTAGTACTCAACGAAAACAGGACTTTGGAGGTGAAAGAGTTGAAAGAAGATGACCTGGTCGAAGCGGGAAGTGGATTTGCGGCAACTACAACAAACACATGGCCGCCTAGATGCCCAGGCATCAAACATAGGATTTGCTACAAGCTTAAAGTAATCACAGACACTGTGCATGAAGACAAATCAACAATGCCAATCTTCAATCATGTTACATATTGATTCGAATTAACGAAAAAGTACCTCAACTCTTTGCTGTTGAGTGTTTGTTTCCAAAGGCCCCATGGTGCGGCAAGCGTGCGAGAATCAAATCCAAAAATGCATGCTCAATCATAGATTTTAATCAATGAGTCTTTGTGATCAAGAAGATTCTTCAGAGATATACGATATGCGATACATCTCTAAGAGTAGAGGCCCCAAGCCTTGTATGTTTATTCAGTCCCGAGAACCACGCACTGGTATATAATTTTTGGATAGCCTCAGCGACTGGCAGTAAACTATCTTCCAAGGCTCGGTATAAATAAATTATTTTCTCAGGAATACCTAGTAGGATGGTGTGCCGGGCAGACTGGCCACTAGTTACTACTAGTAGTACTACTGGTACTGGGTTCTACCAGTACAAACCGTAGTGAATAGCACTTGCCCAGGTGCTTCGCTGGCTTCTCCGCTCACTCGGACTGCCCACTCCCATCCTCTTATTCCCGTCCTCTTACCCCTAACAATCTCCAAAACTCCCTATCTTAGTGTACTTTCGGCAATCTGTTGAATTCGACTTGTCCCATTTCATCACAGCCTCCCGTCCCAGTCCCACCCCACAACCAATCGCTTTTCTGTCAAGATGTCCAACAACCAGAGAGTACACAGTCATACAAATGGAGCCACGCATGGGAGTGTTCCCTGTATTCCGGTAAGACAAATACAGTGTAGTCATTTGAACCCGTTTCTGATCCAATTCGCAGATTGCCGAGATGAGAGCCCGAAGCGACCTCATCACCAATCATCTCCTTGAATTGTACCAACAGGTGTGCACCTAAGCATCGAGGTCATTTCGTGTGTTCGATCCTAACAAGGTCTTTGGCAGCTACAGGTAAATTCTCGAGAGGGATCTCTCCGCCTCCCTAGGCCAGTTACTATGGAGGAAGTGACGTTTTCGATATCGATCTTGGTCGCCAACATGATCTTCGAGGAGCCTCTGGATTGGTCTAACCCTTCAGAGCGCGATCGTGTTGAGGTTCGACTCTATGAGATACTATTTGGTCCCCCGGAGAGGCAACAATCCTGAAAAGGCCGAAAGGAGTTGCTTTGCAGATGTGACTCTACGCCAGTCGCTGCTCCCGATTCTGTTCGACTTCGATGGGTGGAACCTAGGGTTTTTCTTTTCTTCCGGTTGTACAATATGGGTGTGCATCGAGGTACACTGGGCCGACATGGATAGGGGTTGAACTCTCTAATCTTCGGGGCAACTGTTATTGTGTGTGAAAAATGCACGGGGGAATGATTGTCTGGTCTCCCATGTACTGTATCAGATGATGCCGGTGTATGACTGCGTCGTAATCAAATCTATGATCAGGTTGTTCCAAGCTCAAAGTAGTCCGAAACACCATAGATGAACAAATATTCAACAAATTCTAATGCATAGAGAGCCGCATGACTGATTCGTTGAAATTCGCAAAATTTAGCTCAACACTGCTTTTTCAAGTTTTTCTTTTGTTGTTAAGTGTTTGTTTCTAACGAAGGGTCTATGGTGCACCAAGTGCCAGTGTGCACGAACAAAACTTTAAAGGCAATAATGCATGCTCAAGCAAACAGTTATATTTTAATAAATGAGTCATTCAAGTTAGCTGATTGCTTGACAGTTGTGCAATACATTTCTAGGAGCACGGCCCTTAAGCCTAGTATGATAGGCTTAGTCAGTCCACACTGCTATATCTAGTTGTCTATCCTACCTATACATAATAGATTCATGATCATCTTGCTCATCTTTATTTCGTATACATATATAATCTCTTAAAGTGTTTGGGTGTGGGCGCCTCTGGCATACAGGCCCACCATGCTACGCGTTCCGTGTTCTGCTTTCTCCCATGATCATGATTGCTTTGCGGCACACAACTTTTTTTTGCTTCCTGGCATGTTGCTTTACTTTTTGAAGTACTGGTACTTTAATTAATTAACCTCTCTTTATAAATGCCATGCCGAAAACAGTATCTACTGAGATGCATTGTTGTAGCGGGAAGGAAGCGGCGTCTCGGGAGTACTATGAGAGCATTGGGCTGTTGGGAAAAATGGCATTCACAAAATGAAGACCAATGCCACCCCCGAGACCATATTTCAAAACTTGAAGGTGGCCGCATGGTTCATCTTTCCTTCCTTCCATCTCCATCCGCTTCGCACCACCACACCAACAACTCCAAGTCTCAACTATTCCATCAACAAACTGAGAGAAAACGTCTCTAATCCAGAAGAACATAAGGTCTTAAACATACTGACGACTAATTTAGCCTCGAACCTCATTTCCTCATGTCTCCACGCCCAAAATTCGGCCGACCCAAAGGGTCCACCCCGTTCCCCCGTGGGAAGAGCCAAAATCAGGGCCCCAGTGATCGAATCGAAAAAGCTACTCGCCAGAAAAGTACAAGCAAGAGTGTTCCAGAATCATGGAAGCCCCAAGGCAAGAACCGCCTCTTCCGGGACGATGTGGACCCACTACAGGTTGCAAGTGACCTTTCAGTCCACATTGTGTACATGTGCGAAGTAACTTCCCTCATCGAGGAAGTGACCGCCAAATTTCACCAACTCGAAGACACATACAATCGACTACGGGATGCAATGGAACCCATTGAGAAAATCGCAAGTCGGCTCTGCGATAAGGGGGAAACAGCCAATGCGTTCTCTGATAAAGTCAAGAACATGGTGCATGCTGGAGAGAGCGCATTGGAAGAGATGCTTCAGGCGTTCAGAAAATACATGGATTTGATGGATAAGGTGAAATACATGCTTAGTGTCGCGGAGAAGGAGTTCGAAGATGCCTTTTAGACACTGGAGAGTACAATCAAGTCTATCAACAAGGTCGGCGAGATTAGGTTCATCCGAGATCTTCGACGGGGTGGGATTAAAGTTAACTCCCGAGCCTAAAATCAATTGAATTTATCTAGCCCCATTACTAGTACCACATTACTACAGACTCAGAGTAGGCATACAATTAATTTTCAAAACGACTCCAAGGTCATGATACGGAATACGATCTACGTGAGCAAAAAGCATCGAGTAACGTTGTATAAATATAAGTAATGACGTTAAATATAACGATATCATTAGGCGCATTAGTTCATATCGAATTTCCAATCATCGGGATGCACATGATGGTCATTTAAACAAAAAAGAAACGTCTAACACCACTACAGCGAGTTCAGAAGACCCTCAATCAGAGGAAGGAATTCTGAAACATCGGAAATGATGTCAGTGGTATTCTTGACGAACGACTTGCTCAGGAGATCAGCGCCGTTACCCAGGAGAGTCTCAATCTTCTTGATGCTCTCGGGCTTCAGCAGGCTCTGGATCTCTGGCATGGAGTCCTCAAGGTTACCCAGGAGACCCTTCAGGCTCTTGACCATCTCGGGGGTGAGCAACTCTCCGGCCTCGGTGATGAGGTCGCTGGTGTCAGCGACGAACGTCGGGGTCAGGAGGGTAGTGCCGTTACCCAGGAGGTAGGTCAGGTTGTGGAGGGTAGTCTCGTTCAGGAAGTCCTTCTTAATAGTGGGGACGACGGGAACGAGACCGTTAAGCAGCTCGTGGAGACCACCGAGGACGTATGGCGAGAGCAAGTCGTCGGCGCCGTCGATCAGGTGGCGGGTCTCGTTGACGAAGGTAGCGTCGAGGAGGTCGTTGGCGTTCATCAACAAGCTGCTGATAGCCGAGATAGTAGAAGGCTTGAGAAGCTTCTTGATCTCTGGCAGCAGAGGGGTGACCTCGCCGAGGATCTCCTTGAGACCGGAGACCAGGTCGGGGGTCAGAAGCTCGTCGGCGTTTCCAACCAGAGACTTGGTCTCGTTGACGAAGCTGGCAGTCAGCAGGTCGTTGCCGTTGCCCAGCAGAGTACTCAACTCGTTGAAGGTCTCCTTGGTCAGGAAGCCCTTCAGTGTCGGGACCAGCGGCACAATGGCATCGAGCAGAGTGGTGAGAGCATCGGTGGTCTTCTTGGTCAGGAGGCCAGAGGCACCAGCAATCAAACTCTTGGTTTCCTTGACGAAGTCGTCGGTGAGCAGGCTGTTGCCATGTGTCAACAGCGACTGCAACTCGTCCAGAGTCTGCTGGGTAAGCAGCTTCTTCAGCTCGGGCAGCAGAGGAGTGACCTGGTTGAGAAGATCCTTGAGAGCCTTGCTGGTAGCCGGAGTAAGAAGGTCCGAAGCAGCATCGATGAGGGAGTTGGTCTTGTTGATGAAAGCGTCGGTAAGCAGCTTGTTTCCGTGAGACAGAAGGTTCGTGATCTCGTTCAGGGTCTGAGTGGTCAAGAGCTTCTTGAGCTCGGGGGAGCAGAGGAGTGACCTGGTTGAGAAGATCCTTGAGGGCCTTGCTGGTCGCAGGAGTGAGCAGATCGGAAGCGGCATCGATAAGAGAGTTGGTCTTCTTGATGAAAGCATCCGTAAGCAGCTTGTTTCCGCTGGAGAGCAGGTTTTGGATCTCGTTCAGGGTCTCGGTGGTCAAGAGCTTCTTGATCGATGGCAGCAGAGGGGTGACTTGGTTCAGGAGATCCTTGAGGGCCTTGCTGGTAGCCGGGGTAAGAAGGTCCGAAGCAGCATCGATGAGAGAGTTGGTCTTGTTGATGAAATCCTCGGTAAGCAACTTGCCACCGTTGGTCAGCAGAGTGTTCAGCTTGCTGAAAGTGGCGGGGGTCAGGAAGCTCTTGAGCTGAGGCAGAATGTCGACAACACCCTTGAGAAGAGTCTCCAGAGCATTGACAGTGCTGTCGGTGAGAAGCTTGGAGGCCTTGCTGAGAAGACCCTCGATGTTGTTGACGTTCTGCTTGCTGAGCAGGCTGTCGGCATTGACGACCAGGTCGTTGACCTTGTCGATGTTGTTGAGCAGCTTCTGCAGGTTGTTGAGGTTGTTATCAGACAGCAGGTTGTCGGCCTTGCTAAGAATGCTGGACAGAGTCGCGGTGTTCTTGTCGTTCAGCAGCTTGCCGGCGTTACCGATCAGCGTGCCCAGGGCCTGGGTGTTGTCATTGGACAGAAGAACCCGGATGTTGTTGTCAACAGGGGGAGCCAATGAGGTCGAGAGATACTTGAAGGTATCCTCAATCTCAGACAACAGGTTAGGGTTGAGCAGACCAGAAATGCCCTTCAGGAGGCCCTCGAGATCATCGCCCAGGGAGGTGAGTCCAGAGAGAGCACCACCGCTTCCAGTGAGACCACTGAGAAGGGACTCGATGCCATTGGTGGAGCTGGAGGTGCTGCTGGAGGATCCAGACTTGGTAGAGGAACCAGTGGAGGAAGCAGTCTCCTGAGCCGAGGCGGTGTTGTCCTCGTTGGCGGTGTTGCTGGCCTTGGGGGCAGTCGTCGCGGTATCAGCCTTGGCCGTCGCGGTGTTGCCCAGGAGGGTGTCAATGATGTTGCCAGAGTTGGCCGTGTTTGCATTGGCCGTGTTGGCAGCCGAGTTGGCTTTCGCTGTATCAGCCGATGAGGCACCATCATTCTCCTCCGAATTGTTGGTGTTTTGGGTCGCAGCCTGAGTAGTAGCAGCGGCTTGCGGGGCGTTTACCACGGCAGTCTTAGCAGCGTCGTTGCTGTTGGCGCTATTCGCATTGTTCGTGTTAGCAGTATCGGCAGCAGCAGCCACGGAGGTCTCCGCAGCGCCGCTGGATGCTGCAGGTGAGGCTCCAGTGACATTGGAGATGGCGAGCAGCGCCGTCGCAATGACGGGAATGAAACGCATATTGACGATTGGGCGGGCTTGTCGTAAACTTGTCGTGAATTCCGCTCAACAGGGCCTTCGTCTCGGGTCGGCAGGGGATTAAAAAGGAGCCGCGCGAGATGGAGGAAAAGCCTGGAGACAAGAAAAGGGGGGGGATATAATTAGGGTCGAGCCAGGTCTTTATTTTTTTGGACATCCCCGATGATCGACCTCGAGGGACCTCATTTTAGGAAACAATCTTCCACTGGTCATCGCACTAGGCTTTGGCGGCCTCGGTGGATGAGATGGAGACGGAGAACCGGGGCAAGTGGATCATCACCGAGGCAGAGAAAGCAGACCGGCTTCCATACTACCATGTGATGGGGTAAATGTCGCTCCGATCACATCGCTAGTGCTTGATGCCGGCTCCATGCCTGACATCACGGCTGGCCGGCGCCGTCTGTCGTGCTCATTGAGACCGTGCCCATCGCAGACCTGTGCTTTTCTTTTCCTTTGTTCTTTATCGCCTCACTAGGGGTGGTGAGGGGCTTGGAGGCGCATTGAGACCCTTGACGATGGGACCCGAGGCTTGTCTGCAGGGTCAGGGCCGTCAACTACGGCGAACGCCCACAGCAAAAACCGTTCACATGCTCCTGGTTCGGTCGAGAATTGATTAAATTGGCCTTCCAAGCCGGCTGCCCATGGGGTTCCGACCGCGATGTGGGCTTTCGCCTAACCCTAAACGAGGTCAAATCACCAACAAAGGCGGGGATTGACTCCACCAAAACTTGAGCAGAACCTGGCAATCAAAATGGATCAAAATGAGGGGTTCGGTCGAAGAGCTCAAATAGGAAAGGTGTCCTACCCCGGACCACCAAGATTTGTGGGGAATAATTGATAATTCTGCGCAATGATTGGCGAATGAATACGCCCATTATACGGGCTAATGTAACTCGTGCTGATCCTTTCCCCAGGAACACTTCATGACTGGGAGGCACTGCTTGAGTTCCAGAGGAACGAGCTGACTGAGAGCTTGGAAGCCAGGAACAGTCCCTGATGCAATACTCGTCCTTACAATGGCTCGGGAAATTGAGCCTCGCTCTTCTCCTCTTCCACATGATTTTTTAATTTAATTTCGAAAATCCCCGGAGTCCATGTAATGGAGCCCAAATTGATCGGCGACAGCTCAGACTCCGCCTCCGCGAGTGGCGCTGCTAAACTGAGCCGTTTGAAGACCTTTTTTTCTTTGCAATGCTGAATCAGTGATTGTTCCCGTGAGGTGCGATGATTCTCATTGGCTCTGGATATTCCCCGGCCGTGCAGGCTTAACAAGACATGTCCATCCTTATTTCCCTTCTCTCTGCTACCGCGATGAAATGGCGTCATGACGGAAAACCAAGCCACTCCGAGTCATCATTTCGCGATTCTCGCTCGCGATGTCTTACCTTCCACGAGGCTAGACTGTAAACTGTAAACGAGAAAAATCAACCGCCGCTGACATCTTCTCACACTAGGCGAGGTGCGGAATTAATGATCTTGTCAAGTGACGCCGACAGGATTTTCAGCGTGCACGAGCCATCACTCCATCGTGCATCTCCTTTCTCCTTATCACGAGCTGCTCTAGTAGCTGCTTCGTCCGGACCAACGTTCTCGTCGATCGTTGAAACGACCTTATATTGAAGAAAGGCCCCATCATCGCACTGTTAATTTCGCCATGAGCATAGCACATACCCTCAATATAATCGAATCGGCTCGTGATCCTTGGCCTTTTGCCTTTCAACGTTCGTCATACTCGTATGTCGCATCGCAACGCACCTCATAGCCAGCCCATCCGTAGCCGAAGGTAGCACTAAGATCTAAACGATCGAATTTTCGCCCCCAAGATCCTTCTTGGCCTGCATGTCTAGACCGCAGCTTCCCGCCAAATCAAATCCAATGTCCAACATGAGCTCTCGCCCGGCATGAGCTATCGTCCGACCTAAGGCCTGTCACCGACAGACCCAGATGAGGTGCATGACGGCTGATTTCTCTCAATCTCGCATCCACCAAGGCGGTCTCCACATGCCTAGCTGGGCCATTGGTAGGCTCAAATAAAAACAAGAAAAGGGGGGGGGATTCCAGGCCAGGTCGACCCATTGCTTGTCCCTAACACGATAAGAAGATCCAGGTACGAGATACGAAGTCTGGAGTACGGCGTCTGTAGTACAAACGATGCAAATCCGATTTTTCTCTGGTCGGACCAGGCGCTCATGTGCGACAGAGGCTCTGCAAAAGTCTCAGCCAAGCAAGCCCCTCAAAACCAACTCGAACCAGTTCGTCTCATATTGTCGCACCCTTATTTTCAGCCACCGCCAACGTTTTGTTTGGCTACTCCGGAGCTAAATTGCCAGTGCTCAACAGCCCAACCCAGTCCGGTGGGGGCGTAAAACGAGGCGCGATAATTTTCTACCTCAAACCCCTGGGCTCTCCTTGCGCGAGGCAATTATTTAGAAAAGGAGTGGACAATATCAATATTAATAGCAATAGCAAACAATCGTGCATTGCAAGTCGCGCGGTTCCCCCCTTGTAAAACGCGAAGAAAAACAAAACATGGCCCATCACGCTGCAGGGGAATCGGAGTCTCGGCCAATGCCCGATATGCTGCGAGAACCACATCGTATCGGCCTTGCACCAGAACTAACCTAGCTCCCGCCATTCTTCAATTATCGACAGATCTGTACACTGCTCCGTAGGATATCCCCAACAGATTGTATTTCGTAGAAGATTCCGTCGTCGATCACTTGAAATTTCTTCCTTGCGCGATGGTGTTGCTTTTCTCGGTGGGTCGGAATGTGGGGCCGAAGTGAATCGTGAGGTCGAACGGGGCGAGGCTTGGTGAGCTTGGATGAGTCGAGAGCGGAGTATAGATGGCAGATTTGAAGACATAGCAAGTATGCGGCGGTAAATCGTTTTAACCAGGACATACCAGTAGTGTTGGTGGTAAATGGCTGGTGATTTCGCTCCGAGTCACGCCCGGCGGTCCAGTCCCTGAAATTGTTCGGGAAGAAGGTGCAGGTGCTATCCTATGGTACACACTATGATATATATTTTCAAATGACTTCAAGTTCTGGTCAAATCCACCGAGTCCATGGACCTCGTACAATCTTGGAAGTTTACTAGGTTGAATATCACTTTTATACTAGCAGATGAAATCTGATCAATCTTCAATTAATTCTTTTAGTCTCCAACCTGAAGGTTGCAGTGGATTCAAATTGCCGAATAATCGACCTTGGAATCCACCCCCAAGAATAAACTCTACCAGATCGTCGGCGAGTAAGTAGGAAATCATTTGCATAATGAGACAAACTACTAGTACCAAGTCATTTAATTATAGAACGAAAATGACGAATTATTCGATCAGTGATAAGTGAAGTATATTTTTCTGCACTTTCCAGGGTTTCGGGAATCAGGTGATACCAAGGTCACGAGTCAACATGCCCAGACCTTGGGAACTGGAACTACGAGTCCGTCGGATAAAAGATTGAAATAAACTGAATACTTGGGAAATATAATTAAAGGATAGTATTGAATTGAACCTAAGTTTCGCCACAACAGAACTGAAAAACATGAGACAACATTACTAGATGGCCACGGTACCTGCTAACAGATCAGGAAGAAAGTCGTCATAGCTGACTTGGACATAAATGGCGTGCGAGCATTGCAGTAGATGCACATAGATCAAAATCATCTCAGCGATCCCTATTTCATTTCTCTTTCCACTCTGCGACTCCGACGAGTCTCGTTCACAAGCCGCTTGAAAATGAACCGTCTCACAACCTTGCTCTTCGGGTAAGCAGATGGCTCGAAGACAGCCTTTCCGCCAGGATTCAGACCTGCCATTGACAAAGGGGAAGATCAGCAGCACTCGCACTCTCTTCACCGACAGGATTGTTTGCGTTTGTATCGCCCTCTGTAGTGATACTGTCGCGCGCAGCACCCTTGATCTTATCGCCCGTATGATCTTGAACAAGTCCATTCTCATTTCCATTTCCAATTCCATCTTCGAATCCCGTTTGTCGCAAAACTTGCTGCAAAGTAATTCGTCGAAAAATCTCAAAGGCGCGCTGAGTCGCAGTTTGAAGGGGAGTATTCACAGGTATGTCGAGATCAGGAAGGCTGGTAGGTGTATCCTTAACATCAAAAGCGTTCAGAACATCCTGCTTTTTCCTTTCATCCTCCGCCTTCTTCAGGTCCTCCCTCTCTCCGCTGAAGTCGGTCCCGGAGGATTCATACGGGTAGAGTGTGGGGAAGTCAGGCGTCAACTTCCATAGCTGGAACTCCGCCTCCGAGAAGACCATCACAAACGAGACTCGGGGGTCTGGAACGTACATGACGCGGAATTCCGGAGGCGGGACTCGGGGTAAACGGCGGGCGTCCACATCATCTCGAAGGACAACGACAATGTGGTCTATGGTCGGGAAATCAAGGGGTATGAAGTTGTGGGATCGTGCTGTGTTGAATAGTCGAGTTAGTCACCACTGACGGTAGAATTTAGGGTAACCCAGCGGCCTATTTGTGATAGACGTACCAATGGGTGTTAACGAATCGGTTGACTCCACATCCTCAGATCGACTTGGAATGCATGAATGCGAGTTCCAAATGAAGTCCCGGAGATTTCCCTCACCACCACCGTGAATATCTTCGGGTTTACCAGCGTCGTGAGCGAGGGAGGGATCGTTGGAGCTATCATGAGAGTATTTGAATGTAATAGGTTCAAGATCTGGAACGGGGAGGGTCAGATATGAGACGAGATGAGTGGAGGGTAGTTTCTAGCAACGTGCCTGGTATGGCTGATTGAAGAGCAGCAATGGACTCATCGCGAGAGGCAGCGGATAGGCGCGAGGGCTCTTTGGACCGGGGTGTTAGCAAATATTCGGAAATCAGCCGAGGCCACCTGCCTGAGACCCGGTAACTGCAGGGCAGCGATGGTTCTCTCGAAGGCATCCATGATTGGGAGTGAAGTGAAGTGGTCACGGTGATTGAGAAGGGAGTTGAGCGGGAGGAAGATAAGTTGCTGTAGGCTGCACTCGCGGGGTGTAGGAAGTGAATACTTGTTGGTGGGTTGAATCGAAAGTGCGAGGGACGTTCATTCCAAATTATTCATCATTCACTGATAATCAAAATAGAAAGTAACGTATACCTCTAGGGAAGCCAGATATTAAATTCCCGAGGGAATAGAGAAGGGCATCGATATCAAACTAAATTCATACACTAACAATATAGGGAGATATAACTTGAGATTCTTGAATTTCGAGTATAAATTTTGCCATGGGGTATTATAAGAGCAAGGCAGCATTTGCCGTGGCGTTAGATGGGAACTGCATCAACAGGAAGACCTTGGACAATCGGACTTGAACTCCCATGCACAACGCAGCACAAAAGACCAACCAGCTAGCCAACAAAAAAATGTCCTCTGCGTAGCGTAGAGAAAAGGCACAATAGCCAACCTCCAATATGAACAGAGTACTAGTAAGTATTCTTGTACCCGCGCAACCATGAGAGAAGCATCTTGAGATTGGAAAATGACCCTCCAATCCTCAATTCTCCCAGTTACTATGACACGGGGTGAAGATGGGGTGTAATTGGGAAGTATGTATACTAGTATATTACAAGTATACTTGGAAGGAAGTGTGATTGTGGTATAGATAGGGGTTGCTCACCTTAACTCGAAGAAATTGACACCATATCCCATCACTCGTTTTGTCGCTGTTATATCCGCAGAGAAGGAGGGGAGAACGATGAACTCACTGGAGCAGATAGTAAGACGGGTTTGTGAGCGCTGAGGATGCACGGCCGAGGGCATGAGTGGTCCAATGTCGGAGAGAAAAAGCGGCGGAGTGGTAGAGGGAGGAGCGTAGTAAAATGGCCAAATCTCAGCGAGAACAGCTGGAGAGAAAAGGATGGAGGTAGTAGAAAATTCCGAATCTCAGAGAGAACGGATGCAGAGAGAGGAGCAGGAGGATGGAGGTCACTATTGCAGACTGTTAGTTTAGTTCTGCGAAGTTGTGATGCCAGCGGGTTGAGCGAGTGATGAGTATGAGAGGGGGGGTGTTGTGAGAGTTGGAAATAGGAAGGTGATAGATGAGGAAGTAGGAAGAGGAAGAGGAAGAAGAAGAAGTAGATGAAGAGGGAGAAAGAAGAGGAGGAGGAGGAAGAGGAAGTATTGAGGTACGAGGTGGCTGCCTACTGCCCACTGATATAGCATTCACTGAGGCAGTCACTACATCAGGACAAGCAGGACAAACTAACATAAACAGAGACACAGAGATATAGAAAACAAGATATCATTTGATTCACTAAATCCAATTCATGGAGACCCATCCATCCAGTCCAACCAACTCCATCATAAATCATAAAAATCTAACCCGAGATATAGCACAGCACAGCATACCAACCACCCTAAAGAACACTCAACTCCCTCCTCCCAGCACTCCTCATACTTCCCCCCAAGGCCCTGACTCCAATCCGAAGAAGACGAATCCCCTCTCGTCCTGGAACCACTCACACTCGTCGTACTGGTACTAGCACCCACACTAATCCCCGCCGTCGTAAGGGACTCATTATCATCCAGCACCGGCGTCCCAGCACCAACCCCAACCATAACAGGCCGAATCTTCGCCCCGACAAAACCTCGTCGATCCCTCCCTGTCCGTCCCCGACCAAGCCAATTATGCTTGAGAGTTTTACCGAGGATTTCAATCTTCTCCTGCGCCGCATCGTCGGTCTGAACACTGGCCAACACACTAACACATTGGAGCATCCGACCAACAGTCTCCGTAATAACGTGTGAAGAATCCGCCGAGTTAGCACGATGCATAACCGTAGGCCTGATCGAAGGCGGAGAAATAGCCGAGAAAACACCCGGGTCCGGGTTAGACGAAGTATTTGAAGCAGCGCGACTGCGGGAATCACTACTCGATGGACGGGGGAGATTCGCCGCTGCCAGCGCACTCGGCGAGTCGGAAGAGTAACTATCCGCGACAGTACTGAGCAGCGTCGAAGATTGGGAATTGAAACTTCCAAATCCTGCGTCTAGGGAAGCGGCTGTTCCGGGCCGACCGCCGTGTCCGGTACCAGTTGTCTTGGCCGTTACGCTGAGCGTTGGAAACCCCGCATTGATACTGTCGAGACTGAGGCGGGAGAATGTAGCCTTGAGAGCATCGTAGCGGTTGAGAATGATGCGATCGCGGAAGGCGATGAGGACGAGATTGCGTACATCAAGACTTCCTCCTGCGGGGAGGTCGCCCCAGAACTCATGAGCCTCGCGACCGGACATGATGGAGCCGATGCCCTTGAATTCATGGTCCAGGGGGAGGAAAGCGGCCTGGATGAATGGGAGGATGGTGCCGAAGAAGAGGAGCCATATTTGCACGAGGTGCGGAACGACCTTTTCATCGGGAATACCGATGAGCGAGCTGGCATTGAGGTTGGCGAAGCCGGTTTCGAGAAGATCTTGGAGGTCGGCGATGATGGTTGTGGGTGTGCGTTTGTGCACGCAGCGCTGCAGGTGGACGATAACCAGCTTGTTGAGATCTTCAATGGCGATGCGCACATCCTCACCGTCAAAGATGACCATGAGTTTTGCCTTGAGGAACTCCCATGCGTCTTCGGGGACATGTTGTTCAGGCCAAAGCCCTGCAGTGTCTCGCGCAGCATGGCTTCCCCAAGGGGTCCGGTGGTGCTGTTGAGGGAAGAAGGACCTGCGACGGGGCCCGTCGCACTATTGGAATTGGCCAGCCATTCCATTTGTTCGTTTTCGAGGATCGCTTCTTTTTCCTTCTTTTTCGCTCGACCACCGTGCAGCAGATCTAAGCCGCTGACTGACTTGCTGAATGTAGCCCCCGGCGCCGGTGAGGCCGGGTTGGTAAATGAGTAAAGTGATTGGGGAGCATTGGGGTCGGTCGGTCGAGAATTACTCGACGCAGAAGAGAGAGGCAGGTTAAAGTGATCGTCACCGCGCTCCTTCAACTTGAGCTTCTGCCGCGACAAGAAATGGTGCTTATGTTTGTCCTTTTCCTTTTCCTTGTCCTTATCCTTCTCTGGTGGGGCGGGCGGGCGATCCGCAGGGACAACCGTGCTGACTGAGGCATTGGAGAGATTGTACATGGAGGAGTTGTTGGAAGGGAGATCGGCCATACTGGTGTTGGAGGAGCTGACCATACGCGACAAGCTGGGCAGCTTGCTCGGCGAAGGCAGGCCGCGATCCTTGAAGACATCTTTATCTCTGCTGATGCCGATATGTTTTGGTTTGGAGAAGAGCTTCTTCTTTTTTTGTTTCTCGGGTTGGGGTTCGGGGGGTTGGGAGCCCGCGCGAGGGAAGACGACGTTGGCGGCGGTTGTTGCGACGTTGCCTGCTGTCGGCGGCGGAAGCGACGGCGAGGGTTGGTTGATTCGCAGTGGAGGAGGAATCAGCGGCGGAGAGGCACTAACACTCCGTCGTGAGCCACTATCTTCCATCGGGGAGACAGGATGTTGTGGGCGCCTTGGTTGTTGTTGTGATATTTGTAACTGCTGCTGCTGCTGTAACATCTGCTGTTGCATGGCTGCCTGGGCGGCGATCCTCGACGCCGAGACCTGCGGGATCTGCTCGGAGGAGGCAGTGGGGAGGGAGGGTTCAAAGAAGCCCTGAGAATGATGTCTTGAACGATGTCGCTGCATTTCCAAGGAGGGGCCCCGGCCAGACGGCCGACGTGAGGCGTCTGGCATTGGTCGTGCAGTGTGTTGGTGTTGTTGGTGTTGAGGCGATGAAGTGGCTGAGCTCGTTCGCGGGTTTGGGGAGAAGTAGCCGGCGCCCGGTTGACGATCTATGGGAGTGATAGGAGTGGCGGAGACGGTGGTCACATTGGACGAGGCATCACTGCCGGAGGAGCCGGGACGTCGCAATTCGTCTTCGGAGTCGTCATCATCATCGGAGGGAGGGCGGTGATGAGAGTGTTGGTGGTGGAGTGGAGGACGATTCATGGTGTCGGGGGTGGGCCAGGGGCCAGGGACCAGTGAGCCGGTAGATACCGTAGGTCCCTGGGATTCCAGAGTAGAGAAGAGTAGATGTAGATCTGTAGATGGAGTGTTGGAGTGTGAGTGTATGTCAAGTGGAAGTTGAGGAAAACACGCTGCCTCCTTCGGGTTAGTCATGCCGATCTGCCTTCCCCGCCAACTTCAACTTTTCTTTCTTCAACTTCAGCTTCACTCTTACAACTACAACTACACTCTACACTTCTCTGCATATCACATATCTGTATAATCCTGCACAATGTCCTCCTCCACCCTCCACGCTGTCTACACATCCCCAGATTCACAACCAAAAACCATCTCCCACGAATTCCCCTCCACCGACGGATCCCTCGCCAGCAAAACCACCCACCTCACAACCTTGCAATCGCTAGTCCCTAAACTCCAAGACGAAATCAATGTCTACCTGACAGCACGAATGGAAGAAGACAAGAAGGCCCAAGGCACTGTCTCCGAGAAGGAAGCCAAGGAGGAGGACTACTACGGAGAAGAGCTGGTTGAAGAGGATGCTTGAACATGTGGAGAATAGAATGCTAGACTACTGGGTATCAAAAAGAAGAGACGGAACCAAACCAACCAAATCACAAAGACCACAGACCACCTACCCCCGAACGCTGGAAACTCGATTCGCACAGCCGAGGTGTACGACGGTATTGCTGGGAGGGAAGATTGGTTAGCACTGGATGCACTGGACTGCACTGGGCTGCACTGCTCTGTTCCATGGCGCAGTGGGTAGGGGAAAGGAACATACTCAGGAAACACATTAATCACACTCCCACCCAACCGCTTATGACAAACCCCACAAATCCGTTCCTCCGTGACCGTGACATGTCGAGCCCGCGTCCCACCACCACGAACCCCATCACCAAGAGCAAGCTGTGCCTGAATCTGCATATCCCGCGTCTTACGAAGCTGAGCCACGATGCGAGCCTCATTGAACACCGAATTGGCCGCGCGCATACGACCCTTGAAGTAGAATTCCAGTTCGCGCACTTCCAGCTCCGCCGGGATCAGGCTTAGTGCGGCGTCGGCGGGGAGTCGGGAACCGTGTTTGGCGAGGATGGCGAGAGCGGGTCCATTCTGGACTTCGTGACTGTGGGGTGGTGTGAGGTAGAGAGATAGGAGGGTGAGGTAGATGGTGTCTTCTTGGTCTTGTTCTTCGGAGAGGTGGACGTGATTGCAGTATCTAGAGGTGTTAGTTGGGGGAAGGCCGAATAGTCAGGACGAAGGGAATGATGAACAAATACTCACTCTTCTGCCTTTTCGTGGTCTTTCAGCTTGAACACGTAGATTTCCAGTACCTGGCGGTGCTGCCCCATCTTACTGAATAGGATAGCCCGGGCCTCGTAGAAATTGGGGTCGTCGCGGTCCAGTCGGTCCAAGGTCTTTGCGGGAGAATACTGCTCACTGTCTTTGAGCATGGCCAGGAATTTGGAGCTGTATTCCGTATCCCCGTCTTCGCCCTTGTGCGCTGTGATCTGGTCAAGGTACAATACCACCAAGCGCTGATGCAGGTCCGGGGTCAGGTCATTCCATTCCTGAATGACATGCTCGAGATACCGAATAGCAAGTTGCGCATCGATACCCTCGAGAAACGAGAGTACATCCTGTCGAGGCAGCGTCTCGGCATTCTCAGTTTCAGCCAAAAAAAATCTCCATCCCCAGCTCAGGCTGGGTGCGAACAGGCCAATCGGCAAACTCGAGAACCAAATCTATTTGATCAGGGGGTAGATTTTGAAGATACCCAACAGTCCGCATCGGACCACTGAGCAGACCGGACTCTTCCTGTCCGAATCGACGCAGCAACTCCAAAGCCTGCCGATGCAGCTTTTTCCCATAGAGAAAATCAATCAAGTCATTATACCGACCCGTTTCTTCCAATCGCTCCATCACGACCTCCGGGTCGCAGAAATTGGCAATTCGGAAGAGAGACCCTGCCAGCGATGGCGTAGCGTACATATGAGCCCGGAACAAGGTGGTGTCGACGAGTCGAGCCTTGTCACGGATGGTATCCAGGAACTCCTCTTGCGAGGGAAAGTCGAGCAATTTCAGAACAGACGCGCTGGCCTCGTCGGTACCCTCCGCAGGGCAGGGAGCTTAAGAGCCCCATCGGGCCCGAGGAAACGCTGGAAGCGCCGTCGGACATCTGCCAGATATCCCTGCAACTCGCGGACAGCCATCTTAAGCTCCTTATCCTTGTCCTTCTCTTTATCCTTGTCTTCGCCCCGAATGCTACTCGTATCACTGCCTTCTTCGGTCCTGCGAAGGAGAGACAGCACCGAGGTTGCATACATGGACTGTCCAGCCGGAAGCTCAGACGAACCATCTGAACCGGCGGGCTTTGTATCTGACCCATCGGCATTGGCATTGGCGGCAGCCTCCTCGGGCTCTTGGGCTGGAACTGCAGAGAGGTCACCAGCAATCAACTTCGGATAGAGGCGTATAACAGTCTCCGGCGGGGCAGCAACCTCCGTGAAGAGATCCAAAGCATGGCGGAACTTATGCAAAGCGAAAAGACTCTGGGCTTTTTCCAACTGCGCTAAGCGAAGTCTCCCAGCCTTATCCTTGACCAGAGCATCCTCAAGCATACCAAGGAGACTAATAGCCTCATCAAGATACCCCTTTTCAACCAGCGCATCAATCTGGGTATCATAACTCAGCGCCTCCATACGCCAAATAGTGCGATCACTCGCAACAAGAAACCCCTTCCCCGCATGCGCAAGACTAATATTCGGCTGCGGGATATGCAAAATACTAGCCGCAGGCAGCGGAATAGACTGAAGCAGCGAGAGCGTCTCAGGATTGCGCACCTCAAGCACACCCTTCGAAGAATCATGCAACGCAAGCAGGAACGGATAAGAATACCCGACATCAACAGGTGCATGAGACCAAGGAATCTGCCTCCTCCCAAGCGAGTGACCCTCCAAATCAATAAAATGAGTATTGATATCCTTAGCCAGCAGAATCTGGCCCTCCCTCAACCTCGTCGCCAAAGGTCTCGGCACCATCCCACCCATACCAATATAACTCATACTCGCCGCACCAACACCAGTAAATCTCCCCCGTCGTCGAAGAAGACTCCTCCATATTCCCGGGACCGCCAGATAACTCCTCGACAACACCACGCACAACATCAACCATAACAAAACCCGACGAAAGCCCAACAACAATCTTCGTCGCAGAAACCCATTCCAAAGTCTTAACAGCCGCAGCAAGACTCAACTCACTAACAGGACCCTCCTCTTCAAGCTCCATATCCCTCCAAACCCACATAAGAATCTTCCTCTTAACAGCAACGACCAATCTAGACACAATGGCCGGAACATTCGTATCGGGATCATTAACAACGTTGGAAGTAATAGCAAAAACAGAAGCCCCCCTTCGCCTGAACCAGCGTGTGCAAAAGTCCATAATCCTGCGAATCGTGTAGACTGACGACTCCACCGCTCAAACTGACTAGCACCTTCGCTTCCTTGACCAGGGCTAATTGTTCGACCTTGTACCGGGCGAATTTGTCCAGTTCACGCAGTAGTTCGGTCTTGCTGCCACCTTCGGCGGAACCACTGCCGCCGGCGGGTTCATTGTCATTGCCGTCTGGGTTTTCCTCGTTCAGGGTATCTGTGACGCGGTAGATGCGGAGAGTGCCGTTGTTTAGGCCGGCGAGGATTCTATCGCCGTAGGCGAGGACTGAGTCTATTCGGGAGCGATCGCGGGGTTTGAGGTCCACCAGGGCTCGCGCGGTGAAGGCGGATAACATCTCGCCGCGCTGAGAGCTGTTGGGAGCTGTTTGAGCTTGGTTGGCTGGGGAGTTGGAGATGTTGTGGTGGTTGGAGAGGTGACGTCTTGTTAGTCAGCATGCCTGAGGCAGAAATCTACTCTCTACAGCGAGTAACTGCTAGAATACATAGAACAATATAGATCTACATCTACATCACATCTCTAGTAAGGATATGCACGATCATTGCTGCAAATGTACATTCAAGCCTCGCAGCTCCAGCTCACAGCTCAAAATTACAATATTTTGGTATCGATGAACCACCAATAAACCCATTCAACCCAACAACACCAACGCCAACAAATGCAACCAACCCATCAAGCACTCTTCTCATTCTCCTTCCCCTCAGCGGGAAACTCCTGATGCTTCGCAGAAGTCCCCTTCCCCTCCAAGTCGAAACGGCCGGAATATCCGCCTTGAAGCGCTTCTCCTCCGTGCCATAAGCGCGGGGGGTCAACTTGATCAAGGTATGCAGCGGAACCTCCATCCAGGGACTCTTTTCTTGAGGAACATTCAAGAAATAAGAATAAATGCACCTAAGCACAGCCTGATGGGTAACGATAATGACGTTCTCACTGCGCTCCAGTTCCATGATAATAGGTTCAAGACGAATAACGACATCCCGATACGACTCACCGCCACGATAGCGGTAGTTGTATTTATCGTCATCGCGGGCCTTGAAATCTTCCGGGTACTTGTCGGCGATCTCTTCGTAAGTTAGACTGTCGCAGACTCCAGAGTCGAGTTCGTCCAAGGCTTTCCATTCTAGTTTTTCGAACCCCGTTTCCGCTTTTAGGTGGCGGGCTGTTTGGATTGTGCGTTTTAGCGTCGAGGTCCAGATTACGATCTTTGTGTTTGGGGGGACGCCGGATTTGCGGAGGAGGGAGGGTAAGGCGCGTGCGTAGGCTTCGCCTCGCTCGGAGATGTTGGAGTCGCCGCCGATTTTACCAGTGAGGTTGTATTCGGATTCGCCGTGCTGGTAGGTGGGTGGTTAGATTAGATTTTGATATATTTGTATGCTGAATGGAATGGTGGTGGGTCAACTCACTCGTGATAGCCAGATAGATCGAGGCTTGATGTGGAGGTTCTGAATATAATAGACAAGACGACTGGACAAATAATCCTTGATCTGGTTAATGATAACAGTAGAACCAACATTGATCAGCTTCACATAAGTGTACTGCTTCTCATTGTCATCGATAGTCTCATAAGCCTTCTCATAATTGCGGATACGTTTGCGGAAGTCCAGCGCCGCCAGCTCAGGGTCCTGCCCCTTATAATCCGGAGAATCGGTCTTGACTTCGAGGATATTGTTCATGATGAGATCTTCATCGTCACAGATCGACTCCACGAAGAGGGTTTCGATATCAGCATCGCGACACTTTTCGAAGATCCACTTGCGACGCTCCTTGGTTGAGTTGGTTGCGTCGAGGATGGCGACGACGCCCTTTGACTCATCGTCGTGGAACCAGTTGATCATATCGGAGACGGCCGATTCGGCGGCGGCTCGGCGCATGCGCTCTCCTTCTTCATTGTGAGGGTCAAAGAAGGTGGCCTGAGGTTGTGGGGTGTTGCTGCGACGATAGGTACCGACGTTGAAGACCTTTGCGGGGATTCCGACCCAGGCGAGGTATCGCATAGCTAGAAGGGATGGGGATTAGCAATGATTCACATTGATATATGGCCTGATTGGCTATTCCGGTTTGAACATACCTTTGCCGGCGATCAGACTCTTGCCTCGGGCCGGCAAGCCGACCATCACAACGCATATTCTGGATTCATCGGACTGGACAGATCGTAAGTTGAATGAAGATGAGTGACTGGGAGTGGTAATATGATCTGCAGTAGTGGAGGGCATGGTGAAGGTGGAAATAAGTGGGCATAAAGGTGGGAATAAAGGTGGGATGGGATGATGTTGATGTGCGGCGGAGTCCAAGTAAAGGATCAAAGGATCACTTTCTGCAGGCGGAACAAGGATGTTGAAACTAAGGTCGGATCGACGGAAGTGATTGCAGCTAGCAAATTGGCTCATCAAGCTGGCCATTCACACTCTTCTCCCCGCGGGAAACGGACCGAGGTGAGAGGGGGGGCAACCCCGCGATACCCCTCATTGGGGCAGGGGAAGAATAGGAAGATATCAGAGGGAAAAGAGGAGAGAGAAGAAGAGAACTCACGCTTGCGACAAACACCTTGTGCTGCTCCTGACTCCGAATAATACTGCCTGTCGACATGGCGAGGGTGGTGGAAGTGGAAATGGAGGAAATGGGGAGAGTCGGGAAGAATAGGAAGACAACCAAAGTGCAGCACAGTGGGGGAGGGCAGCAAATCAGCAATCAGCCAAGCCCGGAGAGTGAAAGGAAAATAGAAATAGGAAATAAGGAACAAAGACAAGAGAGAGCGAATGGGAGAAGTCTTAGAAAATACAAGAAGAAGTCAAAGTAAAGTTGAAGTTGAAGTTGGAAGAATGCGGTGAGCGGATCCACTAACGTCATCACTTGACTTCTTCACAGGTTTACTTGTTGATAGTTATACCCTGCCGAACTTGATACTCTCGATACGATACTCTGGCGATTCTATACATCTATTCAGTCTATACAATCTATCTATACATTTCTATACTATGCCTTCACCTGCTCCCCCCGAGCCCGCTGCACTCGCAATGGCCCTCCCCACGGTCCATCAGCTCCATTAAGAGAGTCCATCGCCCTCTGTGCCTCCTCCACACTCGCCAGCTCCACAAAGAGGTAGTTGTGCTCACCGGGCTCGAATCTCTTGGCCAGGTGTGGTGCAAACAGCTTGCTCACTTCTTGCCTACAATCCACTGTCAGTATCTTTCCTTTGTCTCTGTCCCCTTTGTCCCGCAGTACTTACACCTCGTATCCCTGGAAGAAGACCGTCACTTTGCTCTGCAACTCCTCCTGATCCGCCACTCGTGGTAACCCACCCACATATACCCTCCGGCTGGAATCGCCTTGTGTCTTGGAAATGCTGGGGCTGGAGTTGGAGCTGGTGCTGGCAGTGGTGGCGCTTTGATCAGGGCGACGCCAACGGTCCATGCTGGGGGATGGTACCCCAGACATTCCCATTCCCATTCCACTCGAAGTCGAACGTGAAGGTGAAGGTGAAGATGACCCCGGGTTTGCCGCAGACCGTTGCACTCCAGGCTTGATCCTCACCATCCGTCCCAGCAATTCCTTGCCATCCAACTCCGTCATCGCGCGAGCCGCCTCCTCTTTACTCCCCACATCCACAAAGCAGTACGAGGGGTTCCGGCCGGTGAAAGGGTCAACCGCGATGTCGACACGCTCACTAAATATCAACATTGGTCAGCGACATTCAACCCAGTTCGAAGGGGAGGAGCAATGATCATGATCATGCTCCCCGCACAAACATACATGGAAAACTCGGCCGCCGTGAACAACGCCTCCACATCCTCTGCCTTCGCCGTGTACGGCATATTTCCCACGTATAAACGGCGACCATCGGTGATCGCCTGAGGGGTCTGTCCTCGTTGACCGAAAGATGGGCGAGAAGTGCTGGCGCGAGGGGAGGGCGACGTGGGGTTGCTGCTGGCACCACCTTCACCCTTCATGCGCCAGTTGGCCGACTCAAAGGCACGACCATTCGTACGAACATTCTGCAAAGGCGAGCTAGGCGCTGTGAAATAATCAGGTCAGCATTGGTCCTATCTGCTGGACAGCACAACTTGTTTTGATCGTGGAGGTACGCACATTGCTCGCTCGGGTTGGGGATCTCGGTCTCGGCCATCTGCAATGGTTAATGGTTAATTGGTGAACAAGACATACACACCACGACTTCGACTCACTGGAAATATTATTGGAATATTATTGACGTGTTCTTCAGTTTCACTTTTTGTTTCCAGCAAAAAACCCACGGGAATCGACTTGACCCCCCGCCAACGCCGCCAGTCTCGCTCGTCCATCTTTTTTTTTTTGTGCAAACACTGCAAACTGGATCCACCACCGCCTATTTAATTTCTGTTGCTCCGCCGCAATTTTCTCTTTTCTTCTTTTCACCTTCATCTCTGCAACACAATTCCCTCGGGATTTTGCCATTGGCAAGGTTTTCGACGGTCGGAAGGTCCCGGGTCCTGGATTTGTTCCAACCGGGTCTCCGTCGTCAATGGCCATCCCAGCCAGCACCGACACAATGCAAACTTGATGCAGTTTCGCATTGCTGTCCAAAACATCCATTTGCAGCTGGATCTTGACGAGACAAATTTCTTTGATTCTTCCAGCTGCTCGTACTAACTCGGTATGTTCCAAACCTTTCTTCTTTTTCTCTCTTTGCATTTTCTTTTCCCGCCCACCACGCCACGCCACGCCGCATCGCACCCACCTCCCGCTCTTATGATGAAAAAGCAATTTCACACAGACCTGTTCTGAACTTCTTTGTTGATAAAATTTGTCAAAATGCTATCTGATTGAACTCCTTTACTTCTTTTTGTTTCATTCATGCCAAGTGATAGCATCGCGCTAACATTTACAAGATTCACAGGTTTCTTCTCTGCCACTCCTGCTGCATACACCCGCTAGATACGCATAATGATAATAATGATGATAAATCATAATGAAAATAAAAATTTCGTGCATAAGTCTGCTTGGGTGTATTATCCCATCTGTAATATCGTACATCTCCTTTTGTAAACATCCACCGCGAATAAATCAGAACCATCCATGCTAGTACTAGGCCGGGGCCTGACCGACCCTAACTATGCCATCGGGAATCCAAATCCCGGCCAAATGCTCCAATTTTCTAATGCCCTCATCCCCATGAAGTGGAAATTTCGCAGTGCCTCGTCCATTGCCGCAGTGAGCTCTCGGAGATCCTAAAGAGTCGAAATCGAAGCTGCACTTTCGCTCTCGTCGACCTCCAGCGATTGTGCTAGCAACAATGGCAGCGACTGTCGGACAGCCTCCGAGTGAAGACGAGATGGGGAATCTTCATGTTGAACTTCGTAATTGCGAACGAGGTCATTCGATAGCATGCATGATCATTGATGTGTTGTCTTGGTAAAATCGTCTAGGAGGGTGGATGTGGTATTTTCCTCCCGGGTGGCTTGTGAGTCTGATTTCTTGCGCAGGAGTCCTGCTATTCGATTTCATTTGCGGAAGATTCTCAAGAATCTCCTCCTTCGAAGCTCGCAAGGATATGTATCTCTGCACATAAGAATAGCAACGAACAATCACGGATGACAATATTTCATGGACGAAATTTGCTGCTTTTGGGTGTGCACACTGAGATTAGTGGGAAATTGGATATCTCAACGCAAGGGAAGTAGAAAAGTAAGAGTCCTGGGGAAATTGGAATGCCCATGAATGGCGAGGAGGGTGAACCCGTGGAGGATCCCAAAAATGTCTCACCAGGAATGTTCCTGTATAAGCTTGCTTTTGTGGTCCCGGAAACGATTCTCAGCGAGATATCCGTCGAGTGGTCTTTCTCAATAGGTAGGGATAGCAACCTTGGCCATGGCTACACAGAGCACAATGATAAAAGGAAGTCTTAAAAGGCGCACATGATCCCAAATCAAAGCCATCAAGTCGAAAACTCAAACCCGAGGTTGAACTGGGGTTCCGGGGACATCAAAGCAGAAGGCGTTCTTGGAAGTCTGGATGCGGGTTTCTCCTGCCCATTGGCCAAGTCCAGCGTCTGTGCTAGCAACAATGGCGGCTGATATGACGAAGGCCTCAAATGTGGGATTCAAGAACGTAGTAGAAGGCCAAATCCTTGGACTATACACTCACATACTAGTAGTAGTATACTAGTAGCAGATAGAATTATTTCTTGCATTCCCAGTCGACCGGCTGACATTGTACGCTGCATGATAAGCAGATCATCATGAATGTATGTCGTGAATGCTATTTGCTTCCAAGGTTTGTTGAATAGTATATTCACAAATCTCGAGTTTGGGCTTGAATGTGTACTCTTCAACTGCAAGCCGAGCAAGATGATGATTTATTTGCGTGCGGTTGGCTTGTGCGTCTGCCATCTTGCGGGAAGAAGAGGTCTGCTATTCACTACTGTGGATTGTTTCTTCCACTATTGCGCGTTGTATTCTGGTTCGCCGTTAGAGAATTCCATTCAAGCGGCAGGAATGATTCTGGACCATGGTAAAATACTGACTTGAATAAATCATGTGTCCGTGAGAGCAATTCTCAAGCCTGGCCCTATCAACCGTAGCGACCATCGGTTCGACCAGGACGGTCTGACTGTAGAGAATGGGCCTGGCTTTGAGCAAATCTGGGTACCACCTTGGATTGGAATGTCGGGGACAGCATAGCCACGAGGCTGATGACCATACCAATGGAGCGGAGAGTGCAGTAGGGATTGTTTGTAGCAGCCTCAGGACACCGACGCCAGCATCAAGGAGTAATGCTCAATAGATCCCATATTCGCCTGCCATGTCGGGAAATGCCTGGTTTCATTGTTGGCCATTTTAATAGAGACGGCGGAAGGCTGACCATATATTGCGATGGTCCATCCCAAGTCGTGACATGCAGATCACCCCATTCTGCCCCCTTTATTGGTAAACCCTATGTATGATCCTCCATTCGAATTCGCCAGGTCCTCCGGGTGTCCGAAACGTGGGAAGTTGGCATCAAGCCTCTCATTTCTTGTCCCGGTAGATCGGGATGATGGCGGCTCTATGTTGGGCCTAGTAGGCTGCGAATGATGAAGAAAGCTTGTCGGATCTGGAGGCTTCGCGGCGGATGGTGGGATATTCCATCCACGGCTCACGGTGAGGGAGAGGTGTTTCGTCGGAGATGTCTCAGGTTCAAGTTATTAGTATATTCCCATCGGAAGCCATAAGAAGGAAGCAGAAGTAAACCGCATGCCTCGTGAATTGGTGCATTCGCTGATGCGATATTGTTGGAATATATTTCTGCACCGCAAGGACCGTTTCCATGCCAAAATGTATGGATTTCGACAACCAAGGTGCCGGAATCAGGAGCCAGAGCAGAAAAATGCCTTCCTGACACAGCGAGGAAGATGTAGGTCCTGATGTTGGTTCTGGTGGTCACGATTATTAGAATACAGGCGTCCGAAGGTCCAGAAGGGTGCACTTACTGAAAAGCAGGACGTGAAGAAAATGCACATCCGCATAGAGACCCCCAGGTTTGAAAGATTTGTCCTCTGGAGACACACTCTGAGATCCCTGAGAAGCGAGTGAGCATGTGCGTAGTAGAACCAAGGGACGCGAGATGCGATGTTTTGAGTTCTCATTTTCGTCCGTCAGAAGGGCCGTGACGCGCTCGTGTTGTGTTTTCCCCGTATTCATCGATTCTGCTTATCAAACAGATGGTCTGGGTATATGCTCTTGGATTAGCCTCGGTGGTGCAATAGTAGATCAATTGCCGAGGGACTCGGAGTGATCGCGGTGAGACGAAGATGTTCAAGGGCGACTGACCGCGATATATTACTCGGATGACATCCACTCGTATGAGGAGTGATTTGGTGAATGCATGGTATATTTTCGACCGAAGGCTGGAAGGTATGAAAGGTGTCCCGACTGAAAATGATAATGCGCAGGCTTTTCTCGAGGGGGTTCGAGGGGTGTGTTGTGGTGTGGGAGAAAGAGAGAGTGTAGACGGTAGGAGAGAGGGGAGTGTTGTTGATATCGCCGCCACAAACAATAACGACAACAATAACAATTCAACTCAGGAAAGTTAAGCTCTTAACAAATTATTTACGTGTTATCATTTGCTACGTACTAGGTCAATCTAATTGTTGGTCACCCTTTATTTAAAAATCAGGGATTAAGAGTAGAGAGGCGGGGTAAATTAAATGCTATGGAAGATGATTCTCCCCTTGTGCCAACACCAGAAATCACGAATTAGAGTCCCGAGAGAGGACAATTAAGAAAGAGTAAACAGATGCTCACGATGTCGAAAATGCCAAAAAGGCTTGTTGATATTAGGAGACAAACGGGTAAGTAAAAGAGGTCGAAGGCCTACCATCCACAGGTTGACATGCGAACCCTCAAGTCCGAAGTGAAAACGAGGAAGCGGTTGCTAAACAGTGAACCATGGGACGCTTATGTATCCCATTGCTGGGTCCTGAGAGCACGATATGGGCTTGGGAATACTTTCCCGGAAGGGTGCTCAGGGTTCCCGTTCAACATCTCTTGTGTGTGCCCAACATGGTCCCAGGCTCCTCACGGAAGTCATCTCTCTCCATTCATCGGGGGGGTTTTGAGCCTTCGCCTGATTGTAGCCCTTGAAGTAGGTCGATACCATTGCCGCTGCGGCTTCAGTGTTCGGAGGCATGGATGATCGAAATGTTGAAGACATGTAAAATTCGAAACTGCCCTGCGACCAAGTCATCACTCTGGCAAGTTGATTGTAGGTCCAGTTCCTCAATCTTTCTGGCTTCTGCGATCCTCCACTAACTAGTGGCTAGGTAGTGTACGTTAGTTAACTTAACTAGTTAACCAGTTAGTTAGTTAGTTAGTTGGTGTGCGGGTCTGACTAAGCGGGAGCCACAGGCTCTCCAACACCGCACTTGTGGGGGGGCTTCAACCATGGTTATTGTGAACATCCCTCCTGGGGTTGGCAGCTGAATACCCGAGAACCATATCGTATAACTTGATCCCTTAGCCATAGAATGAGTAGCTGGTATTGATTAGTACAGGAGAAGGATTCGTGATGCGCATGTGCATCAGATCCCAGCCCTGATCGGTGTGCGTGGCAGAAGAGAGACTCCACCAGATCTTAAGCGGGTAGGGGTCCGCCATGGCATGTTTAGTGACACAATATTCATTATGATTTGCAGCGATCCCTTCCTAATACATTGATATCATTAAGGATAGGATTTAATAGTTTGAGCCATCACACCGCAAATCCTGAATTCAAAAGGGTAAAGACCTCAGGAATATCCCGTAAGGAACCCTTTTCTACCTGGGCAGGCGTTGAAAAATTAGTATATATTACAGGGGTTGCCAGCCCAGATTGATGTCCTTTACTCCTTACAATTCACTCCTCTCCTCATCACCAACCTCTTACTATCATACTCCGAATCATTCGATATGCGTTTCCTACCAATTCTCGCCGTCTCCAGTTCGCTCTTCCTACTCGGATTCTCCCTACCCGCGCCACAACCTACCGACAATCCATCCTGTGAAACCCTGATTTCTCAGATAAAGCCCCTCCAGAATGAGGTCGCAGAATCACTTGCTGCCATCGTTAAAGTTCTCACACCTCAAGAGAGATCTCTGGACAACCCAGCCGCCACGACCGAGTATATCACGAATGCCCGCGATGCGGTTGCGAACCTGGGCCAAAACTTCGTGAGCTCTGAAGGGGAGGAGAGCAGACGCGCCGCCGGTAGTGAATACCGCAAACGCCAACAGGAATCTGATTGCGGTCTTTCAGAAGACGTGGAGCAATTGAAAAAAAATTGTGGACGACACGGTGCAAAAGGCAGGGGGCCACGCAGAACTGAAAGGTCTTGTAGAAAACCTGCAGGATAGCGTTAAGTCTATTGGTAAGCAAATCCTACATATACCTACCTAGAGCGACAGGCTTGCTAACCCCCTCTTAGAGGATCTAGTTGCTGGGAGATCCTAGATAGATCGCAATAATGCACAATGGATCTATCTGTGTTTCTGTCAACAAGCAAGGGCTAACGCGAGGTGTGATGGGAGGGAGTAATTAGATTTTACTGGTAACATAAGAATTTTCAATGGCGAAAGAAGAACTTTATCTTGTATTTAATATGGACGTACGATAGCCAGACTTTCTATCTTACCAGTATTCCCCGTCTCTAAGACAGTTTCCCATAATGAGCGTATAGATTTTGAGCAGCAATGACCGCCTTGATATCTCCTATAGAGCAAAATAGTCTGACGGATTCTACATGCTATATTACCGCCCTATGAACTTTCAGAAAGCGTATCAACTGCGAACCCTTAAGCCAATAATTATTGACTTTACGCTCTTGTAAGCGTGGCAGTGAAACAGCAGAAATCAAGTCAAATAGGCCTGCGCTATCGTTCAACTTGAAAAATTCAACTAATAGCAGCCCTTGCTGGACAATCTTGATGATATTTGTTGGATTATTGTAACCTTTGCCTTATTTCTAAGACCTTTGATTTACTGACTGCAAGCAAAGTTCGCTTCCCTACCACTCATGTTTAATTGTATAGTAGGTCTTTGACTTCTTCTTTTGTTTTTGTTTTTCAAGTCGGGCCGCAATGAGTTTACGATTTCTACAGGCATAAGGAATTCATACTTCACAATTTTTGAATCTTTCTTGGATGGCACGAGCTAAGTTTCACTTGCAAAGGCAGACAGGTATAATATAACAATGAGATACCCAGATAGTCCTTTCGCGAATAAAACTATCAACTCAGACAACTGCATCTGAGTAGTGCGAAGGCAAGGCCTGAGAGGGTGACAGTCATTGGATTTCCCCTCGTAAGGTTGGGCAGATGTCAACCTGGCGCGAACGTTAAATATGGGGAGCTACGCTTAGAGGCCGTTAGAAATGGCCACGAGGATATTATACGACTTCTTCTACAAAGAAAAGCGGACATCAACCGTTGATACCCGCTATAAAGGGCTTCTGACCTCGGCCACGAGGATATTGTGAGGCTTCTTCTGAAGAAAGGAGTTCATGCCAATAGGTCACGCCCATTAAGTGTTGCTTTTTAGCTCAGTAATCAGGCTATGACGAGGCTTTTGATCGACAATAGAGCCAATATAATGGATAAAGCCCCGTTACGAGCCGCTGGTAGAAATGGTCACCACGCGATAATGAAGATTCTCATTTAGAATGGCGCAGATGTCAGTCAAGGAGTATTGTTGGCAGAGGCTTCCAGAAGAGGCTGGAAGACTACCACTCAGGTTCTTCTTGATAACGGAGCTGATGTAAATGCGCAAGGCGAACGTGAGAATACTGCGCTACACTACGCGAGCTTAGAAAACTATAAGGCTATCGTGTAGGTTTTAATTATATATAGAGCTAAAATAAACTATAAAAACTAATCAGGCAAAAAGCATAATTAACCTGCTCCTAGCTGAGTATAGGTTGGAGAAGAAGATATCATATCTGATAAGGGTAAAGCAGGCTAGCAAGATATCTAAAGACGACTCGAAGATACTCGACGGCTTCTACAACAAATCAGTGACAGCGGCTCTACTCAGCTTTTGATGGTACTAAAGGTGAATTAAATGACCGAAAAGGTTTTCCAGATGGTAAACGGGGAGCTTAAAGCGTCTTGGAAACCTTTGAGTGATATGGTTACAAGAGTGTGGTAAGAAGTGTTTAATTCTATCATTCACTTTCGTCTGTCGCTGAGGCTAATCGGAGGTATTATGGACGGTGTTATGACCTAATGAACGTACTATATTATGCTGGAAACAAAAAATTCTTTGGCTCCGATAGACGAAAGGTAGACGTTCTTCCAATCACCTCTTGTGGTAGAGGACGCCCTCGGCCTTAAAATTTCCTGTCCATTCTGAATACGATTTTGAACTTCTCAATGCTCTTATCAGACATCGCTTCCAAGAGGGCCCGGGATCTGATAAGGCCTAAGCAGATGACTACGAACTGTCTAAGACAAAAAAAAAAAACGGTCATTTCATCTGCTGAAAGATTGTTACCTAGGATAACTATCACCGTGGCTGTCATAGTTACCCTAAAGCGCTCGAATCCCACTGGTGAGGTTTACCCTATACCTTAATATGGGTCTGACCAGGTTGTCTCGACGCCTGTTGATAGCAGAAGATGGTGAGCCTAAGATTGTTAAAGCATGGCATTTACGATTAATTTCGTTACTTCTATCTGCAGCTAATGAGATCACCTGATAGTTAGTGGGGCTGACGATAGCTCGTTACTCCTTTCTCTGCCCAAGAACCCCACCATTGTGTAAATGAGATCTTGAACTATGACCTCTATATCGTTCGGCAACGCAAATTCGGGGTTCCAGGTGGGGATCAATCAGGGGCCGATATATTTTTCGGGTGAGTTTCCATGGTCCTTAATTTTGGTCTGGGTCACGTTGACTAACAGCGGCTTCACCCTTTCGAAGACCGCCAGGAACTGCGCCCACAGCCTCTGTCGACCGTCCCGTTTCCTCACGACCCAGACTTTGTCAGTCGCGATGCACTCCTTGACCAAATCCACGAAAAAGCTGCGATCCTGGGATCCAGAATAGTTCTAGTTGGTCTCGGTGGCGTGGGGTGAGGCAACACCGGTCCAAGTCCAAGGGCGGTCCGTTCAAGGCTAACTATACAACAGAAAAACACGACTTGCCATCGAATACTGCCACCGAGTTCAACAGCAATCGACCAACACCTGGGTCTTCTGGGTCCATGCGAGTAACGCGGCCCGCTGCGAGGAAAGTCTGCGCGACCTTGCCGACCGAGCCAAGATTCCCGGGCGCCAGGACCACAACGCTAATATATTCCAACTCGTCGGGAACTGGCTGCAAAACGAAAATATCGGGAAATGGATCCTCGTCCTGGATAATCTAGATAATGACGAGCTACTTCGTAACCCTCTACCGACTGGTACGGGGACTCAAGCAAACGCCCAGGGCTGTGCCTTTACACAACCGCCACTACGGTACCTTCTCAAAAGCTTGAATGGCTCCATCATCATAACAAGTCGGAACAAAGGAGTAGCGTTAGACATCGCTGGCCATAAGAAGAATCTTATCAATGTCCAACCAATGAACATGGAAGAAGCGCTAGTTCTACTTAGGAACAAACTAGGTATACAGACGGAGAGTGCGGATATGATACAGCTAGTAGAGGAACTTGAGTTCATGCCACTCGCGATCGTCCAAGCTTCTAGCTACGTTATCCATCGTTCACCCCGTTTCTCAATCTCACAATACCTAGAAAAAATTCGGAAGAGTGATCGTGAAGCGATCAAGCTTCTTAATTACGAGACAGGTCGCCTAGATCGAGACTGGGAGGCAAAGAACTCTATTATACTCACGTGGCAAATATCTTTCGACCATATCCGACAAATAAGACAGTCTGCGGCAGACTTACTCTCTCTGATGAGCTTTTTCGACCGACAGGGAATCCCCGAGACGCTTCTGCGAGCTTTCAAAATGGAAAGAATCAATAATGCTTTGACTTCTTCAGCAGGGCTTGCGAACGGCTCCAGTGAGGGGGATACGGATAGCTCGTCTGAATCCGACCTCGATCATGATTTTGAGGACGATATCGCAACTCTCAGAGACTATTCATTGATTTCTATTAATGAAGATAGCACTATATTCAATATGCATCGGCTAGTGCAACTAACTGCACGCGGATGGCTCGCCACTCAAGGGCAAATGGAGCGCTGGAAGGAACATTTCATTAGCATGCTATGCCAAGAGTTTCCTAGTGGTGAATATAAAAACTGGGAAAGGTGTCAATCGCTTTTTCCACATGTTAAATCGGCTCTGTCGCAACGACCAGAATCCCAAGAGTCCCTTCGAAAATGGGCTACACTGCTTTATAACGGCGCATGGTATGCGACCGAAAGCGGGAATATTGCAGACGCAAGGGAAATGGCATTAAATTCAAGGAAACAGAGGGTGAAAATAAAGGGTGAAGAAGATGAAGAATCTCTAAGCAGCACCGAGATGTTAGCGATGGCATACTTGCACGAAGGGCGGTGGGAGGAGGCTGAGAAACTCCAAGTGCGGGTGATGGAAACTGTAAAGGTGAAGCTCGGCGAGGATCACCCTGACACGTTAGAGAGCATGAACAACCTGGCGTCAATATTTCATTTCCAGAGCCGGTGGGAGGAGGCCGAGAAGCTCTTTGTGCAGGTGGTAAAGACTCTCAAGGCGAAACTAGGGGAGGACCATCCCTCTACACTCACCAGCATGGATAACCTGGCATCCACATATAGGAGCCAGGGCCGGTGGGGGGAGGCCGAGGAGCTTGGGGTGCAGGTGGTGAAAGCGAATCAGGCGAAGCTCGGGGAGGACCATCCCTCTACGTTGACAAGCATGGACAACCTAGCGTCGACATATTGCAACCAGGGCCGATTGGAGGATACGGAGAAGCTCTTTGTGCAGGTGATGGAAACTCGCAAGATAAAGCTCGGCCAGGACCATCCTGACACACTAATGAGCATAGGCAATCTGGCGTCAACATTTTATTGCCAGTGCCGGTGGGAGGACGCCGAGAAGCTCTTTGTGCAGGTGGTAACGACTCTCAAGGCGAAACTAGGCGAGGACCATCCCACTACGCTGACGAACTTGGATAACCTGGCATCCACATATAGGAACCAGGGCCGGTGGGGGGAGGCCGAGCAGCTCGAGATGCAGGTGACAGAGGCTTTCAAGACGAAGCTCGGCCAGGACCATCCAGACACAGTGATGAGCATGGTCAATCTTGCTCTTACTTGGAAAGCTTCCGGCAAAACTGCGGACGCCAAAAATTTGCTAAAAGATTGCCTAGCCATACAGAAACGCACCATTGGACTTAATCATCCTCATACTGTGTCAAATTCCGAAACGTTGCTGAGATGGGAAGCCGAAGTGCTGAATATTGATGCATAACCTGTGAAATTAATTCTTCATTATCTAACAGACATCTATTTCTGAACATTTTGCTGCTGAATCTATTATCTAGATACAATCATTTCCACTTCTGCAACAAACCGATAGCTTTCGACGGACGACTACACAAGTACATGAAACCAACGTCGTAGCAGAATCTCATCGAACCCAGTTTAGGTCGGCCCCTCTAGGAAACTCGTTGATGAACGTCATTTATTTCATAATACCAGTATTTTACGTCCAATATCCTGTGGGCTTTGTAAGTACCTTACCACGCGATTTCTCGAAATTAGGGATTACTCTTGACGTAAAAGTATTAGGACTAGCACATTTTGATAGAGTTCCCGAAAAAAAAACCATTTGTTTAATGCGTGAAAGCCAATTTCGAATCCGAGTGTAGTATCTTCGCCTGCCAGTATCCCGGGATACAGTGACTAACAAAAAACAACTATCAGAACCACGACAAGAAACAGGATCTTCCACCAAATACAGAGTAATACTAATTGAAAAGACACAACACGAACCAACCGAACTTTCACATTCTTTAAACGTGAAACGGGTATTTCGCAGACACGAAGCTCTTACGTACGACAGCCAATCAAATCTTCTCTATTGTTATACCTAAATGTCGGAAATAGCCTTCGGCATTGTCCTATTTTACACTAACTTCATATACGCACCGCCGAAGGAAGCTATGAAACCCTTGACTAGGATTCTCTTAGTATACTGACCAAGCTTGAAAAATGTGTTTTCCATAGTAAGCAAGGATTTTGGCTCCGAATACCTCCCAAGGTGCCGCAGAAGCCGCTTAATAACCGATTCGAAGAACGTGGCATCAGTTGAACCTTTGAAAGTATGGAATAAAATGATGCCGTCTTCAGCATATACAGGCAAAATCTGACTCTGGTCCTAGACGACAGCTCCATTACAGGATGAGGATGAAAACGAGCTAGGCGTTGGATCGAGCGGTATCTCCAGTAAAACAACAGAGACAGTGGGTCAGGCTGACAGCGAAGACGCAGCAGTCGGTGAAAGCCCGGGTGTAAGAAAGTGGGCGGCGATGAGCGTACGATAGAGGGGTGGCGGAGAGGGAAAAGAAGGAGAGGAGAGCATGAGAGGGTAGGTCGGGGTCTTTTATGTTGACGCGACAGCGGGGGAGATAACAGGACGGTGCATTGGGGCGCTAGGCCGGGAACGACAAAACTAACCGTATCCCGTAATTCACAGGTCCGGGTATTACAAATGCCATTGGTATGATATTTACATCGAGTAATCCAAAAAGCACGCGAATGGAAAATAAGAGCCCTCCTTGGGGGGGGGGGGCATGATAGATTACTAGGACTAAATCCCCATGAAAGTAAATGACAGGATAAAAAGAACAAGTCGGGAGCCATGGAGGAAACGCATAAATGACACACAGAGCCACAACACCCATCCCCAAGCCGGCGAGTCTACCTTTGGGCTTGGATGACCAAGAGCCAAATATCACTGGTGAAAAACTCACAACAATGGTATCCAAGGCGGACAGCACCAGGACAGGGACCGGCAAATTGGGCTCATTCCCACGCCCCACGAGATTTGAAAGTCTTCATGCAAAGCTTCACACAGGATTCCACATGCCCATCCCCAAAGCCCAGGTATTCCAGCCGCCCATGCTGGCGCCGAGATTCCATACATTCTGCCAGAGGTTGGAGAGACTCAAGGAGATACTAGACATGCGATATTCGAGACGATCCATCCTCGACGACATGCGAGTCTCAAAACAGGCCACCTGAGTGCTGATAAGTTCATGAAGCTCTAGCTGAAAGTGACGTTCGAGAAGTTCCGGATTCTCGGAGAGAGATGGAGGTGCTACCATCCGGAAATTCATGGGGGTCGGTGGAATCCGTGAGTAAGAAGCAGGGAGTTTAGGACGGGCGCGGGTAGGTACAGGTCCGGATTGACGGTCAGATTTCAACAGCTCGATACGAGAATTGATTTGCGTCATGATCATCGCGTGCATCTGACGGAATTCCAGTCCCACTGCTTTCTCGACTTCGGCTTGGAGAAAAGCCTTGATCTCGTCGGCCCAACTGTTGTCATTTGTCACAGGATCGGGAGATTTTGGACGTGAAGTTGGATCACCAGTGACTGGCGCTGGAAGTTCCTTTGCTGCTTCCTCAGAGGCGGTAGGGGCTTCAAAATGGGCACGTGTAGAGGCAGGGTCAGACTGAGGGCCGGATTCGAGCAGGTCGATGCGGGAGTTGAGAAGATGGATTTGGCCACGCACTTCGTGCAGTTCTTTCTGGATCGCTTCGTGAATTCCTTCCTTTACTAGGGGCGAAGGAAGTTCTTGATCATCGGCTTCGAGATAGGTGGTAGGGTCAATCTGATAGGTAGAAGCATGGCCCGGTTGAAAGTCGGATCCAGCAGGATGCCCATACTTTTCAAGAGATTCACGGCGGGACTCCAGCTCCGAGATTTGGGAACTCATGGCTGCCATTGAGTGTAGCTTTTCCTGCATGGCGTCAAGGATTTGATTCTTCACCAATGACGAGGAACGCTCTTCCAATTCTCCCGAAGAGGCATCTATGGCCGTGTTTGTCACGATGACAGTGCCAGTCAAATTCCTAGGACTATGGCGGGAGATTGGAACAGTAAGTAGAGGCTGCGCTTGAGGGCCATGAAAACCCCCAGCTTTGTTGCCTGATGTGAGAGACTCCAGAACATAACTGTTCAAAGTATCGCCCTGTCGCCCGGTCGTTAGACCTCCATCGAGTTGGGATTCAATCGACCCGACGTCGGTTTCCAGCCCTGAAATTTGGGAATTGATGGGGGGTGCTGGAAGTGTTTTCGATATTCCAGGAGAAGTAGCAGAGGGCCCGAGAGGAACGGGGCAAGATCCGGAGCTGTAGATCACGGCTTCCAAGGCATCCATACAGGCTGGCTGCGAGGTTGGCAATGTGATGCTCAACAACGGCGAGTAATCGACCGTGCAGTGCAGACCCCAAATCTCGGCCCGTTCATGGGTCTCGCCACTGGTGATTCGGTCAAAGTCATAGTCAAAGGTATGGGCACTGGAATCGGGTTCACAAGTCTCCTTCTGGTCCACGCACTTGACTGAATCGAAGTCATGTTCAATGGCATGCTGAATGAAATCCGCCTTGGGCTCGCCAAACGGACCGTAGCTTTGAATGATGTTCTGGCAAATGGGGGTCTGAAATGGGATATCCTCACCAGGTTGAACACTTGAACCTAGAGATATTTCGTCACTTTTGGGAGATTCGATGCGACTTCGGGTGAACTGGTCTCGCGATGTATCAGGATCATCTGCCTGCTCGGAATAATCGGTGCAGTCATTGGCATACTCGAGCAGATCTTCATGGTAATTGAGACGATTCTTAATCACCTCTAGACGTTCTTCCTGGCTGTCGAAGAGCTTCGACATGGTATTGGTGACCATACTCTGGAGTGCCAGGCTGACCAAATCATTGCCAGCTTTCTCGCTCTCGTTTGAGCTGGCGGGGAAATTGCCACCAGTAGCCATGAAGCTAATGCTAGTATTTGAAATGTCTGCGGCCAAATTTTTGAATCTTCCAGCCAGCTCAACCTCGACAATATTTCGAACTTCCAGGTTAAATATCCCTCCCAGCTGTGTCCCAACCTCCTTTCTAATTTCGCGTCCGATCCGCTCCGAGTCTTCGATTTGGGTCGCCGCGCCTGTCCCATTCAATAAATCCGTTAGTTCATAGTTTTCGTAGCAGGGTTCAAGTTTCTTACCAACAACAGGAATTTCTCTGCTCCCTTCCGAAACCGGTACCTTGACCACGGGGACCATCTTGCCACCACAATCAGGAGTATTTTGCTCAAAAGATGCCTCGCGCGGAAAAATATCTTTCATGCCCGCATCCTTCTGGTCTTGGAGATGACTGGAAGCTGCATCCTTCTCGAGTTTAACAACTTCTCTCAGCTTGCCAGCGAGTCTGTCAGCCATGTCCACTTCGCGCTTGGTAGCACCATTCACGATGAAAGGATACTTATGTTCTTTCTCACATATCAGCACATGGCCTTTGGGTGAGGATTCAAGTTTCGTACCTTGTTTCTCGGATTTGGATTTAAATGGAGGATCACGATGGCCGACCTGAGGATTAACATCAGAGTGGCGCCGATCCATGCGACGGTAGACCCCGGAGATGGCGTTTTCGATGGGGGGATTACTATGGTTAGCCACATGGTTCCTCACTGTCTCCCCGGAGGCAGAATTGCGGTCCCCATGGACAGGGGAAGCTCCCGCTCGACTCGACATGCTTTCCATTAAGCTCATCCGGCGGTAGAGGTCCACGTTTTCTGCTTGGAGGGCTAGGACGTGCTCCTCGAGGACACGAATGCGTGCCTCGCTAGTCTTATCAGCCTCGCCGAACAGAGTTGGAACCTGTTGTTGGATGTTTGGATGAGCATTTCCAATCGGTGTGACGAAAGGGCTACCCTGCATCCGCTGAGAGCTGCCAGGTAAATCGATTTCTGGATTGATAGTTCCCGCTCCAGCATTCGAATAGGCGTCACTCGAGAACTTCAAATCAGTTAGCTTGATGTGATTGTAGATATGGAGGGGTGACCAGTGGACAGATCTCACTCACCGATGCCAGCGGCGGTTCGAACGAAGGGGTGGAAGATACCTTCTTAGCCAGGTCGAAAAGCTCCGACGTTGCCGCATTTTGACATAAGGTTCCTTCCAGTAAGCTTCCCGAAGCGATCCTGCATTCACCATGTCCCTGTTCCTCCGAAAAAGAATAACCTTCGGTCATTATCTTGGTAAGCGGAGGCCGTGCGGGTTTGTCGATCTGGTGTAGTCCCAGGCCTACAAATCGCCGATCCCAGAACTGTGATGGAAGTGAAAGAACTTGCTCCCAGAGGTTGTCAGATTAGTACTGGGTTATGCGTTGAGCATATGAATATCACTGGGAATTCCAGAGGTAGCTCTTCAACTTTCTGACAAGCAGCGAGGCTGGGAACCTGTTGCTCGATAACAGTGAGTCGAGATCCTAGTGCAGTGATGGCGAGAGGGATGAAAGTTGGAAGTTGGGCAACCACTTTCGAGATCCGAGAAAGCGTAATGGTAACAGGAAATGCGTCGCCAGATGTTGCCAGCAATGAACTGCGTTTGGATTGCAAGTCTACCCACTTCGGCGAAGTAAAATTGAGGTGGTGAGAGATGGGGGAAGAGAAGGAGAAGGTGAAGGAGGAAGCATTCACTGGAAAGCAAAGAGGCAGAGCCACGTGCCGTCGTAGTTGCCCGAATTGAATTCCCCATTGGGACGAGGGTCGTGCCTTCCTCGATTGGCAGTGAATTACAGTATGGCCAGCGTGGGATGACTAATATCTATATCTATAGTTATCTATATCTACTGCCCCAGGGTGCCTATGTCTACTGCCGATATCTACTGTCTATATCTACAAATACCGGAGTACACATCTACATTGATCTACCTCAATTAGGCAAGCAGATGAGAAAAAGCCCTATTTATGGGCTACTATGTATTACCGGGGCGAACCCCCTCGGACATAGCCCGCAAAACAGAGAAAGGTTAGAGAAGAAGTTCACATCGAAGAAAAATGGAAACACAGCAAAGCAAGAAAAAAAAAACGGCAGCAAACACCGCAGCCTCGCAGGTGCAGATGCAACATATTACCACCCCTATGAAGGTCGAAGCCCCTTATTCAGCCCCTTCGGGGGCTCTCCACGCATCTGTAAAGTAGCCCCCGATCTGTTGGGCGATATTCGACACCCACGCAGCCAGGTTGGCAAGGTTATACTCGACAATGGCGACTCGCGTCCCCCTGCTGCTGAAATAGCGATGCAACAGCAGCGTCACGCCGGTCCATGCGCTGGCCGATGTGGGCGGCCAGGGGGAGTTGCGGTCTCCATGGGCGGGGAAAGGACCAGACCGGCTGAGCATGCTCTCCATGACATTCATCCAACATCTATATTTATTTATCTTGATTAGGCGCGCAGATTAGAAAAAGCCCTACTGACGGGCAATCATGAATTACCGGGGCAAAGCCCCGCGGGCTTAGCCCGCGAAATGTACAATAATGAGGAAAACAGGTAATCAACCACAGAAGAGAGACAAATAATAAAGAACAGAACCTTGAAAGAAGGTTACCGTACACGTCGCCCGCGGAGACACGGATGCTGCATATTCATATGGATACCAACAGCACAAGGATAAGGTCTTCATTCAACGCCGCCGGTAGTTCGCCAGACATCGGCGAAGTATCCTCCAGCCTGCTGGATCAGGTTTGACACGCTGCCAGCCAATTTGGTAATCCTGTATTCTGCAACGCCGATTCGTGTCCCTTGGTGCTGAAGTTGGAATGCAATGTGGGCATCCCGCCTATCTAGGTGACGATATATGCCGGTGATCGCACTGTCGATGCGTTGGGTGAGGTGGCCAGCCAGGCTGTTTCGAATTGCCTGTTCGGAGGCAGTATCCCGCTCCCTATGCACGGGAGAGGGACCAGGTCGGCCGGCCATGTCTTCTATCAAGCTCACCCGTCTGTGGAGGTTGGCGATGGTTCGCTTCATAGCCCGAATCTCCGCCTGCTCCCATGTTTCCCTCTTTCTCATGCTCTTCCAAGCATCGAAGTCGTGGTCAATCCTGTGGCGTGGAGGTCGGGCTGGGGGAATAAACGGGTCTGCTCCATCCAAGGAATTAGCCGTATATCCTATAGCTTTCGAATTGGGACTCGGATTGCTTACCCTCAGGTAGAAACACCTTCCCTCCCAAGAAGGACTCGACTTCTTCGTCGCCATGGTCATTGTTGGCGGGCTTGAAGCCTAGTTAGCTTGATACAGTCCTGACTCGGCAGATCGTTAATACTCACGACCACTCGTTCCATACGACCGGGGGCAGGCTTGGCCCTCGGTCTGCCGCGGCCTGCGCCTGCGGCTCCTGCTAGCTGGAGAGATTCGTGGCCGTCGGCCATTTTCGGACTCTTGTTGTAGCAAACACGTCAAGATCTGTCTTTTGGAATGCGTAGCTGATGTGGTTCTTCTAGAGTTGAAGGTGTGGTTAAGAAAGAAGAAAACCGAGCAAGAGGTATTCACTGAGAAATATCCAACTCCCACCAGGAGGGACCTGCCCCAGGACCATCCCTCGAACCATCAGTATAGTACACTACAGTCTGGTATATCATATAAGTCTTATTTGGGGCCGCTCAAGGTTCGTTTGCCGCATCATGCTCAATATATAATTCCGGAGATCATGATCTAACACTTCGCAAGTGCGTTTCACAGGGTTATTGGATAGAAATACCCATCAGACTTCAATAACTTTTGAGAGCTGCTTGGTGGTTGCTTACTACTAGTAGCTATCCAGTTACACACGTAGTAGGCCTGCGATAGGAAGAAGCGCCTGGGCGCCTTTTCGGCTATTTTGTACTAGACACAGGTGGGCGTTTAATATCTCGCGGGAGTCCTACCGCAGTTCGTTCCAGAAACAACTTCGCCCATCCACATGGGCAGATGCTTGGTAAGTGGAGATAATCGTACGATTTGGGCAGCTTTTATCGCTCCACTAATATAAATTTCATTTCATAGAAGGGAGTACTAGTAGTTGTATAGATCGCCAGTGTCGAAGCATGGAAATGAAGGTACATGAAAAGGTGTTGGACGCCACTATTAGTAGTGACAATTGATAAAAGAGAGACAGACAAAGACAACCAAATAAAGTGAAACAAGAAATATTTAGTAGACACCTGGGCATGAAAGGAGCCAGAATCTGAATGTTGGAGATTGCGTGCCGTAATATACTACCTGAAGGAGATTGTCTCATTCAACGAACTGGAATAGATGTCATCCCGATTATCTAGTACGTGTATTAGTTTCATCTGATTATTACCACACGTTATTTGGCCGTCACTTCACGTAGTTTGAGCTTCACCACCGTTATCAGAGCAACCTCACCTATAAGCTTTCAAAGCTTCTATTCCTGGAAGAAAGCATATGTCGTTGGCTCCCAAATACCAGCAGGGTACGCTTTAATCTCTCATGCTATCATGAAAAGTAGCCTTCTGATAATGTTTGTGCGATTCAAGTGTGTCAATACCAGTAGTTCCTAAAGGAAGCGTTCTTCCACTAATCATTTGTGAGCTCCCTTATTCTATCCTGATCCCTCCCCAATGAATATCTAGTTTCATTAATTGGCAACATGCACAGAGATGGCAAGTAATCGCAACGACCGCGCCACCATGAATTGGTTGGCTTGATAGCCATACAGACTAAACTAGTGTATGGATAGTATGATCAACTGACAGAGAGAAAGGGAGGAGCCACAAATAGCATTTAACAACCATGTCGGGGAGCCTGTCTTTAATGGGCACAGCAGCCTCGCCAGAAGAGGCTCGACATACGTCCCCTTAGGCGCCAGAGGCTTTAGGAATATCTTCAAGGGAAAATCTATATGAGTTCGTCTTAATTAAGCACACAGATAGTAAAGAGTGCCTACAAAGGAGACCATGAGTTTCTGGGGCTAACCCCCCGGGAATAGCCCGCAATTGCATTGAGAATTAAGAAAGAAAAGGTAGAAACAGAAAAGGGAAAAAAAGAGGAAAAGAAAAAGGAAAAGAAAGGAGGGAAAGAAGAAGGGAAAAAGGAGAACCGCAGTCCGAGAGATACAGAGGGAACGTAACTACTCTCCGCACTGCATCAAGGCATTTAGGCCGAATTGAAAGAAGGACTCCAGACGTTCGCCATGTAATTGCCGACCTGCCAAACAACATTCGACAGAGTGGCAGCGAGGCTGGGAACTTGTTGCTCGATGACAGTCAGTCGGGATCCCTGTTCTTGCAGCTGATATTGCATCTGCTCGACCTGGCATTGGAGGCCGACGCAGCAGTACTCAAGAACTCGGATCCGCTCCTGAGCCTCTGCTAGGGTCTCGTCTGGACTGAATGGCCCGTGAGTCAGAACGGTATCCTGGCGGATGGGAGTGACAAAAGGGCTACCCAGCATGCGCTGGGCGCCGCCGACAGGAGTTGCCGGGCCTGTTTGATCTGAAAGATTAGTATATGATTTGCGTATTAGGCTATGCGTTGCTTACTGTCAACAGGACTTGCCCCATCCCTGGTAGTAGAGTCGATTTCGTCTTCGAGGCCATAAGTTTGCACGCTCTTGAGGCCTAGTTAGCTTGATATAGATTTTTGGGAGGGAAGGTATGAGTCCACTGACCGACCGCATTTGCGGAGGAGCAGAAACCACGCGCCTGCCGGGGAGATTGGCAGCTCTCTCCTTCAAAGCAACACCACACTCAGACATATTGGTTGTTGTAAGGCGAATGAAAATTCCTTGCGTTCATGACATCAATTGGGGTTTTTGGATGTTGAGTTGGTGTGGTAGTGAAAGGAAAAGAGGAGAAGAGGGCAAGGGACATTCACTTGGGATGAGTCCTCTTGTCCAGATAGGCAGTACCTTCCCACGAGAGTGTTCCTTGAAACATACACTTATTACAGTGTATTATACTATATAGAAGTATTTCTTGGTACACTAGGGTTGTGGTATGGCCCTTCGCCATTCTTGGATTCTGGTCCTGACACAGGAATGAAGATTTGAAAATCAAAAATCTTTATTCATAGTTCTCGTATTATCAAGTTTACTACCAATTGTTTTAGAATTAGGGTTTACGTTACTTACCACCGACAGGTCTTTCCCCATCTCCGTGAATGGAATCCACTTGCTTGTCGGGTATAAGGGTCTCCGAGCTCTTGAACTATGGTTAACTTGATGTAGATTCTCACGAAGAATGAGTTCACTAACCGACTCCATTTGAGGAGCAGCTGAAACAGCGCGCCGGCCGGGCAGAGCTGTGGCTCCCTTGTTTAAAGAAACGCTACGCTCGGACGTTAGAAGGTGATTGAGAATGTCTTGTGTTCAGGATAACTATTGGGGGATTCGAATGTCGATCTGGTATGGTAGAGAAAGGAAAAGAAGAGGGCAAGAGACATTCACTGGAGATGAGTCCTCCTGCCCACATGGGCAGTACTTTCCCCCGGACAGTGGTCCTTAGAAATTTCACCTGGTGCAACATCTTGGACTATATTATGGTATATAAAAGTGTTTCTTGTTGCTCTAGGGATTGGGTATGGCCCTGGGCCATTCTTGGATTCTGGTCTTGACACAGGAATAAAGAGTCGAATTTTCAAACGAATTAATCGATAAGGTGATTCAAGTGTCGATGGCCCCAAGGGTGATTGGCAGAATAGGACAGCGTGAAGGAAGAAAGAGCTATTCAATAGAGATATTCAAGTCCCACCTGGACGGTGCCTGGCGTCTGAACCAGGCACTAGCCTATCCCCTCGAAATATCGCAATGATATCCATGGATACTCTGGCTCCGTATAGGCAGCAATAAATTATTATATTTTTAGTGTGTTCTCAGCTGACCGGCTAATTTCGTGCGCTTGATTATATTAAACATACTATTCAAGTTTGCAAGTGGGCTTTGCTTGCAAGATCAATTACAAAGTACCGAGCTTGTAGACGAATGATGTTGCACAATAAGGAAAGAAGCAGGGAACAGAAAAAAAAGAATTTAAAGGCTACTTATGGCAGCAGGTAACTAGTAGATAACAAAGGGAATCACAGCTTTCGCGAAATATGCAGGTTTGCTCGATATTCCCTTTTCGATTATTAGATGAGAGTGTATTCTAATACATAATGTAAGATGGGAATGCTCGTAGGCTGTCTGCGTTGGCAGACGGGTCGATCGCGAAGAGACAACACCACCACACTCGCAGAGTGCAAGGAGACGATAGGCAAACGTGACGCTATAGAGAATCAACAGAACGAGCAGTAACAGAACCTTTCATACGCAGTATATCGATACCGCAACCTCAGCAGCCTCAGTAGAACATTTTCATAAGGGGGAACATGCATGTTGAATTGATAATCTAGAACGAACGCTACTTATTCTCCTGAAACAAAGCAGAAGCCTTGTTACTAAGGCTTCTGTCACCTGATGTTGAGAGCGGAAATCCCCATTACAATAAGTATCAATGCCAGGTGCCACTTTCAAGTTGTATGAGCTAGTACTACTACAATGAGGAGAAGCGGTCAATAACTACTATACGAGGCAGGTATTTTCGATTGGCCATGTTTAGCATACTGGGCCAGGCTTCCGGCCATTCGTATTGCTGGCAGATAGTATATTCACGAAAGATAGGAATAGCTTGAATCTACACATCATACTAGTACTCTCGCACTCTTGTTCTTCCAATACATTACTCAAAAAATCTAGACTTTGCTTGTTGGAGTTTTGACCCTATTCCATTCTATTCCACCAGCATATCCAGATCGTAGTACTTCGTGCATCCCTCCACGCCATATTGATGAATGATTGAGTTCTTTCCAAACCATCCTACGATAGGACGTTTCACAGTATACTTCTGCAAGCTTGCACCATTTACAATACCAATATTTGACAACATCTTGCACCCAGTTGACCAAACCATTACCGGCCTCAGACACCCAATGTTGACTCCTTAACGAGGCCACCCTAATATCGCTTCAGTTGCCATTCGCCTTCACTGCAAAATTATTTCAATTTCAGTTTCGTTGGTCTTTTGGCGTCTGACTAGGGACAGTCGATTCTTCGAAAGGGGCAGATAAGACCATCCTACTTGCAGATATTATATAATCCGACGCCTTCGCTTCTTCTTCTATCCCTTGATCCTCATCTCCATACTTCAGGGCTACTATCACCCGATGGCTGGTCGTATTTTACAGGCAGCTGCCCGCTACATTGCGTAAGCATTCTCAAAGCTCCAAGGAAATATCTATGTCAATCGATCTAGGGTAGGAACTGAATTGAAAAAAGGCCCTACTGGTGGGAATAATCAATCACTGGGGCTCAGCCCCTTGGAAAAAGTACAACAAACAAGTAAAGACACCCTAGAAATACAGAGAAACTTTCAAAGGGAAGGAAACCGCAGAAGCACGCAAGAGGGTCGGAAATGAAACCAGGGTGAGGCACATTTGAGGACCTCATGCGCTGCCTGGTTGATTCCACATCTTATTTACGAAATCCACAACATAGGCGGTCATATTTGCGAGCCCTTGGCCGATATGCGTGCGGCCCGTCCCGCCGGAATGCATTCCGGGGGCCCAGCCATGAGTGGCCCAACAGATCGTTTAGTTTGCAAGTTTTGTTTGAATTCGATGCGTTGTGAAGATCGGGCTTGATGAATCGCGGATCTGGTGATGTTAAGAGAGGAAGAAGGCTCGGAGTAAGCAAAATATACTATCCACGTAGGAAAGCATCGGGCTTGGGTCGTGCTTTCCTTAGCCCCCGTAAACATGAATTGCCTCGCCGCGTAGGAAGGCAGTAGTAATATACAGATTTAGAGGATCTCATCTTGCAATTCTAGTTAGACTTCTTTTCGTAGCATTCGATTTCCATCACGGACATTCACCAAGTTTTCAAGCTCTTTTTTGAAAAGGCTGAAGGTACTATAAATAACGATATAGAGCAATTATTGTTAGACTTCATGGCAAAGGTAGGATCTAAATATGAAAGGTGTGATTACCTTCAAATATATACAATTTAACTCACAGCGGCCAAGCTGCCACTTACCTAGGTAGCAAACAATGAGTTTCATTGGCTACGAACAATTAGTAGCTTATTGTCCGGAGGGCCATTGCTTATTCCATATATTACTATATTGGCGAGTGTCATTAAGTATACAATTATTCTATTTTCTCTACAGCAAGGATACAAATGGAAAAAAGCCCTACTGGTGGGGATCATGGATTAATTGTCAGTCGAGCCTATAGACACACTGAGAAGGAGAAGCAGAAGCAGAAGGATAGGCATAAGCACAGGCATAAGCACAGGCATAAGCACATGTAGACGAAGAGACCGAGGCAGAGACCTAGGCAGAGAAAGAGACAGAGACAGAGGCAGAGGCAGAGGTAGAGATAGAGAGGGAGAGAAAGAGAGGGAGAGAAAGAGAAGAGGAGAGATAAGGGGGAGAGAGAGAGAAGGTAGGGAAGAGAGGAGAGAGTACATAAGAGAGAGGGGAGAAGGAGGAGGTGAAGAAGAGAGGAGAAAGGCTCTAAAAGCTGAAATAAAAAGAGCCCAACAAGAGAAAATCTCGTTGAAGACACAGGCGGCCCTTTCTCCACGTCCCTTAACTCTGACAGCGTTTACGCCGTCTGTGCAATTGAATGCACGACGCTGCGGGCGAAGTTGGCGACATATCGCGCAAGGTTATTCAGCCCCTGTCCGATAACGGCGACGTGAAACGCCAGTTGGCTGATCTGAGCATAGACAAGACCGTCTCGGCGCTCCATCCGTACAAAGATCCTGTTTTGTAGACGATCAATACGGTTGTTTACGTACGCCAGAATCGATCTCTTAATAGCCTCATCGGAGGTACTGGTTCGGCCACAAGTAACTGGAGAAGAGCCACAGGTATTTGTTACCTCCTCCTGTATAGAAAGGCGCCGCTGTAGGGTCTGGTTCTCCTCTATAAGGGCCAGTACGTGGGCCTCGAGGATCCGAATTCGGGCCTCGTTCGTTTTCTCTCCCTTGCCAAATAAAGTTGGAACCCTTCGCTGACGATTTGGGTGGGGATTGTCCGTAGGAGTGACGAAAGGGTCACCAGCCCTGTTGGCTGGGCGTGCTTCTTGAGTTATGTTCCTTTAAAGTTCGATATTGGGCTTCGACTTACTTACTGCAAGCAGGCTTTGTGGTTTTGTCACCACCGTGGAACCCCGCAATGTCCTTCGGATAATTCTTCCTCTCATTCTTTATGTCTTGTTAGCTCGATCTAAATTCTCGGCCAATACATGCCACTCACCATTCCGAGTCGGGGCGGTGCAGACACGCTGCGGAGACAGGCACCAAGCCCAACCTGGAAGGCAGGAAGGTTTGCTGGGGGCTCTTCCATAGCTTAGAGGTGGCAGGAATGCGGTGCTTTGGTCGGGCTGTTGTAAATGTCGTCCATGAGATACTTCACTTCTTTGGTTGTTCAGAGAAAACGTGAATCTAGTAGCGCTGAGAGAGAAAAATAACGACACATTCACTTGGACATACAGGAAAGCCTTAATCCGGGTCGTGCCTTCCTTCCTTAGCCCCCGTGAACATTAATTCCCTCACAGCGTCAGATAGTACTGATAGTATATATCTTATCTGGCAACTCTAGGTAGACTTCTTATCATAGTATTCGATTTCTATCACGGAAAGTCACTAAGTTGTCAAACTCCTTTTTTGAAAAAGCTGAAGTTACTATTTATACTGATATAGCAGGTATTGTTAGACTTCAAGTTTAAAGATAACAGTGGCGATCATATAAGAAGAGATAGTGGTGTAATTTGATCAAGGAGGAAAAGAAGACATAGAAAAGATAGGATCTAAGTATGAAATACGTGATTGCCTTCAAAGATATACAATTTAACAAACGGCGGTGAAGCTGCAACTTAGCAAATAATGAGTTTCATTGGCTACAGACCATTAGTAGCTTGTTGTCTGGAGCGCCATTGACTATTCCATGTACTACGTACTAATTGGCGAGTGGCATTAAGTATACGATTATCCTAGTTTCTCTACAGTCAGGACACAAATGGAAAAAGCCCTGATCATTGGGATCATGACTTACTGCTCAAGCCTATAGACAGAAACAGAGGCAGCTCCAGAAGCAGAAACAGAAGAAGAGAGAGGAAGAGGCAGCGCCTGCACACAGAGAGAGACAGAAAATGAGACAGGGCCACACACACATACACATACACACAGGGGGAGAGAGAGTCAGCTGCAGCATTCATGCAGTGTCTGTAACGGAACGCTGAACGTCCCGCACCAAGTTGGCTACGTACTGGCTGAGATTGTCCAGCCCTTGCACAATATTGCGAACGTAGAATGCAAGCTGGCCGATCTGGGCATTCACGTAATAATCTCGTCGATCCATCCGTGCACAGAAACTCTGTTGTACGTGATCAAGACGATTATTGACGTAGGCCATGATTGACCTCTTGACTGCCTCATCGGAGTTGCTGGTAGAGCTGCGAGGAACTGGGGAAGTGCAAGAGGTATTGGTCGTCTGCTCCTGTGCACGGAGGTGTCGTTGAACGGTCCGGTTCTCTTCGATGAGATCCAGGACGTGCGCCTCGAGAATCCGAATCCGGGCCTCATTTGTCGTCTCCCCCTTCCAAAGAGAGTCGGGGCCTTTCGTTTGCAGTTTGGGTGGAGATTCCCAGTTGGAGTAGTCAGGAAAGGGTCGGGAACCAAGTTGGCTGAGCCTGTGGTTCCGCCTATGCCCCGAAAACCCGCATCTTCCTTCGGAGTATAAGTCTTGACGCCTTGTTAGCTCGATATAAATTCTCTGTTGGTAAATTCCACTCACCGGGTTTTCCAGGCGCGGCGGGGCAGACATCCCCCGGGGCCGGACGCCAACTCCCGCTTGGGCGGCCGGATCGTTCTCTAGTGGCTTATCCATAGTAAGTTGACACGCAGAAAGAAATGGGTTTGGGTCCTAGTCGGGAATTTTGATCAACATCGTCAGTAGAATACTTCGATTGTTTGCATAAAAGGTGAATCCAGTAGTGCCGCGAGAGAGAAATAAAACACATTCACGTAGGGAAACCTCGCTCTGGGGCGTGCCTTCCTTCCCTAGGCCCTTGAACATTTGTTACCTCGTAGCATATAATTCTGCTATGTAAAAATATAGCATTCCATAAAGAATAAACCCGTTGCGTGATAATTATGTATGCACGGGTACTTCCTCATTGTTCTTGCTCTCCAAGGTGTGTATAACAGTAGAATCCATGAATATTGCGTCATGTTTCAAAAAGCACTTCTGCCGGTTGCATGGAATAAAAGAAAGATTTCAGTATAACTGATATCACCTATCGGCATGCTTTGAAGTAAAACTCCCTATTCGTGGGGTTGTCATGAATTGTTGGAGGTCATGATCAACCCCAGGCCATGCGCACAAAACACAAAAACAGATCGTTACTAGTAGGGTTGAAAGTGGCGAGGAAAACACTGGGGAAAATAGAAAAAATAACAATAACAGAAGAAACCAAAGGAAGTTTTCTAGCGCACCCTTGAACATTTCAGGGCATAACGGGGCATCGACCATAGTAGGTAGGATAGCTCCGACGATTGATCCGCTGATTGATCTGCCGATTATTCTGATTGTGTCGAAATCGTCCTCTTGGAACTCATGGTCGTCAGGGCAAACCCAGGAAATATGTGGTATTGTTGGCGCTGTCACTGCTACACATTCTGATTCTTCCTAGCCTGGGAGGTTAACGATCTATCCGAAAGCCATACAGGATCCAAGTTTCGGTTCTGCAGATCAATTCGAGACCACGCCCCACAGAACTCAGCCCCAAGCCAGAACTCCGGCAGGTCTCCAAAGGCCGATAATTGACGACGGCGAATACGAGCAGGTAGAGGGAATATTCGGAGGATATTGGCATGCCGCGAGAGAGGAGGGAACCGACTGAGGGATAAGTTCTGGCTTCTAGGGCATCCATTCTGCGTTGCTGAATGGCAACGGTACAAAATGAAAGCGACGCTTTTGGCTTCCGCATCTCTTTCGTTGACCTCTCGTGGCGAAAGCCCAAAGGGAGGGTCATGATGCTGATCGGCGGGAGTCTGGAAAGGACCGAGCAGTATGTGCTGAGCCGGGCTAGGGGCATTCGCAGGACCTGTTATCGTCAATCAATTAGTATACACCTTTCGTGTATACAGTAGGGTAGAGATCTCATACCGCCAACAGGTCCGGGAATTAGAGAATTGGCGCCGTACCGGAGGTTGATTTCACCATTATCTTCATCCTCTACCAGGCCCTTTATGCGTATTTAGCTTCATATCAATTTCACGGTTGGAGCTATGAGGCGCCAGATCCCAAAACTCCACTCACAGATCGAATTCTGGCTGGAGGAGGCATGTTCCCAGCTCCTTCAGAGGCGGCGCTGACTTGCGGTGGATCTCCAGTATCCATAGTCCGCGTTGGGTTCTGCGAGCTTTGGTCGTGCAGATCGAATAATTCGTAGTGAGAAAGTGATAGGTTAACAAGCCTGGGAGAACGAGAGAAAGAGGTTGGAGCAGCCATTCACTGGAAGGTGGCAGCCACCAGCAGGAGCCGCACATTCCACGATGCTCGTACCATCCCTTCAGTTACTAGTGTCAGTACGTAGTACCAGTATTGTAAACGATATAGTCGTGCATGATTATACCTTGCGCCTCCGGTTCATAGCATGGAATTTCGCGCCGCATGGCAGCTATATACCTAGTTAATCTACCCTGTCGATGCTACTTACCTCCAGTCCCTTGGAGTCTGTCGACTATATCTCAACTTCAGGTCCGAGTCCCAGGCGGAAAGAAATTTGTGCTTTCGTCATATTGAGTCTATACAGCTCTATCGTGGGGACGTGCTGGAAAGGTTCCGATGCTCCGCGGTTTTAAAAATTATTCTGTTTCAAAGCCAAAGTTGCTGCAGCTGTAGTGGATCGTGGGAATGTGAAGATAGAGATACGTGAAATTTTGGTGGTGAATTTAAAAAGAGGACAAGCCAAAGCTAGTCCGAACCAAACATAAAGCGCCTGATGACTCAACCTATACATTTCAACGAACGGCAACGGAATTCCTACTACTTAACAAGCAATGCGTTTATTGGCTACTGACCATTAGCAAATCAGTTTATTTTCCAGTGCTCTATTGCATGATGATATCTACTGCGTATATCGACGCGTGATTTTACCTCGTACACGGCTATGCTACAAAAGATAAAGATAGGACACAAATGATAAAAAATCCCTGTTGGTAGGGCTTTATAGATTACTGTGATTGATTGTTTAGAAAAAGCTCGTCAGAAATATTGAAAACAGGACAGATTAGGACAGAGCAAGACAGACAGAGCGGGTCAGACAGAACAAGGCAGAACAAGGCACAGCGAGGCACAGCAAGGCAGAATAGTACAGAACAAGACAGAAAAGAAAGCCGTAAACAAACAGACAAAGATACGCAAAGGTGGGCGGAGATAGGCAGAGACAGGCGACAAGAGACGGAAAAGGAGGAGGTTTGGAACCCCGAAACCAGAGAATGCCCCCCCCACCAAGTACCTCAAGACATGTAGGTAGGATTTCCGAGGGGGTTCATGCGCTGTCGGCGGCAGGACCTGGAAGCCCACAGACGAAATTAGCGACGAAGTGCGCCAAATTGTTCAAGCCCTGAACAATATGGGCGACATGAAAGGCCAACTGCCCAACCTGGGCATCGACGAGAGCGTCTCTGCGGTTCATCCGCGCATGGACACGCTGTTGTAGACGGTCCACCCTGTTGTTGACATACGCAAAAATAGACCTCTTGAGCGTCTCTTCGGGGTTGACTGGGGTCACGATGAACGGGGGAAGCGCTCTGAGCATTCGTTATCTCCTCCTGTACACGAATGCGGCGTTGCAGGGCCACGTTTTCTGCTTGGAGAGTCAGCACCTGCGCCTCGAGGACTCGAATGCGTGCCTCAGTAGTCTTCTCGGCCGCACCGAACAGGGTGGGAACCTCTCGTTGGATGCTCGGGTGTGGATTTCCTGTTGGCGTAACGAATGGGTCTGCCAGGAAATGCTGGCTGCCGCTGCTAGCCATGCTGGCTAGGCTTGTTCTATAAAATATGTTACTTCAAAGTTTTGTATTGGGAATCAATTTGCTTACTGATAATAGGCGTAGTGATGAATCGTCTAATTGTAGTTAGCGAGAGAAAATAGGAGGAAAAGTGTGTGTATTAGACGAGTGGTGAAGTGGGAAGCTACTACTAACTATCAGACCGGTGGGAGGCAACCTTGGTGCCTGAGGCCTAAAGGCCCCAACATTAACAAGTGTAGTCGTTCTGTTTCGGCGATGGGGTTCCGCATGGTCATGGTCATTGGGCCCATTGCTTGTCAAACGCTTTACTCGTTCTCAGATTTATATAAATCCCCCGTCGGTAAATCCTATCCAAGATTTGCCACCGCACAAGTGGGGAACATGGCGCTGGGACAGTCGCCGTACGGCACTTTGCGCCTGGAAATCCCCATACGGCTCGCTCGGGTTTGGCATACAAGATTGAAGGCATTTCAGTTGTCTGCCCGAATTGGATGTATAATTAAATTCAGTCAAAATAGAGCAATGTGGTGGTAATGGGCGATGAAGGGGAATAGGGAGGACACATTCCAGTTCACAAGGGAAAAGGCTTCAGCTGTGTTTTCCTTCCCCACTGACAGTCCGTGGCGGATGCAGTCATAGTATCGCAGCATAGTATATATAGTGATGGTTTCTGCCAGTGGTCTCTTGGCATATTAACATGACCGGCCAAGAACTTGACGTTCACTGGTTTTGGGCACACGAGGTATAGAGAAGGAGCAAGAGAATAATCAGAGTACTTAAATAATCCGAATTGAAGTCTTGGGTTTGCACGGTGTGCTTTTCTTCTCTTACTCCCGATGATTAAATTGATATGGCCTATAGTGCCCTTCTACTGTTTGGATCTACGATCGACCACGATGGGATATCCACGTGGATTCATGGATTTAATCAAAGGGAACACGTAGATGATAAACAAGTTCTACTACTAGAGCAATTATGAATTCTGGGGTGTGGGCCCGGGCATAGCCCAAATAACAAACAAAGGTACCGACAAAAAACTAAAAATGCAAAATGAAACAAGGCTATCAAACACCATTGCTGGAGAAAGACGGGATTGTCCTCCCCGTGGGCATAGAAGCGATGACTAGGAGATGACTAGGAGGACGTGAAGATGTGAAGAATTGATACATGAAGATAGAATAACTGAGGCTCTATGTACTCACATGGGCGGTATGTGGGCTGAATGAGCACAGTGAGAGCCATCGGCCTCTCAACAAGAAGGTATTTATGAACAAGCCGTGGTGGGTCTGGGGACAGCGGAGGCAGGGTCCGCGATCTGTCCGCCCTTATTGACGGGTCTAGCTTCCTGTGCTTGAACCTGGGTTTGAGTCTGAGCTTCGCGGCGGTCCATACAGACCGCACATATGCCAGGTCAGATTGCCTGACTGCATTATCCGAGGTACCGGGGCTCTATTCAATGTATATTAACTCGAGCTTGCTCTTGATGAAGTATTTTCGTTGTGTATGTAGTAACGGTAGATTGTAACTGCAAGTTTGGAACAGTAAAATCTTAATCTCTCTTTCAAGTTACTACCAGTGCTAGAACCTATTAGTATTATCTTCCATCCTAATCATGATTAGGAAAAGATTAGTATCTTTTTAGGCTAGAAAGATATATAGTGAAGAGGCTCCCGGAAGACTCTCGATGCTCCATGGTTCTACTATTATCTTCTGAAAACAAAGGTCGATGTTAAGGTTGTATATTGTTAAAATACGAAAGTAGAGATACATGAAAGGTCGGCAGTGAATTTTGATAAAAAGAAGAAAGAAGATAAAGCGAAGCTAGGATCCATACATATAACATATAATATACTCAGTATCTAATTAAACTTTTACGAACAATGATGGAAATTTCATTTCATACATAATAGGTCTATTGGCCACTGATTATTGGTAGGGTAGTAACTTCAAGTTGTTGTCTAGAGTCCCATTGCTCAGTACTAATATATACAACTTGAACGTTATATCTGCGTCCGCGTAGAGTATAAATGCATCCATGCCAATCCATCTATAGACAGGACAGAAATAATATGAAACGTACGCCGTGAAAACAGATAAAGAAATTGAAGTAAAAAAATCAAAAAACCAGCTTTCATTGGTGACCCAACACGGCCCTGCCAAAATTAAAGATGCCAATCAGTCTGCGTAACTTCATTTGTAAAGCCTTGTGTGAGGCTAGAGAGGTAATAGTCAGACCTTTGACTACAAACACAGACATAGATGCATAGAGACAGCGACTGAAACAGAAACAGAGACACACAGAAAGACACAGACTGAGTGAGAAAAAAAACATACAGAAAAAAAGACAGACCGAGAGAGAGGAAACGCTTTGCAACAAATGAAGTATGTTTCAGAAGCTACCTGCGCCGAAATACGAACTTCATACTTTCGGCCAGCAACACAATGATCAATTGATAAAGGATAAAGGTCACGAAAAACAAGAAAACAAACATCTTAGAGCAAAAGGAAACAGAACAGGACAAACAACAGAGGGAAACCACCCCCGATGAGTTGATGCGGCTCAAGACCCTTCATTGGGCAGGCTGAATCCCTCTCCGGAACCCGGAGATACTTGCTGCGACGTTACACACGCTTTGCCAAAGGTTGGTGAGCCCTTGGGCCATTGCCCCCAGCCGATGCTCTACCAGGTCCACGCGGTCGTCTAGTCGTTCTATTTGCGGAAAGGTCCTGAAATGGAACTGCTCGAGGCGGAAATGGACCATCGCGGTAACCGAAGTCAAGGTACGGCAAAATGCTAAAGCCGGAGAAGGAAAGGAAAGGAGAAAAACAAGGCAAACACACTAGACACCAGTCCCGGGTGTAGGCATATCTCTGCACCCCATGGGGCTGAACGTATTCAAGGTGAATGTTTGGTGGGTGTCGAGATGTCGGAGACCTGCTGCGCTTTGTTTGCGAGGGCCCCGTCACGATTAGTGATGCAATCTTCCAGTGCGGGCAGTCTATTATCAAGCTATTGAAGCTGGAGGTTCACCTGAGAATCACGACGGTCCATACGAGATCTCACGTAGGCCAACACCCACTGTCCCACTGCCTCGGAGGCAGTGGACATGCTCCGAGGAATAGGGGCGGAGGCAGTGGACATGCCCCGAGGAATAGGGGAAGAACCTGACCTGTGAACCACCGCGTCTACCGCGTCGATACGGCGTTGCTGGGTGGCAACGGTATTGATGAGTGCCTGGATCTGGACCAGGGCTCTTTTCTCGTTGGGATTGTGCCCGGAAATTCCGTAGGGGGGCTGCCCACGAGTTGAGACTCATTATCATCGCGTACATGTGGCTGAATTCCTCTCCGACTGCTCGTTCGACTTCTGCTTGAATGAAGGCCTTTACGCCGGCGGCCGAGCTGTCGGAACTTTCGGCATCAGGCTCGTCAGTCTCCATGTTTCTCTCCGGGCCCTCGGGCGTGTAAAAGGCCTCTGAACTTGCGGCCAGGCTGTTTCCTGTTCATATATCTTAGATCAATGTATATTTGGATAGGTAGGGCTAGGGTCACTTACCTTGAGCGGGTTGACTTGGAGCTCCATCAGGGCGCGAGGATCCGGGTTGGGCGCTGAAATCGACGTCCGGGGTAGTAGGCTTTAGGCTTACTTAGAATGATAGGGACCCAAGGGGGACGACGAGGGCACCTGGCCGACGGATTCCACTTACCGATGGCATCGGTGCTGGTATGCTCTGGCGAGCTTTCAGTGATAGCGGCCGCCTGGCTTCGCACCCCCCACTGGCACGCTCCCCTGACATCCTTGACTAGAGAAATGTTGATTCTTGGATTCTGCGACAAGATTCAATGATTTAGTCGTGATAATGATGTTAAGCGAGGAGGAACTGGCAGAGGAAGAAAAACGAGAAAAAAAAACATTCACCTAGTAAACCCCACTAGGCTGAAATGTGCCTTCCAAAAAGGGGTCTTTCTCTAGTTTTTCCCTTGGAGATAAATCAATCGATGGCATCATATATAGTATATATAATTATCTTTCGGCGCTCTATTCCATTGTGTCATATTCTTCACTGTATGATAGGTATCTTATAGTTCTTCAAACAGATTTCTTTGCGTCCAGCTCTTTTCCACGACAAGTTGATTCGGGCTTCAAAGCAGACTCATGCGGCTTTTCGCGATTCCAAAACACCGGCTGCAATGCCCTTTTGTAGGTACTGTTGGGCTTTTTGAGTATGTCCGACATGGTAGGATGAGGGCGCATTTCGGGATTCTTCATATTGGTCACGAGTATATTTACCAGATAAGGGTTTCCACTCGTGGATTAGTTACTAGGGCCAGATGCCCAAAAACAAGGGATTATGAAGCATACTAGCCTTGAACAACACAGCGATGAAATGCCCCTTTTTAAGTAAAAAGGAGAAGGGGGCAAAACAATAAGCAAGATAGGGTATAAGAAAGAATATGGAGAAACAGGAAAATGAGCGGAGAACGAGAAGGAAAATACAAGACCCAAAGGAAAAGAGGGACAATTTACAGCACCGAGGAGGAGGAGAACAACTATGAAGAGAACGACGATGCTTCACATGGGTTCCAAACAGCCCTGCCATCGTTCCAGACGCCCCCTTCCCGAAGTCCAGGCGGTCAACCCCAGGCTTCACACGTTCTGAGCTCCATTGGGAACGCGTTAGACGACAACAGCCAGGCTAACTTTTGAGGTGGTCTGTCCGTGCTTCCAAAGCCCCACCTCGCGACACAACAGCCCCGAGGTGGGGTTACTTTTAAACGGCCGACCATTTGACCTCTCTAGCATCTCACAGGCTAGATTGATTGCCATAATGTCCACTCTTCTGGGGCCCATGGCCTCCAAATGGGCATTTAACTCAGCCCGGGTCAAGCTGGTCTGGTATGGAATCACGGGGGGAAACTTCGTCGCATTGTCCAATCTCGCTGCTCGCACTCACGTTGGCTGTCGGCGGGAAGTACTTTGCTACCTGTTCGTTTGAATGCATCAATCTGTAGTTCTTGGCTTAGGATTGGAGTTGCTTCCAGTCAATCGGCTGGTAGTCGGGGTTTCCGACCAAACGCAGGTTCCGAGAGCTCTTCGAGACTAGTTAGCTTTGTATGAATATTGAAGAGATGGGTGGGAGAAATGGAACAGTAGATCCACTCGTGCATACCAAGTCTGCTCCGGGGCCGTCCGCCAGATACGGCGACTCCCCGATTGGGAGACTGCTGACTCATGTCGGATTGCAAAAACAAGGAATGTTTTGGAGGATTTGAAATTTGCAGGAGAGAAGTGTGTGGCTGGCGATTTCACCCATTCCCCAAGGCTTCGAGCTGAGTTCCTGATGGAAGTGGAGATGGGAAGAGTCCTTTAATCACAGTTAGCCGTATCGAAATAATGACGACAGGTACAGGAAAATGCCTGATAGCCAGATCCCACTTACCCATGCCATAGCTGCCGGAGCAGACGTGGTCCGGGACGCCCAACAGAAGCGGTGCGTCATGCCTTCGAGTCACCGGTGCCTGTATCCATCGCAGTAGCCAGTAAATCTAGTAAGCACTCAAACCCCGAGGGTAATATATGGCTGCGGATTCCGAGTCGAAACATCGCTGTGGTGTGGTGAAGAGGAAAAGAAAAAGAAGGAACTTCACTCGGGGAAGCTGGTGCCCGGAACTGCTGCCTCCACAATCCGCAGACTGGCTCCTCGTACCCGTAGGACTAGATCCGTCGTGTAGTTATTCGGACTTCAAAACTATTTCAGTATTTGTCTTTCGTATTAGGCGCTAGGTTGCCGTGGACTGGCTCACCAGTAACTCGCCGCGGCCACCCGACTGCGGGGTTCAAATTTCGGTCGCTGGAGAACTGGAAGGATTCTTAGATTGATAGAAGCTTCGATGCGAGATAAGCCGAGATATAGTACTTACTGATGTCAGTGTCGCCGGTGTAGATGTGCTGCGGCGATGAGTAGGATGACCGGCGCGTGCTGTTTGCGAACCTTCAGTATGCTCCGCCATTTCAAACAGTCAATCGACTAAATTTTCAAGTTACGCATGTCGAAGCTTGAATAACTTTTGGAAGGACTAGTAGTAGATGTGCTCCAGTTGAATGGGGAAGAAAAAAGGGAGAAGGGGGGGGGGGAAGGAGTCATTTGCCCGGGCTTGGAGGAAGCCTAGGCAGCTGCTTCCTTGAAGTTGTTCTCTCAAACTTGGAACTCTTCCCAGGTTCAAGTTGGACCACCCGGGCACCTGGTCATGTACCTAAATTTCAATTGCGTGGAATATGGTCTACTTTATACCTAGGTAGCTGACAAATTATGTCAAGATAATATCATATGAAAAAATATATCATAATAGTTGACGAGGCGTCCAAGGTCCCGGATTGAGGGGTTTCTTGCAAGTTTGGCCTTTGGTCATCAATGCAAGTCACTCACTGCCCACGGAGGAACAAGATAGTACATTAATCCATGGCCTATTGATGCAGTTATGGGACCAACCTAGACCGACAATCACGTCAGTATTTTCTGAATCAATAAAGAAACGGGCAGAAGCATTCTGGAAAGTTTACCCAATGGATCCAATGGTATCCGGGAAAATGCGAGCCAACATAGACACCAAAACATCTTGCAGGATTTAACGCTAATATGAAGTTAGCACAAGCTCCGCACAAACGACGGGATATCGTTATCAAAGACACATCTTACAAGCTCCTCCATACCCCACTCGTGTGAATGCTGACGCCCAGCTGACAACACCCAAAGACAGTCCTACTAGCCACGGTGAAAGAGCCGTACCATAGACTTTGGACTGTCGGGGGTCCAATCCTACGCCGAAAGAAAGAAACAAAAGCGTCAAACAGCAAATGAATTCCAATACAAAAGCTTCTCCAGTCGGAACAAGGGAGGTGTCGATATCACACCCACCAACGACAAAGTTTCGCGAGCCGAACGACGTTCGAAGCATGAGACCAGCCAATGTGCCACCCAGAATTTGTCCGGCAAGATAAAGAACCATCCGAGGAATCGAAATAAGTCGAGCAAAAAAGGTGGCCATGGTGATCAGCGGGTTCAGATGAGCGCCACTGACCGAGGAAAAGGAGAAGATAAAAAGAGTCAGAAATAGCCAGTTGGTAATACCCCCAACCAAAGGTCCTAGGAAGGTGGCTGTAGAATAAATACCAGCGGCGTCGCTGGATGCAGGGAGGGTCGTTGTTGGGATAGGCGAGTGTGCAGATAGCCATGAAGTCATGAAAACGAGCATCATCGTCCCTAGATTGTGAATAAGCCCGCGTTTCTTCTGCCATTCCGAAGCCGCGGTAGAACAATCTCGATGCTGACCAGAAAGCTTACCTACGCATTCGACTGCACCGAACTTCCAAAGATCGATATCGGAAAAGGCTGCCAGGCTGAATGACTGCTTCAAGCTCATCAGCGGTGCCGCATCGGGCATGCGCTTCAGTAATTCCGCATTGCTGGCATCGCTGGGGTCCAGCACTAATCCCTGATTGCCACCGATCCGGCCGGCAAAAGGCCGAATGGTTGGCTTCAGCCCCGACCTCTCAATATTATCGTCAATATTCATGGAGCAGGTTCCATGCTGCTCCGGGGCGAAGGATGGTGACATATTAGGTCTTGGATTCTCTTCTCTCGAGCAGGACTCTCTCCTGCACAAGTTGAGGAGAGCCGAAAATTTTCGTTTCAGCGCGCGCAAGGGGGAGGTTGGAGTATTTGAGCGTAAGCGCTAAGCTCAGAGATAAAGTTAGCGTGTAAGATATTCTAGAAGAGAAAAGGGTACACTAAGGCTTCGCTAGGTCCAATTTAGTTTAGTTTTCTAGGAATCAATCTTCCTGATGTAATTCCCGGGCGACCGAGCGATCCGGCCGAAAGCGTCCTCCGTGGCCTACCGTTGCTCCGTTGCCGACTCACAAATTCCCGATCGATTGCCTCGTGTCCTAATTCGAAAGTTCAGCAGGACAATTTTTAACCGAGTCTAGTATAAATTGGAGATTGCGTTACAGCATTGCAGTATTATTTGAGATCATTCAGTGGCTGAACAGAAATGCTCGGGTGTCAATATCCCCAGTATGCGATCGGGGATAACGGTGTCATTCTGAATGTTTTCAAATACCAGTATAGCTTGAGTTATAGCTTGAGTTCAGCGATGAGCGCACACTTTGAATTTTTCGCATGCAAGCTTGTCTTACCAGGTACCTGCCGGGGTCGGAATCCATGGATTGGCGCGCGTTATTTCCAGAATCTTTGGGGAATTGGCACATGCTCGCATATTCCGTCTGTATTGATATGTCTAGGAAGCAACCATTGACGAAAGGGCCGCTCTTATGCGGCCATCACAATTAACTACAGCCACAGTCCCATAGATATCTCCATTGAAAGAAAACGACAGAATCGCAGAGAAATAAAGATAGAAAATGAAGAAGAAAAAAAGAAGCGGAAGGCAGCGATAACAAGAACCAGACGCAGACCGACCAGAAAAATTGAAACCAGACAAAGAAAAAATGATTAAAACAAGACTTTTTCGATGCGGGACGAAGTGAATAGGTACTAGGTTAGAGAGATAGGGTAGGTGATCGGATGCACTCTACAAGCCGGGATCCTCCATGCCCAGGCACAATTCCAGACTCTGCGTGATAAGTGCCATAGGTCATTTGCCAGGGTTGAGATATTCTGCATGGTGATGGAAACACGAGTTTCTAGCTGCTCGATGCGCAGCTCGAGCAATTCCACCCGTGATGTCAGTGAGCCGAACTGGGGGGTGTCGGCAGACGGTAGGCGTCCTGATCTCGCCATCATTTCGGTCGCCAGTTGGATTGTCATAATCTCCATTTCTTTGGCGACTTCCTCCTTCACCGCGACCTCCAAATCAGCCTTAAATTCGCCGTGGATGTTGATTTGGCCAGGTATGGACACAGAGGGACGGATGTTGGAATTAGACTCCATGGGGGAACCCGGAATTCCGACAGGCGTGTTGAAAGGACTGTCCAGTGCATTCTGGGCACAAGGTTAGCTAGCTTAGATTAAACCGCATTATGATGACTCGAGAGATCCCACTCACCGATATCATTGGCGTAGGTGCAGAAAGCGCACGAGTGCGCCTGCCAAGGGCAAGACTTTTCGCCTTCATTGCCTCGGAATGGGCATCCACAGAAATAGCTTGCCAAAAGGTCGGGGCCCTGCTGGTTTGAGAAGTACTCGCTGTTAAGGGATTTTTTATTATTATTGTCACAGTCGCCGTGGTAATGTGTTAAGGATACGGAGAAAGGAGAAATGAGAACGGAGAAGAAGACATTCACTTGGAAAAAAGCCGCGTACAGAGGAAACCGGTCCTTCTCAAGTTCTTGCGAGATTTGTCGAGTTTTCAGTTAGATCAAGTCCTCCGGATTTCCCTGCTACTAGTAGTATGATATAGTATTCGCTCTTTTCTACTCAGTCATGAGCTGGGTACGATGAATGATAACCCTTGTAAATAGTCGCGCCCAGATTCCAGATATCTTGGGCCAAATCTGAAAGTCCTTGGGCAATCTTAAAAACCCAACGACCGAGAAACGCAACACGATAATCATACTCGCAAGTTGTCCTTCGTGATGCCTGAGCTGCTAGTTTATACTATTCTCGATCATTGTGCAATGTCTTTCGTTAAATCGCCGATGGACTTGTTCTCTGATCAACTTGACGTTTCCAGGTTGGCCGCTGAAATCTTTCCGGATAATTCCCTTCAGTCCCCTAGTTATGCACTTTTATATACTAGCACTGAATTTCAGATTTTAGCTTGTACCTGCGTGGTTTCAGGCCGTGGAAAGATTTTCAAAAATCAAATACTGGACTTAGCCTGTGAAATTTGCGATCTATCATTTGCTCAACGCAGCAAAATGGAGGACCCAAATATGGTGATGGATGATAGGATACCTAGATCTAACATATCTACACATGAGCGTCATGGGCTAGCTCCGCATACTAGAGGAGGTTAGGCTCTCATGGTTCAGCATTATTGGAATCATGAGCCAGGGCCAGAACCGTCCTGCAGGAGTTCCAGATTGTCGACATCAAATCCCAGAGGCTTTGAGTGAGATCTGCCAGGCCCAGACCGACTTCAGAGACTTAGTATATGAGAACTGCCCGGTGTTGATTACACGTGCATTTGTCCACCTAGGCTAGCGCTGACACTGTCCATGTCAGTGCACATCCGGAATTTATGGTCGTCCCAGCGAGTGTTGAGGTGAAAAATGAAAGACGCTTCGAGGTCATCTATTGCGGCAGCAGGGAATTCAGGGTGGACAGGGGCGGGAATAGATTGACTAACGGAATCCGAATATTTAACACGTTCCTTGAGGGCCTTTGGATCTTTGAGGATCCTTAGAAAAGCATCCTGGGCTAGTTATATCCCTCGCTTGTACCAGATTGGCCGGGGGGGTCACCTGCGAATGCCCCAATGCTATCCGCGATGCTTTTGGTTATTTCGTCTGTCATGTCTTTGGGCCATGTCTTTGGCCATGTCATTCAGTCGTCCATCTATTTTCATTGGGTTGCTTCCCTTTCAAGGTTCTTTCCTTTAATTTGTCATCCTCTATCTTATTTGTTTGATATGCTTCTCAATATAGAAACACCTCACTTTGATTTTTGAATTTCCCTTTGTTTGATACTCTATGTAATAGACAGCGCTATTTGTACTTCTCTATACCTGACCAGATATGCGAGGAATATATCTGTCAAATCGGGGCCACCATGCTACTATCGGGGACTTTCTCCAGGCTTTCACCAATAGCAGCCATACAATCTCAACATGCGCGTTCAAAAGGTCAGCATGAAGAAAGTCTGAGGAAAAGCAAAAAGAGACGCAAGGGTGTAGCCTCGCAGGTCATCCACGAGAGCCGCACTAGTCCCGAATAGGCCAAATAGGCAACAATGTCAGGCCCCGATTATTAAAACTAAGGCATAGTAAAGTACGCTAAACCCAAGGCAAACGGTTACGTTGTGCTAACACTTTCCCCGATTGGTGACCAGTAAAACTGAAACCTTGGTCGTTAATGGGTTGCCTAGTAGTAAGTTATGCGGCTTATGCCAAGAGCAGCAAGACTAGTTCTAAGGGGAAAAGCCGACAATGTCTCCTCGCTGCCTATTAATTGACAGGTTGACCATCGTTTTGCCCATCCTGCTTAGGATTTTATTTCAACTTCCGAAGACTCTCTTCTCTCGAATCCTTCTTGAAGAAAAGTTGTGGAAATGTTTAGCTTTCGCATCAGCAAGCAGGAGCCCAACACGCGGCCGAGGGATAGTATTGACTCCCCAGCGAGTCTGAAGAACGACCCACCAAATTCTAACGAAACAATCACCGAGGAGAAGAAATTAGAAGAGAAGATACTCTCCCTTTATCAGGTGGTCTGGCTTGGCATTTATCAAGTCCATGACAAAGACGGACGAAGTCACGCCTTTCGACTAAGTGAGCTTTTTTATGGCGCGGGGATGTCCTCCTATGTCGACAAGACCGAACAAGAGGCCAGCGACGATCACGGAAATAAGCGACCGAGAAGGAAAACTGGGGCGGAAACCCGTGTGATAGACCCTCTGTGGACAGCTCTGTCCAAGGAAGGCCTATCGAGTCTAAAGCTCTTCGAAGGACTGTCTATCGCATCGCTAGAATCGGTGATTGAACTGGTTGAGGCATATGTGAGGGAGATAGCCAGTGTGAATGCGTTGTATCAAGTACTGCGGGAGCTGCAGGTGGGATTTCGGACTCCAACAGAGGATGACGAACAGGCAGTTATAAAGAATTTCGTGCCCGTTTCGAATGACTTTGCAAGGCGGCTTCGTCATCTAGATGCAAGACTTAATGTTCTTGTTTCAGATTTGGAGGATGAGTTTTGGAATGAGCATGGGGCAGTCAAGGGAAGGGAGGGCTGGCGGGTCCATGATGTGCTTTTTCCGCGGTTCCCGGCACGCACTGGGAAGAAAATGAGCTTCTCTTCTTCAATGAAGATTTAATCCACTGGCATTGCTATGATTCAAAATGTTGGGACTGAGCTACACCGTTGATGGAAATGCGGCAGGTCGGTAGATGGACATTACTTACCGTGGTTTCCTCGTCGATGTTGATACCATCACGCAGTTATTGCACAGGATTTATGGGATACTTTGTCAAATCGATTCAATCGAAGTTTCTAATTGGTACTATCAATACATTTAAGCAGTGCTATCCTTATAAGCACCAAGCTTGAACAGCTTCTTCGCATTCTCCCGCCCAATCTTATACCGATCGGTCTCATTCAACTCCGCATTATCAAACCAATCACAGCCATCCTCGAACGTCTCAAAGGGATAATCAATGCTGAAGAGAATACGATCAGAGCCAACCTCCGCCATACAGAAGTTAAGCGTGGTGGTCGAGAAGTGACCGGAGGTAGTAATCCACAAATTCTGAGCAAAGTACTCGCGAATAGTCTTCTTGCAAGTCTCCGCCAGACCAAGCAGCTTCTTCCGATCCTCAAACCAGTGATTGATTCGCCACATATCGAACGGGATGTGCTCGCCTAAGTGGCCGAGAATAATCTGAAGCTTGGGGTGACGATCAAAGACACCGTTTGTCACCATACCCAGCGCATGCAGCGAGACACCCTGTGCGAAGGAAAGAGGAGGTCCAACGAGCCACTTGCGGTCGGCCCAGAGCTTATCGTAAATTGTGCCGGTCGGGTTTCGCGGGTGAAGGTATAGGGGGACATCAAGTTCCTCGCATGTTGACCAGAAGACATCCCATTTTTCGTTATCGTAGAAGATCATGTCATCGCCATCGGCACCGGCTCTTTGTGTATCGTTGACCAAGGCGCCGAGGAAACCGTACTTCGTCACACAGCGGCGGAGCTCTGCGGCAGCTTCTTCGGGGTCGTGCATGGAAAGTGTACTGTGGTGTTGTTAGCCCTGGAATTCTCGTCGCAGCTTCGACTTTTGGAAGTATGGAATTCTTACGCGAATGCGGCGAAACGATCTGGGTGCGCCTTGACGCGCTCGGCAATATAGTCATTAATTTCAACAGCCAGAGCATGTGCATCCTTGGGGTCCCAAATATCCTGCACGCCGGGCGCAGTGTATGAGAGAATTTGCAGACCGACACCGTGCTTTTCGGCGAAGTTCAGTCGAATGGAGTCGACGTCGTTGATCTCTGCGACGTGCTTGTCGACGTCAGTGGCGAACAGGCCAGCCCACCATCTCGTCTTCTCCTTGAAGCGCGGCAGCGCGAAAGCTTCTTCGAGTGCGATCTTTCCTAACATCGTGATTTTTTGTTATTGTGAGAGAGGGAGGTTGTGAAAGTTATGAGCTGGGATGGAAGGTGAGTTGGATATATAACCAGGCTTCGCGGGGTAGCCCCGCACGTTCGGAACACGGCACTTCAAGTTGGACCAACACTACTACTAATACTATTAGTAGTATTAGAAATGAAGTACAACCCAGCTCCGACTGCTAGCATTCACTTGCAGCTACCGTGTTACAACGACAGCTCTTCCGAATAATCGGTTCACTTCCGACGCGCGGTCCGCTTTCCCCCGCAAAAAAGCGAGGAATGCGGGGCGGATGAAAAGTGCCGAGCCGCGTGCCCGATCCGACGGCGGCGGAAGAGGAAGAGGAAGAGGATCACTGTATTGCTAAGGGCTGAGTAATTAATTGTTTTCATTATAATGATGATTAATATTGTTAATTTATATATACATTGGTTTATATCTGTTTTTATTCTTTCGGTTCTTTTGATCATGAGAAATTCGAAGTGTCACAGTCTGCCTGCCACGATCCACGCGAATGGACAATGGACACCAGCATTCCCAACACGGCAAACTCAAGTTTCAGTTTGATGCTATACACAGTAGCCTTGAAAATAACTTGCGTGAAATAAAATCCAACGTACTCAAGGACAACAAGTGTCACATCCATCAGGATGGCCGTCACATTTACCGCCAATAGTTCGTATAGTATCTTGTTGCGCCGTTTATCGGTTTCGGGACTGAGTTTCATCATTCGGATAGTGTCATAGATGTATATACTGGATATTGTCGTTTCTTGAACGGCAAACCACGTAACTTGGAGCCGCTCGATCACTTGGAATCCATTTGCCCAGTGTTTGCTTTTTGGGAGGTAAGCGTCGCCGACATTCATCGTGATGGTCGGGATGACAATAAACAGGCTTGCAAAAATAAGCCAGCGCACCGCTCTGAGTACGCGTATATTTTGCGACACGAGGTGAAGCCGCGAGTAGAGAACGACCGACTGATTTGGGACCATCATGACAAACCCCAAATTCGACAAAAACATAGACAGCCATAGTGGAGAAAGACTGAAGAACTGAAGTGTCGGACCGATCGTCGCGGGTATCACACCGATGGAGGCAGAGGTTATGAGGGACCAGAAATAGAGGCTGCGATAGCGACGGAAGCTGAGAGGGATGAGGACGGATAACTCGAGCGCGTTATACAGGGCGATAGTCATGAAGACTACGATAGCGATTCCGAGCGCGATGTTCCCGCTGCCAGGCGTAAAGAACGACGGCGCGTCTTCCTCAACTGCTACCATGATGAGCAAGACATCCAAGGTACACAGGTGAGGCCGGTGAGATGGGCAAGAGCTGGGGGCATGGCGTTGTCGTTTCGTTCGCTCACGGGGGCGCTGGGGGCGACATCCCCTTCTGTATATAGGGGATGGCGAGACGGGGAAAATAGGAGTACGTTAGAGTTGGGTCGTTTTCGCGTCAATCCTAAAGTAGTTGTAGAAAGGCTAATTAAAAGGAATTGGAGTCGTTTGTTGGGATAGCTGGTCTCGGTGGAGGCAAGATCGCCCGCCACCGCCCGAGTATTCCACGTCACTGGGGCGCCCGTCCAATAGCCATGGCCACAGCCAGGAATTAGCCTTTGCGGGGAATGGTACTGGAAATTACCCCAGCCTCGTGCTCGATTTCCCCGGATCGTTGATTTGGGAACAAGTCCCCTGCGTGGTGCCTGCTACCTTATTCGGCGGGGATTGGATTTGGTTTCGCCTCGGAAGGTGGCCGAGTGGTGGTGGTATTGGTACTTCATATTGGGTTCGTGGTTAATGATAGATCCTCCATGGAGATCAATCCAAAATTGGAGTAGGTTGAATGATCGACTGGAATCTTGATAAGATCTGGAAACATGAGTAACTATGTCGATCACACAGGTTCTAGAGTGCCATGATTACTGGTGATCTGCAGCGAGGACGACGTGTTCCGTTATTCGAAAGCGAGTTAATCTGAGGAATATGGTCGATTCTTGGCGGGCTCCACGACGAAATATCTGTTTTCAGTCTACCCCGAGGTGAAGGTGATTTCATTATTGGAGTCACTCTTATACTCTGCCTATCTGATGAAGATCTGACTTTTGGTCTACGAGGTCATACGGCAGGAAATATTCAATAGATGGATTCCGTGATCTGCAGCAAGAAGAACCTTGATTATCCTATGTCCCTTAATCCAGATCAGCAAAGGCTTGTGCCTTACCCATGTAGGCACTCCATGTAGTGAGGGGCTCATCAACAATCTGAAAGTATTGTCAGCGTAATCCTGATTATTTATGAAAGGTTTCGACGTAGAAAAGCGGTAGACCTACCTCAACACTTGAATCCAGTGCCTCGCCACCGTAGTATCCAAACTCTGGCATTAGACGCATATTTTCCAGCAATTCCTCCTGAGCAATCGCAGGCATCCCTGCACCAGCGAGAATGCTCTTAAATACTGCATGTGGCAGCTCTGCAAAAGCGGCATCCTTGCCAGCGTTGGGATACTCGTTCTTAAATGTGGCCAAAATTTCGAGAGGCGTATAGTACTTCGTAGCAGCATAGATCCGCTTGCCCAGAGTCTCATCTCGCTTGAGAAGTATGCTCTTGACGAACTTCCCTGTATCATATTCGGACGCAAATAGTGGTATCGGACTATCGCCTGGAATTGGAAGCGCAAGTTTCCATATACCTTCTGGCGTTTTCCGCAAATTGCCTCCGGCAATGTTTGACATGTAGAAGCCTGGAAGCATGAACGTCGCAGGAATTCCTTCGCTGCGGATGTATGCTTCGACCTTTGCTTTGCTGTCGAAGTGATGGACTTGGGAAAGCACACCGCCGGACACTGGTCCAAGGACAGATTTAGTAGACAACATTCATGAGAATGAAGGGAGACAAATACTACATACGCTTCGTGACATCTAGAAGGCTGCTCCATACCAAGTGTTGGATACCTTCTTCCTAATTTCCATTGTCAAGTCAGAAAATGCATTATTTCAAGAAATCGAGAAGTAAAAAATCAGTTTCCGAGTAAAGTCTCTCACCTTGCAAGCATCGGCGATGCCCTTTCCTTGAGCGAATTCAAGGTCGGCACTGTGGTGGTCCCAATAATTGGTAACCGCATATACTCCGTAAGCACCCTTCAATGCCTTTTTGACGGATTCATTATCACTCAAATCCGCCTTTCATAGAAAACTCGGAATCAGTTGGCTTCTGAAACGAATATTATACCAAAGGAGACTTACCGCAACAACTTGCGCGCCCTTCAAAGCCAGGGCTTTAGCGCTGGGCTTCGTGACGTCTCTGGTAATAGCTCTAACATTGAATTTGCTAGCTGTGTTATCCGCCAAGAGACTGCTGACGACAGAGCCACCTTGCTTTCCAGTGGCCCCGAAAACGACGATGATAGGCTTGGACATATTTACAATTTTCAAAATTGGGAGCTTGGAACCGGGAAGATGAAAACTGAGAAGCAATGAAGGAAGACAGCAAAGTATAAATGCAATAACTTCTGCTTATCGTAATAGCCGCCAAGAATACCACCAAAGCTCAAGCTGCAGCATGACAAATTGTAGTCCCGATTCAGAACGGGGTCCTGCTAGTAAGAATAAGCTGCATGGGATAATTCCAAATCGTGAAGCTTAAACTAAAGTCAAATATATTGATTCTTCCCGCCGCTGCTTGATTTATGCTGTGTTGAAGCGCTGGTACCTTTAATTCTCATTCCACATCAGGCTAGTAGTTCATTCCCGTTTCCAGTTCCCCTCGTTCTTCCCATTCCGAGATCTGACTGCATATGTCTCATATCCTGTGGTGTGAACTTGAATCTTAGTGGACGCAATCACGAGGAATTAGGTTCTCACCATGTAATAATGTTGTGGGAATGCTCCGGTGAGATTACTCCATGTAGAGCTGTTGAATATGCGGGCGCTTATCCAGCCCCACCACGGGGTAGCTCCGAAAGTTTATCTGGCCAAGAATATTGCTACCATGTAGAAGTGAGCCCTGTGCATCAGCAACCATGGCAGTATATAATTCATTCAAAACCCTGCCAAGAAGGAATTTCAGAGCATCAAACTCCCTTTCTCGTCGAGAATTTGAAATTGAACACTCAGAAGACCCACAAATTTCACCAACATGGCGGCTACCTCGCGATTCTGGGCCCAAGAGAGCTTTGAGAAAGTGGCGCCTCACCATGCTTCAATTCAAGCTTTGTGGGAAGGCAAATGGAGAGCTCCAGTATGTGCTTTTCGAAGAGCGTGGTAGAGGTCATTCGTTAATGAATACCTGGATTAGTGTGCAATGGGAATTTACCCCTTTCCCGATGGTGACGTTCGTGATTTTGACAAGGTGTTCGATACGCTTATTGAGGTACGTACATTCAAGGCCCTATATTTAATCCAAATAGCAACAAATATGCCAACTCGTGTGATTTAGATGAACATGACAGAGCCATATGATCCAGATACCTATGCTTCGGCATTTTTTCCTGTCGCCGAGGAGCTGGAAGCCACGGCATCCAAAGCAGAGGCTAATCAAGATACAGCTCTGGCTTCAGCTCTCTATCTGTAAAGAGGAGTCGGTATCCCGGTATCACCTGTACCAAGCTAACACTTTACCAGACGTGCCGCCGCTCTATATCGAATTGCCCGCTTCCCGGTTATCCGATCACCCAAAACACTCGAAGCCTGGGAACGAGGAAAAGAAACGTATGTCAAAGGCGGCAAATACCTTACGCCTCCGAATTTAGAATTTATCATACCCCACTCCTACGCTTCAGCGTCGGACGGGGACGGCGACACAATCCGGGCTTACGTGCGCATCCCAGGGCACGCCTCCAAGTCATCACCTGTTCCCGTGGTACTCTTTGTTTGTGGCCTTGATGCTTATCGTACAGATTTTACAAGCCGAATTGATGAACATATTCGGCGAGGATTTGCCGTTGTAAGTGTTGAAATTCCTGGGACAGGCGACTCGCCTGCTTCGAGACAGGACCCTGTCAGTCCCGACAGACAGTGGTCAAGTGTTTTGGATTGGGTTGAGGCACAGGAGATGTTCGACCCAACGAAGATCTGCGCTAGGTCCATGAGCACTGGAGGATATTATGGTATGCGTATGGCCCATACTCACGCCGATCGCTTGGTGGCGGTCGTTAGCCAGGGAGGCGGCTGCCACCGAATGTTTGACAAGGAGTGGATCAAAGCACAGGATAAAATGGAATACCCTTATGCGTGAGTCAGAAATATTTTCGCCGTTCCGAGACTCACTTCTGACACGAAAGTAGCCTCGCCGAAGCCCTGGCGCACAAGTTCGGATATGATTCTGTCGAAGCGTATAGTGAAGACGCACAAGCAAGATTCTCACTTCTAGAGAGCGGCATTTTTGACAAGCCATGCTCTCGCCTGTTCCTCATCAATGTAAGTGATACATCGCAATGCAGTGTGAGGTAGCCATATTTCTCACCGATCGATGAAAAGGGAACGAAAGATGAGATCTTTCCTATCGAAGACTCGATAATTCCATTCCAGCACGGAAGAGTTAAGGATGTCAGGTTAGAATGATTCTTTGCGGAGCTACGGTCTCACTATAACTGATTATTGGCTCTAGATTCATCGAGGGTGCATATCATATTGGAAACCCAGGTGCGGAAAGCTACGTGTACGACTGGCTTGACCAGTTTAAGTAGTCGAGAAACAGACTTGAATCTCGTCATTTTTCATGGAGATATGTATCATTTCTGATGTTCCAACCACTCCAATATCCCGCATTGTAATTTTGCTCATGCGATAAGAATGAATATTATTTTAAGAATACAAATAGCTGCCTTGAACTGTCGGATCAAGCGTCACATTCGTAGCGCAAAAGCGCTCCGTATTGTAAGCAAGAGAACACAGGAAAGGAAGAAAAAGAATAAGTCTCAAGAGATATAAAGAGAAAGGAGGATGAAGACCAGAAGTTGGATACAGATGGATACCTAGGCGGCATTGCGCCGCGGAGATTGCTCTCCGAGTTGCTCCTGAAGGAACAAGAGCTCTTGGCGCAGCGCAATGCGCACTCTCTGCTGTCCATATTCCACGTTGTCGGTTGGATGCTGATGGCCTTTGCAGATCTCGCGAATATAATGCTGGCCCGGGCCATGACAAGAGTGCAACTAACGGGCACATCTATCGTGGGCCAGGGGAGATCAAGCTGCTGTCCTGAGATGATCGGTGGTAGACGATGCAATGCAATATCGAATGGACTATTATCAAATATCGTCAGTAACGGCGCAGTCAAGTGGGTATTGCACAGAGGTACAGGACAGGGGGGAGAGATCTCACTCGGCCATGGTGGAGCAAAGAATCGATAATCGGGCTCATGATATCGATCACGACGCGCGGGAAAGTAGTTATATACTGGTAGTGCGGGTCGGGTGTATTGAGGGTGGAATCATGGCTTCGTTGTGGTGTCGTAGCAGTCTAGAGATCTCATCAAGTTGTGGAAGTTTCCAGTTTCGCATGCCATGGTACCTACGGGCCTTTCCAATCGCGATTCACGACCCTCCTCTCCATCAATCGTGCTTTGAGTATGTACTCAACCAACTGCTTGTCCAATTTGAACTTACACGGGCATATCAAATGGATGGACAAATAGAGCGAGCAGTGGAGCTTTTAGAATATGTGGTTCGGTCTGAAATCGATCTCTGAGGGAGCAGCACTTTCATCGACTGGCATCTCAGAATGAACTTGCGCGAGCGTATCAAGCGGCAGGTCAGCTCCAGCACGCAGTAAAACTTCTCGAGCAGGCTGTCGCTATTGAGAAGTATGCATTACGTGAAGACCACCCCGATCGACTGGCATCTCAGCACATGCTTGCGAGAGTGTGTCAAGCGGGGGGCCAGACCGATCGCGCTTTGGAGCTCCTCGAGCATATAGTTGCTCTGCGAGAGAGAACTCTTAGCAAGGAGCATCCTGACCGACTGGCATCTCAGCGTGATTATGCTATAGCGTACAGGGTGTACCAAATGAACAGGGCCTTATGAAAATATGTAACTTTCGACAATCGTCAGGCCGCGCGTGTTCTATCGGCAACGCTGAATTTGTAAGCCTACATTCCATATTTGACGATTATATTATTGACTCAAGTTTCCCTTTTTAAAATATTTAAATGTTGGCTCCAAGCTTCAGGATTAAGAGCCATTACACTCGGCTCTTTGCTCGCTTGGCCCCGTCACGCTGGGATAGCGTGAGATGGTGTAGCGACATGGCTCTGCGGTCTTTCCGCTTCCGACATACGAGACAGCAGGTACTGAGCTGTCCAGGAAACTCCATTACACGATGGTCGGCTGCGTGACCTCGACGATATTGCACAATAGCAACAGGGTGGAGGACAAATCAGCCTTCCAAGCAACAGCCCCGCTTTCAGCTGCATCACGTAGGAATGAAACGTCCTCTGTAGCCAGACTTATTCTCGTCAACCAATGGCGTGTCCTCTCCCGTGTAACAGTCTGTTTATTCTCCCTCCCCTATGCACATGCAAAATACGGTGCGCTAACTAGTATCAAGGATAGCAAATCCGGATTTTCAATTACATAGATCCACAACTGTGACAAACGTTCTAGATGAAGGGAGACAAGTTATTCTGTAGCGAAGAAATAAAATTAAAAACAAAAACAAGAAACAAGACCACGTCAATACCAAAATCACCACCGAAACCCGAATTAAATCTCCGCCTTTCGCATCAGAATAGCACAATTAACTAAAATAGGGCGACGCCAGGCAAGCAGACATCGAGAGCATTTATCTTCTCAGTCATTTCGATAAACGGCCCCTTCGTGTACTGAAGATGACTCATGGGGCTGGTTTAAAGTGAGAAGAAATTATCGACCAAATCGCTCACACTATCTGCAAAACTCTCGCTAGGCTCATTTGGTGCTACTTTTAGAACCTATCTACCAACAAGGCAATGTCAGTCTTCCGATAATATGAAGGGGAGAAAGCTCAAGGGGGCGCATCTAAATTACCTCGATAATGGCGGGGCCAGCAACGATGTTGTCATCGGTTACCTGCTTCTTGCCCTTGGTGATGACAACGTAGCTCTGGCCCGCAATACCCTCAGGGATAGTCAAAGTGAACGTCTTTTCTCCCTTGAATTTGAGGGGAGCCCAGATAGGTCCAGTAACAGTAATGAAGGCAGCGTAGAGATTGCTCGGGTTGGAGTCGTCGAAGCCGCTGCCAGCCACCAAGTGAACCTTGGAGCCACTGACGACAGTTTGGGTTGAGGTCAATGTCAGCGAAGGGAATGACTTCACAGGAAGCTTTCCATTGCTGGCAGGACATGAGGTAATGAAGGGCGACGCAAGGGTGTACACCTCATCGAAGTCGAGAGGGTCGTCGAAAGGCTGGGGGAAGGGAACTTCACTGAGGGAGGCGCGTAGGTAAGCGCTGTGGCGGGACTCAACGGTCAGAATGCTACCAGCGGCCGTAAGGTAGTCCTTGTTGGCAATAGACGCGGCAGCACCGAGATAGGCACTCACACCAACACCTAGTAAACGTCGTTAGCAGATATCGTTTAATTATCAGTGAGAATAGTACCTTCGAGGATGCTAGCAAGGGCAATGAACGACTCCACATCGTAAGAAGGGAACGAGTAGCTGCAACGTTTAACGGGAGAAGCGCCGGCAGCTTGGATGAATCAGTAGGTGTCGGTCATTACGTTTCGTTTGATACTCACCGGTGAGAGCCTTCGTGAGGAAGGCTACGTGTGTCTTCTCGTCCAAAGCGACTTCCTGCAAATTTTCGTAGAATGGATCTTTGAATCCAGCCTTTACGAAATCTTCCCGGGTGTAGTTCTTGAGACCCTCCTCATAAAAGGTGGCCTCAAGGTGCTCGAGCGTCAAGGCATAGTTGAGAATATCGGCTAAATGATTTAAATTTATTAAATCACTTCAGGTATCAAGTCAGTGAAGAAGCCATACCATCGTTGATAGCTGCGCGGGTCGCAACCGGGCCAGCCTGGGCCGTAGCAAGTATCGCTCCGGTAAGGACAATGTTTGTGACCTTCATTGTGTGAGAATGTAAAGCCTTTGGCAAATTAAGTAAATGGATTGTTTCGTTGATCCTGGAACAGTAAGGTCTACTTGTTTCCCGAGGCCGGAGAACAAGAGTATTTATATCAGAGGGAATCGAGCTCCTCGTGTTGTTAAATTGTTGTATTGGGCTCGGACCCTGCTATTTCTTTGCTAGCTAGTAATTGATTTCTCTTTTTATTCTTTTTCGGAATTTGGGCGTTTTCATACGTGGTAGGGATATATTCTAGGGCCAGAATATTGTAATTGGCCCCAGACCTAGAAAACAGCTGGTGGAAATCGTTAGGCCGCTGAGAAACATAACACCACGAACGACAGATCATATTTTGGGGAGTAAGCGAGACCGAGAGCGAGTCCGACGCTTTGGAATTTGACATTTTACATTGTTGTGGGCCTCCATGCTTTTTCAATCGGAATGTAAAAGCAATATTGAATCGTCCTTACGCGAAAATTCTATTCTCCAAGGGATGATGAGAAAGTGGCGCGTTGAAAAAAGGTGCCCCTTAGACAATCATTTATGCCGAGGCTTATGCATGAGAGCAGGGCCAGTGATTAGATGGATGGCTGAGCTTGTTTCAAATGTTGGCTGCAGATTCCACTTGGTTTATTAAGCCGGGTGGAACAATCAGCCGCCAATCAACTCTGATGCTATACGCAGGTTGTAATGTGGGGCGGCGGCGCACTCCAGCGTGTGCAACAACCATTTTAGGACATTGGTTACACCTGGGCTGAGGGTTGCGGCTGAACGGACCTGCTTTGCAAGGAAAGCATGAAGGAAATATAAAGGGTTGCACCTAGAGCGTTAGAAATACTCCCCAGACATTTGCAACAATGCGAATGGCAAGATGGACTTGAATTCCTTTGTTTCCTCCTGCGTGAAATCGTCGAAACTCCCGAAATCACAAAAGAGTAGACTAGTCCGACATTAGACCCTTTGAGATTTGTTCAGCAACGCCTGGTGCCAGAGACTTCTTCATGTTAGATCATCATTACTGGCTCATCTATTCTATCGAATTCCCAAGCGTATCACACTCCCCATTTTGTGAAGAATGTCCTTCAAAAGAGCACGAACAATTGCTACGTGAAGAATGCTAACGGGTGAAATTTTTCAAGGAGAAAAAAATCGCGACAACCTCTTGGAAAGGGAATCTGAAAGGGAGGCTCGTAACTGAAGAACAAGTTTTAATTCAGATAGCGTAGAGTTGTGAACCGCGAATCAACCTACCAAATAAAGGCGGAAACGGCGATTATATAGTGAAGCATCACTTTATTCCTATTCTTAATCGCGTTGATTCTCTTTATTGCGGTACTCTACGCCGGGTGTCACTGAGAGTGCATGTGAGCAGAAGTGAATCATTCAGACTTAATGTATTCAGATAGCACAGATAGAGTCAATTAAGAAGAACCCCCCGTAATTTACAGTATCTAACAGTAACTCATAGAATGATGAAACGCAATACAGTATAATGCGCGGATGCAGCTAATCAGGCCTCGTTCATCGAGTAAACAATTACAGATAGGCTGATTTTGGAGACAGACCAAGAAGCAACACGGCACTTACAGGAAGAGGAGAAGCGTATACGTACTACTAACAGTAGTTATTCATAACTCATCAAGGCTACATAGGGTAATGTAATCCTAGCACGATAGGGAGAAGTAAGGCACCATAAGATAAGCAAAGAGAGTATCGAGGTAAATCTGATTTAAAATATCACTGTACAATGTCTGCTGTTCTTATTTATCTCCCTTGGCATGGGTTTTTCCTTATTCATGTTTTCCTGTACTGTTATGCAAATACAAATACTTTATCTATGTCCAAGCCATAGCCCGAAACAGGCCGAAAGACTTCAGGCAGGCTTTGGACCTGCGTTGCCCGTTGTTCCATGTCTGGTCGTGAGGCAAGTTGAAAGCCCTGGTCAACAAAATCCTCTTCGAAACGGGATAACTCATTCTCAAAGTGGACCTGAGTGTATTCGCGAAAAGTGGGCGCATACAGTAGAGCGGGTGCGAGGATCTCGGAATTGCATCGCTGGCCGCTAAGGTGGCAGCCTGCACACTGGCTAATTCCGTTGTAACCAATGATCACCACGCATTGGCTGTATGCTCCACGGTCATCTGCGCATTCAATTCAAGGGTTGACGACAATAGCACCTGAGATCAGCATCTGAACACTTTCTATTGCCCGGATGGATTGTCCAATTCTTTGGAACATGGTGTCAGGAGTAATACCATCCGGGTTATTTTTCCAGACCAGCTCGCGAACAACAAGAAGATTAGCGAGCTGCATCGGATAGACGTTCGAGTGCCTATCTGTTGCTCTGGGCCATGGCAGGCGGGCTACTAGTCGGGCCCAGCCGTCGAGGGCCGGGGGAGATGAACTCCCTGTCCCCAAATTATTGGCGGGATCAGAAGAAATCCATCAGTGTAGGGACTATTGATATCGTCAGTGACCCCACTAAACATATTGCGAAGGTGCCATGCGTAGGGAAAGGATCTTACGTTTGTAAGGTGACTTCTCACCAACTGGGAATTGACTGGAAAGTTGTGGGTGGTGGAGGTTGTGGAAGTTACTCAGGTAGGATTTGCGATGGCCGTCCCTGCCCCAGGCTCAAGTCAATAGTATTGTACTCAAAACGGGACGATTTGGACGGATCAATATCATTATTCCGATTATTTTTTGATTTTGCTTCTCGTTGTAAGTATATATAAATGTACTAGTTACAATTGTAGCGTTCAAGTGTATATAGTCCTGCATCAAATGGACCCATCATACTAGTACTAAATGAGTGGCGATCATGATTACCCATAGAAAGAAGACCACTGGAGAAAAACTTTTCCATAATGACTTCCTCAATGGGGTCATAGATTGTACTAGGAAGTCTCACTAAAGAATTGGAATTGAATTCAACATTGAAACTACTACTTGTTTGTAGATTGTACGATCTTGCAGAAGGGCCGCCCTTTCAGCTCCACCGCATCAAGATAACCCGAAATGGGTCGTTTCAACGACAAGAAGAATAAAGCCCGAAATCATCCTCCTCGTAGGCAGCTTGGTGATGCCAGAAAGCCGAAACCGGCTGATGGCCAAGGGACATGTACAGGCCTTCAACCTGCCTAATCGAGTAGACTCAACTGCGCTGTTGACCTTGCGACCGCTGACGCAAAAGGGTCCTAAGGAGGGCAAGTTCCTGGTTCAATGCCATCCTTTCATTCAGCAGTGGAATGTCCACTCCTTCGTGCAGATTGATATGTGCTGAGCCCATTCCATGAAGTCGGGTTTCAACCTGAGTTACGCGCCGCTGCATTTCCGAAAGGGGAGTGAGATGAGAGTATGGAAATGGAGGTCGGTGCCTTTCGACATTTTGGTTCGATTGAAGGCCGTGAGGTGGAGGTCGAGGAACATCATCATTGCTTCGATTATCGCTCAAATTTTCCTCATTGCCCAGAGGCGAGCCATGCTGGACAGGTCGGGGAGGGAGGGATGGGCTCATCCTTTGCGCCGTAGTGTTAGCCGCTGTTGTCGAGGAAGGAGGGCGAGGAGGTAGAGAGCCCTGCCCTCGCATATTATCTTGAATACCAGCAGAGTCGCTGACATGGGCCTCGTCAGGACTACCGTGTTTGGAACCACGATCAGTAGGTGCGCATCGGGGACGATATCTGCCCGATACTGAGGAACCAGCTCGAGGGTAATGGCTAGAAGAATTCGACGAGGAATTGACGCTTGCCCGAGGGACTGGTACGAGTGGGCAAGAGCTAGACGTAGAAGAGCTCCGCGAGGAGTTGACACTAGCGCGAGGCACTGGCACGAGTGGGCTAGGGGTAGACCTAGAAGAGTTCCACGAGAAATTGACGCTTGGCCGAGGCGATGGTACGAGTGGGCTAGGGCCAGGGCTAGACGAATTCGAAGAAGAATTGCTGCTTCCCCGAGACCCTTGTAGTAGTGGGCTAAGGCTAGGCCTAGCTGGCAGGGGATGTAAAGCGACCCGATTCCTTGGTGAAGGTGTCATAGGATGAGAAGTATTCAGAGGCGGGCTGGGGCCTGCTCGATTCGCCGACGGGGGTGAGTTCGAGCTAGATCTTCCCCCAGGGTCGACTCCTAGCTTTGGGAAAACGCAGTGACGCGAGTGCCCACTGAGATGACAGTTCGCGCAATGTTTCAATCCGTTGCATCCAACAATCACCACACATCGACTAAACATCCCATTTCCCCGTGCACAACTGCCACATGGATTATCTGCCAGAACCCCCGATATCTGCATCCGGGCAGCCTCAATACTCCGGATGGAGCGGCCAAAACCATCGTACATGCGTCTGGGATCGGTATCCTGGTAGTTTCTCCAGACTAGCTCTCGGAGAACAGGCAAAGGGTTGAGATACCGAAGGAGGTTGCTCGCGATTGAACCCTCGGCTCTTGCAATTTGCCATGGCAGGCGTTCCACCAGGCGAGCCCAGCCATCGTCAGATGGAGGATAAACGCCCTCGTCTGAGATAATGATCGGGATCGGAAATGGAAGATCTGGTTCAAGGCTGTGAAAATTGTCAGTAACCGCGCTCAGGATGGCATGAGTGGGAAGGAGAAGGAGATGAGAGGATCTTACTCTCCCATGGTGCGGGCGTTGATCTATCAACAAACAGTCCTCAAATAACGAGTTCCGGACGGAATCAATAGAGAAATTGCTTGTTCCCAAGCAGAGTTGACGCTGCTCGGGTTGGCAGAGACGTGACGAAAAAGATCCTTTCGTTGTAGGTGAAGCTCTCGATTATGGCAGTTGTAGAATCCCCTCACTCCAAGGTGCCCTGAAGGACGAGGCAAAAGGTCTATGAAAAGTGATATTCCAGAGGTAGTTGACGTCTGGAGTAGGCCAAGATGGAAGTAGTGGAAGCTGCGAGTTGTTAAGATGAAGACGGTCGAGATGGAAGTGAGAGTGGCAGATATACCCGCCAACAGTTGCCATTCACTGCAGTTCGCGGCTTCCCTATTTGTTTTGACAGGTTGTTGACTAGCATGCCACCTACTAGAAATACAACAATAGCTTATAATATAGACAGATGAGAATGGCAGCCTTCAGCCTTCAGCCTGAGCTTTCAATAGATGGGATCCATGGTGAAGGATCATGATGATCAAAACACGCACATCAACAGAAGGAATGTAATTCGGATGAACTGTATCATTGAGCTTTAAAATCCGGAAACGACGAGCAGATAACTGGAGCATATCGACAAGTATCTCTATGTTGTGGGCCTACACCGATTTCAGTCTGAAGCCTGTGCGATTGCATAATTGCCTTAGCCTAATGGATTGTACCACGGCTCATATAGAATGACAACGGTGATTCGGTGCATGCGGGAGCTTGGGAGCATGGGCTAAAATAAGGGCTGCGCAGTTTCTCTCGCCGCCGCGCAATGGAAGTGGTTGTTCGATCACAAATTATCACGTAGGCGAATATGAATCGGGAAGTTCTGGGCTATGCGCTATGGGATCCGAGGATCGACTCGTGGTTTGTGTCATGGGATTTTCTTTGCTCTTGCCATTGTTCTTGGCGATTCGACCAAGCTGGGGGTGCAAATCAGCGCCTCGAGTATATGGGCAGGCTCCTCAGCTGTGCCGCAAGGGGAGTCGGCAAGGCGTTCTGGGTTGGAAAGGAAAGTTCGGTGCCATCGCTCGCGGGTAATCTGTTCATTGGACTTGGATGGTGACTTATTCTCGAATTGTTAAAATGTGGGCATAAATCCCCGGAAGTAGACCCGACTTACATCCAGCTGCGGTTTACTCCACCATGCCACCGCAGGAAGTGGCACCCCCATCCCCTCGCAATGCGCCTTTCGAGGACTGAAAGCGAACACAGCAAAGGTCTTCGAAGGCCACCTGCATCAACACCAATATTCACAATGCCAGATCGAAGCCAAGTCGACTATTCATCAACTCCCGGAACGCCTTCATCCTCAGAAAATAGAGGTCAATGCCAGAAATGAACCTTCAAATGGGTACTCAACCTATTTCGATAGGTAATGGGTGTCGGTCCTCCACGATCATCCGCCACAATGTGTCGTTCGAGAACGAGTTGAAGCCGCAAGACTGTACCAAGTCTCATTGTAATTTTCCTCGAGAGGACGGGGTAACGACCTCGAGTGTTTCAGGGGTTCGGGTAAAAGGCCTGAAGAGATTGGATAGCAAGGGAGCAACCAAAACCCCAACGAATGAAAACAAAAACATACAACAGCAGGGATTCGCATGTGGTCACCCACCATACTACTAACCTGCCGGCGTGTGGCTTAAGTACGGCTGAGCGGACGGGAAGCCCTGTTCTCCACACCCTATGGTCGTATGTACTAGAGAGTAATATCAGTAGATTCATGAAGTATTCTGTGAGTGCCATCTCGATCCAAATAGGGTGAGCCCTGCCGAAAATTCGTGAATGTGGACTGGATTTTCCGGTAGTTTTGCGATATCGTGCCCAGTGTAATGTACCCGGGAGATTAGAGTTCTGGTTATTCAACATCAACCGTTTAGTATACCCTACAACAAGAAGCTACACGAATTGAAGGCAACACACTGTCACGATCTGGCCAACCACCTATATTATCAGAAAATAATAGAGTTTTTATTTTCAACAGCATTCGATGAAGAAGTTTTGTTGCAAACATTGAATCTACTTTGAGCGTAAATATTATCATAACCAACAAAGGGATCACGCAATGATGTCGAAAATAGAAACTCTATCAGTTTCTGAAATATAGGCGGTCGGCCAGGTCGTAACAGTGTATTACCTTCAATTCGTGTAGCTTCTTGTTGTAGGGCATACTGAACAGCTGATGTTGAAACATTCAATAGATGGCAATTCTAGCGTGTGCCGTGCCAATCTTTGGTAAACTACAGATCTGACCTCTGGAATATGGAGATATTTTATGGCTATATCCCCTATTGGTACTAATAGACCTCAATGGCGTACGTGAAAACATGGTTGAATTTGGTTAAAAATTGTCGTGATGGACATGCTTGGCCCACTCGGTGCCGAAGTTGGGTCACAGAACGGATAATCTTGATTTGACGTAAGGTCCCAGACACTCAGACTTAGGAGAAACGAATTAGCCTCGACGAAAGCTCCAATCTTGCGGAATTGACCTACCTTCATCTCGGCGTGGGTTTCCTCACCATTCTGCCCCAATCTGTGCTTTCGAGATTAAAAGCAAATCGCAAAGTTCCATCAAAAGTCCCGCAAGAAGAGCTGCATATTCTCCATCAAAATGTGAGCCTCGAGTAGAGTGGTCTTGCCGACCTGCCTTGCCTTTCCTCCAGCATTTTGCGAACGAATGATGGCATCCTCTCCTTTGGTCTGTTGTTGATCGTGTTCGGAGTCGTATGTCCACTGTGTAGGACTAATTCGAAGACTGGACCGATATGATCTTATCACAAGTACGGTGATCATGAGATGAGAGGATTGGGAGAAGAATGGAGCGAGAGAAGACTCGGATGAGTTTGAGGGCCGTGGGTTGGGAAGGTGGGGTACTTGGAATACGCGTTCGGTATTGAGACCACACACAAGCGACCAGTATATCAAGTATTACATTTACATCGATACCATACAGCAACGAGATATATTAATCGTAGTGCCATAGGAGGTCTGGCCTTTGCATTGATCCGCAGAAGATCCATAAACAGTTAGCTCGATAGTGGAGGGGGGAAAACATGGAAAATTAATTATTAGAATCATTCCCGTATCATTCAAGGTCCTTTTCACCTATGGAAGACGTAGGGGCGATCACATAAAACAATTTTGAAAGGGCTGAGTTGCCTCCTCTCTGCCTTGGTCTTTTTGTCTCGGAGATCTCGCTGGGCCTCCTGCTTGATGTTCTTCTTGGATTCCAAGGACTTTGTCTCGAAGTCTCAAGTGTCTTTCGCAATTTGATAGTATCACTGTAAATAGACACGGTCAGTGAGTTTTCTTGAAAAAGGACCATCAAACTTACGATTTTCTGTGTTTGAATTCGGTGAACTGTGGTACTCTTAATTCGAGGCTGCCCAACCAAGAGGAGGGATTCATAGCAAATCTCGAAACCTCGACCAGGGCCCCATATGCTGGTAGAAAGCACCTCCTCGGGACCCAAGCCTGTCAAAACTTGCTCTGCAGCCGATTGTTCCCTCAGGTGTCTCTTGTCGCGAGTAATCCCGAAAGAGTGGATATCACTTTAAATGGATATGATGAGTGATTTCCCATGCTAGAGAGACGATATAACTCACTTTAAGTCTTCCCTTGTCATTGGGGCACTGAGATAGCCCTGACCTGAACAGCCACTTCGAGCCGTGTTGAAACATTCGGTTTTTTCGGTACACTGCGATTGATCCCACCGGCATCGTGGGTAGAAATTTTATGGGAAGAGAGAAGGAAGAGAGAAGCGGAGGGGAGGAGAAAGTAGTGAATTTATGGCTGATGGAATGGAAAACGGTATCCAGAATACCTGTTCTGTGCGATGTTCCACCGGGATACAGTGTATTTTCTGTATCTCCAATACCAGTGAGTGGTGCCTTCCTCGACAACAACAACAACAAACGGTGTCACGGGATCCCATGTTGACATTCACTTCACTTCTCACTTTTCAATCTCCTCAAACTCTCTAACATCCTACCCTAACATCCTACTCTAACATCCTACTCCAATACGCATGCCTGGAACCAAATCATTTCATTGCGTAATGCAACTATCGAAACCCTATTGGCGCCAGCGGCCTCATGATTTGGTGTACATTTCCATTCTCAACCATCCATCTGAAAGATATACTAATCGAAGGAATAGGCCTACGACTCTCCATTGAAAGTGCCCCCGGTGTCTCTTGTTTCAATTGTTTCTATTGAAAATCACGCGAATCGACGGTAATAACCGCCAGTGCCACTTCCCAATTCCCGAGGCGCCCCGGGTCCTCCTTTGAACAACAAGGAAACAAGACACACGAAGATTGGGCAAGGAAAGGTCTTCCGTGCATAGATCTACCAATCAAAGCAGCCCCAAAAGTTGGCCCCGGGATGTGCATTGACACCTCCATCCTTCATTTCAATTACCTAAAACCCCCTTCTGATGCCAAAGTCAGCCTCCACGAGGAATCGACCAAGATTGCACCCGCCCCAGCCAATTGCAAAGGAACAAGAGACGAAGCGAAAACAGACTTCAAGAGCACGGGCGGCGTGATCGTCGAAAATCCCTATTGTTGAGCCGGCCGGCGCTCCGGAGTTGCATATTGAGCGAACGTTGCTGAATAGCGATTGGCTTGGTCCTAGGGGGAGGACCTCGGGTAGCCGGTCTTTAGATCTCACAAGAGATGAAAGACTCGAGACCCAACAACAGAAATAGGTCGACATAGTTGAAATCACGGGTTGCCAGGTGATGACAAAAGCGTTTTCCCCTTCCGGATTTTGCATTCCTTCTCATCCTGTCATGCAGCTTCCCGCCGGGAACGATATATAGTATCGACAAGTCCGATAGCGAAATGAAACTCACTCGAACAACACTTATTTTTCTCTTTTAAAGTTTAATGGGATAGTAGATAGTATGTAGTGAGATTAGAAGAAGCCAGCCCGGCCTTGCTACATCGATATACTTGAAGGTCCGTTTCGAAATAAGCCCCGTCGGCGCTCTCCTGCTCCTGCCGCCCTCAACAAATTCCCAAGCCTGCAGTGCTGTACGTGCCTGTGCCTCGAGGGCATGCAATCACTCGGCGACGATGGTGGGCATATGCGACGATGAATCTGAACCCATCAGCTCAAGCTAGCTCCCTGGAAGGAGGAGTCCGGCCCATGTGGAGGGCTCAGGTGCACGCCTCAAACCGGCCACTCACGTCGCCATGGCCAGTTTGTTTGGGATATGAAAGAGATGATTGCAAAGATATGTGTGGAATAACCCGGAAAAAAGCAGCCCCCGAAGTCCCAAACAAATTGGACCACGCCTTGTCCAGCCGTCTGGTGGCTCAGTTACAGTTCCTGCGCTGACGTATTTGCGGGTCTTTACATCGCTGCTACGCGCACCTCGGAATCCCCCCTTTTCAACTACGCGACAATGCCACCATCAACGCCATCACAATCATCAAATGGCAGGGTCACACGTCGTAAGGAGTTAATTCCTTATCTGCGTCGTCTAATTTTCGGCGAGTACATGGGAGGGCGGTCACCCACTGTTATTGCTCGCCGCCATGGAATTTCAGAATCAACCGTCCGATACACCATTAAGATGCAAAGCCCTCGAGGGGTCGATCAGGCAGCCTTACAGGAGTGCAGGTCTCCGAAATTATCAGCAATAGACATGCGCGCTATTCTGCAGTGTATTCAGCGTGACCCCTTTATGTCCTACAACGATATGCGCCTTGAGAGCGGCAAATCCATCCCCGACAGAGCTTTTCTCCGAACTCTTCGTGCATCTGGCTACGAGCGCAAAGCCAAAAAATGGATTCGGAAAACCGACAAAGCTGCAGCAAAACGTTAAGTGTTCCTTTTGGCAGACCGAAATAGCCCGTTGAGTTTTCGGCGAAGCAACAAGCGGAACAAGGGATATCACGCCCGATGAGCCGGTACCTCCTTCAAGGACACAAAGATCCAAACATCAGTGTACGATGAGAAAGGCTTTCATATTTGGTATCAAAAATTCGCTAGCAATGCATGACAATTCCGGAAACTTCACATTTTATTTCCCGCTACCAAGCATCATAGCCTTCAAAACCTCCAAACCTTCACAGCTCGCATTGCAGAATCCTTCTTCCTCGATTTTTTTTTACTCTAACCAATCAGCACCAACTCAATCCTACTGAGGCGATGATCCAGCCTCCGCATCAGAAGCAGCCTGGGGCTTTGGCTTGACACTCCTCCATCGAATCCCAAGTGAAAGGAGAAACGCAACAGCGGCAACACTGGTCGCCAGGTAAAACGTGCTGGTGATCGCATAGTTGTACGCATCTAACACGCCTGGGAGATGCGCCGCAGAAACCACGCGCCTCGCATCTGCCGAGCCGGCACTGAGAATATTCTCTATCTCGTGCCCTTCAAATCCCCAACTATCAAGCCGTGAGACAAGTTTGTTCTCGAAAATAGCCTCCGCGATAGCGAGGTTCACGGAAGCCCCAAAGAACTGAAAGCATTGGAGCAACGAGGTGCCGACAGGAATATCCTCAGGCTTGAGAACTGTTTGTGTCGCAACATAGGGCATTGAGAGTGTCATTCCGACACCGAGACCTTGGAGGACTTGGAATGGGATCCACTGCTGGTGTGGGGTGTTTTCGGAGAAGGTAGAGAAAAGCCCAGTTGCTATGCTCATCAGAGCTGTTCCGAGGAGCATGTAGGGATTTGGGTATCCCAGATACTTGAGTGAAGCGCCTGTCAATGTTGCGGAGAGGACATCTGACAGCGCCAAGGGGAGGTACATGAGTCCGGATTTTGTGGGTGAGGCGTTTTTGATCACCTGGAACCATTCTGGGAGGTAGTAGATTGAGGTATACACGGCACCCATGGCGAAGAATTCGCCAAGGCAAGAGAAGAACATGGTTCGCTCCGTGATCAGACGAGGTGGGATCATGGCATTGTCACCCCGTCGCATTTGCCAGAGAGCGAAGATGAATCCAACGCCTGCGCCTCCAACGAAGAGACCAATGATGGTAGCACTCTTCCAAGCGTGCTCGGTGCCTCCCCATTGGAGAGCCAAAAATATCATGATCGTGGCTGGGGCGAAGAGAAAAGCGCCCAGCCAGTCCATGTTTTCCAGTCGGTCCCGAACGGACGCGGAGTTCGTCATGTCGCGCGGAGGTGGTCTGAAAAAGAAGACCAATGCAACAATTGTAACAGCGCCGATCGGGAGGTTGATCCAAAAACACCATCGCCATGTTACATGCTCTGTGAACGCACCGCCTAAGATTGGTCCAATGATGGTGGCGATGCCAAATGTCGATTGAAGAACCCCAATATAGAATGGCCGCTTTACCAGCGGGATTGAAACAGCGACAATACAAAATGCCCCCGTGAAGCATCCTGCCGCTCCCACTCCAGCAATTGCGCGTCCAACGATGAGCATGGGACTATTAACAGCAAGGGCGCATAGCAATGAACCGAGCTCGAAGACGGCAAGACATCCGAGGAACATGCCCTAAATTTGTCAATGAGGATTTTCTCTCCTACCGGAAGCTCCTGAAAATCTCACCTTCATTGCGAAGCTCGCAAATAGTTTACCTGCGATAGGTTGGCAAGCGCACATCGCGAAGGAGTATGCACTTCCATACCAGCCGATATCACTGGTGCTGTTGAATTGGGAAGTGATCATGGGAATAGCCGTGGCGATGATGGAGGAGTCCAGTGAGAGGAGAAATATCGAAAGACCAAGTCCGGCGATGACCACAATTAGGGGAATTCCAGTCAACTCATACTTGTTCGCATCGTCTGCTTGAGAGTGGCTGTCGCTGTCGCCAGTCGACACACTGGTCGCCTCTGGGGCCTGTACGTCCACGATTGGACTTTTCTCGGTCATATTTTGTTCTTTTCGATGACAATAGGATTAAACTCGCAAGATGAAAATGGCGAAATGAATCTAGTAGTATATATACTCAAACGGAGTACCCTAGGTGATCTATACTAAAAAAGAACCCGCTTTGGGATTAGCGCCAGATAACAATCACCATGACTCATGATTGCTCGCGAAGCATAATAAACTGTCGTCTCGCTGTAATAATGTATTGGGATGGAATATTTCCAATATTACTATATATCCCGATGCCATCAACTACGAATCAAGAGTGTAATTGAATTCACAGCTAGGTCTATCTTAACTCGCAACCCGATAATGTCGGGGCCTCAGGTCTCAGGCAATATGCGAGTCATCCGTGGTATTTTTGACAGTATCAGGTTTTTTTATCGGATCCTACGATAGGTTGTGGTCCTTGGAGGTACGATCGCAGGAGATTCAGGATCGCGAAAATTTACACTGCCACCAGCCACTAAGTTCGAAAACCAATGGCTAAATCCAGAAAGGATGTATGATAAAGCGTCATTGATAACATTCTCCATCATTTCTTATTACTTTCAACTGAACCCAGAAATGCCATAACCGCCTTGCCACAAGCCGCCAAGATAAATTACAGATCACAATGCTGTTACTAGTAATCTGTACGCCCCATTGTTTCGCATTGCTACCCGGTTCCAGGGAGCTCTGTATCCGCTACTGCTACCGAATTTTGATTGTTCCATGCTGGTATCGGCGGTAACCCGGACTCGGATGGTTGATATCCCCGTGCAGTGCTTCTCGTACTCAGTCTCATAGAGGATGTTGTTCTTTTCGAGGGCAAAGGGGCTTGTAGGTCCAGTAGAGGCTCCCCCTGCTGGTCCGAGGCAGGGAGTAGGATGGCCCATTGACCAGACATTCCTTACTGTAGCTTCCTGCAGTTGTCGAGTTAGATCAATACCGTCTCCTTGTGATTTATTTCAAAGTGGGAATGAGACAGTTTTCCGTACCAGAAGACCCTTTGTTTTTAGTCTACTGCGCTGGTCAGTCTGGTATCTCTTCAGTGACCTAGCAGTGCGGTGCTTCCCAAATCGCGTATGATACACTTCTTCCATACTTTCGAATTGGACTCCCTGTAACAGAAGCCGCTCGACAAATTTAAACGCATGTAGACGCTCCTGTGGGCGTCTTTTCATTTTGTCATAAGCCTTGCCTTTCCTGTACAAGCTGCCCTCTTCGCCACCGAATCCTTGGCGATGTCTTGCCATAAATTCACAACAAACAAATAAGCCAACTTGATCGACGCGATTACCAGTAGGGCTGCGGGACTGCGTATGGCTGGCTGTCGTCTCGTCTATACTTGTCAATGGAACGGTCAAAGGCTCGATTGAAGCTTCTGTTGATTGAGCATTTAGGAAGGGGGTATCCTCCTGTTTGATAGGATCAATCTGATCCTCTGGTGAATTATCTTCGTGCTGTGACCCATCGTCACTTATCCAGATCATAAAGTCCGAAGATTCTCGAAGAGCACTATTCTCGGACAGTCCGACACTGCTTGCCGACGCCAGAATGTTCTCAGGCTCATCTATGGTACCCCCCTGATACGAATCATCATCGCTTATCAACATCGCATCTCCCTCAGAATGTTCAATGAAGTCCTGCATCGCTTTCTCGGGTACGATTGAATCGTTCAAGATACTTGGGGTGTCTTTGAAAATTCGTAAGCTATACCGATACATAATCAAATCCGCAGACACTGGTATTTCGTAATATTTCACCAGTGGTGGGTTACTACTGACCATGGTTTCCCTCATCCAGGACCTCGGCGGCTTGCGATGCCTGAAGTATGATCATATCCTGGCTCTCTTCCTCAACCTTGCCCAAGTGAATACTCCGACCCCGCTCATCTTCAAACGCAGTCATGCCTTCCTCAGCTTGTAATGATAGCTCTTTCAGAAGCTTTACACTGTACCCTAACTTCCTGAATTCTGCCGGGTGCTAGGGGGTCAGTCGCTTGAGACAATCAAACTCCGGGGCGGGAAGTTCTAACCTTCGGTAGCATGAAGTAGAGCAGCGTCGATATCTACTTTCGTAGCTCTTCGACATTGCTGCTCAAAAAGCCAATCATCCCCAGATGGCAATCGCTTGTTCGAAAATAGTCGGAAGGCTCTAACCTCATTTTCGAAGATCCCCACCTCGAACGGTCCGAGAAAGCCTCTGTAATGACAGGAAGTGTCATCATTGACATTTGCATGCAAGCGGCTATTCTGAAATGCTCTCAGGGCTCGCGACCAATCTGGCGGAGAGTTACCCTGTGTCTGCTCCTTAACTGAGATAACTGTAGGCGCGGCCTTTGTTGTATAGCGGCTTAGAATATCGTTTGTCACCATGATGTCTGTTTGTCGACTGTGATCCAGGAGAGAAAAGCATTTCTTGGAACGAATGTGGTCGTGAAACTTGTTCGCGAAATCAAGGAGTAAGTCGGGTTGGTTCCATATATCCTTGGGTTGTTCTAGGAGTTCGCCTCTAGTCACCCAGTCTTGCTGACCCCCGAAAGGGCCGATAAATGGCCTTGGAGCCGCATCTTCGTCGCTTTCAAAATCCATGGGTCGAACGTTTGGGAGTACCCTCCTCAGGTGTTGGGTGGACGAGAGGAGAAGCAGAACTATAACGAGACTGCCAGGTCGCTTTGAAGTCACTAGGGAATAGACTATGACCTGGGGGCCGGGAGAGTCCCTGTAAATTGCATATGATGACTCTGAATTACACTCAGGTAATCAACCTCGTTTTTCTTTCACCTTTTCTTTACCTCTTTCTCAAGACTGGCCAATCAGAGAAGCTAGTATGCAATGACCAGGGTCTCCTATTATCCTGCATATACCCTAGAGGAATCAGGGGAACAAAATACGATGCGAGCAGGGAAATTAGTACGGTATGTCATGTTTTGCTATCTGTCCATCATCTGAATCCATTCGTATTGTCTTTACCCGTATGGTTTGCCTCGTGGCTTGCCATGTAAATACGCGGGCCGGCGCGTTGCCGGCGCTAATTTTGCAGTGGCGCTGACCGGGGGCCAATAATCCTACGAACACGTCACGAGGCTCACCGGAGGAAAATTCTAGACCCGAGGAAATCTCCTCCTGCCCCGTATTGCGGTCCAAAATGACTGAGCCTGGTCGCCAAGAGGTACTAGCAGGGATCAAAAGTCGGAATGTTTGTTGGCCATGGGGAGAAGAATGATGTATCCAACGCCCAGGGCAAAAGTACATACGAGTACACAGGGATCAGCTAGCCCACTTGATCACCAAGGTGATACTCTAGATGATATTACGAAGGTAGATGGATATATCACATTCTATCTGTCCATCACTAGTTAACCAACAACCAGTATCCCATAGTTGCCTTCAACTTAGTTTTTCCACCAGGTCATGCGGGAGCCAAAGGGACTTTTTATGGTTCCACTGTGATATTGGCACCTGAGACTAACTTCCCAACCCACCCGGGCAGTCTTACACCCGAGCCTCAATCTAGTTGGGAATTTACACCATTATCGCTGAGGCCCGCACGACTAAGCAATACTCGTAGTCGCCGGCTGCCTTGCCTTCTGCTCTATCATTCTGACCACCATCCATCTATCAACAACTGCCCATCAATATCTTCATGCGTCTACTATTTCATACACGCTCAGAAACTTTATCGCTAGAGCAAAATAAATAAGACGTCAGTATTCTGGCCATGGACCCCACGATAGAGCCCGGCATCCCAGGCGATCCCTTGCCAGCATGGCACTGCTATTATTTTGAAGGACAAAGGCATCCTTTCCAAAGTTTCCGCTGGTAAAGGCCGTACTAGTACGCACATGTCGTGTCCTACGCCTGTAGACCCCCCATTCTACCCACAGGGCCAGTTATTATATTTTGGGTTCTTATGTAGTACACTCCTATGCATATCATACTTCATTGAGTGGCCTTCTAATAGATTATTAATCAAGTGGAACACTTTTGGGAACGTTCTGCCCAAACAAGACCAGCCATCCATTATCCGTCAGAGCACTTATATACATACTATACTAGTGACTCCATGTTGCAGTTACCAATTCGATCAGGTAGGTGAGGTCCACTGTAGAATCTCGCTCATCCGCAATGGCGAAATCTTAAGAACAACGTACCCTGGGCGCGAAGTTCCTGCTTGGATGTCCTTCTCTTCGTCCCACCACTTAGCCAAAGTCTGATACCCACGGCGATAGTTGAACTTTTTTTCATACTCAGGGACAATTTGCGCAAATGACCATCCTTTTCGTCTGTAATAATCAATGAACCTAAATCCTTCCTTGCGCTCTCTCTCTGACCGTTTCCCACCGAATCTTACTTTGATCGACTTGGCGGGTGTTCTGTCAACTTTGGACGTTGAAGGCTGCGAAACATGGACACTGTTCACCTCATCCTTGAGAATACTCGATCTCATAACTGGTATTTTAAATAAGCTTCGGTTGTAGCTGGGATACTGGAATCCAGCATATGGGCCGCCTACAAACCTTTTGTCAAATCTGAGATCGAGAAATCTGATAGTTCATTTTCCAGGGAAAGTTGTTGAGAATGTGAGGTGCGGTTGTCTTGTTCATCTGCTGAATCCTCCTCATCGCATGAATCCTTGATTGCTAGAACTCAATGAGCCGCCGTTCTGTTTGTTGAGTTATTTGTTTTGGAGCTATCTGGAGCAGGAGACTCACAAAGAACATCGTCGATGACGATAGGGTCTGCATTTTGTTTGCCTTCCAGCTCACCAATTTCTCGGCGGCACAGAGACTTCATGCATTCTAATCTCTGCAACATTGCGTGCTCAAGATCAAAAAAGTGACAGAGGTCTTTCGTGGTCAGCACCTTTCTTGTAACGAAGATTCACAAATCTGTCTCACATCGTGTTCGGTATCTGACGATATCGTCGAGCCTCGCCTGGGTTTCCTTGATCTCTCTTTCCCAGTCATCCCGACTGGGGAACTCGCAGTTTTGCACTGTTTCGATCGCATTATACTCGGCCCTTGTAATCGTGACTTTGTAGGGATACATTTTCCCCTCGTAGTAGCTGGGCAGCTTTCTATCCGGCAGTTTCTTGAATACACCTGCCTTGAACGCCAGGATGGTTTCTATCCAATTCGGAGGACGCGAAGTATTGCTGCCGCCCTGACTGACCGCAGTAGGGCCATTTGGCTTTCCAGTGGAATTACCGATAGACGTGTTGATCATACTTCCAAAGGTATTCTGTTCGGGGTTGTGAAGAAGAAAGCTTTTGTTAGCTTCCACGACATTAAGCTGACTTATCGACCATTTCATGATTTTGGCAAACTCGTCCTCGATGTCTTGAAGAGATGTGACTTTTGGGCGTGTCACCAGGTCCCAGTCAGATTGATGATACATGGTTGGATGGCATTCTGGTGTCCAGGATTGGGCTGCGGTGTTCGTTCCAGCAGATTCGATTTCCGTTTCGACTTTTGGTTCTCGACTGCAGTGTGAATCCATTAGGATAGTTGTATTGGGAACGACGGAGAGCAATCTTGAACAAAGAAAAGGTATTTGACCTGGTGAACAACTATGTCGAGCCGTGCCCCTAGGGAAATTTAAGGACAAAAAATTGACCCCCTAAACAAAACAAATAATATTTTGTAATCCCTGTTCACTTTGAGGTCATCATTGAAACGACGGATAGACACGTACGATTTCCCCCAGGAACGTACGAATGCGATAAGCCACATTAATTACAGGCTTCTCGTACTTCGCGGCACGCAAATAACTGAAATTCCTATCGCGACTAGCCTCCATTCTTTTTCTCAACCCGAATTCCCATCTTCCTGTTACAATTTGCCCGAACTAGCCGCATCCAAAGTTAAGTTTAAGATATAATCAATTGGGGAGATAGCAGCGACAATGGGCCTTCTTTACCAAAAGAAAAACATCAAAAAATCATATTCGATGCAAGCAAGCTTTAGAAGGAGGGTCAAATCGAGATTCTGAGCAAGCGGTGGCCAAGAGATAGGCGCATACATAGACCGTTTCGACTCTGAAGCTAAAAGTCGTCCAGTCACGTTGGTGTATTCAGAGTTGGAAAACTGGGATCTACGGTGTGATTAACTCGCAGATTTTAGGGCAAGGCTGACCAGCCACCACGAATCTGTGATTGTGTTATGGAGTACTCCGTACGGAGTAGTGGTAAGGGGTCACTGTGCCTTAATGCCAAGAGGCCGCTAGCCGTGTGATGTGATAGCCGCGATGTTTGCCTCGCGATCCAGTTTCTCCACAAAATACGTGCCCATTTACACCAGTGTTCTGTACGGTAATGCGTGTTATCATCCCTGGTCAATACAATACGGTTTTGATCTTGTAATTCTGCTGGATGCTTAGGGCCATGTATCGGCAGAAAGAACTGTTATCCGTCCGACTCAACTTCACTTGGATTTGCTCACTTATTGTTCAAAATCCTCTCCAGCTCTCCAGATAACCAGATGGAAAATGCTAATATTTTTTCTAGCGACGAGGTGATGTGATGCCGTAAGAAAATGCGTCTAGTCTCTCAAGGAATCTTTGTTTATCGTTCGTAAAATTTAATATATTCGAAACTGTCCTTGGAAGTTGGAACCACGTACCATTCAAGCTCTGGAAAGCCTGACAGTCAGCGCAAGGTATCAAATCTCGGATCTAGACCCTCGGAATTTGGAAGGATTAGCACAGGTTGCTCAATGATGTTTGTGAATTAAATTTCTTGGAAGCCGTCTGGTCTCTTCTTTCTCTCAAGTCCCACCAGACATTATCTTCTGTTACAAAGGCCCGCGAAATTCCTTCCACTGGCTTATTGGGCACCTGATCTGCCCTGCCGACCGCGAGGCTGCCCTCCGGTACGGTCAAGGTAGTTCCCTCTACCCGAGCGAATTTCTTTGAGCTTTTTTTACCTGACGGCTCTTTATACGTGTGTGACCCATTTAACCCCCCCCACCATGGGTGTCATTTTGCTCCTTCTGTATCCAACGTTCCTTCTGAATAAGTCCATCCTACCGGCCCGCATTTATACATGGGCGACGCCCACCGGTGAATACCACGCGCATTTGGCGCAGCTAATGGCCAGCGTCTGCTACTAGTAGTGTAACGGGCCCAGGCCCGTGGAGATATCACGTCGTGTCACGTGACCTTTTCCTGCAGGAAAACCAGGTAGAGGCTCACATAGATACTCTTCTTTAAGATTATTGTAAACAGCATGCAGGCCTAGCCCCAATTGAACAGTTGTCGCTACAGCCCTTCACAAGTAGTGTACTATCCATTGGGATCAATTATTTTGGGCTGTTCACTCGCAGTGAATAATATTATTTTAGAGATTAATTAAGAACAAAGGTTCAAGGAGTGGAGTCGGATCTTTCCAAAGTAATCGGCATGATAAAACTTGCAGTAATTGGTTGGACCTTTTAAAGAAGTCTATTGAGACTGCACTGCACGTTGAGATTGAGGTTGATCAAACCAATCTGTAGAGTTCTCATCAGTATCTCGAGATATATGATTTCACTGGCAATTTACCTGTTCAACATCATCCTGGGAGCAGCAGTAAACAGGTCCGCTTGAGCAATTATCGCCGAGGAGTCCCGGGGCAATGTTTCCCAAGGACAAAAGACCAGCGTTGCCATTGCCTTTACAAACAACAATCTCGTCGTTCTCACAAGTGGTGCTTTTAGCAACAGCAGCAGTGACAAGAACGGCCAATGCAGTCAATGAAGTGAAGTATAGCCTCATGGTCGTTCGGGAAATAAAATCTCAAGAGATATATGATAGTAACTGGAGGTCTCGGCTAACCAGAAGTGTAATAGCCAACAGAGTGTATTTCTGTTCTTGGTCTTGGGTGGATATACAATTGGTTTAAATACTCATTCCAAGACAGAAAATAGCATCGAGTCCATTTGAAAAATAATCCCATCTGAACCTTTCTTGCTCTGGACTTCTAAACCCAACAAGGTTGAGTTGTGGTCTCACAGAATGACGTGGTTGACCCTTGAAGGAAAAACCGCCATTCCTGCAAACGGCTTCCTGGATTTCAATAGATCTAGATCGGCGGGCACAGCCGCGAGTAGACCTAGAACTCTCCGCGGAGTTCCTGCCTTCACAATTCAATTCTTAGGCAGATGCCGTTGATTTGAAACTCAATTTCATCTTTAGAATGTCCGCGTGAGAGGTGGGGTGGATCAACCACACTTCGGTTTGGCGGGCCCAAATTGGCCGAATTTGTGCACGGTCTCTGGACTCTGATCTTTGCCATTGAGCTTGAGTGTTTATTATCATTCTCTGGTCCTCAAATACTTGTGTAAACAATAAAAGTCAAGTTTATTGAATTAACTTTGGGCGTTTGAGACTACTTAGAGTTGAAGATGGACATGTATTTTGAGTTTGGTTGGCCTCCGCCCGGGCGCAAGTCCCCAGCAATTGGCTGGATATACTAACAGCAGCCTTTCGCCCCGGTAGGAATTCCGCCATCGGATCGTACCCATCCTATAGGGGTTGACTTTGATTTTATCAATGACGGTTGGACTAATAAGGTTGACTGAGGCTTAAGATGCTAGAAATCAATGTGCGGAAGCTAATCAAGTCATTCCCGTATACCCCGTGCGTTCCGAACCCCTTTCCTCAATGATCACAATGCCTCCTGTACCGAATATTAACGCTCTACGATCCGTGGGAAGTCGTTCAAGCTCAGGAGGTCTGATTGTGTCAATTTGGGGGGGGCTCTATAAATTCATTAATTCAGTATGTTGGAAGAAAAATGATATTTCTAGCCCACCACAAGACTTTTCTTCTAGTAGATTTCGGATTGATCAAAATAAAACAAGGTCTGGTGCCAACCTTGGACGGTACGCGGGTGGCGTTCAGAATTAACATGCTTCACATCCCCAACAAAACCAGAAATACCACATCCGGACATCTTCGATTTCCAAAGTTCGGAGTTGCCTTCTTTGTCTGAAATTAAAAAAGTTTTAATATCGTTTCAGGTTCTAAATGATCACTGGGATCGAAAGCAAACTGAGAAACGATCGCAGTCTCTTCCATCTCAGTGCTTGAACCTTGGAATGTTTAAAGGGTCCATCAAATCATACCTAATGCTCTGGATGACAGTCATCTGTCGTTCAAGCTAATCTCCATTTTAAACCCAGCCAAAGGCATCTGTCCCGATGAAATTCTTCATCTCGTCCAATTCCTTTAGTTTCTACTGCGCTTGGTGATAATCTCCCATCATTCCTGCATCTCTCGAGGTCATCTTTAGAACGGCAACATGCACTCAAAAATTTCATCCATAGTTCCCCGGTGATCTAGGTCAATTTTGAAGGATCTGTAAATAATGAAAAACCTTCGCTGAAGTATGGAGCTTTGGTTCTTGTTGAGCCTTTAGTGCCTGAGGCATCAAAAGTCGCATCCCCGTTAGTTAAGGCCCTTTCCCTCTCCCAGTTATCTAGCCATGGTGCGTCAATCAACAGTATCATGATTCTGGGGTTTTATTACTAATGATGGTGTCAAATCAATCCGGCCAGCATTTTATGGTCGGCGCAGCATAATAGAAATGGGCAATCCATCCCCGCAGCATCTCTTAAACATTCCCATGTTCATCGCCGGGTCGGTCAGAGTTGTCCGGTAGTTCCACAATCCCGGCTGCTCTTGATTAAAGTTTGAAGCAGCTCGCTAGATTCATTCCCTCAATTCTACTCCCAAATTTTGCTAGGAATGACTGAGTCCGTCATGGCATCGAACCGTTCATTTAGACGCACTAGCTAATAGACGGCCGATAACTCGTTACGTGCTTTCCGAGTTTATTTGCTAACAGCCCCGGAGTACGGAGTAAGCATATCCACCTCCAGCCAAGAAATCAGTACGAATGAGAAATTTCTTTGCCCCCGATCGCAAAGGAAGAATAGATACAGTTCAAGTTAGAATTCATTTCGCGAGGATAGCGCATAGCATGGCGGCATTAAAGCAGCCCTGAAGAACGAAGATCATCACGCGCTGTTGCTAACTCCTTCATTTACTCAACACAAATCTTACTTTAGCCCCCATCTCACGGTCTTGGCTCAGGTAACTCATTTCTACAATCAGTATCTCTCCGGTTAGATCTTTCCTCACGCAAGACTTTTCACGCCAGCTAACGTTGACTAGTTCCATTTCACATTAACTCCGTCGAGTAAATGCTACCCCACAGGACCCCGGACTCCACATTTATCTTGATGATATCCATCACAATGTGTAAGAAAATGCACCTACTTTACTAGCATTCGGCCAAGTCGGTCAGCATTTTCTCTTTGCGCCCTGCGTCTTACATATCCGACGCATCATCCTGCACTGCCAGCCCATCATCCCTCGCCCCATCCAGCAATACGAACAGTCGATCATTCAGTGACCTCTTATTCAGTTATGCATCCCGGTCTTTTCGCCCCGCGACCACTAGTCTGCCAATCACCCTGAACCTCGAATTTGGCCCCAGTTTAAACCCGGCCACCCAAGCATCATGCCCGAAATGCCCACTTCTTTGACAATCTCGACCCACCATGACTATGGCACCTCCCCAATATGCCAAGGCAGTCAGACGGTCTCCCACTGTTCGTTCCTTCACATCTTCCTTTGACGTCTGCGTATATCCTCCGGGTCCATGTTCACTCTATACCGCTCTCTTGAATCCCACCGCGGTCTGTCATCATGTTCAAGCAAGGCGGCGGTATGGTCGAGCAAGATGAGAATATCGACGAAACGCCCCGCGAGAAGTTCGTGCCCCAGCGGACCCTCGGCACAGCAGCCGAGCGCGCGCGACGCAATCTTAACGCTAAGCTCTCGAATCCCCTTGCTGGATACAGTCATTCGGAGCTCCGCAAGCAGGGTCGTGCTTTTGCGATGATGCACGAGATGGGCGATGAGACCGATATCAGGGCCTTTGAGCTGGGCGCTGTACTCGCTCAATCGCCCGAACGATTTGAAAATGTCGCCGGGCTGACACCGCAAGAAAAGGATGTTTTGCGACATGAGTTCACACATCGGTGGTCGCAACCATGGAAGATGTATGCTGTTATTGCCCTCTGCTCGCTTTCTGCAGCTGTTCAGGGAATGGGTAAGCTCTATTTCTTTCTCGAGACCAATGATGATCTCCAGAGCTATTTGCTAATTCACGGTGTCTATAGACGAAACGGTCGTCAACGGAGCACAAATCTGGTATAAACACCAGTTCGGTATCGCCACAGAAGCTCGGAGAGACACATGGTTGGTGGGTTTGGTCAATGCCGCACCTTACCTTTGCTGCGCATTCGTTGGATGCTGGCTCACAGTTCCATTCAACCACTGGTTCGGTCGACGGGGTACAATATTCATCACATGTTGCTTCAGCGCGATAGCGTGTCTCTGGCAAGGATTCGTGAATACTTGGTGGTCCATGTTTGTCGCCCGCTTTGCACTTGGCTTCGGTATAGGCCCAAAGTCGGCGACAGTTCCGATCTATGCTGCAGAGACTGCGCCTCCCGCCATCCGTGGTGCATTGGTGATGCAGTGGCAGATGTGGACAGCGTTCGGTATTATGCTCGGATATGCCGCGGATCTAATATTCTACAAGGTCGCGGACCCCGTCGGCATAGTGGGAATGAACTGGCGTCTCATGATGGCCTCAGCAATGTTCCCGGCACTGGTCGTGTGCTGTTTCGTCTTCGCTTGCCCGAGTCCCCGCGTTGGTATATGAGCAAAAAGCAATACTACCGCGCGTATGAGTCGATATGTACCCTGCGTCACCATAGGATTCAAGCGGCTCGTGATTTGTACTACATGCATACCCTGCTGGAAGCCGAGAACAGTATGAAGCTTGGACAACATAAACTGTTGGAGCTCATCACTGTTCCACGAAATCGTAGGGCTATGCTGGCATCCGAAATCGTCATGTTCATGCAACAGGTAAAAGCTCCTCTCTCTCATGAACTGAATCCGCATACTAACTTTCCAGTTTTGCGGTGTCAATGTTATCGCATACTACTCATCTGAGATATTTTTGGTGAGCACCCTTCCGGTCGCAAATATGTGGTCTGCAATATTGGGCAAAATTGGCAACTAACAGCATTTAGGAAGCAAATTTCTCCCCTGCTGCCGCGCTTGCAGCATCTTTCGGATGGGGTGTGATTAACTGGCTCTTCGCTATACCAGCTGTCTACACAATCGACACTTTCGGTCGACGAAATCTCCTACTCACAACGTTCCCTCTCATGGCACTAGCAATGTTCTTCACCGGTTTCAGTTTTTGGATACCAGAAACCAGTCACGCTGCTCGGACAGGCTGCATCGCCCTGGGCACATACCTCTTTGGTGTTGTATACTCCCCCGGAGAGGGCCCAGTCCCTTTCACATATTCCGCGGAGGCTTACCCACTGTACGTGCGATCATACGGAATGGCTCTCGCGACCGCGACAACATGGTTCTTCAACTTTGTATTGGGAGTGACCTGGCCATCCTTGCGAAATGCCTTCACGGCTCAGGGTGGGTTCGCATGGTATGCCGGGTGGTGCATCGTCGGATGGTGGCTCGTTCTGCTCTTCATGCCGGAAACTAAGAACAAGACACTGGAAGAGCTGGATCAAGTGTTTAGTGTACCGACGCGTTTCCATGCACAGTATGGACTCCGTCAGATTCGTTACTTTTTTAAAAGGTATTTGCTTCGAAAGGATGTGCGCCCGGAGATTCTATATGAGCGGGAGGATGCTGCACCAACACAGGATGTGGGATATAATGCATGATGGAGGAATTGTTTGCTGCGCTCTACTACATATCGAAGAACTACAACTATTGAATTAGCGGAAATGTAGATATCAATGCGATGCTTCAACGAAATGGAAATCTTTATTTTTTTCAAATTAGAGAATCAATCCAGCTTTCCGGAACATCTCAAAACTCTCAATCCAGGCACCAACGGGGTCCTTGTCCCCTTCGAAGCCAGTCTTTCGAATCTTCTCCAGACTCATTTGTCGATCGAAGGTCAGCCAGTAACCCACGCTGTCCAGCTGGCGGTGACCGGCTCCCACTCCAGCGGTCACCGCATTCTCGCAACCGTGTCGCAAGAATATTTCCTTGTGGCTTGAGATGTATTCTCCGGGCGGAAGCGAGGCGGTTGAATCAGGAAGCTCGCCGACCTTGAGAGTATTCAAGTTCGATTCCGATTCATCGGCAGGTCCGACACCTTCTAGTCCAAACCATTCCGCGAGTTTCGGCCAAAGCTCGCCATACGTGCATGGCTTCTGATGATCGGCAATATTGAAGAGATTACCCTGTCCACATGTGTCCGGGTTCAATGAAGCATAAACCAAAAATCGCGCGATTGTTTGGCTGGAGGCAGGCGTGAAAAGGGAATTCGCGCCCGCAGCATTGCCAGGGAAAGGGATCTTCACGATGGCATCTTGAGCTGATGGTGCATTTGGGCCCTTGCCATGATTAAAAGCGTACAGAGAGAGATACTGCGCCCAGTGCAGTGCTAGGCTGAATTGAGACCCGTTGGGGGTAAATCCGATCTTCAGGAGTGAGTTAGCGGTGTCGGGGAGTTGGCTTGGAGGACACATACAATTGCATCTGGGCAAACTTCGCACCATGTCCAGCTTTTTCCTTCACTAGCTTCATTGAGAAGTTTTCTGTATGCCGGGTACACAACTGTCGCGGCATAATCGGGTGGAAGGTTTGAAACCATGTCTTCTTGAAGAGGCGGGGTGAACGTCCCACCGGGCACATAAATTCCATATCCCTGGAGAGCCAAATCAGCAAATGAAAAAGGAATTGGCCGTCAATTTCTGCATTCATACCCGTGTTCCGCCCGGGAAGGCCACAAACCGAAGGTTTGGACTGAATCTTTCATGGGCGTGGATGACATTTCGCATCATGCGTAGATTGGTATCGACCTCTTCAATGTCATCGGCGATTGCCGTGAACACTAACATCTGTGAGTCAATGCACGGCAAGTGAGCTTCATGGAGGAGGACTGACCTAAATAGTACACATGCGTAACACTTGCAATGTCTTCCAATTTGTCTTTCAGTGACTCGGCAAATGTCGGTCCATCGGCGTGGCGTAGATCAACACCTGACACGAGTTCCAATTTTGGACCTGTCGCATCGGTCTCGGGCCAGTATGATCTCGATATATCGAGCGGTCGGTTTGTGATCGCTGTGATCTTGGAAAATGTACCAGATTCGGGATACTGCTTCAAAAGTTGGTCTACTATAGACCAACCCACTAATCCCGACGCACCATAGACAATGGCGTGGTTCGACTGTTCAGTCATTTTCGCGGTGTCCTAGGATGTGATGGATATAGTCAATCAACAAAAAGGAGTAGTTGATGTAGTTTATAAGCAATGCCAAATGTTAAATACACAACATAATTGAACGAATTAAGACAGGTAACACGTCATGACTCATCATGAGCCATTCACTTAGGAATCCACTCGGTCTCCAGATTAAGCCGGGAGGTGGGTCAACTGCCAGTGAATATCGAGAACCAAATAGCAGTTGAAGTCAAAATATTTATATTGTAAGCATAATATATGCATTATGCATAATTTATGCATATTTCACTAATGTTTGTTGAAGCCAATTCTGAAGTAGACTGAATTTTCGAAGGCTTCAATCGCCCACCATTCATGCACCTTGGCAAATTCGTAACGATCCAGTAATAGGAGGGCTGCATGGATCATAACATGCAATTACTGAGGCACAGAACTAGGCAACAACGTACAATATCTAGATCATATTTTCAAAAGACTTCTTTGATTACTGGTAACTCTGCCAAAAACCTTGAAATTTCTGTGTCGTTTTCAAAGTAGCTATCCTTGAGACAAACAACGACAAGTCGAAATAATGTCAAGAAAAAGAAAATATATACATCATTGCCCTTCCACCCGTGGACATTCCAACTTGAAATTGATGCCCACTGGCAGGCAAAGGCGACATTCTACTGGCACAAGTCCGCAGTCAGAGTGACGGGCTGGGGGCACCCATAGACCTTCTTATGAGCAGGGGTACTGTAGCAGCCGGGATCATTAGCTGCACAGTCGAAGAGCTCACAGCCGTCTCCGGGGCTAAGCGAGTTAGGATTCGCGGCGAAGGGATTACCCCATTCCGTGCTCAATTCATCTTTAGCGACGACACAGTTAACAAAATATTCCTTGCTGGCAGATACATTTGGTTTACTCACAGTAGGCATAGTCCGGGTTGGATGAGAACGAATAGCCAAAGAAGAGGGGGCTAGTTAGTGTCTTTGTTTTGGCGATCTTGACCGTCTATACATTTCATTTCCAGTCAGTTTACCATATATGAAGTATGTTATCGAGAAAAAAGAGCCGAATAACGTACCGAGCCAGACTTTCTAAACTTCTCGGAGAAGGTTCCACCCTTGGCGACGGTGGTAAGAGGACCGGGGGCGCTGCCATCGTAAGGGAATGACTGAATGTATACCGTGGTAGCACAGTGGTTGTTTACAACAGCATTCTGAGCCGAGGCAAGCCCAAGGAGGGCACCTAGTGCGATTAAAGAGGTCTTCATAGTTGATATTTTGCTTTTCGCTTTGCAATAGAAGGTTTAAATTATCTGGTTCCCTCCCAAAAAGAGAGGGTTGGGCGGTCTTCAAATAGTTCTCATGCTCGGGCCACAACTATTACCAATTATTCAGTCCATGCTAATGGAGTACATATACGAGGCCTTTGATCTAAGACATGGCACCTATTCTGTCTTGAATTGTCAGGCCACCGCCTAGAGCTCCGTCCCGCGGCCAATCAACTCGAGTGGTAGGTGAGACATACGCATTAACGCCACTGCAGGTTCTCCGCATCAAAAGCATCGATCGCATCGGGTAGCGTTACATTCACCCCACAATCACACCAATTTCTGAATAACTGCGGGAGCCTTTGTTGATGGTTCTCCGTATGTGGTAAGCATGACTTCAGCGGTGTGGATAATCTGCCATAATCAAGGAATTCATCAGTTCAGGATAGAGGGTTCAGCCGGTTTCCCCGCTCCGGACTTGGCTCACAGTGCCATCCAAGACATTGATGCATAGGTACCGCGCTTGAAGGTGATGAAGAATGATGTACCAGTACCCCGCCGGACCCTTAGCTCTCTCTTTCCGCCGGAAGGCTCCAATAAAATTGTATTCTCATAGTTGTGGGACAAATTCCCCTGATCGAGTAATCCATGCCAAGAGTCAGATGTCAGTCATGAGGTCACCCTGCATAGCTTTAGTTCGTATAGTACCCACCGTCATGAACTCATCTCGACACCTGATCGAATATTCCTGCGGCTGAGAAGACTGATTCTAAAAGCCGGCTGTCTTTCAAAGCCTAATGAGGACAGGAATATCGCCGTGGGATCAGTGCCACACCAACAAACTATTCCAGTATGAGCCCTATGGGGTGTATTCCCTATGGGGTGTAGTGAAACTTGGATTATTGCTAAAGCAATGAAGGAGCTAAGACTGATGCCAGAGGCTCATGTCAGAGACATAACGATTATATTCGATGATAGACATACAGCCACGGAGCCCATCTGAGATAGCAGAACGGACAGCCCAAGGCTACAAGACAAGAAAGCATAGAAGCACGAAGACACTCAGAGGCCACCGGAACAGAGAGACATTATAGCATCACAGGAACATTTCTCAAAGACTCATTTCATTTCCTCTGTCTTCAAACTTTTGGTTGAATTCCATGCAGCTTGTTTGAGAGATGGAGCAAATTCCTATCTTTGCGCATCATATGTTTTTCCTTTCTCTATGAAAGACACATCCCTGTGACTTTACGCTTAAACGTGATGAGCCCTAAGCTTGAGTCTTCCGTGATGCTTTATAAAATGGTAACCATCATACATTGCTCTCGAAATGTCCCATTCATAATCCCGCGTTTGGTGCTTTGACTGGCTTGTCTCTCAAACAAATCTCCGTGTCTTGTCCGTTCAATGATATCAGCCTGCAAACATCTTCGCGAGAACACCCTCACTCAGTATGCCCAAGGGCCTTGTTTACAGCCGCAACATCCCAGTAGAACGGCCTCATTTCAACCATAACACCACGCTCGAGGTCAACAGTAACAGCCTGGCAGAACGGAAAATCTAGTTCCTCGCCAGTCTCCCGCACTTTAAAATGTACGTTTGACAGTACCACGATCCGGTCCGATCCAGGGTTCTCGAAGATTTCTAGATTTTGCACATCGACTACTTCGAAATGATCGGCCATGCGGCGGGCCCAATCTTGCATTCCATCTGGTCCGATGTAGAGGCCGGCATATGGTAGAGCGGGCGTTTGCTCCAATCGGAATTCGGGGGCTAGGGTGGCTGCGATGCCGGTGAAGTCACGTGTATCTGGCGTGGATGACATGTATTCACGCTCTGCTGAGTAGAACGCATTTAGGATTTGCCGGGGCGTGTATTTGCCATTGGATGCCATGGTAATTCTTGGAAAGAGATACTGGTAATGAATAGAATTTGTTGCAGTGTATTGAATTTGTAGATGATGCAGTCAACGAGCCATGTAACGGAGATTCTTGATTAAAATAAAATATCAAGTCGTCTCTAAAACACAGATAACTGAATTATCAATTCGGCGACACCCTCGCTCTTCGGCATCCGCGAACTCTACGGTGTATGTTTGCGTCAGAAAGCTTATAAATTCACCCGGGCCCGAACCCAAAGTGTCCGAGCATACAGAAGTTACTCGATTTCAGGCCGGCGACCGTTTGGTAAGGTAGGTAACAGACGGCTGATGATACAAACGAATGTTCTTCCGAGGGCTAGCTATATTCATATTAGTCTGTCTTGGCACACTACGAGTGTCAAGACTGTTAGGCTTAATTAGCCGTTAACTGTATATGTATGCCGACTTCCCTGCACAATCAAAAAGCGATATTGGATCCCAAGATTAACAGAACTGGTTTCCCTCATTTCTAAAATGTTACTGTTATTAGTCGGGTACTTTCTGCCTCCTCATTCAAGTTGGTCAATGCTCACTTCTATTTTGAATTTCAGTTACGCAAGTCAATTTGACTTGAACTTCTTTTACAAACTTTCCTTTTTTTCTGTTGTTTGAGAGCATTAGTGTGCTAAAGGCGCATCACCAGTAGTTTCAAGGCAAAGGATCAAGGTGTACAAATTCCCAACAAGAGAAATCGATTGGGAAATTCGCCAATGTATATAGTGAGCCAAAATGAAGGCGGAATTCCAAAAGTATCTCAAATGGTAATTCTTTTATGATTAGAAATTGGAGCTGTTATTGTATACTCTATTTCTCCTCGAGAGTATCATCTGGTCTTGGCGTATTTTAGAGTACGACAGGACAGCGGGAATAGAGCGGGAATGCTATTTCCGAAATCATCTCTTCATATTTTTTTACCTTTTTTTACCTTGAGATTCTCTCGATTACATAGCTTGCAAAATTGTTTGAAATTGTTAAATAAACAGCTCTTTTCTTTGGTCGATTTGTAACACATTCTCGCATTTTCTTTCCACAAATATCAGAATTTAAACGCCCGGGCGAGCCTCCAGTGGGGTTATATAGTAAATGTCAAGCAAAGGGCGCATTACTTTAGCCTAAAGCTCGGACCACGACTCGGAGGTACATAGCCTTGCCATGCCCACAATTTAAGATTAGGATTTCCAACCTCTATCTCAAAAATAAAATGCACCGAGTCCCTCAATTGCACATTTGACGATCACGGCTCCAATTCGACTTCTCTCAAGCATTATACAGTCATCAGCGGAATCTCGGGAAAGGTCACCGCATCCCGAGCACAGTACGTCGACAATTTTCCAGTTATCCTTCCCCTCTCCGACATTTTCATACCCATATCTGACCAAACATTAGATGGCTGAACCAACAAAACTCATCTATCAACATGATGGAGAAAAGCTTATTCATCACTCCAAGATTCTTTCAATTGTCCCATTGCCAGAACTCCAGGAACCGGACCAGGCTCTTGCGAAAGACTCTTCTGAAATAGAGCATGCCGTTATCACAGATTCCACCATCTTCTACGTTCAAGGCGGTGGCCAGCCCGCAGATATCGGAACCATGAAGTCCGATGCAGCTACGAAGGAAGGTTCTGTTTTCGAAGTCAAGTCAGTTCGTCAGCCAGCACAGGGTAGTCAAATCCTCCACCTAGGCCGTTTCATTCCTCCCGGGGCCACCGGGTTTGTTGCGGGCAAGGAAGTTCAACAGAGCGTCGATTCTGAAATTCGCAACCTGCACTCTCGCCTTCATACTGCAGGTCATGTAATGAGTCTGGCTATCCATGCCCTGTGCCGGGATGGCATTCTGCCTCCGCTGAAGGAGTCGAAAGCGTCACATTACCCCGACTCTGCCAGTGTCGTGTTCGAAGGAACAATTGAGGGAAAGCATAAAGATGCCATTCAAGCAAAGACGGACGAGTTTGTCCGATCGGCCAGCCCGGTCAAGATTCACTGGTGGTCGATGGAAGATTTGCGAGAGAAGTGCTACGGTGTTACCGAAGCGTTCGAGTTGCCGGAGGGGGAGGTTATGGGTAGAGTTGTTGAGATGGAAGGTCTGGGAAGCTATCCCTGTGGTGGAACGCATGTTCGGGATTGCAGCCAAGTGGGTAAAATTGTGGTGAAGAAAATATCGCGTTCCAAGGGGACAAGCAGGGTGTCTTATACAGTAGAATAGTCTGTTTTGAGGTATTCTTGATTAAACAAAGTATAGAATTTAAAGGATGTCGCGACTGGGCTCCATTGTGCCGTAGATTAGAAAGCAAGGTATCTTGAATATCTTATTTAAGTCTGCATGCTACATACTAGTATGCAAGGGAACCCATGAAAAAGAACTCAGCCGAGGATAGTTGTAGCAAGCTACTGATTTCAATGAGTCTTAGTAGTGACGTGAATTCAAATCGTATCAAAGGGTATCTCTTTTGTAAATCATGAGTTCTTGAAAGTATCAGAAACGGCTTAACCAAAGATATCTACGCCAAGATACTGACCACAAGAAATTGCGAAAGTGAAAGAAACTAAGATAAATCGAGGGGTATCTGCGTAAATCGAAATATTGCGGCATCGTCAGCCTCATCTACCCACCCTTTTGGGATTTTCGGATTTTCCCCGGAACCATCACCCCTCAAAGTCAGGCGTCGGGATAATTTAATTCGATATTGGCGTCCACATCGAGTCTTTTCGGCATGGCCGCGAACGGGAAGTACATTTTTCAAGTAAATGAGCTTCTGGTGGTAGATACCGTAGACGAGGCTCGTTCTTCTCAGGGTGTCCCGAAGGCTATCCATCTGAACGGAGACATGGGCAAGAACCCAGCTTTCCAAGCCCGCTTCTAGAGCGTTCTCTGCCTGGAGGAATGGCTCATGGATCCAGATTTCAGATAGCTCGCTGAGACCACCCAGTAGGCACTGTTCGTCAGGAACCGGCTTGGGGAGTTGACTGGGAGGGATTAGCAAATGGACCACGGGTCACGGATAGGAGAAAGTGAGGAAGGGAGAGTAATGAGTATAGACCATACCTTCTGGTGAGATTGCACATTGCGACGTATCCCTCTACACCGCACCCGCCCTCCTGCTTGACGATAGCGGCAAGCACGTGGTTTACCTGGTCAGTAACTTCGACCGGGTTTTGGAGGCAGTTCCCGATCTTGTGGAGATATACATGCACAGCTTCCATGATCCGCTTCGCAAGAACTGGGTTCTCCGGGCTTCCATTATGGGAAAGAAGACGTTACTCAGTTCAATAATCATGTTGATCAATGTAAGGACGCTTCCGAATCGACGGCATTACTTCAGGGTTTGCGAGAAGAAACTTCATGCTGTTCACTGCCTCTTTCTTGCCGGCACTTAGAACGAGTGGTACCCTGAATAGCCGGCTCGACGTCCTTCTCGCGAATTTGTGCACGTGCTAAAGCTGAGAACGCCTCCTGGTATGCTCGCTCTCGAACGGTATGGGCGTTGCTCCTATCTTCCTGATCGAAGTCCGGGAATGGTTATTTCTCTTCGGCTAATTTGCGGGTTGGACTGCGCGCGACGTTGCTGTTTCTGGCCGCTAGGATAAGGTCATCGCTTCCAATACTTGTATTGCTTGAGTTTGGGCTGTTGCTGGTCACTGGGATGATATCATCACGACCGATGCTCGTATTGCTCGAATTTGGAGCGGTGTGGACATCGGGGAGGTAGAAGCTGACTGCAGACATGCGTGGGTAGTTGCTTTGCATTGAGGAACGAGGGCTCGCAGGCTCGCTCTCTGGGTTGAGCGTAAGTTGCTCCCGGATCATCGCATGAAGCGAAGGCTGCTGGTGTTCAGCAATTTAGATAAAACGGTAGTAGGATAGCATCAAAGCAGGTAGGTAGAAAAGCGTAAAGGTAGCAGAAAAGTGTCAAGTTAGAAGAACATGAAGGTAGGAGAAAATCATAAAGGTAAAAACTTGACGTGTGAGGGTAGGAGAAAAGCGTGAAGATAGAAAGGAGAGAAAGTAAAACAAGCAAGAAGGAATAAGATAGCGCGTGGAGAAGGCATTATGAAAATAGCAAACGAGACTAAAGTAGAGAAGACAAAAAAAGGAAGAAATATAAATTAAGTCAAATGGAAGGCATTATAGGGGTCGACATGCCAATCTTGGAAACTGATTAATATTTAGTGAATATTAGAAATATGCTACTTTATCTCGTCTTTGGCAACATCCAGGGCCGTCGGTGACTGAATCACTAGCTCGAGGATGTTTCGGCGCGTTTCAGCACTCGTGGCTGCTCTGAAAGTTGTCACGAATGATCATTTCGAAGGTAATATTCAATGACGAAATCAGGGAATATAAAAACCGAGAAAGGTGTAAGATAGCAAAGCGTAGAGAAGGTTGCTGGGTAAAAAGCAACATCTTCAAGTCTTGGTAGTACTCTGACACCTGGAAGATGACAGATATAGCACAAGCGGCAACAGTATAGGGCCTGGCAAGTATGCGCCTGCAGCACGCTTGAGAACCAAAGCTGTGTTGAAAGGAGTCAAAGTCGACGTAGGAGGGATCGCAGGGTCTCCCTTGATCTTTTGTCGTGTCCAGGCGTTGCTCCTGATAAAGAAATGACAGAATTCCTGCGTGGGGTATAAGAGACTCGCCCAAAGAAGCACGATGAGCATGTTGAAATCCACATGGGAGGCGCACCCAGCTATCGAAGCGTCCTCTGCCCAAAATGGGTGGCTCGTGAGTCCAGACGTCAAAGATCTCCGTGAACTCAGCCAGCAGAATTCCTGGGTACTCAGATCCAGTCCTCAAAGTGCTTGAACTCCACATCGGTATTGTCGATCGCTGGCCCATCCACTCTCTTCCAGAAGATTCCACGCCCTACCATTTCGATCTTGCCAGCATGCCTATACCTGGCTGGGCACTCGGGGCCGGTCACAGAACTGGGCGAACTCAACTTCAATATCGAGTTCCATGCCAGTCGGCATATCGATAGAGGGGAAGTACTACATTTCCTTGAGAGTCACCAGCTTCTCATGGTAGAGGGCGTAGGTGAATTTGGTGCCCTGCATCGTTTTCCGGATGGAATCGACGTGGTCGAAGACGAGTGCACGAACTTCCCTAGTCATACCGGGTCTGGCGAGCTTCTCAGCGTGAGAGAATGGCTCCAAGATGAACACGTCGAACAACTCTGTACTTGGCGATGAGGTATTGTTTGGCACGGCGCGGTTTGCCAGGGTTGCAGTTACGGATTAATGAATAACTCAGGATTACTGACAGGGGGATGTTGGGAAGTGAGGAACATACTTCTCTACAACGTTCGCCATCATCTGGTATTTCATGAGGTCGAACGGCTCCTCTTGGTCAATGGACGCGAGGACGGTGTCCATCTCTGCGACCTCGACAATAGTGGCGTGGATTGCACCGACCCAGTCTGTTGCTTCGACCAGATCTTGAACTCGGATCGCCATTCTCTCCATGTACGGGAGCATAACGTATATGATCTCAACGGCGTCCAGCTCGATGGTCACGGCTCTATCGGGGGGGAGGGGGAAAAAAGCGTAGTCGAGACAAACGACCAAATTTGCCAGCGCCATGAAGCACTTCCGGGTTTGGTGAGTGAGATGGAGGGGTTGACAGGCCTTCCATAGCATTCAGGATCTCGCCCTTAGTATCATCCAGGACAGCCGGAGCCTGAATGACCAGCTCCACGATGCTTCGTCGAGTTTCTGCTCGGGCAGCCGCCGCAAAAGCTGCCTGCAACGATTGTTCCATCGCGGTATGAGCCTCGATGTCTTCCTCCTTGAAAATAGGGAAGGGCTCCTTCGCTTGAGCGGCAGTCCGGAATGGCCCGCGGGGAAGGTTGGCGATGCTGCTGCTCGCTAGTACCAGGCCATCGCTGCTGGCGCTTGCGTCGGGGTCCAGGTGGACCTCTGGCTAGGGGTAGTAGCAGACAGGCTGGGCCACTCGGTCGATGAGTCGCTGTCCGAGTCAAAGCTTAGCTACTCTCGGTCAGGGCAAAGAGAGATAACGGCAGAGGATCGGCCACCTCGATTAAGGTTTAGAGTCAAGATGTGGGATCAAGAAACCAAGAGAAAAGAACTGGAAAGGGTGGAAAGAAGAAAATTGTGCGGAGAGTTTTGCTGGGGGAAAACAAAGGAGAAGAGAAGAAGTGGATAAAATAGGAGTATAAATTTAATGAATTGGAAAGCACCGCAGGGGTGAACATGCTAAATTGTAATAGTGGATAATAGATATGTGCCAGTCCAACACATCTCAGCTGCGTGAAGAATATAAAAAATATTAAAAGCCGATTAAGGCCCAACGTAGCTGATGAATCGAGGAATGGGGCCCGCCTTCCCCGCGATGTCAGTCTGGTGTATAAAACAGGGGTCGACAAGGAACAAGACGTCCCCGGCGTCAACCCACTGTTTCTCAGACAGCATCACGAGTTAAGAAGATCAGGGTCGATCTTCGCACAGTGACTAATCGACGTGTCATTGAAAAGGAGCACGGCAACTTAAAGTAGTGCGATCTGATACAAATGAAGAGGTGGCAGTAGCCTCATGCGCCATTGCGGCGTGGAATGGCGAGGGAGGAGGTTGAGATTCTGGTTCTCGTTCTGGTTCTGGTCCTGGGTTTGGATTTGGATCGGATTTTACATTGGGCATTGGGCCAGGTTCTTCTTCCTCGTCATCGGGGAGAGGCACATCCATGACACGTTCGCCGGCGCGTTCAAGAGACCGCTTGGTCCATGATCGAACACCTTTGTAGACAGCCTGCAAAATGTTAGCAAGAATGACTCCAGGGCAGAGCTAGCAAGCATCACTGCATACCCATAAGAAGCTGACGATTCCCATCACAACGAAAAGCCAGTTCAACGAGCGCACCCGATCTCGACCATTGGTAGAACGACCGCCGGCAATGCTGCGGGCACCCCACCAAGGCGACATGGTGAAAGCGACCCGAATGAATGAGAGTAGACCCAAAGAGGCCATCCCTTTGACGATATGTTCCAGCCATGAGGCATTCTCGTCGTCAAAGTCAATGTCAACGTCCAGGGGAATATCATCCAGGGGGCCGAGGTAGAAATCAATGATGGGGTCAGCAACAAAACCAAGGATGAAAACGGTCAAAAACAAGATGGTTATGGTCAGGAAGATCTGCGTGCTTGTACTACTGATCCATCGAGCCCAGGTCAATCGTTCCAAGCGGTACTGAAAGCCGCAGGTGGGACACTGCCAGAAATTGCGACGACCATACCGGGGGTCAGCGTGACGCCATGTTTGCAGACAGCCCTCGTGGACATAACGCGAGGAGCCTTTGCATTTGCATGGGCGGAGCAGGCGACCTAGTTCCGGGTCCTCGGAGAGATATACGACGCGAGGCTTTTGTAAAAACTCGGACGGTTGCAAGGTTGGCAAAACAGTCTCTAGGCAGATGCGGCAGACGCGGGGAGGATAGCTCTGTTGGTGCTCTGGCTCTGGCTCTGGCTTCGGCTCTGGCTCTGGTTGAGGGTGGTGCTGTGGGTGATGCTGACCAGCAGCATCCGGCTTCTCCGACTCATAGCTGGACTGCATGGAGGGCAGCGAGCATAGTGAGAATGTTAGCCCTGGAGACAAAGAGAGGAAGAGGAAGAAGTGAGAAGAAAGAAAAGACAAGTGGACAGCCGACCTTGACCGCCTAGTCACGTGGGGTGGATGAGCTCCAGCATGAATGGATGAACGAACAATAAAAGTGTTTACAAAAACAAAATACTAGTATTTTTCTGTTTGATCTGAATTAATTGTTGGTATATTTGAGTAATTAGTAGCATGAATGAGGTGTTAGATGAGGTGGAAGTAAACATAACTGCTGACAAAATTTACACTACCGGGCATTTAACTAGAGTAGCTTCCGTTTATATATCCATTTCGCACCAGTTGGATCCATTCTTGAAAGTTCCAATAATTCAAACCCGGCTTTCAGAATATGTTAAAACCCATCTATTCCCAAAAAAACGAATCAATCTGACATACTAATAACCCCTGAATCAGAATACTGTAGAGTGTACTAATTGTAATAGTACGCACATGCTATACTCGTAGATACTGGTCACGTTACCTGACTGCTCTGAGCTCCGCGAGCTAACGTCACCCGTTCTGCCTACGCCTACAGCTCCCTTCTCCCCCCATCTCCCTCTTCCCTCCTCTCCCTGGTATTGTCTTGACTTCAATTGCACATCATGGCGGACCGATATTCATTCTCCCTGACAACCTTTTCCCCCAGGTACGGCCCTTGCACCATCCCCACCCCCCTCCATCCATTCCTGTCTCCGCCCGCTAACCCATCAACAGCGGAAAGCTGGTGCAAATCGGTAAGACAGCTCCCAACCACCGACCACCGACACCCAACCCATCTATCTCCATTGTCATCCCGAACCTCTCGCCAGGAGATCGCCATCGCTAACCTTGGAACCTCACCAGAATATGCCTTGAACGCCGTTAACCAGGGTGTCACCGCCCTGGGCATCAAAGGTATCTATCTATCTACACCACTCCCTCGCCCCCATCACCCACTAACCAACTTACCCAGCAACCAACGGCATCGTCCTCGCCACCGAAAAGAAATCCTCCTCCCCCCTCATCGACCCGCCTTCCCTCTCCAAGATCTCCCTGATCACCCCAGACATCGGGATGGTGTACGCCGGCATGGGCCCCGACTACCGGGTTCTCGTCGACAAGGCGCGCAAGGTCTCGCACACAGGTTACAAGCGGGTGTACAACGAGTACCCGCCCACACGTATACTGGTGCAGGACGTGGCGCGAGTCGTGCAGGAGGCTACCCAGTCCGGAGGTGTGCGGCCGTACGGAGTCAGTCTGCTCGTTGCGGGCTGGGACGAGGGCGTCGAGCCTGAAGTTGAGTCCGACGACAAGGAGAAGCCTTCTGGCAAGACGGGCGGTATCTTGAAGGGCGGCCCGAGTCTGTACCAGGTTGATCCTAGCGGCAGCTATTACCCGTGGAAGGCGACTGCCATTGGCAAACACGCGACCAGTGCCAAGACCTTCTTGGAGAAGCGCTACACGGAGGGTCTGGAGCTGGAAGATGCGATCCATATTGCGCTTTTGACGCTTAAGGAGACCATTGAGGGGAGAGATGAATGGGGACACAATAGAGATTGGTGAGTGGGATGCAATTGGGATGCGAGAAACAGAGTACTAACAGTTTCTAGGTATTGTTGGCCCACCGGCAGATCACTTGCTGGGCTACGAAGGAGTGGAGGATTCGCAGGCCCCGAGGTTCCGAAAGTTGACCAAGGAGCAAATCGAGGACTACCTGACCAATCTATGAGAGAAGACTAGGACAAGATGACTAGACCGAATGACCTACTGCAACCCAACGGTGTACGGAGTACTCAGACCCAGCACCAAACTTACTTTACCGTAGTCAAATAGACAACTTGAAACCAAACGACGTCTCAAACACCCCTTTTACTAGTATTGCACTGCACCACTTCACAGCACACTTCATTGTATGGCTGACCACCGCGGGTGGCAGCGTGTTACTTCCACGCTCAGCTGCTTCTGCCACTTCCTTTCACCTTCACCTTCACCACCTCCCTTTATCTTTCATCTTGTCGCTGCACCACCTCACCCACCTCATCCTACTCATCCTTCTCACCAACCCGACTCCCTGGTTCACCAAGCCTAGTCTTAACGCTAGACATCTCGGCTGGGACTTTCCTGTTTCACCTCGTCCCCCTTGGAGTTCGCGCTATTTTGGTCCAATGGTACCACTCCCGCGCTATTAAAATGGCGTCGGATCTACACGCTACCCCGGGTTTTGGCCCCAATGCATACCAATGAGGGCGAAGAAGAAATTGAACACACAGCGAACCGAGCAAACAAGCCCAGCCCGGTCCAGTTCAGTCCTAATGAACGTGATCGCAGTGCTTAGACCGTGACTCGATTGCAAGGCAAGCCTTGCGCTGGCCTGCCGCGTTTCGTTGCGTTGCATCTTTCTTGCTGGCGGCCAGTCTGTACTACAACTCTCTCTCTCTTCCACCACTGCGCCGCTCTTTTCTTTTTCTACTGCCCTCTTCACCCCTCGCCCTTTCACTTTCACTTGATTTGTTCTTCTTCATCTATTCCTCCTCCCATCATACCATCACATCACTACCACATCTCACAAGCAATGTACCTCTACCAAACGGGATGACCAGCTCAACGAGCTACCCCAAACCACACCACACACCCAGACTCCCATCACCACAATCATGACCGACACAGCGAAAAACCTCATGAACGGAATATCCGGCGCCCTAGCCTCAGAAGGCGACATGCTCCAAATGACCCTAGTAACCTTCATCGGCCTATCCTGGTACAACATCGCCGAACTAGTCGTCCTCGTCCCGTCAACCTTCCGACGCTGGCGCGGTCTCTACTTCTGGTCCCTTCTCATATCCGGCACACTAGGCGTAGTCCCCTACTCAATCGGATTTCTCATGAAATTCTTCACCCGCGCCGACTCAGTCCTCTCCGTCACCGTCCTCACAATCGGCTGGTGGACAATGGTAACCGGACAATCTGTGGTTCTATATTCACGCCTTCATCTCGTCCTCCGTGACGAGAGACTCCTCCGACGAATATGGTGGCTCATCGTGGCGAATTTCTTCCTCCTCCACGTGCCCACGACCGTCCTAACCTATGGCGCAAATATAGTCCACGTCGACAAAATGTCCTGGGTAAACGGGTACAATATAATGGAGAAAGTCCAATTAACCGGCTTCACAATGCAAGAGGGTCTCCTATCAACACTGTACGTGATTGAAACGGTGAAATTACTTCGTCTCGGTGCAGACGCGGCAACTCGTCCGGATAGTCGGTCAATTATGTACCAACTCATCGGGATAAATTGTGCAATTATGGCGATGGATTTGTTACTGCTTAGTCTTGAGTATGCGAATTTGTACGCGGTGCAGATCACGCTGAAGGGGTTTATTTACTCGCTTAAGTTGAAGCTGGAATTTGCTGTTTTGGGGAAATTGGTTGATTTGATTCAGGGGTCTAGACATCCGGTTTCAATTGCTATTGCGGATACTTTCCCGCTTTGTTCGTTTACGAGGCAGACTGAGCATGAGCATGAGAATGAGAATGGCTCTGGTGGTGGTGTTGGGGGCGAGAGGCAGGTGGATGGTGAAGCGCAGTGTGTGTCTGAGGCGAAGGACTTTCTTGCTGCGCCGGATCTTGCGAGGGTTGTTGGGGGAAGGGAAAGGGTTTGCTGAGTCGGGACGACATCATCATAGTGTGCCATGAGATGAGTTATCAGAAACAAAATATATGGAATGACTAGTATATCTTGAAGGTTCAGCTGCGTGGCTCGTATCGAGTAGTAATGTGTTTCTGCTCATGATCATGCTTGGGAGGCAGTATCTTCATCCTCTTGCACCTGGTCTTGCACCTGGTCTTGCACCTGGCCCTGGTCCTTATGCTCAGCTTCCCCCTCCCCCTCCCCCTCATCCAACAACTCATCCCACTGAAACTCCGCCTCAGAATCCTCATCCTGACTATCAGCAATCTCATCTTCAGCCTTCCGCTTCCGACTTGGCGTATCAATCTCAACCCGAGGAAGAATAGGCGATTGCGATTGTCGCAGGACCTCCTCTTCAGGACCAATCTCATCCACTCCACCCTGGCACATAACGATGTCAGTAAGAAAACGCAAAAAGACAGCCTCACTCACTCGCACTGCACATACCTCACCAACCGAAAAAGAAACAATCATCTCCGGAACCCGAACCGTCAAAGTCCTCCCAGCCTTCTTGGTAATCTCCACGAACCTGGCATCCGGTAAATCGCGATAAACCACCAATCTCGTATGGATGGTCGGTTCCCACGCACCGCCGGAAAGAATCGGGTGAAGAGTTGCACGAGGCTGATTCTTAATTTTCGTATGTGCCTGATTAATGGCAAGGATAGCTATGCCGTTGGCATTGGCATTGGCATTGCTGCTGGTATGCCTTGACGTTGCGAGGCGGAATAAATGCGTCGCGAGATCACTAGCAACGTTCCATTTCCGATTCAGCAACCACTGCAGCTGGGCTTTATCGGATAATTTGCCCGTTGACAGTTGTTCTTTTAGGTCTGCTGCGTTGGGGAAATAAACTGGGAAATGTGAGGAGACCGAGTCTATCACGATGAGGGTTGTTCCTTCTGGTGGGAAGTTGGTTGGGGGTCGCATTAGTAGGGCGAGGAGATGGGGGAGTGTTGGGGCTCGGAAGTAGATTATCTTTTGTAGATCTTCTTCTGGGATTGAGGTTAGACGGGGGGTGGGCAGGGGTGGGCCCGTGTCTGTTATGCGATGTGAGTATTAGTATCAGTATCAGTGTTGTTCTGATGGATGGAAATGTACCGATCCAGACGACTTTGCCGCCGTCGCGGAGGGCGTGAGATGCTACATTTAGTCTGGGGATGTTAGTTCAATTCATTGAGGTGGATTGAAATGTAATAGGATGGAATTGAATGGGTTTGTTCATTGCGATGAAATACTCACGCGAGAGAAGTCTTGCCCGCGCCTGGTGGGCCAAATATCTCGGTGACTTTGCCGCGCAGGATCCCCCCCGCAATTCGAGTCATCCAGGGCCAAAGCCTCATCGAGACGTGTTAATCCGGTAGAAATCGGGGAAGCAGTTGTTGCTGATGCATTGAGAGACTGCAATGCAGAGATGGAGACGACTGGTTCTGTGGGATGTGAGTGGAAGTGTTGATGGAGTGGAAGAGGAGGTGTGAGGAAGGAACTCACGTGTGTCTTGGTCCAAGCCGAGAAAGTCCTGATTGAGACTCATCTTCAAACATCAACATCAACCGTCCGGTCTCTTTCGCATATTCAATTCATGGATTCTCCTTCCTGTTCCTGTTCCTGTTCCTGTCCTGTTCCTGTCCAGTCCCACACTTCCACAAGGCGGTTGTCGGGGAAAAAAGGGCGTTGTGGGTCCGCGAGCCTTGCAGAGATCGCCCTGACCAAGTCCGAGCTTTTTACATCAGATGGACTCTTTCCTGTAATCTGATCTGATTTGATCTGATCGAGGAGATGTCGGGGGAAGTCATGGAGGACAATTCACTCTCCCTCACTCTCCTTTCACCGCTGCTCCTCCTGCTCTGCTCCCTCCCACTGTGGCTACTGCTACGCCCTCGGCCGAGTCCCCCTCGAGGATGTCGCCGACTCGGCCTAGCAGAAGGCGAGAGCAATCTCCACGATGAATTCGACCCCAAATACAGCCAGGGAGTCCCAAGGACCCAGAGAGAGGGCGGCCAACCCTCCTGGCGCGTGAAAGCCCTTTTCACCTATCCGCTCAAATCATGCGGAGGCATCGAACTCTCCCAATCCGATGTCGTACCAACCGGCCTCAAATTCGACCGCCAATTCGTTCTCGCTGAAAATGGCCCTGAGGGATGGAACACCCGCACTCTCCGAAACGCGGGCTTCCAACGAATGGCTCTCATTCATCCGGAGATCTGGATTCCATGCCCCTCGGCGCCAGACTACGATCCCTCCCTTCCAGAGGTGAAATCGCAAGGTGTGATGCTCATCTCTTACCCACGCATCGCACTGGCAGGTCCAGCCGGTCTATTCATGAGAATCGCAATGTCTACCGGAGTTCTCTCTACCCGACGTACATTCCGCGTGCCCCTCCACCCACCAGAGGACAGTAGCAGCGGCATGAACTACCCCCTAACACCTGTCAAAATCTGGAAAGATAAACCACTAGCCCACGACTACGGCATCCATCTCCCGGCAACATTACACAAATACCTCGGCTTCGAACCAGCAACCAGTCCACTAACCCTCTTCCGCTCAAGCACAACGCACACCCGCCAAATCTACCGCAACGCACCCCGAGCCGAAGAAATAGGTTTCCAACCAACCACCGCCTTTGCAGACGCCTACCCAATCCATTTACTAAACATGTCCAGTCACCACGACGTCGCGAGACGATGCGCCTACGCAATCCCAAATCTAAGCATCTCGCGCTTCCGCGCTAATATCATTATTCAGGGTCCTGAGGCTTTTGCCGAAGATCATTGGAAAAGACTCGATATCGCGGGCGTGGAAATTCATGCTGCTTGTCGGACTGTGCGGTGTCGATTGCCGAATGTTGATCCGGATACTGGATTGAGGCATTCGGTTGAGCCGGATAAGACGCTTAAGGGTTATCGGAGGATTGATGATGGTGATCGAACGAATGCTTGTCTTGGTATGCAGCTTGTTCCAGCGTTGCCGGAGTTTGTGATTAGAGTTGGTGATGAGGTGGGTGTTTTGGAGACGGGGGCTCATCGGTATATTAAGATGTTGGCTCCCGGGAGAAGGTTGAGGGGGTGTGAGGGGGTGTGTGGAGGTCCGATGGAAGGTGTATAAAAGTCAAAATGTATTATAGAATTTCTCCGCTATTTCGATCAAACTTGTACTATCACAATTATGATATCAATGTCTCAACTTAAGATAACTTGAATTGCTGGTGTCGTACTACATATTGACGAGCGCGTGTATCCATGAAGAGCTAATTACTAGCTAGGAAAAGTTGAGAAGTGCTCGCTGGCGGCCTGCATCTACGCAATTCAGGCGGGACTATCGCCGAGGGACCCAAACACCAAAACACCACCCAAAGAGTGCTACTGAGGCCCTAAGGTAGGGCCTCAGGTCTGCTGCGGCTTTGTCAGCCCATGCTGCTTTACGGCTTTGTAGCTTTCATGTTGCATTTGTCCTTTGATACTATTAGAAGTAGTATTAAGTAGTAGCTATTCCTCTCAGGGCTTTTCCCCCAATCATCACCCTCCATAATCACCATACATCATCCAGTCCGCTCCCACCACTCGGTGCATGTACTACAAGTACTAGTAGTATCAGTATCTAATTGTCGCAGAGGAAGGTAGCAAGCACTGCCCAGGTGACGATGAGTTGACGTGTGCATGGCTCCTTCCTGCTCTCCTGCTCTTTCCAACGCAAAAAAGACTGACTCTGGGGAAGGTGCATCCCACAAGTGGAGAACCGGGTTTGTTTACATTCCATGATTTATTTATTTATTTATACCTTAAACTCTCTGCGGACTTGAACTTGAACTTTACACAATCACAACTATCCATGGTGATCGATCGCCAAACAATTCCTCCACTGTCCTTGCCAGTAGGATCCGTATATTGTGGGCGTGAATGGGCGACAGCTTCGTCCAGCTTCTCGCGGACAAGTTCCGTATTTACTCTCCGTCCCGTCCTCGCTGGTATACTCACTATCAGCGCCGTCTCTCATTTCTATGTCCATCCCCATCTCGCATACATCCGGTCCGGAATGGGTGATATAGACGTCATACCTACGCCGGGTTGGACACGTCTTCATGCACAGGGAAATTCCCGAATTATGTCGATTTGGGACTGCACTATTCGCCTGCCCGAGCTGCGAGCCTTCCGACATGCTACTACTTGACATCTGCCAAGTAATGCTACGAACGAGTTAAGGTGGGATCCAATTCTGTCGGGTACATAGGAAATAGGCTAACTCGCCCTATAGGTGCAAATATTGCTCAAAAAAACGGATTCTTCCAACTTCACAGAAGCCGCAAAGATTCAGCAAGCACAAGCAGAGTCCCCTAGAACGGAAGGCCCATTATAGTTATTCGCAGAGCCTTGGAGGCTCTATGAAAATGAAGAAACGCGTCTCCTTGACCATGGCGTCTGTCAACAGCTTAATGAATCTAGCCGCAGGCTACTTCACCATGTCTCTCAACCCACTTATCTTTCTTTCAACCATTGATTCATCCATTCCGCGAAACATGGAACCCGCTGAGTTGTAGCTCGCTCGAGCGTGTCTAGATTTTAAGTCAGTATGCTGGAAGATCAAACCCATCGATTTATTCGAACCGTCTGTCACACGCAACGGTCGATTGGGAAGTTCTCTAACAAACTGGAATCACTCATCAAGTTCGGCTTAACGACAAGACTGATCTCGATACGACTTGGAGTGAGTTTGGACTAACAGGAAGGCTTGTCCGAGATGTGTGCGACTCTGTTATCTGAGACCCTCGAACTAAGTATAATGACTCGGTGACTAAGAGGGTACGAAGTGGAAGTCGAATCGCGGCAGACATATGGATAAATGGAAACCTGGTGGTTGGCAAATTTAGACGGAACGAACAATTCAGAGCTCAAGTGTCTGATTTGCATCCGTGAACACCGAGGATGGATTGAAACTCTCATTATTCTGGTATTGAATCAATTCAAGTTGACCTTTAAGTTGCCGCTTCTGCCCATGAAGCAACTCGCCACGTTCTGTCGCCAGAATTTGGATTTGTCGTATCTACCGACATTCCTGGTTTGCACATTAGTCCGAACACCATTGCCGTGAAGATCCAGCAGCCGCTCGAGGAGACGATCCAGCCCGATACACCTCAATGACAATCCAAGAGTTACACCGAAATGAAAGCTATTCAGAATGCAATGTTCTGAAATTAGGGACACTTCATCCCTGCTGATAATCGTGTCAAGAACATCTTGCTGGCCCACGGGGACCACTCACGAGTCAGCCTGCGAAACGATCTATATTATGACCAAGATTTCTCAAGCCTTTCAATGATTCCTTATCGGAGGGAGGATTTAGGCTTCTATGACGCTCTCAATGATGTGGCCTGAGCTAGGGTTGTGGCTAATGTATGGGAAAGTCAACGCAAGGCCTTCCTCCTTGATTGCGCGGCACTCCACGGCTGACCACGGCTGCGACCGGGTATTTCTAAGTAGCCGTCATCTATAAAAAAGGCCGGCAGGAGATTTTTTCTCAGATAGAAAATCCGACAAAAGTAAAAGAAAAAATCAAATCAATTTTTTGGAAAATACCTCATCACGTCTCACTTCACCACCCAACCACCGTCCATCTGGTCAATCAAGATGGGCTCAATTTCCGAACCACCCCAATCACCCTCCCACTTCACCAACCTCCCCCAAATCCCAACGGACGAACCATTCGCCGTAAACGCCTCCTACATCAAAGACACCTACCCGAAAAAAGTAAACCTGGGAATCGGCGTCTACCGCACAAACAAAGGCGACCCATGGCCTCTGCGCGTCGTTGAGGATGCCGAAAAGGCAATCTACAACGCGCAAGATATCAGTCGACATGAATACCTGAGCATACAAGGAGATCGAGAATTCCTCCGATTAGCAGCGGATCTGGTCTTTGACTTTAACTCTGTACAGCCCTGCGCTGATACAACGCAGAGTGGCCTGGACAGGGTAACATCAATCCAAACCGTCTCAGGAACAGGGGCAAACCGACTCGGCGCGGAATTCCTCACCCGAAATATCTCTCCAGGAAATGTCTGGATCCCGGCACCAACATGGGCAAATCACCACACGATCTGGGACCTAGCCGGTGTTCCTAGAAAAGAATATCCATACTACAACAGCAGTACAGGAGAATTCAACTACGAAGAAACACTCCAAACGCTTCGCACCTCCAGTTCCAAAAACGACATCCTAGTCCTACACGCCTGTGCGCACAACCCTACCGGTGCAGACCCAAGTCGCGAACAATGGGAGGGTATTCTGGATGTCTGCAAGGAAAAGGGCCTAATTCCATTCTTCGATCTGGCGTATCAGGGCTTTGCGTCCGGAAACGTCGGTAAAGATGGATGGGCGATACGACGATTTTTCGAAGAGGGTGGTATTGAGTTCGTTGTCGCGCAGAGCTTTTCGAAGAACTTTGGCCTTTATGGGCAGAGGGTTGGTGCTTTGCATGTTGTTTCTTCATCATCTGCTGCTCAGGGCGTTTCGGATGACATTCTCGCGATGCTGTGCCATCTCGTTCGCGGGGAGTATTCTATGGCTCCGAGGGGTGGGGCTGAGATTGTGCGGAGGGTGTTGGGGAATAAGGAGCTCCGTGCGAGGTGGGTTGAGGATTTGGATACGATGAGTACGAGAATTCTGTCCATGAGGAAGGCTTTGTTTGAGGAGTTGGTTGCTTTGGGAACGCCCGGGGATTGGGGGCATGTTGTTAAACAGGTGAGTATCTTCCAAGGTTAACTCTATGCTCGTTTGATTTGAGGGACTGTGGCTGATGTGTTTAGATTGGCATGTTTACATATGTTGGGCTATCGGAGACTCAGGTTTTTGCTATCCGGGAACGGCATCATGTTTATATGCTCAAGTCTGGGCGGATTTCTATTTCTGGTTGTAAGTGTTCATCTAATACTCCAAATACGGCTCTCTAGGATGGCTTTGCTGACACTGATTTAGTGAACGAGACTAATGTTCGTTATGTTGCAATGGCGATCGATGATGTGGTTCGAACGGTTTCTTAAATCGGGTTTGGAGATATACTGACTTCGAATGTGAAGGGAATCGGATTGTTGAATTGGATCCAAATGGAGGTTTCTTGCATAAAGTTTTTCATTCATCTAGAGGCTATACTGTTCATTCAGATCGTGCTATTTGGGGGGGGGGGGTTGTTTATTTCAACTTGTTGATACCCTGACTTCCAAAGTTAGTCATAGATAGGGCGGGATTATTTTGAACAATTGATCATGACTTTCCAAACGAACAAACCGTTTTAAACTCCTTTCAGATGAAAGAGCCAAAAACAACACTGGAGACGATAACCCCAGTCATTCTTTTTAGAGAATATATTAATGCCTTTCGAAGACGAATCAGTGCTCGCCGAATTTATGAACCGGCATATCAGTGAGCCAGCGAAATACAAAATAGACGCCAATGGAAAACATGTATTCTACCGCAGCAATGCTTATGGACCGCTGAAAGATTCATGGAGGGGCATGATACCTCGGATCGTGGATTTTGGCTCGGCTATGCAACTCCACGGAGAGACGGGACGAGGTATCTTTCTTCCTAATCCAACCAAATCAATACCGTGCACCCGAAGTCACGCTTGGATTCCCTTGGAATAGGAACGCGGAAATCTGGAATCTGGGAACTTTGGTACGCTCATATACAACGCAGACTCTGGCGAGAGGCACTCGATTTTCTAACTTTGGCCAGATTTGGGATATGGCTCAGGAACAGAGCTTTTCCAACAAGCTCAGGATTCGGAGGGTAAACCTACCGCAAAAGCACATTTAGCAGAAATGATTGCCTTGCTCGGGATGCCTTCACCCGAGTTCATCGAGGAATCGCATTCGGCACTTATGTATCAGTGGCCATATAAGATCAGATTGAATGGTGGTGAGCTATCTGAGAACGCATTTGAGATGTTTGGAGGTCCATTCTTTGATGTAAATGGTATCTACTGGTATTCCCCCTAACCTTGACATATTCTGCCTTGACTAACCTCTTTGTGATAGGGAAATTCCTTCACGAAGACCTAATTCCAGATCGGAGGATCGAGGACACGTTACCTTTGGTGGACGAAAAGGATAGAAATAAACTAATAGCATTTGCGAAGAAGATGCTCACCTGGGATCCAGAAGAACGAGCGACTGCTCGTCAACTACTGGAGGATCCGTTCTTAAAGCTAGAATAACTGAGGCAGGGCACTATATGACGAAGAGGTGTCGAATATCCGCTCGATGTACAATGTGTGCTAATATGAAACAAATCTCAACTCAGATCCTCAAATATTGTGGCTTATCATGAATTCTCCCGGCTCTGTTGCAACATGAAGTTGAGGGGTGGCCTGATTCCGCGTCTGTTGATATCCGGTTTATTCCGCCGTGTGGATCGTCACAAGTGTCCAAACAAAGCGAGGTCCAGAATGTCGGGATCTTGAAGAAAACATATATGAAAGCTCCGCAGCGGTCTTGCCGCTAATTGTGTACGACAATGACAAAGATGTCTCGGAGGAAAAGCACTAAGAACTCTTAACGGGTTATGGAGTGGAGACTGACGCCGATCTTTAGGTAGACAATTTCCTTTATCTGATTGATAATCGGTGAGCCGAATTCCGATGACACTTGATCACATTGACTCGTTCATGTTTGAGATTTCCGTTGTACTAAAAACGACATTGCAGCTGACCCAATTTCAAACATGCATTTTTCAGGAGCGAATTTCACCAACTAATCCTCGGAATCTTGGCTGGAATCTGCGTGACAGCGGGACCCTTTCCATACCGGGAAATGTCTGTGTGATAGAACGTCTTGGCAGTTGTCAATCTTTGAAACAGGTGGATCCAGTAGAATGTGCTTTTGATATTGCTGTCGAGGATATAACCTGATCAAGACGCATCCATAAATACGGAATCATCATCCTGTTCCGAACCTTACCTGACATCCCAGACCCGATTTATTATGCATTTCTCTGCCATCGCAATCCTCTGCTCGGTCTTCGCATTATCCAGCACCGCTAGCCCTGTGGTGTCTTCATCTGTGAACTTCACGAATGAGGTTTGTATTCAAGATATGTGGCCTAGGCTAAGCGAGCAATCCATGCTAATCTCTTTTCATTGTTTAGATTGCAACCAAGAGATGCTGCATCCTCTGTGACAACAATAATCGATGCGGCTCTACATCAGTCGAGAAGCGTCAAGCCGTTGAAACTGAGTACGAAGCTCTATTCAAGACCGCCAAGCGCTGCTGCATTAATTGCGACAACCCCTATGCCCGATGTGGCGCCAGTGAGAACGGAAAGCGCGAAGCTGTCGAGACCGAGCAAGAAGCTTTGTTTGGAACCGTCAAGCGTGGTGATACTGCTGGTGCTCCACAGTGGCCCACCAAGCGTTGCTGCATCCTATGTGACAACCGTTACGCCCGATGTAGCTCGAGCGACAAGCGTGATTTTGTTTCAACCCTGGAAGAGGCCGTTGAGGATACGAACTAGGATGTTTCCAATGACTATCAATGAAGCAGAGAAGCAGGGATGGAAATAATGTAGAAATAGTAGATCAAATGAGCGCATCGTCGCGTTGAATTATAAGTGCATTGAATGATCCGGATCATTCAGCAGTAAAGTAACATGAGTATCAAATTAGAGGCCACTCTCCGTCTTTGTAGTGCCATGCGAAGGCCCAGGCTCAACCTGGGCATGTTCAGACTCGTTAGCGGTGATAACCTCAGCGTCATGATCATCCGGCTCCTCCGGGATAATCAAATTAAGAATAACACCCAGAATAGCAGTGACGGCAAATCCATTTTCCATGACTAGGTTGACGGCGTTAAGGAGACCCTCCAGAGCATGGTTATCGCCTTCGTAGGAGAAGAAGTAAGTCCACCATTCAGGGACAAGCGTGATTCCCATTCCCAGGGAGAAGCTGGCAGTGATGATGAATCGATTGCGACGGGTGAAGTCAATGGTTGAAATGATTCTAATACCCGAGATGGCGACGGAACTGAACAAGAACGCAGTCATTCCACCAAGAACAGCCTTCGGGATCGAGACCAGCGCAGCAGCGAACTTAGAGAAGACTCCCATAACAACCAGGAAGAAGCAACAGCAGAACCCAGCAGTTCGGTTCGCGCACTTTGTAAGAGCGATGACACCATTGTTCTGGGCAAAGACAGACATGGGACTGATTGTCATCAGACCAGCCAGTAAACATGTTATTCCGTTTCCCAGAACACCACCCTGGATACGAGAGTCAAATGTAGCACCCTCCACCTCAAGACGCGAGACATCGCAAGTCGCCGTGATATCACCAATGGACTCCATCATGATGACAATATACAGCGCGAGAAGCGGCAGGATGAGAGGTGGGTATATGGTAAGTGGGAATGTGTGTACCCATGCGAAAGATACAATGGGCGCAGCGGTAATTCCCGAGTCCTCGAAGTAATTGCAAGCAGCTGCCACAATTGATCCGACCAGCAGACCGACGACAACAGAGCAACTCTTGAGGATGGGTGGGCCAAAGCGCTCACAAATGATGATCGTAGCGAAGACCAGGAAGCCCAGTCCGATAAACTCAGGACTTCCCCACATCAGCGCATGAGGTGCATCAGCACTGGGACACATGGCCCGTGGTGAAGGGCCACACCCCGCGCCACCGCCCCAATCTTGCATGGCAGATTTGATGAGCGAGGCACCGATCAACAGGACTGTAGGCCCAGTAACCAGCGGAGGGAATACCTTAGCGAGAATCCGACTGCTCATGAAAGAGAGGCCAATCTCGAGTAGCGCACAAAGGCAAGACGTGCCGAGGAGAGCTCCGTAGCCTTGAGGACATGCCAGTTTGTTGCCATCCGCGTCGGTGGGACAGTATCCAGAAGCATACATTTGCTTAAAGGCGCCCTGAGCGACGGTAATAGTGGAGAAGGAGGTTCCTATACATGATTAGCCTTTTTTATGCACATTTAGTCTCGATTGCGGCGCTTGGAGTCGTACCGACGACCGACAGCAGGCCCGTGCCGATGTAGTATTTTGTCCCATAAACGTGGAAGCGAGTCATCTGCACTGCAGACAGAAGGCCCGAGACAACCAACGAAGTTGATACGAGGTATTGGTACAGGTCGTCTCCGAAATTAACGCCACTTGAGCCGCCCAACATAATCGGGGGCGAAATAACTACCGACAATCAGCTTTGTTCGCCTTATTTGCTTGGGCCAAGGTCAATTCGACGCCACTGAGCATAACTCACCACCAGCCAACATTGCAAGCGCATGTTGTAACCCCAGAATGAAGGCTAGTACCACCGGCACGCGATCGTCGAGGCCGAAAAATGGGGCCGATTTGCGCACTTGCTTGGTAAAGGGAATTCGCGGGGTAAAAAGGTAGGCATAGTCATAATCGCCGAGGAGGCCCTCTCTATGCGAAACGTATCATTAGCAGAGCTCACGGCTAAACCAGAAGGTCACTGCCAGTTTTGAGGGTATAGCTACCTCGTGGTAAAAGTCTTCACGAGACGTCTTGCCTTATCGGCGACAGTCCGTTTCGGCGAGCGATCAGGTCCGATCTGGTCAGGTCCATCCATCTTGTAATGAAGTGAGGGAGTTCTTGATCTGGATCCAAACCAGAGCAGGCGGATTTGCCCTCGCTATATATGAAGACGAACAATCCTAGGAAGTCGCGAAGCGAAGCGAAGTCCGAAAGAAAGAGAGGGAAAAAAATAAACGAAAGTTCACCCGACCTGGCAAAGTCTAAAGCAGGAATGTGGAGAAGGGCGTTCTCGGCGTGATAAGATCACATTACTCGATCGGTGCAGCACCGGGGGCGAAATTGCTATTAGCAAGAGCATCGCATAACCGGACATGTTTGTTCCGTTTGTCCATGGGAATGCTGGGATATGCCCCTGTTGAATCGCGCTGACTCCTGCTCACGGAGCTCTGCTCGAAGCGCTGCTCGAAGCGCATTGGTAGCCTCCAGCTTATCTGCGCGGGGCGGCGGGCCTAACTGACAGCCAATTATAAGATGGAGAAATAACCTAAAGGATTTTAGTGCCATTTCAGATTCCGAGTGGGCAAGATAAGGAATGTCCTACCCGTCGCATGTACTCCGTACTTTATACATAGACGCCACATGGCATAACACATGATTTCAACACCTAATTGACCATACGGATCAGGGGGCTTATTCAAACTAGTGGGCCAGAACACGCCTTCGAAATAATAAGATCAATTCTGGTTCGCTCGTCCCCAGATAATCCCGATTTCCACCGGGGGTCCCGCATTTACCGCCACGCGGATCGATTAGATTCCCAAGGTTCATTTGATATCGGCTATCGTGCATATCTGGGGGTTATCTTTCAAACGAGGGGATCGCTTATATAGAGGCGGAGGCCCCCGTGAAGCAGTGGAAGGCGCCGATGGCTTATCATCTTTCTCTGGGCGGAGTGTCATTGCGGCCCTGGAGATGCTCGTCTTCGTCTTGCGAAGGTCCTTTGAGAGGGCCTGAGATACGAAATCACAAGGATATCGACTCTTAAAGTGAGTGATTTAATTCAATCCTGCTAATAGTCTCTCTCGCCTAATTCTTCCTTCTTGAAGTTCGAAACTGTGAGCATCCAGAGGTGCATCAGCAATCGTTTTTGTTCCGTGTCACGGATCGCAGTATTATAGAGAACGTAGCATGAGATTGCAAGATTCGGAATAAAAGAATTGAATTGAATTTCAAGTTGGGAAGCGGGTTGGGACAAGGATGATGCAGAATAATCTAGATCATTCTACGTTGCCATTGAGAATAACGCGAAGTTTTACAAAGATCCGACTACTACTAGTAATAGTCATGCGACCGGTAAAGATCCCAAGTTGGACTGTGACTATTAATAGATGGTGCTGAGAAAGGAATATATACTAATCAATCAGCGTCAGAGGGCTCCGCTGGTTTTCGAAATTTTAAAAAATACTAGTAGCGTTGGCAATTCCCCGCGTTCCAATGTTTCATGCTCTCTGTGGGTCATGAAATATCCAAAATAGAAGTACTATTTCAAGAACCTCTATAATGCATCTCAAGGCCCCTACTACTAAATTGAGTGGGTAATGCCAGCGGACGTGTATGGTCAGGGAAATCTTCGAAAAGGCCAATCGGCCACATCCACTGGAACGAAGGCCAAGCCAACATTGAAACGAATCGATTCTTTATAAACGAAGGGAAAGAATCCGTCTAATTATATAAACAAATTAACCATGAGGCTCCTTATGCTAGAGCCCCACAAATGAAAAAAAAAGCATAAGATCAAAGTTCATAGTGAGACATGTGGATCGCAATCACCGGAGAGACGAAGGACAAATGTGATGCAGTCATCACCACCCCGCGAAATCACAGAACGCGTATCGTGTGAAGGAAATCAAAGAGTCGCTCAATATTTCGTGTGGCAGACAACTTGGTCTGCCCACCACCCAGGGGCGTTGTTGTCCACGATACCGCCCCCGAGGTAGGACCAAGGTACAGAGGTGCTCTCGTCGTGGCCCACACATGGATCCACGCCAAAGCGAGGCAGGACGGCATCACCACTTGGCAAGTTGGCGCAGCCTGGTTGGAAAGGTCCGTACTCATCCCAAGTCCAGGTACAGACACGAGCAGTGCTGATGCAGCTGGCGGAAGAAGGGTCATTTGAATCCAGGGATGGAGCACAACCACCATTTGAGCCGCAGGTCTGCGTGCATTGCAACCCCGAAGTAAATAGAATTTTTCCGGTCGTGAGAGGGCTTTCACCACCGATAAGTTTCTGCATGATTTTATCCTGGTCGGTTGCCATGTTTTGGGGGTCCGTAATACTGTATGTATCTGTTCCGTCGTAGAAATAGCTGTCACAAATACCGTTTCCATCATAATCGGAATCGCAGCCGGTATCCCCTGTTACAAAGGTTAGTAAATGATTCTTATATACACATTGGTCAAGCCACTTGGCATTGTCCCATGCGATATCATGGTTGAAACTGACATTGTAAATTGCCGGCGTTCTGGAGGCTGCGGACATCGATCTTTTCAGCGCGGGTCACAACCCAATTCAACTCATTCAAGCAAGCAGATGCAACATAACCACCAACTGACTGCTGGATAGTGGAAGTTAGATCATCGAGGGATGGGCGAATGCCAGACAAGGGCGTATTTTGAAGCCTAAATCAATGCCAATGGGCCGATTGTCAGCGAGATGTTTAGCCCGATCATATGCCCAGAGCATATATTGAAGATCACAAGTAGGCATTTTAACTCACATGGGAATGAAAACAGAAATATTATTCTGAACTAGTGGAAGACCGGTTCCGATCGATTTCTGCCATTTGGTTGTGAACTTGCCGAGTTCGTCCGCGACATCTGCCCACGCAGTGACATCTCCACTAACGTCACCCGCAGGGAACAGGGTATTATGAAGCACAGTAGAAGTTTGAGGAACAGATCGTAAAAATGCCTTCACAAGAACACTGCCTTCAGAATACCTGAAGCGATGACTGATAGTTAACGTCGATTCTGAGGAGTATAAAAAGGGAAACGTACAAGCTCAATCCGAATGTGAGTGCCATGAAAACATATTCCCATGGGCTGGTAGAGTCGTTTGGAGGGTCAAGGGCTGTAACCTGCTTATAATCAGTCCGTGGCCTACTATTAGAGCCTTAATCCACGCAAGGAAGTGACTGACAATGCTTCCGATGGCATTAGAAACTGGCTGAGCCGCGTTGCCGACGGCATTGTACATGTCAAGGAAGAATCCCTGAGTGTTCCAGATACACCATGTCACGTAGAAGTTCTGTACATCATTGAAGCCCGTGAAGTCCTTCCATAATGGCTGAGTGCAGGCAGGGTCGGTGTTCAGCTGATCGCATTTAGATGGCGAGTACGGCGTCATCTTCGCGTACCAGCAATCGGCGAATCCATCGTAATTCCCACAGTTGGCTTCGTTGTCTTTCCACCTGAGATCTGATTAGCAATCTATCTGTGTTTAGTTATATTCTCATTCACCCGGGTGCTTACCAGTTCATGATAAAGTCAGGGAGGTCCAATGCATTGAAACAGGACTCATCAGGATTGGCACCATTTGCACATTGTGAGGGAATTGGCGAGGCACTGGGTGCTGCGGTGCTGACCGCAATGGTGGTAGAGGTTCCCACTTGGCATGTGTATGTAATGCTTTTATCGTCTCCGACAGTGGTTCCCACGCCGGCCGTCCAATCGTCATTGCAGCTGTCAACATAAAAAGTGTCAGAGGCTATCTTGGTCTGAAAAAAAAAAGAAAGAAAGGAAATCGTGTTTCTGAGCACGCTCGTGGGCCTCGAACTTACGCGCAGGCGATAGTTGATGAGAGAGATACCACTGACCCCAGCGGGTCATTGAACGTAGTGGCGTCTTGGTTAACGAGACTGCATGCAGTAATTGCCGGGGCAGTTGTCACCGTCGGAGTTGCCGTACTAGAAATGACGCTGCTTAAAGTCCTACCAACGAGGAATTCTCGTCCGATGAGAGCCATGTTGATTGAAATGGCCTGGAATAAGGAGAATCTAGTTATTGATGTGCATTCTGTGTGTGCGAACTCGTTATTTATACTAGTTTTACATCGCAAGGCTACGAGGAACTAAAGTGGCTTGTGAAGGGCGATCCTCTTCGTTCGAGATTTGATATGCAACATTTAGCCCCTTCCAGGAAGGAAGCTGATCTTTTTTGGCCCCCAGTAAGCAGCATTCGAGACCGAATAATAAACACCCGTGTTTCCAATACCGCACATTCTAACCCAGCGAAGAAAAGTGCCGTGATCATTCTACATCTTGAAGAGATCACATAGAGCATTTTGAAGTCCAAAAAAGCATTATTCATAAGTTATCCGGTCATGTTCCTACGGTTGAATGACCTTCGTTCTCTTTCTCAGATGTTGAGCCTCAAGCTCTAGGTCATAGAACTGCATGCCTATTCGGGATTTTTAGTGCAAATGATTACCAAGGTAAGATAGCTTGGAAATACCAATACGGTCCCTTTCTTCATCTGCCCAGGAATATGGTGATCAAAGCTATGGCAAGGCTTTCTTCATATGTCGGCCCCTGAATTTCGAACGCCATCTGATCCTTCAACGAATGCGTGTGTCCAGATCTATGGTATTATTAGTCGTTTGATCTCCCCTTGAACCTTAACATCAACACGTGCACAATAGACAAGCCATGATAGCTCCAGATGTATTTGTATCTTTCTTTCACTCCAAATATAACAGGAGCCCCTGGTCCCGCAATAACGCCTCGGGCGAAATAAATGCCCAGGTAAAAATACGCCATTGCAGTTGATTTTACTCTCCATGAGATCCACTACTGAAATGTACCATTGAACCGCTTCAACTTGATATCAGATGAATAGGTGTCGGCATTGATTCAGTAGGGGGCCATAGGATCACACGGAGTCAATCTGACCTGATCCTACTCGAACTGCAGCCGATCGTAAATTATCCTTTCCGAATTTGCCAAAGCCTTGTTGGCTTTGAATTGAACTCGTCGATCTGCAAGGGATGGTTCTAATCTGAAAGCAGGCGTCCTTCCATATTTTAACAGTGCGAACATTTGTAAACCATCATGCATCTGCTTAAGTTGATTGCGCTGCATCTTGGACTGGGGTGTTACTATTGTTCTTTTGCCTCAAATCTCCGAGCCACGAGGCAGGAAAATGGACGATGAGTTCTTGATTGACCACCCTACACGGGCGATCCTTTCAAATTTGGTCCGCACTTTCTATGACGATGTATGTAAATAAGCCTCCAGCCGCAAACGCCATGTCGCACCATTTGATCCTTTCGCCTAATCTGACACTTTTGGACTCACCCAATCATATCATGAATTTCAGGCACGCCCTCTCAAACTATCCTCATATCAACTGTCAAGCACTTTTTGCCCCATCACATCGCTGCTTCTTCACTACTAAGCCTCCTTGGCCCCATAGAGTCGCATGAAACTAGGAACCCCGGCAGGGTTGCATCACGACGTGAAGAGACCCACAATATCGCTTGATGCCTATTTGGAGCACTGCAGCCACATCGTTACCACCTAGCAAGTTAAAGTCCGAATGGTAGCAGTGGGTGTAATATAAAAACTGAGCCGGTTTTTCTACCGCTAAACGCATCGTCATTGTCATTGTATGGGGAATGAGACATCAGTGGAAATTCAAGTTGTTTTGATTATATCAATCATCTAAACAAAGGCATTGTTCATGCTGCTAACGCGACGCTATCATGATGAAAAATAGAAAGTACATTAGTACATTGACTTTAAGCAGCTTCTATAATCTTCAACGGTGCAAACACTTTCACCTCAAGTGTCTCTCCCGCAACTGTGAGGTTGATCCTATACTCAACCTGGTGGGTGTGTTTGATAGCAAAAGTAAGAAGATCGGGGAAAAGAGTGGGCGTGAGCGTCCATGAGCATCTCTTTCCATTTGTATACAGACCGTCCCTCCGTAGAACGAGCTGAAACATATTCCCAATATCGATAGGCTCATTTGCTTTCCCGGAGGAATAAATCACCAAAGGACTTTCAAGGCTCTTAAACAGATCTTCGGAGTGAAAGTCCACGTCAAAGCTTTGCCGGTCTGTATGAGCTCTGCTGGTGAGATTTCCCGAAGCAATAACTGTCGTCCAACTCTGGATCCGAATCTTAACATAATTTATCTGGATCCGCTGTGGGATTTCTTCAATGCTGCTGCTTGTTCGGCCCTCCCCCTTGAGAGTTTCCATACTCAAGATGATCGGCAATGGTGCTGGGTTGTCGAATTGGACGACTGGCGGCGATTTCATAACAATTTCAAACCAAAACTGGGGGGCCTTCGATGACCCAAATAGTTTCCTAGTCTTCTGTCGAAATGACAACTCCGTGTCCTCCATACCCGGTATCAGGCGATGATTTTGCACTTTTGTAGGGGATGAAAGACCTCCATTCGAGCTTCGTTTCTGGTCGATGGTCCCTGGGGCATGTCTTAGTGTGATGGGCACGGTCGCATACTCGACCCGTCTAGAGCCACCCCGCTCATAATTCAGCACAGCATGAAGCCTATATTCAACCAGGGCCTCTGACTTTGATGAGTAGCCATCACATGTTGTACGTAGCGATCCGGGCAAGACATGAAACGCCTCATGGTCCTTATCAAAAGGGAGGAAGGTCGCCTGGGGCAGATGGCCTTGTGTAATACATGCTTTGGGTTTGCTGGGAATGGATGCGGAAAAGGACCAGGCGACCGGCTCTTCAGTATTTTCAGGATGATGCAGAGGTCCATTGAAAATGACTTGTTCCGTCGGGTTAATCAGAGTCCATTTATCAACATAGGCGTCTTTTTCTCCCCAGCGGTCGTTGGTTCCGGTGCCGAGATCGCGCAAGATTCTAACTCTCATTATCCCCGTTAGCCATATCTTGACTGTGGCCTCTGGAGACACGAGGGGCGATTGTCGCACGACGTTCCCGATGATTGTGTCGCCGGGACTGTATTGCCAGCTTGATGGGGCCGCAATATCTAAGCGCAAATCGTTCTTGTTGGAAATGCTTTGCGAATTCATATTAGTGATTTTCTTGGTATTTGCCGATGTGGATTGGGTTCTGGTCAGCAAGGATTTTCGTGAGCAATTTACTGCGAGAGATTGATGGGCTCATGAAAGGGCAACGATCGGCGTATTGACTGACGAAATGGGGCCAAAACAGTCAGCACTGTCGATCGATAATTGTGCATTCAATCGTCCTGGTGCTTGTGGGCGATTGATTGGCCCAGGTTGACGGAGGTTGATTTAGCCCCCAAACACAAAAGGTGAAACAATGTCAAATTAATCTTACATAGCAGTCACATATTGACTAACTAATTGACCGCCCCACTGGACCGAAGTTCGATACGGTTGGTTGGCTATTTTTTTCACTTACTAATAACTGATAGATTCTTGTAATTGTAATTGTTTTTGGTGTGATTTACATCGTGTTCCCCCCGGTGCCATTCTAAATGCGAAGATGTTGTAAAAAGGGCACTTTGATCACTCGCGCATCGTTTAACCATGACATTCAGCCGAGAAATGGAATATCCAAATAATCAAGATTGAATTCGTCGAATATCCAGTCCATAGATCCATCAACTATAGGCATCATCCCGCCTTGATCTTCATCGCTTTGTTCGACTGAATCCAGATTCACCATTTCCATTCTGGGACACATGTCCTTGGGAAAGGGAACAAGCCCTCCAGAACCACCAGCGGCCGGGCGACTTTTGATTGATCCTCGGGTAGCATTGGATGAAATTTAGATGTCCGGAGGCGGTCGAGAGTCGATAATATGTTATTTGCAGGTGGCCATTTCAGACGCATGCATCTAAGTGCAGTGACGAAGATCTCTAGCTCCGTATTGCACAAGTCATGTTCTTCGGAAAGTAATCCAATGTCTCCGAGTCTGTGAATTTGCGGGATACACCCCACCATCAGAGACCAATTATGGACTGGCGTGAGGTAGTTAATCTCATCATGGTCATCAATTTCATCGTACAAACGCGCCATACACGATGATGCAACTAGAGATGTATCGGTCATCATGGATGGGTTAATGACATGTCCGTATAAATGAATGAATAGGATGATGCAAGTGAAGTAGTGGATATGTAATTCTGCGATACCTCGACAATATTCTCTGCGACCAGAATCATTGTGAAGGTTCAAGTTACTTGGAAGGGTCGCAACCCATTGTTTCAAAGAGTTGAGAATCCATAATCCCTGCTTATGTTCTTTCAATTAGCAGATTGCAATCGTAACGCTAAACCGGGGGAACACATAGTTCATTTGGCATATTATATCCTAAGGCCTCTGGAATGGATGGTACGCACTTGTTCATGAGATGCCTCGGCCTGCGGTCCTGAAACTCCACAATCTTCTCGAGGAGTTTATTTAGGTTCGTGAATTGGATAAACGTCTCCGCTTTAGCATCTGGAGATTCAAAATCTTCAAGCTCTAACGGGCGCAAGTTTATGCTCTGAGATGATATGAAGATAGGACGTCCAAATGCCGCCGCCTGCAGTTTGTCTGCGCACTAAAAGTCAAGTTAGAAGATTTCGTTATTGTTGAAACGGAACTTACGAAAATGAACCACACCAATCGCCGGGCGGCTCCCGGGTTGGATAATTTTAGATAACTCGATTCTCGATGAAGACCCATTTGATATGCAAGTCGGACGGCTACGCCGAGCCAGTGGTAGGAGGAATCAAGGCTCACCACTACAGGTGGTGTTATAACCCAGAAGCATAAGATGCAAAGCGTTTTCAGAATAGCAAGTTTATCGTGTTCGTGTTTTGCATAAAGGAGAGTCTTGATCTTGAGGTAATACGACTCGCTCAAAAGTGTTGGGGGTTGGTCCCTAGGGTATCGCAGCTGGGATCCGATTAAAGAAATTGCCAATATCAGTAAATCAGATGGTTGTTCTACAGCCAAATCTGCCCGATCAATGACAGGTGCCATGTGGTAAAGATGCATAAAATATGTTTCTGTGAAGACCTGGAATTTTGACTGAGATGGGAGAGACATCGCGTTGGTGATTTTAAGTATCTCACCATGGATGTGTTGCGAAAAGGAACCCGAATCCAACATTGCCGGTACAGAAACCGATGAAGAAGAAGACATCAGAGATTGCTCTCCTATATAGCCTGGCTGGTCGGGCTGCTGTCGGATCGTTTGATGATGGCTATCTTGAGTCTGACTAGACTGGCCAGGGTATAAAGATTCAGTGGAACCGTCATTGGAATATGACGCTACTGTGATAGGGCTTGCTGTCTGTGATTGCAAAGTCCGGGAACGTGTCATTCGACCATCCCAACTACCGTGCTGCCTAGAAAGAATTGAGCTTCAACACATATTGCCAATGGTATCATGGCCACAAGCTCTTACTTGCATTCTTGGCCACGTCTTTTGCAATGGCTGCAAGCATCACCTTCTTGTTCTTGGAGATCACATCGTACCTGTCAGGCTGTTAGTTTCGCCACATGCCAGGAGGTGTGGGAGACATTCCTTCCGTGCGTGACAGTGGAGACAGACAATTTTTGCCCTTTCGCGGGCCCTTTTACTTGGACCATTCGAAGAGGGCATGATGCGATCAGCTAGAGAAATATAAATCTGCCATATGTAACTATCTGCAGGTCATGCAAGTTGTTGGCATATGTTGGCAGGGGGCATGCGAGCAAACTGTGGGGAAACGATGGGTTACGTAAAGTGTATGTCTTGGCGAATATGAATTACCCCACCACAATCGATTTTGCGGAATCTAATTCGGTCAAGACGGTTGGGGAATTAACTAGATCATGGTTTACATGGTGAATCTATCTGCTAAAATGGGAACAGCACGATGTCAATCTGGCAAGCAGACCAGTAGAATATAGTGAACAAGCAGCAACAACAGCAAGCACCACGTATGCACTAACTAGAACAAGCATTAAATGGGCGAAATAGGAAGTTTTGGGGTACAAGAGAGAATTTACGATAGATAACTAGAGACAGTATGTTTCAGATACAATACGAAATCCGCGAGGTATCTAACTGTAGAGAGCATTCCTGGAAATTGGAGACCTAAGGCGCATTGAATATTATCATTCACATCAGTCCAACTATAAGATAGCGGTTCTGAAGGAGAGACCTATTTAAAACTGATTTTCCAATTGTCCAAGGTGACCTAAAATCTATGATGATCGATTTCCCTGCTCGTATAATTGACCAGATGAGCACCAAATGATCCATATCCTTCTATAACATTGGTCGTCCTCTGATCACAATGGACAGGAACCCTAGAAGTTTGGATAAGACGCTCAGGTCCCCCTCGGCTTGTTCAATCACCTGAAGATCACCCTGAAGGACCTCAGCTAGCTGGCCTTTAGTCAAATTTAGGATTAAATCTGCTGGTTGCTGAGAATCCTGTTCAATTGGCTTTTCCCGATAAGTTAAAGCGCCATTGCTCAAGGACAATGTCCAGCGACATTTCTCATCAGGCATCAGGATGTCAATCGTGATGTTCTCGCCATTTACCCGACTCCCATCCAATTGAATAGAGATACAATCCAGCCAGTCAGCCACGGAGAGGAATGGATTTATTGGTTGCACTTCTGCGGGTTTCGAAATATGGAATTCGACCTTGTTGCGGATGTCTTGAGCGCGGGTAAGATAGAAATTGCGCCATATGGCATTCTCTGCCCCGTAGCCTAGCCTCTCGAATACCGAGGCCGATGCTTCTCTTACCGCGGGCGTAGGCTCCGTAAAAAGCGCGTGGTCAAGTAAAGTAGCCGCAAAGCGGAGATCGCCGTCGTCACGATACGCTAGGGCCTTTCCAACAACACTTTCCACGCCCCCCATACAGTCAACATATCGCTTTGCTTCATTTTCTGGTGGATGCTGCCATAGATGAGCAGCATTGCCGTCGAACCAGGTCATGTACCGCTGATATATGGCTTTCACATTGTGGCTAAGGGAGCCATAATAGCCTTTGATATGCCAGGCCTTCTGAAGGGACGTAGGCAATTGTAGCCTTTCTGCAATTTGGGATCCTGTGAGCCCAAGATTCATCATCCGGCATGTCTGGTCATGGAGGTAGGCGTATAGATCACGCTGCTCCGATATGAGCTGTATGAGCTTCTCCTGGCCCCAGGTTGGCCAGTGATGGCTAGCGAACAAAACATCGGACTTATTTCCAAAAAGTGCCAATGATTCATCGAGGTATTTAGACCACGCCTTTGCATCCCGTACTTGAGCACCCCTGAGGGTGCCTATATTGTGCATACAATGAGTAGCGCATTCTGAGATACAGAGGGCCCGTTGTTCTGGGAAATAGAGATTGATCTCTGCCGGTGCCTCTGTGCCCGGAACCATTTGAAAGATGATTCTCACTCCATCCAAAACATGCTCTTCGCCTGTTAGTTTGATATCCACATTTGGCGGGATAAGCCCAGTGGTGCCACTGGAACTGGTCAGGCCGAGCCCGGAGCTAACCTGGCCTTGGGAACCCTTAACCAGGCGATTGCCGAACATAAATGCTGCACGCCGACGCATTGCTGGTCCCGCGAATATGTTTTCGCTGATGGCCTCATCCATGAAGTGCTCGGGGGCAAGGATTGGAATGGATACGGGCTCAGTAGTAGACGATTCGTTGGCGAGGCCGTAAGATGGAAGCACACCCGCTGCACCCCCAAAATGATCCACATGTGAATGTGAATAGATGAGGCCAGTGACCTTTCGGTTTCCACGATGTTGCCGATATAATGCTAGAGCTGCTGCGGCACATTCAGCCGAGATGAGGGGGTCGATCACAATGACTCCTTGCTGGCCCTCTACCACGGTCATGTTTGAAAGATCAAAGCCCCTGACTTGATAGATGCCTCGAGCAACCTCGAAGAGCCCCTGTTTGTAGCAAAGCTGAGCCTGTCGCCAGAGACTTGGATTGACCGTCCCAGGGCACTTGTCCTCGAGGAATGAATATTGGTCATTATCCCATACGACATTTCCGTCCCCAGCGCGGATAGTGCAAGGCTTCAGAGAATCAATGAATCCTCGGAGGCATTTTCAAAGTCTTCTCTGTCCGAAAAAGAAGCGGAATTTTTATTGTCGGCAGGGGCCATTCTGGCAAGGAGGGGTGATCGAATATGATTGGATATCGAGTAACCTGAAACGCAAATGCTCTGAAAATGCCTTCAATCTTGGAGCATGAAGGTTAACCTATATATTTCACTAGAATATGTAGGGGCGGATCTCATATGCCTTTTGAACCGAGAATACTGGACTAGGTACAGGATTCAGGGTTCGGCTCATGGTTCGGTCCAAGGCCTTTCGGCATTGCCGAGCCTTCGGTACCCCGCATCGTGTACCGAACCTTCCCCAGACAGTTTCCTACCGAAGTTTGACCAGCAGACGGTATGAAATGTGATTGGATATTCAAATTATGCCATTCATCATTCTTCCATTATCCAAGACATCCTCGTTCTTGTTATAAACATCCAGCTTGGTTGCCCTCGCGAAACTTGGTTATTCCGAGAAAGACATTCTTACAAAACGAACCCGAAATCTTTCTTCTAGCATGGCTCGCTCTGAGACTTGTTCTACAACCAAATATGACGACACGAAATTTGTTGGGATGGAAGGCTCTTCCAACGACCCAGAAGAAGTTGGCAGCGTTGAAGGTTACTCTCGTGTCGAACGACGAAAGATAATACGCAAGATCGATTTCCGTATTGTCTTTCCTCTTGGTCTCATGATGGCCGCCAGCTTCTTGGATAGGGCTAATATGGGAAATGCTGCAATCTCCGGGTAAGAAATTACCCTGTGCTGCATACTCAAATGTCTTCATATCTCGACTCTAATTCAGCGTTTCATTGAAGCATGTCCAAGGATCTAGATTTGAGCAAGGGCGAGCGCTATGTGAGTACGCTGATATAGCTAAGATATGCAGCACTGACAGTATAGTCTCTTATTCTTCTCGTCTTTTTTATTACCTATGTCATTTTTCAAATGCCTGCGACGATTGTCGTGCGCAAATTCGGACCACGTATCTTTCTTCCAACGATTACCCTTCTATGGGGTATAGTTATGATGGTATCTACGCACCGCTCCAAATGTATGCAATTAAAGCGTTATTGACCTCCGAGTTAGTGCTTTGGTTTTGTTCAAGACTGGCGAGTGATGGTCGCTCTTCGGTTGCTCCTCGGTGCATTTGAGGCAGGGCTGTTTCCTGGTGCTGTCTATACAATTTCCCAGTGGTATACCCGAGGTAAAACACTCTTTTGCGCTTCTGTGGCTAGATACTAATCGAATTTTCTAGCCGATATTCAGACAAGATATTCCTCATTCTATACTATCAGCTTACTCGGCGCTGCCTTCTCGGGGCTACTTGCATGCGCATTCTCACAAATGAAAGGCATTGAGGGGCTCAACGCGTGGCGATGGATATTGATCATGGAAGGTTTGTTAACTTGTGCTATCTCTTTTATAGGATTCACATTATTAGTGAATATGCCCGCGGATGGCCAAGATGCGTGGAGGTTTCTCACAGAGAGAGAGGCGCACATTGTGATCGAAAGTATTGGCCATCAGCGAAATGATAGCTACGAGGATGACTCGTTTGAGTTCAGAAAGTTTCTCAGGCCCGCTCTGGATATCAACATTTGGGGCTTTGAGCTCAGCTATCTGTAAGAAGCTGGTCACCTTCAACGCCAGATTTTATACTGCTAACATACATTCAAGATGCATGAGTACAGTGATATATGCAATTTCATTCTTTATGCCAATCATCCTACAGGGACAATTGGGGTTCAGTCTCATTGAGTCTCAAGCCTTGAACACCCCACCCTACATATTCGCATGTCTTCAAATGTGTTTCCAGGCATGGCTTGGCGGCAAAACCAAGTTGCGAGGTCTGATAATAATCTACAACGGCTTTCAGGCTGCAGTGGGAATCTGCGTTCTAGCTTGGGTGAAAAGCCCCTGGGTTCAATATTTTGGGATTTTTCTAATAGCGGGAGGAACGCAATCAAATCTGCCCGCTATAATTACGTGGCAGACCAATAACATCCGTGGAAAATGGAAGCAGACATTCTGTAGTGCCAGCATCATAGGAGCGGGAGGCGTCGGCGGTATCGCAGGATCGCTGATTTTCCGCTCTCAAGACGCACCTCTCTATATGCCAGGCTTTTATGCCTGTCTAGTGTGCGTTTCTTTTCTTCTTTCATTTGTGTCGCATTTTCGCTGACAATCTTCCTCGATAGGTGCTGTGCATTGACTATAGGAATTTCGGTTGCAATGATGATCCGCTTCCACAAGGCGAACAACCGGGCTGCTCGTGGGGAGATTATCATCGAGGGGCTAGATGGCTTTCACTACATGCTTTAGATAGCCAATAATATCAAAGAAATTCTAGTGCAAGCTATCCAGGTCAGGAACCTTAGAAGTGCTAATAGCCATACTACTGGGGATGGGGGATCAATAGGCTGGAATAGACTGCCGTATAAACGCGTGACGTTACGAGATCTGCTACTAGAAATCTGCGAAAATGACCACTTTAGGGCTTGATAATTGTCCTACACATCCATTTCCTTTGCGTCCTATACGTCTTTTTCTCAATACTTATCATATAGATGAGGGTTTTGTGCGCTTTCAAGGGTAAGATCCCATGCCGACCAACTAATCGATTCAATAACGAACAGGTATTGTGAGAGTTTCACACGGGGGGGTTTTTAGTCCTAGCTGAACCAGCATGGCTCGTAATTTGGAGAGTGGTCTTAATATGATTCTACAAAGTCCAAAATTGGCACGAAGCAGACATATCGCTATTTTGTATCGGAGAGTGTTTTTCATCTTGATATCAGTCCCGCAATGCCCCAATCTGCTGAAAACGGCCATACTAGTGACCAGGACCATGGCATCTATAATGCCAATAACGTCAAGGCTGCAATTAAAACTATATTGGTAACAGGAGGGGCAGGCTTTATGTGAGAATAATTACTTCGCTTGGCATTGGAATTTGAGACAACCTGATCGTTAATAGTGGTGGGTGGTTTATTCGGCACATGCTCAAGACTTACAGGAACGCATATGAGATTATTTGCCTTGACAATCTGGAATATTGCTCCTCTTTGAAGAATTTCTCTGCGATTGAGCATCTGCCGAATTTCCATTTCATCAAAGGAGACATTTGCGACCGACAGCATGTTGAGAGTGTTCTGAACGATTACCATGTCGACGCGATCATTCATTTAGCTGCGGAGTCCCGTGTCGATCACTCCTTCAATGATCCGCTCGCTTTCACGGCGATCAATATTCTCGGCACGCATTGCCTGCTTGAGACATGCCGTAAATATGGTTCAATTCAAAGGTTTGTGTACGTCTCCACCGATGAGGTCTATGGCCCCAATGACACTACCTTATTTCCATTCATGGAGGAGCACCCTCTGAAACCCACCAATCCATATGCCGCGACCAAAGCGGCGGCAGAGATGATCATTCACAGTTATCGCAAATCTTTTCAGATGCCAATTATTGTCACAAGATGCAACAATGTTTTCGGGCCCTATCAATACCCTGAAAGTATGCTAGTTCCGTCACGTTACGGTAATAATGATAGCTGACTAAAATGATCTACTGGTCTAAAGAGCTGATTCCGAAGTTTATCATCCTACAAGAAAAGGGCAGCAAAATGCCAATACAAGGTGATGGCCGGAATGCTCGCGCGTTTATTTTTGCACCTGATGTGGCGGAGGCGCTGGATACGATATTCCACAAGGGCTCCGACGACGAGACGTATAATATCTCTTCCAGCACTCATTTACAAGTTATGCAGGTAGCAGAGAAGATCTACCGACATTTTGCCAGTCAAAATACAACAGATCAACTGTCATCTTGGGTTGAACATCTTGAGGATCGCCCATACAATGACAGTATGTACTGGGCCGATGGTTCTAAGCTAGAAGCACTTGGGTGAAAGCAGAGAACATACTTCGATGAAGGTCTAGTGAGGACTGTTCGATGGCATCTGAATGAAGGACACGAATTCTGGCACTAATCAACACATGGAGGGACATTTCCGTCACTCAATTACTAAACTCGTATCCAAACTTTTCTAGCGCAAAGGTAGCATCACTTGGTTTATGTTCGAAGTTAAGCGACGAAGAGGAGCAAACACGAAACTAGTGAATGGAAAGAGGGAAAGCGAACGAAACGAGCCATCTCAGATATGGCAAGTTATATCATACAGGATTAAGCCCAATATGCCCCAACATTCTCCAGCATGGAAGAGGGAGGTGGGCCCGATCATCAGTAACGTCTGAAATCTTGTCAAATGGGTCGACAACTGCATCTCCAGCTGTTAGTCCTAAAGTCGAAACCTGGATCATCTTTGTCGCGTAAGCCGATTTTGTAATCCAATCGCTTCCAAGACCGAAAGCCTTTCGATACATCCTCTTCTGCTCTGCATCAAGCTCAAACCCTCGTACTTTCTCGCAACAAGAACATTCAACAGTGCAGTGGCCGGCAGCCAGATTTCGTCCGGGTCTTTCTCTACGCTTGGGACAGCATCCACAATCTTGCTCGCAGCATCCACCTCGGCCGGCACAGTCTTCCCGGAGGTCCTGGTGCAAATACCACATAGGATTTGATCGCCATAAGTCCACACCTCTGCTTAGTGGAGTCCTGGGGAACGAAGATCTAATCTGCCACCAACGTCGTTCTAAGTCCCAATAATCCCTTATAAGCTTTTTGATCTCTGATTCGATTGATTGCACCTCAGTAATTTCCTCAGCAAACTTTAGTTTTACATTAATCTCGTATCGCCTTCTCGCATCGAGCTTTCCCGTGAGCGCCACGTGACGCTGATCGTTCTCCCGTAATGCAAGCTCTACCTTAAGGAGTCCTGCCAAATCGACCCGGTCTGTGTTCCAAGTACTTTTGCCATTGTGGTGAAGATTCCATCTGTACCTTTGAATCAACTGGATATCTCCCTTTTTCTCCAAAAGATCCTCTTCAGGTGTTCTATCCCCAGGCAGACACAAGAGATGGGTTGGAATGAGGCTGTTTGGCATTTTAAAAATCGTAGGATAACTTCACCATACAAGTAACATGCTGTTTGCAAGACGTAGTGATTTACACAAGATAAATTAGACGACCTTGAATGTTAGTCGATACGTCAAGATGACATTGAGATAGCTGACTACTGAATCGACTTCTTCAGGGCCGAGTCACCAATTGGCAAACCCTAATTTCATTCAAGGTCTTCGCTACTAAAACAGTCTACAAACTTTAGTTTTTGATCTCGTACTCAGTAGCTACTAGTATGTGCATCAAGCGGCATATGTTTCTATATTACGTCAGGTTCGTGATGAATTGATACTTGGACGAAAGCTGTCTCTACTAGAAACCAGGAGAAACCACGTATTCGTAGCAAAAGGTACTGTGATTCCAAATGACGTATATTCTAGGAGCAGAGACTAAATAATAAAACTTCCTCACAGCCCCAACCGAGATCCAAGACTAGGTGCCTGCCTAAAAGTCTAACATCTCCTCCCATAAATCCGAGTCCTCCTTTTACAGAAACCTCCCTCTGGCAATAGGGGATCTCTTCCGAGACAGCCCATGAGGATATGAGTACCCCATATCATTCATAAATCTGCGCAGACAGCGAGTCTGGGTCATATAAAAAAAGCCATGTTCTCGAAGGTCGCTAATCACCGTTCGCACCCAGTGTCGGCAACCAAGACCGCTGGGATGAAACTGGTAAATATGTCGTCGTTCTTCTTGAATAAACCAAATAATATCACGAACAGTCAGACCTGGCCGGGGAACCAGGTTCCAATACTTATAGCAATAGCGATGCCTTCTAAAGTTTCGATGACGGATCACCAGCCTTCCCATGTCGGTAAGCGCGGAAGGGGAGCCCATGTTCAGCTCTATTGAGTTTCCATCTGCGGTTAGTAAGTATAACACGGAATGCGTGTTACGGTGGGCAAATGGGTCGATTCCGTACCCAGCTGCTAGAAAGCTGGGTCGTATCCTATCGACGCAGAGGTCCAGGATAGACTCCTCGAGGTCGTGGATGAGAGGCTGAGCCGCGATCGTGTGACGTGAAGACGACATAGTGGCCAATTTATAGATAAATAGCAGTACTACTAGTAGTATATAATAACAAATGGGTGGGTTCTACTGCTCGTTGATATGATAATAAGTGGGTGCTGGTTCCGAGTTTATAGAGGGAAACGCCGTTCTTTTATAGTTTTTTCGACGGCCCCCGAGAAGCTGTATCCTTAATCATTGAGAACAAAGCATCTCAAACAGACAATGAGACCTATTCGAAGAATTAATCACGAAGTTTCGTTGTTAAACAAAACGACGAGTCCACTGGACATTCTTTTTGATATCTCACTTTGGGGGTCATCGACGAGGACAGCTGGACAAAGGGCAGACCGATAGATATGAGTAAAGAAAGGGAGTTGAGGACAATGAAATGGTCGAATTGAGGCTATTGGGCATGCAGGCAGCCGAAAGGTCACTTGATATTATGAGTATATAGAACTTGGAGCTTTGTTGTGACGCCTTAGAGAAACGCCAATGTGGACCTGTAGCTAAGAATAAATTAGGCAACCACTGTATCAAAGGAATTATAGTAAACAATTGAATTAATTAAATTCCTCATGAAAAGCGTCAGTGGCATGGCGGCGGTCTAGGCTTGAGGTCATTATACGATGTCTCACAGTTGTGGAATTGCGCGTTGCTTCTCCTTTGTTGGCACCAGCTCATGGTACCGGCATTCACTCCAGGGCTCCCTTGGGTACTGCATTTGCTTCTGGTAGCTACTAGTTCTTATGAATTTACTGGAATACCAGCCTTAGTATAGACTGGAGCAGCTAATAAATACCGACCTTGAAGGCAATCCGGTGAGAGCTACCTCGGTAGTACAGCGTGTGAAGCCTACGGTGACGCAGTCTACTAACTTTAGAGGCTTTCCAATATCAACTTGAACAACTAAACGACAAGCCAATCTCATACCGATGATGGATTAAATAACTATTTCCAGAAGGGCGCGTCTAGATGTCATGAAAGTTGTCGTCCGAGTCGTAGGTCTCATCTTCATAGCCCGATGACTCTGCCAATCGAGTGATAAATAAAGGGATCAAACCTCGACTTTCGCTGGGACTAGCAGCGAGCCGCTGCTCTCGATTAGACATCCAATTCTTGCAAGGAAATGAATGATCTTTTGAAGAGTCTCGCGGGACAAAATCCAACAAATCCGGATACTGCCCTAGCAAAGACCACCAGCGTTCGTAAATGACCTTTTCGTTCCATGAATAGAAGTCTTCCAAAAACGGCGTTAGATCAATCGGTTTTCCATCCGGTCCACGCGGAAGGCCCGATTCCCTTTGGGAGGGACGAGGGCAAATAAGACCAACTGCGCACATACGCCATTCGTCCCAGATGAATAGGCCCATTCCTTGGAATAGAGGTCGCTCGGGTCCATCCATCCGGAAAGTTACCGCCGGGTGTAACAGGCGATTGGGCATCGGAGAACGGTCGGTCATAAATTCCCATCGGATTGCAGATTTTGATACTCGTATTAGAGCTTGCTCGACGCTTTGGCCCCAGAAGTCATATCCACCCAGAAAATATTCTAGTTCGGAGACAGGCGGTGGTGACCATGCACATGATGACGGATATCCACCGTGGTCCAATGTTTCCTCCATATCATCAAAGTCGAATAAGGGCAGGTGGGCTATTCGTTTCGGTATAAGGCCCAACTGGATGAGAACAGTCGTCACGGAGGGAATCTCTTCATCCAACTGACCCTTTGATTTGAACTGCCAAGGGATCTCAATACTCAACGCCTGAGCCTCCTGAGTTGACCAGCCCCATTTCTCCTGCGTATAATGGAGGTATGTGGAATAAAGCTGCAGATTCCAGAGTGCTTGATAGACTCTGTATTCTTCGACCCAGCTGAAGGGGATAAATTGTGTCGCACGATCCGGACCGAGAAGTTTGGAACTGGAAACTGCACAGTGCAGGCTGCCGACCATGGTGAGAAGACACATGCATGCAAGACGCTGAATACGACCAGCGATGCGAATAAGTTCAAATGCTACTTTGGCAGCTCTCTTCGGGCAGAGTGGAATTGGGACCACGCTCCAGGGGCAGTCTTGCGTGTATTGAAAATGGCGCTTCACAGATTCGATATTGGATGGTGGTTCACTCAGCATGAGAGCGAGGCAGCGGAATATTCCACGAATAGGCATTGGGACGCATTGACTGCGGTAGCTGTATGGGCAGTGGAAAAGAGAGTGCCACTTCGTGAGGCGATTTAGGATTGGGAGGGCGTATGTCGCGCATACAGATTCGGCGTGTGGTGAGGCTTTGGTCAGGCTCACGACGCTATAGAAATCATCGATATACTGCAGAATTTCGATCATGAGCTCCACTGGGAGGGTGCGGAATATATCCGCGGGCCTCTGGGAGGACATGATTGTCATTCCCAGGGGATATCGAGACTATCTGGAGCCTTCAGGTTTGTGATTTTACTTGCGATGGAGGATTTGGTCGGACCATGGAGTATATATCTTCGGACGGCAGAGGTCGTGGATGCAATCACGGCCATAACAAAAAAAGCAAGACGATAAGATACGCAAGAATGCAGGGATGTAGAATAACCAGGAAGATGCGGTTGCTGAGATGAGATGCGAGGAACGAGACCAGTCAATTAACGCTTGGAAATCGAAACGCTGGAAGATATGCGAGTAAATAAGAGCAGAATGATTCCGGGATGCAGATATTTGACGACTCCAGTAGCTGGGTCTCCAAGAGGTTGACAATGTGACAATATGAGCCCTGATTGAATTTCGGGATAGCCGATATGGTTGATAGGTCTCTCTAGCTAGCAAGAGGCTGAAAACTGAAGGCGGCTACTTTCTCCGCACCGAAGCGGTGTGAGGGAGCCACAGCAGTGAGAGTGAAGTAACCGGAAATGTCGGGAGCGATCCGGAGAGAAGGTGATTTGTTAACTGAGCAACAACATGGTCCAGAAGGATAGAGTCAAGACCATGTTGTACAGATGGGGCAGAGATCGGTGTGGGGTGATGGGGTGTATACTGGCGAAGTCAATAGAGAGTTGATCTTGGTCGGTTCGGTGGTTCGCCCCACCTCCCGGCTTACCTCAGCAGCTTATCGCAGCTCTTGGCATAAACATCACGTGATCACAAACAACGTGACTGGGGAGAACGTGACCCACAACGTGACTTGCACACACGTGACTAGGCCTAGATCAGCCTCGGCAGACCCGCGGCCGAACCCCAACATTTCCAGTGAACTAGTCCTACTTCGTCTTGAGTAACTACAATCTTGTGGATGGGGTGTCTCTTGCACATGCGATCAGCATGGGGATGGCTGATGATTTTGAGATGACCTCATTCATTGAAGCATTCAGGTCATGGCCTTTGCTACACTGTCCATCATGACGCTGGGAATCACCCCGATCGGAAGGGTTAGGGATGTTGAGTTTGGTATTTTCGTCTTGTTTGCCACCATAGGGCTGTGACCCAGGGGCGGAAGTGAGAAGGGATGGGACATAGCGGGAAGTGGCCGACGGTGGAAGAACTAAGTTGGGTGTGTAGAACATGGAGTAGAGGGTAGACAGAGTACATAGTCAATATCTGAGAAAACATATCTCTTCTGTATTCACATCTAGAGTACTGGATGTATCCCTTGGTCCCATCCCATCCGTTTGCGGAGCCATGATAAGAATGATAAGCCGCAATGCCAGTCACGTGCAGTTCATGCAGGACCACCTCAGAGCAGCTTCAGCATTAGGGTGTACTCTATACTCTGTAAAGTGTAGAAATGTTGGGCGGATATTAATCCAATCCTACAATTGGTCCATGTCATGATGTACATGGCACCATGTCAATACTGTCCACGCTGCAATGTGTTATGCTATGTTGTGGTGATGTGGTATGATAGTGACTAAGCGAAAAGTGTTGGGGCGCCTCAACGAGAAAGGAAGGCACGCCACCTCAGGAACCGGCCAGACACGCTGCAACACTCACGCTCATTCGTCCATTGCCCTTTTTCCTTTTCTTCTCCTTCGTTTTCTTTCTTGATCGGCCGCTCGACTTCTTCCGTTTCTCTGCCGAGGGATCTTGTGATTCCTGTTTCTCCCTTTTTCTCCCTTTGCATTTGTGTTGATTCGTCCTGCACCAAGCTTCCCCATAATCCGTTGGCGATCAAACCCTTCCTCTCCCCCCAACGTTGGTCCTAAGTGGGCCCCCCATATAAAAAAAGCCATCGCCCGGCCCTGGCCCACGCCACTCCCTTCTCATACTTCTCTTTTTTCCCTCCCGTCCTTTCCATCTTTCTTCTTCATCACTGAGGGAAAGAGAAAAGTGAATCACAGAGACATCATGTCGACCAAGGCTGAGTCCTCTCGCCCTCGGGCTCCTGACACCAAGAAGGTGCACATCGCCGATACTCCGTTGACTCGCAACAACTGGTACAAGCATGTCAACTGGCTCAATGTCTACCTCATTCTTGGTATTCCTGCCATGGGCTGTGTCCAGGCTTTCTGGACTCCCCTGTACCTGAAGACTGCCGTCTGGGCCGTCGTGTACTACTTCTTCACCGGTCTGGGTATCACAGCAGGTAAGCAATGATTCACATTGAGCTAGCTAGCTCATCCATCATGGAAGGATTTAATACTAACTTATATTCCACAGGATATCACCGTCTCTGGGCTCACTGCTCCTACTCCGCCACTCTCCCCCTTCGCATCTGGCTCGCCCTGGTCGGCGGCGGTGCCGTTGAGGGCTCCATTCGCTGGTGGGCTCGTGGCCACCGTGCTCACCACCGTTACACCGACACCGAGAAGGACCCTTACTCCGTTCGCAAGGGTTTCTGGTACTCTCACCTCGGCTGGATGGTCATGAAGCAGAACCCCAAGCGCATTGGCCGTACCGATATCTCTGATCTGAATGAGGACCCCGTCGTTATTTGGCAGCACCGTCACTACCTCAAGGTCGTCTTCGGCATGGGACTTCTCTTCCCCATGCTCGTGGCCGGTCTCGGCTGGGGTGACTGGCTCGGTGGTTTCGTCTACGCCGGTATCCTTCGCATCTTCTTCGTCCAACAGGCTACCTTCTGCGTCAACTCTCTCGCTCACTGGCTCGGTGACCAGCCCTTCGACGACCGCAACTCTCCCCGTGACCATGTTATCACTGCCCTGGTTACCCTGGGTGAGGGATACCACAACTTCCACCACGAGTTCCCCTCCGACTACCGCAACGCCATCGAGTGGCACCAGTATGACCCCACCAAGTGGACCATCTGGTCCTGGAAGCAGCTCGGCCTCGCCTACGACCTCAAGCAGTTCCGTGCCAACGAGATCGAGAAGGGCCGTATCCAGCAGCTCCAGAAGAAGATCGACCAGAAGCGCTCCAAGCTGGACTGGGGTACCCCTCTCGAGCAGCTTCCCGTCCTGGAGTGGGACGACTATGTCGAGCAAGCCAAGAACGGCCGTGGCTTGGTTGCCATCGCTGGTGTTGTCCATGACGTGACCGACTTCATCAAGGATCACCCCGGTGGCAAGGCCATGATCAACTCCGGTATTGGCAAGGATGCCACCGCCATGTTCAACGGTGGTATCTACTACCACTCCAACGCCGCCCACAACCTACTCTCTACCATGCGTGTGGGTGTGATCCGCGGTGGCTGTGAAGTTGAGATCTGGAAGCGTTCTCACAAGGAGAACACCGAGTACGTTCGTGATGAGAGTGGACAGCGTATCATCCGGGCTGGTGCCCAGGTTACCAAGATCCCCGAGCCCGTCTCCACTGCGGATGCCGCTTGAGTGTGTGCTTATTATGTCGATGATTTATTTTGCTTTGCATCCGAGTGGCTGGACGGTGTTTCACGGAGTTATTTTTCCTTGATTATTTTTGTCTGTCTTTTTCGAAAAGCGCTCTCACATAGATAATTTGCCATGAACTAGAAACGACCATTATTTATCATGCAATCTTCACTATCGTAGACCATACATACTCTGTAGTTCCCCTAGTCTCGGTAATCCATAGATACATGGATATCCATGCTGCTCTGCTGTTCTGCTGTGCTCGTGCAACATGCGGGGCATCACCTGACCCGCATCGCCTTCCATCGGCTTCGTCTCACGTTGGTTGGACCTCCTCCATTCTCCATCTTGCATATCTCTCACAGCCACTCACACTTCTTCATCCATCCCCGCCATCATTGCCTTCACCGCTCGCCACCACCTTCTTATCCTCCTCGTCGCCGTCATCGTGGCGCCCTTCCTCCGTCTCCCCACCCGCCTCTCATCAGTGCTGGGCCACCTCCGAATAAACAACTATAGCTATCCCCGATACCTGACCACCTCCACCATGGCCCCCGCTCACCTTCGGCGTCCACCGCAGGCCCCGCCCACCTTCACAGCTACCCCTCAATCTGTTGTTGCCGACGCAGAGCGCATCATCAAGACCTCTCGCGGCGTCCAGGACCAGGTCGTCGGCTCCGTTCAAGCTACTAATGCCACCTTCGCCAACGTCCTTGGCCCTCTGTCCCAAGATGAGAACGTCATGGCATTGGAAGCACACATCTTAGGCTTCTACCAAGCCGTATCAGTGGACCAGAAGTTGCGGGACGCCTCATCTAAGGCCGAGGAGCTCATGGATGAGTTCTTCATCGAATCCGCCATGCGCGAGGACATTTTCAAGCTCGTCGCCGAAGCGCTGAACAAGAACGAGCCTTTGGAGCCCGAGTCCCGCCGTCTTCTCGAGAAAGAACACAAAGACTTCATTCGCAACGGTCTGGGTCTTCCCGACGGTCCTGAGCGTGCCCGATTTAAGGAGATCAAGAAACGCCTCAGTCAATTGAGCATCGAGTTCCAGAAGAACCTGAACGAGGAGAATGGCGGTATCTGGTTCACCCTCGAGCAATTGGATGGTGTTCCCGAAGATGTCCTCTCCGGGCTTAAGAAGGGCGAAGGCGAGAACGAGGGCAAGGTCTGGCTCACTTTCAAGTACCCCGATCTCTTCCCTACCATGAAGTACGCCAAGAACTCCGAGATCCGTAAGCAGGTGATGGTTGCAAATGAGAACAAGTGTAACCAGAACGTGCCTCTGTTCCGCGAAGCTATTGTTCTCCGCGACGAGGCTGCCCGTCTGCTCGGCTACCCCAGCCACGCCGCCTTCCGTATTGAAGACAAGATGGCCAAGACACCCGAGACAGTCAACAAGTTCCTTGGTGACCTGCGCTCCCGCCTGACAGCCGGTGGAAAGTCCGAGATCAACACACTCATGGAACTGAAGAAGAGCCTGGACCCTAAGTCTGATGGACAATATTACCTCTGGGACCACCGCTTCTACGACCGATTGATGCTGGAGCGCGACTTCTCGTTGGACCAGCAGCTTATTGCCGAGTACTTCCCTCTGCAAACCACCATACAGGGCATGCTGAAGATCTTCGAGGAGCTCTTCGGGCTTGAGTTCGTCGAGATTGTCGGCGAGGACCGCGCAGCTCTTGCACCCACGGGCAAAGGAGATGACATCGTCTGGCACGAGGATGTCCAAGTCTTCAGCGTTTGGAACGACGAAGGCGAAGGCAGTGGATTCGTCGGATATCTCTACCTAGACCTCTTCCCCGCGAAGGCAAGTACGGCCACGCCGCCAACTTCAACCTGCAACCCGGCTTCATCGACGCCAGCGGTAACCGCCGCTTCCCCGCCACAGCCCTAGTCTGCAACTTCACCAAGCCTACACCCAAGAAACCCTCCCTCCTAAAACACGACGAAGTAGTAACCCTCTTCCACGAACTGGGCCACGGAATCCACGACCTCGTCTCAAAGACAATCTACTCCCGCTTCCACGGCACAAACACAGTCCGCGACTTCGTCGAAGCCCCATCACAAATGCTAGAGAACTGGTGCTGGACACCATCCCAACTCCGCGCCTTGAGCACCCACTACGCAACCCTTTCACCAGATTACCTTAAGGGCTGGCAAGAGGCCCAAGGCCGCGCAGGAAAGGACGCTTCGGCCCCGGCCCCGGCTGCTCAGATCCCGGATGAAGTCATTAACAACCTCATCCGTACCAAGCACGTCAACGACGCGCTTTTCAACCTTCGTCAACTGCACTTTGGAATTTTCGACATGAGCGTCCATGAACCAGCCAGCCATGCCGCTATCGAGGCCCTCCCCGTTTCAGCAACATATAACCGCCTCCGCAAGGAAATCACCCAAATGGATGGTCCTGAGGCTCTGGGCGCTGGTGACGAGTGGGGTCACGGCGAAGCTACATTTGGCCATTTGATTGGTGGTTATGATGCCGGTTACTACGGTTATCTGAGGTAAGTTCCCCAGTTCCCCGGGTTCCTCTCAACAAATAAAACAAAATAATTTCAAAGTTACTAACCACCATACTCTACTCAAACAGTTCCCAAGTCTACTCAACAGACATGTTCTACACTATTTTCAAAGATGATCCGATGAACAAGGCCGCCGGCCGTCGGTACAGATACCAAGTCCTTGAGAAGGGCGGTTCGCAGGATGAAATGACCACCCTGACGCAGTTCTTGGGTCGTGAGCCTGAGACTACTGCTTTCTATAAGGAGCTTGGTCTTGCTTAGTGCAGCATTATACTGACTACATGCTTTGCCTGGCGATGTCTTTCCTTGTTGCTGGGTTAGATTAGTATAGATATTTCAATCCATTGCATTGTGTAGTTCTTGGTTCATGGTACATACTAGTAAAAAATAGTCGTTCGTTAGGAAATCTTTGCGTCTTCCGTTGCGGCCAGATATCTATAAACATCCAAGACCGACTTTCAAGCGCTAAAATTGATGTTCTCCAAGGCTTCATCCAATTTGAACCTTGGCAAGTGCCCGGGAATATGGTGTGCCTACTGGGCGCTTAGCAGGACAAACTACTACTGTACAAGGATGGGGCGACCAATCAAGAAAGCCAAACGACGAATTCTTGAACATATGTAGCTGCGTTTGCTTTTGAATCTGAGGTCTGCCTATGCCAACGCATGCATTTCAGCCCCATGCACAGCCTCCTCAAGGTTGAGCTTCAGAGCTCCCGAGCCCCTGCCTTCCCACAGACTCTCTTTGCTATCTTCTCTCCTTACAGTGCTTGACACACAAATATTTACGCAATGTCCGACCCCTTCTCAGTCGCCGGCAGCGCTGTCGGGGTCATTTCTCTCGGTCTGCAGGTTTGCAGTAAAATTGTCAGCTATACTCAAGCCGTGCGGGGTCAAAACGATGACATTCAAAATCTTGCCAGCAAAGCTGCGAATATTCGCTCATCGCTGAAACAATTACGCGAACTGATCGAAGAGACGAGGGATAATTCACCTGATTTTGCAGATGACCTCGAGGCCCAGGCGTTTGGTCTTAAGGCGAACGTGGAGAAGCTGCGTACGAAGATCGAACAATACAAGCCTGTTGTAACCGAGAGTTTACAGAACAAGGCTAGATCTACTTTGAAAAGGGTCATCTATCCGTTGAAAAAAGAAGCGCTCTTCGAAATCGGGGATTGCCTGGATGGTATGCAGGCGACTCTACGGACGGCATTGACCATGTAAGCTCGCATCACTTCCTTGCCTACTTTGATATGATTCTGAACTAAGCGGTGGGGAAAAAGCTCTACGGCGCGAAATATACACAGATTTGAGTTGAAGCAGGATAGCTTCGATGTTAAACAAGATCAACTCCTAGAGGAAATGGTACGGGTGTTGATTCTCCAACAAGAGTTGTCTGCTGACTCGCTTCTAGAAAACGCTCCAGCTTGCCCTCACAAACTCATCTCTTCAAAGTGTCCTCCAACAACCACCTTCCCGAGTCAAACAATTTTGTGATCAGCTTAGCGACCAGAGTTGGCTAGGACCACTTCCTCCGGCCCAGCGGAAGCTTCATGCCAAACAAGTGAAAAAGCGCTATACATATCGCAGTACTTGGCTGGGGTTCCTTGTTACTGGGACTTTCTCTCTTTCTTCTGGATCCGGTGCATTTTCAATAGCTCCATCGCTGAAAGTTTCCGCTGTTGTTGAGGACAAGAGCTGGTCAGGCACGATGTTTGGATCCAGGTTTTCACCGAACGGAGAACCTAGAGTGAACGTTTGGAGACGCATTGAATATTTCATCCAGCAATCTCAATATGCCTTTTCGGCAGGGAATGCTGCCCCTACTGACATAGTGAGATCATATACTATTACTCTTCCCCTGATATATGTAGGCAACCCCTCCCTCCAGGGCTCCCCGACAAGAAATACAGCACTTACAACTACATATATAAGGCCCCACTTTGTTTTGGTTTTATCTTTTATCGTGAGAACTTCCCGGCTGTCTGTAAATTCATCAAATACATGCTCAGCTGCGGCGCTACCCTTGAATATGACAGTCCCCTTTCACTGTCTCGAGCTTTATGTAACGCATATCTTTGGACCGAAGAGGAGTTCATGTTCACCCGGCATATCATAGAAATGGAGGGTCCAATAAACCGGCCCCCGGATTCATGGACCGCAAAAAGAAACATGCAAGAGATTCTACGAAGGGATGAGGATTGTATGAAGCTAATCAGGCTATTCCCCCAGCATCCTGCTAACTCATACCGTAGGCATCGACCTTCCAGCTGCATATATAGCAGTCCTTCGAGAGTCATATGAAGATTTGCGAAAAATCATCAAATCAAAAATAGGATTGCCAGACAACGATATCCACGGAGTTTCTTTGCTTCAGTCGGCAATGGGTTGGCCAGCGGGAGTAAGACTGCTGCTGGAAGAAGGATCAAACACAAAATTACCTATACAGTACTATTGCGGATTCAATGGGATCACCGATGAAGATCACGAAATTGACAAATATATCGACCCATGCAAAATTTTACTCGAAGCGGGATACACCTTTTCGGCCAGTGACACTTTCATGACTGGATCGGATAAACTGAAAGTTGTCTTTCTGCACGAACTTGCCAAACGGCGGAGTAGTCTATTGGAGATAGCGAACGCACGATTCCATCCCTCTGAGCTCTCCGATATCAGGAAAGGAGAAACTGGTCTTCCCGACGCGCAGGCTTATCGAATTTGCGCTGCCTTGATGAGGAAGGGAATTGATGTGGGCCATTCCCTGAGGGCGGTTGAGGGCGAATGTCTTCATGTTCTGACAGCGCCGTTGGATATCTTGAAGAAAGCATATGAGCTTGGATTTACCGATGTAACTCAACGACCTCCACGAGGCTGTACGCCACTAGAGCTCTACTGCTCTCATGGTGGCAAGCCAGAAGTGATTGACTGGCTTATTTCCAAAGGCGCGAATCCGTTCGAAAGGCTTCCTAGATCAAATACGACAGTGACTCATCTACTATCTTCGGAGATGGGTAGGCGAATATTTTTTAGATTTTGTGACGGTGACCATTTTGATCCAACCCCTTTCCACCAAATCGCGGATCATCTATTATCCACATCACTCAAGGATGCCTGTTCCTGTCCGTGTTCTGTTGGTGGATGTACTACATTGTCCGTAGCTATCCGCCTTGAAATTGATCTTTACTATGGGCGAACCAAAGATATCACTCGCGAGGCGGCGGCCTTTCGCAATTTTCTTCAGGTCCTCATCGAATACAATCAGTCAAGTTCCCAGGCCTGCCGCTCAATTATCAGGAGTCTTACATTTGACGGACTAGGGCTGAGCCATAGCTGCTGCACCGAGCTCGGCTATTTAGATCCCTGGCTACGTGCCAGAGAGGAATGTGAGCTTTTTGATATCATGGAGGAGCAAAAGGAGCAAGCAGAATGCTTGGAGGGCCTTGTGGCGGAATTTGAATCTAAGTTTGATGCCTACGGGCTTCCTTTGATGGATTTCCTGCAGGGGGTTTGGTATGAACGGATGATAAGATTCATTTCACACCGCGACCCTTTCGATCCAGGGCATCACGAAGAAGTGGGGAAGCTTGGTGTTTCTCTGGAGATGGATGATGTTGAGATACCCCTCGTTGTGCAATATATTTGTGACCAAGTAAGGGTGGTCGAGGACGACTCTGACAGCTCTTGATACGGCCACCGATCTCCGTCCTAAAATCTGGAAATCAGGACAAGATCGTAGAATCATGTTTACCCTATGTGTTCTTTTAATAATACTTTAAGTTGTACCGCAGATGGAGAAAAGTATAATTTCTTACAGTTCCGCTTTAATATCATCGATAAATGATTCCTTTAATATGGAGGACTATTTTGTATTTGATATTTCTAAGCAAAGTTGCAATGACTTGGTAACTCCTAGTAAATATTCCTCGTGCAGCCGCTGCCCAACCACCTGAATGGAAACTGGGCAGGTAGCCATGTCTTCTGGTGTATCTGCATTTGTGAGCTTTAGGCAAACTCAAGATATTAGGAAAACATACAATCTTGCCAGACATCGCCTTCTAGTTTGTTCCGAGATTTCAAGCTCGAGGCTCTATCACTTTCCAAACATACGTGGGTTACCGGTACGGTAGTTGCGCAGTAATCAAGAACATTCCAGAGGCTGGTATAGTTATCATATATGAATCCATGTCTGTGGTTGTTAGTCATATATCCTGCAAAAGGGCTGAACATTCTGTGTTTGATACCTTGAAGATGCTGGCCACGGTGAGCATGGCATAATTAGCGCATCAATCTCTCTCTCTGTCTCGGTTGAATTCTTTGTGGCTGCCCATTTTTGCAATATCTGTTTCGAATATTCAGTCCTCTTGGCCTGTGCTTTCCACAGGTCAGAAACAGTTGCCTTCGGGTAAGTTTCATCATTAGCCATATTTCCAAGAATTTCATAGCCTTGCGGCCATGGCTCTCCTGTCTTTTCCAAGACTCCATGCAAACTATTTGCAGCAGCTGAGCGGTAAAGAGCAAACTTGAGAGAATCCAGAAACAGTGGCTCGTCACTGATTGATGTCAGCTACTGAATTGGCTTTTGTCGTGCCACAACTATGGAGCCTCACATGTGAAATTCAATGACTGCATGTCCGGCAGCTTCTAGGGCCGTCTTTGCCCTTAGTAATGCCCTTGTAACGGGAGGCAGTGGCTTCACAATACCATCATCGAATAGAAGCCCTGGAAGGTCAGAATTTAATTATTGGCTTTTCTTGCCGGACGTCTTTCAAGCATGATGAACTCACCAAAACAAAGCCTCTTGGGTATCTCAGGTTGTCGCCACGGAATAGGCAAGCAATCCGGATCTGCATGTAGATGCGGCTGACTATTTACCACTGTCTTGCACCACATCTCAATGTCTTCCAAGGAATGTCCCATAGGTCCAACTGCGTTGCGCACCGCTTCTTGGCCGTTGAGACTATCTCGGATTCCAGACGTTGGAAATCGACCGAAGGATGGTTTTAGGGAGTAAAGACCACAGAAAGAAGCCGGTATGCGAACAGATCCTCCCACGTCAGTTCCAATGCCCAAAGGAGACCCGCGAAGTGCCAATAAAGCGCTTTCGCCGCCGGATGAGCCTCCGCTAGAAAGGTTGCGATTGTAGGGGTTCGAGGTGTAGCCGTAGATTGCATTGAATGTCTGGTATGTCAGTTCTCTGTCGGCATCTCCTTTCAACTTTCGACACAACTCACCTCTCCAGACATCAGCGCAGTTGGCACATTTGTCTTGCAAAAGAGGATGGCCCCACTTTGTCGCATTATCTTCGTGATTTCTGATTCATCTTCTTTTGAGGTTAAATGATTCACCAGCGCAGTATAACCGATCGCTGCATCTGTTCCTTCGACTTGAAAACAATCCTTGAGCGAGATGGGGAGTCCGTGAAGTGGACCGCGTGCGATTCCCGATTCTTCATATTCTGCATCCAGGGACTTGGCTGCCTCGAGCGCGTTCTCGAAGAAAATTTCCGAGAGGCAGTTTACCTGCTTGTTATTAGGTTCAAATCCATTCCACAGGGAAGCTAAAATATTTGGTAAATGATCATACAAGTTGTTGCGCGATCGCGGCGCGTTTGCAGAAGGCAAGTGTAACCTTTGGTGAATCAGCGTTTGTTCGAATGGACAAATGTCACTTTTGTTCGGGACGAACCTCATATGCTGTATACTCGCGACTCAGAATCCTGTCAATAAGACTTCTAGCACTCGAGTTCGTGATCTCCAGCTCTTTGGGTGTCAAAATTCCACACTCGTAGGGAACATTGGTGACATTGAGCTGGTCGTCCGGAACTTGATCTGGTTTCAATTTCCAACCTAGCGGGATTTTCGCATCGCGACTCGCTTTTTTATCACGAGCAATACTCTCCCAAAGTGGTGCCTCTTGGTATTGCGGTGTTTTCGTCATGTCGCTGCAATTGGGGCGATACTCTTTGTGGTCGTCTCACGATGAAGGAAGTGGCGACGCTGACCAAGTAAAAAGTAAGATCAAACAACAAAGCAATATTGTTCCTGCATCTATCAAGCACTCGAACGCGTTTTGATCCCGCCATTACCGCTGTTAACGCCATGGCTCCACAGCAGATCTAACTGAATGGCCACGCGATAATTTCGGCGAAGCCGATGAAGATAGGGTTTGCCGAAAGGTCTCATCGGTCGCGATGAGGGGCCCCGCGACCCCCTCAGTAGACACTGATACCCTCTTTATAGTAGGAAATGAGATAATTGAGTTGAAATTGAGATATCTGACAATATTTGACAGCTGCTGTGTCCAGACTTCTGGAAAAAAGCATCCATCTTCATCATGTCTACTTCAGATCATGTTTCAGAGAAAAACACCCTTGAGCAGGACAACCATTCCGATAAGGAAAACGGGCCTCCAGAGAGTAATAATGTCTACATGGGCGATGTGATAACAGGTACTGCTGTTCAGGAACTCACTCCTTTTTGAACGAAAGGCTGCCTTGATCAACGCGTCAGTCATCACAATGATGCCTTACGATAGAGTCCGAAACATGCTGACAAAATCAGAGAGATTGACAAGTTCGGCTTCGGAAAATACCAAAAATGTATTTGGTTCCTCTGTGGATTTGGCTATTTTGTCGACTTGGCCTGGGCGCAGGGTGTTGGGTTGCTGGCTACTGCAATTTTGTAGGTTGGATTGCTTCTCTGAAAAACACTATCACTCACATCCACTTGCAGTCAAGAGATGGGTGTTCCAGCTGGACAGCAAGGTCTCATATTCACTTGTTCCAATGTTGGTCTAGCGTAAGTAATCCTCTCCAGAATGTGTACAATTCAGTTGACAGGGCATAGAATCGGCGCTCTCGGATTTGGAATCATCACCGATATCATCGGTCGCAAATGGGCGTTCAACCTTTCATGTCTCATTACATCTGTTTTTGGAATGCTTTTGGTATGTCATTTCTCTCAAACTCAATGAATCATCCCTTTCTCACCCCTTCAGGCTGCAAGCAAGTTTAACTACGGCGCTATCTGCGGTATCTACTTTCTCTGCTGCATCGGCCTCGGTGGTAACATCCCTATCGACGCGACAATTGCCCTTGAATTTCTCCCGCAGAATCGCCGATATCTGGTTTTCTTACTTGGAATGTGGCAACCGATCGGAGTGGTTGTGGCGTCCGCTATAGCCTATGGTACCGCTGCGAAATATCGATGCGACGTGGGTCTTCCCGCGTGCAATGCTGTCAGCCCCGGCGAGGCATGTTGCACTGTCTCTAGCAATATGGGTTGGAGATACGAGGTGATCGTGATCGGGGCTATGACATTCGCTCTATTTGGCGCGCGATTTCTCTTCTTCAGATTTTACGAATCGCCAAAGTTTCTCGTCGGCAAAGGTCGCGAGCAGGACGCTATCGATGTGCTTGACAAGATTGCCAAATTTAATGGGGCCCCGAGGCCCACATTGACAGTGGATGACTTCATGCGGATTGACCGCGAGACAGGCATAGATTCGAATGAACAAACCACTTCCAACGATGCAAAGGGTGTTGTTATGGGCATGGTCAAGAGCCTCGGGTTCCTTCGCGGGTTGTTCATGAAGAAGCTTGAGTGTTTCACTTTCATCCTTCTCGCACTTGCCTACATGGTCGGTTATCCTTCCTGAAAAATTATTTCATTTTCTAACGTCTAGCAGGGAAATTATTGGTCCTTCAACTTGGCCGGCTACTTTCTTCCAATTGTTTTGCTAAACAATAATGTCGACAGCGGTGCGAGCAATGTGACTGAAACATACCGGGAATATGTCTACATTTACCTTCCCGGTGTGATCGGAGCCGTCCTAGCCTTGTTTTCCGTTCAACTCCCCCTTATCGGTCGCAAATGGTCGCTTGTGATATCTGCTGCCCTTCAAGGTGTCTCAATGGCAATGTACACTCAGGTCAAAGACACCCCTGGTTACGTCGGTCTAAACGCGTTAGAGTACATCATGCAAAGTGTAAGTTCCCACCGCATCATCCCGTCTGCAGGCTAACCAATCAAAGTATTTCAATGCCGTACTTTACGCCTCGGCGCCAGAAATGTTCGACACCTCGTATCGGGCTAGTGCGAGTGGCATGCTGTCTTGTCTTGGTCGGGTTGCCGGAATCGTTGCTCCGTTTGCTGGTCAGAAGTACATCGCCGAGGGAAGGTCTGGTGTTCTTTGGCTTGGAGCGGGGGGGGATTTGGCTCTCATCGTTCCTGATGTGTTTCCTCCCTATTGAAATGAGGAACAGACAGATGTACTAGCTGACCAGACGGAACATTTGATCCACTACGGAGTAGTTAATCTTCCATTTTGGACTTTGTCTGTGCCGGATAAGTTTGATATACTGGAATATTGCCCAGGTGGTAAATTCATTATCGCTATATTACTGCAACTTTCTCATTCGCAGGGTACTTTACAATCGAGTTCAATACGACAGGTTTAGCCAAAATAAAGAACGAATATTAGAATATCGAATCCTTGGTTTTCATTTAAAGCATTCATCGATTTCAGGCAAAGATGTACCCTGGTGGATCTCATCCCGCAACGAAGTTTCCCGCGGTGAATCCAAAGTTACGTGGGAAGCTAGTTTTGACCTGGTGTGATTTACACCGCGGCTGTCAGCCCTGAAGTAGAGTAAGCCGAAGCCAAGCTGTGGAGATGCTCAACTAGTATCTTGGCAAGCCAACGAAAGCCCCCTTCCCCGCATTCCTTCCACGTCTGTTTGGGACGAACAGTTGCTTATTGGAGCAAATATAGTTATGCCTCGGGAACCCCAGGACACTCAGTTCCCAAAATCAGCCTCTCGGTATTTCGTACCAATCAAAACCTAGTCCTTCGGAAACATTCCGGAGAAGCTTCGCACAAGAATATTGGCATTAAGCCTTATCTGTTCATTTCATAACGATATCTCGTCCAGTCAAGAGTCCCAGGGTCTGGTTTCTCAATTGATAAAGTGAACGTATCAATCACTGCGATAAGATCGAATTAGATGATTATATGACTCATAGAAAAGGGGGATTTTCAGGTTAAGATGAGCAGGGTGGGGGCCCTCGGTAGATGTGGCGGGGAAACAAGCCTAATTGACCCGTGGTCGCCGACTCCATGACAATTTGATAACCACCATGCGACCGAGCCTAAATTATCCCAGTCCTCGAATTGGCCACACAATTCCCGATCAAACGTTCTAATCTTTTTCCATGGAAAATCTTGCTTTTAATTGGATATCATATCGAGTTTACGCTGCAAACGATGCCCCATCGGCTCGATCCTACGAGCAAACTAACATGGACCTACGGTACATCCAATGAAGCACGGCTCCACCAGCGATCTTGTGATGCTAGTGGACCACCCCGCGATATGATATGGTATGAGATTTGCCCCCTCATCCGAGGTTCTGAGTTAGTTTCACCGCATGTCCTTTTCGCGCAACCCCCCCTCAGGCTTGAGTTAGCTTGATGTTAATCCTTGCACACACCCGAGATCTGGGGTAATATATCTGGACCCCTTCCAATTATTTTCCATGATATTTTCCCAGCAAGAATTCAATCCTCTCCCTTTAAGTTCAACTTTCCTTTCCTAAAGCAACTTGAACTTGCTGTGCAACTTCAATATGGCGAGGGAAGACGATACTCGAGCCGATTCCACTGGTATGGACATCGAGCTATCCATGAAGAATGTTGACCCTACGCTCGTCAAACATGCCAATGATGCGGATGAGGCCATGAAGGTCTTTGAACACATGCAAGGCGAAGCAATTGAGCTTGATGAGGCAACAAACCGTCGTTTATTACGAAAAATTGACTGGCACATCATGCCTGTGATGTGCTGTGTCTACGGGATGAATTTCCTCGATAGTGAGTGACGCAGTTGGCCCGTGCATATGATCTCCACAGCTAATGTGGTGAACAGAAACCACTTTGTCATATGCCAGCATCATGGGTATAAAGGAGGACCTAGGACTAGTTGGAGATCAGTACTCCTGGCTCGGCAGTCTATTCTATTTTGGTGAGAATTCCCCAGTTCGAATACCTGTGGTGACTTGCCTTTGCTGATATAAGGTCAGGATATCTTGCATGGGAGTATCCTACGAGTCGGTTGCTGCAACGCTTACCACTTGGAAAATATTCTGGCTCTTGCATCGTGATATGGGGAGCCATTCTCAGCTGCTTTGCCGCCACGAAAAACTTCCCTGGCGCCGTTGCCATTCGTTTCTTCCTAGGTGTATTTGAAGCAGCAGTGACACCAGGATTTGCGCTTTTGACATCTCAGGTACATAACCCCTTTATACCTACCTGCTATTAAACCGGGAACTTCTCAGTACTAAAGCATCACAGTGGTATACCCGCAATGAGCAGGGCAGGCGAGTGAACCTATGGTACAGCTTCAACGGCTGGGGTCAAATTTTGGGAGGTCTTGTCGCCTACGGAATCGCTGTTGGAGCCGCAAAGCATGGCACCTCGATCGAACCTTGGAAAATTGTTTTCTTGTTTACCGGATGTCTTACCATCTCCCTGGGCTTACTGTTCCTCTGGATCGTTCCAGACAGTCAGCTCAATGCACGTTGGTTGTCAAAGGAGGATCGTATTCTGGCGGTTGCCCGTGTGCGAATCAACCAACAAGGTATTGGTAACAAACACTTCAAGTGGTATCAGGTTAAAGAGGCTCTTTTGGACCCCATGACCTGGGCTTTCTTCTTTTTCGCCCTGATTGCGGATATTCCGAATGGCGGAATTACTAACTTTTTTAGCCAACTGGTATGTCTTCTGTATCACCAGCATGTCCTGTGCTTGATCTTCGATTTCTTCCGGTATGACTAACAATTAGCTCTTTCTTCTTAGATCACAAGCTTCGGGTATACCAAAGTAGAGAGTTTGCTCTATGGAACACCTGCTGGTGCAGTGGAAATTGTGGCACTGCTCCTG